TTCCTCCCACAAAGCTTTGGTTTAGCCAGCCGGCTGACCTATCTGGATGTGTCAAACAACTGTCTTGAGGACTTGGATCACGCGGGGCTCGATCGGCTGACTGGTCTTGTTAGCATCAAGATGGCGAACAATCAGTTAACAAAACTGCCAAGCTCTTTCGGCAATTTCCAAAACCTGCGAAGCCTGAACATGTCGTCAAATGGTTTCAAGGTCTTCCCCGATTTCCTTTGCAACCTCAAGAGTCTGGTTGATCTCGATATCAGCTTCAACGGGATAGAAGAGCTCCCCAATATTGGCCGCTTGGCCACACTTGAACGCCTGTGGATGACAAACAACAACTTGAGCGGGCCTCTCGATGATTCCTTCAGGGAATTAGTGAACCTCAAGGAATTTGATGGACGCTTCAATGCTATCTCCAATATCGATGCTCTCTCTAGTCTTCCGCGACTGGAACAGATATTCTTTGGTCACAATCTTCTATCACGTTTCAAAGGCTCCTTCCCGAGGTTGCGGAGTTTACATCTGGACCACTGCCCTCTGACTCACTTTGATGTTGACGCTCCTATGCCAACACTGACTTCTCTCAACCTTGCCTCCGGCAAGCTCTCCCAATTCAGGGATACAATTTTCGAGAATTGCCCGAATATAACAAAACTCGTTCTTGACAAAAATCATATCTCCTCGGTTTCGCTTCAGATTGGCAGGTTGCGTCGACTGGAACACTTCAGTATGATCAAGAACCCACTGTCGTCTTTGCCTCCAACCTTGGGTTGCCTTGCGGAGCTCAAACATCTTAACCTGAGGGAGTGCAACTTGAATTCTCTACCAGCCGAAATCTGGCATTGTGCCAAGTTGGAAATACTCAACGTCTCCTCAAACATTCTGTCCAGCTTTCCAAAATGCGGTGCTCCGTACCCTCAAATTCCCGGCGAACCTACAAACACACCTGGAACTACACCAGGAATTGCTGGAAACCCCAGCTATGAAGATGTAGGCCCAATGGATGAACCAGGTCTACGTCGACCCAGTCAAACGTCGAATGGTGCTTTGCATTCTGTATCACCGAACGGGTACCGCAATCCTTCAACTGCCCAATCTGGTAGGAAGGTATCTGGGACGTCGCCATCATATACCGACCCGAACTCGGTGAGTCGGAAAGACTCCAACTTCTCTCAGCAGATGGCGATGACGTTTGCGGCATCTCTCCGGACACTTTCACTTGCAGACAACAGACTTGAAGATGACGTTTTCCGGGAACTGTCCTTGCTCCCAGAACTGCGTATTGTCAACCTTTCTTACAATGACCTGACGGAACTACCGCAAGGAATTCTCAAGAGGTGGCCATTGATTTCCGAGCTGTACCTGTCCGGTAACGAGTTGACCTCTCTCCCATCCGATGACCTGGAAGAGGGAAGCAACCTCAAAGTTCTCCATATCAACGCCAATCGGTTCCAAGTCTTGCCTGCAGAGCTTTGCAAGGTCAGCAAGCTTTCTATTCTGGATGTGGGGAGCAACGGGCTCAAGTACAACGTGTCAAACTGGCCTTATGACTGGAACTGGAACTGGAACCGTAATCTCAAGTATCTGAATTTCTCGGGCAACAAGCGTCTGGAAATCAAGCCAAATATCGCGTCGCTGGGTCCTCCGGCTGCCAATGGCGCTGACCTGACTGACTTCAACTCCCTCACCCATCTCCGTGTTCTGGGACTCATGGATGTCACACTCACCATTCCCACCATCCCAGAGGAGACTGAAGATCGCCGTGTGAGAACATCTGCCTCTTTGGCTGGTACTCTCGCCTACGGTATGGCCGACTCTCTTGGTAAGACCGAGCATCTATCCATTATTGATATGATTGTGCCACGGTTGAAGCAGGATAATGTGGAAACACTTGTAGGAATGTTTGACGGACAGACACTTTCTAGTGGTGGATCTCGCGTCGCAAAGTACTTGCACGAGAATTTCACTTCTACTTTCTCGTTTGAGCTTAAGAAACTGCAGCGAGACCAGGGTGAAACACCATTGGACGCGCTCCGACGGTCGTTCTTGGCATTGAATAAGAATATGGCAGGCTCTGCCTACAGGTCCATTGATGACCGTGAAATCCGCCAATACCATCGAGGATCGAATGCGGCCAAAATGCTCAACCAGGATGACATTCAGTCCGGGGGTGTTGCTACTGTTCTGTATCTGAACAACATGGACTTGTACGCCGCCAATGTCGGTGATGCTCAGGCTATTTTGATCCGGTCAGATGGTTCAATGGTTTCTTTGACGCAAAATCATGATCCTGCGGAACCTAACGAGCGCGCCCGCATTCGTGCAGCAGGAGGCTTCGTGTCTCGCACCGGGAAGCTGAATGATGTCCTGACCGTGTCGAGGTGCTTCGGACACTTCCCTATGATGCCTGCTGTCATTGCGGCTCCTTCCACAATGCATACCGTCTTGACGGAACAAGATGAAATGATCGTTTTGGCATCAAAAGAACTCTGGGATTATGTTACCCCCGAAGTGGTGGTTGACATTACTAGGAGAGAACAGCCCGACTTGATGTTTGCAGCTCAGAAGTTACGTGATTTGGCCATCTCCTTCGGTGCCACCAATAAGCTGATGGTGATGATCCTCGGTGTTGGTGAGATTCAAAGGAGACGCCCAAAGCCTCGTCCTTCTCTCAACACTGCCTCGTCCACGTTTGCTGAAGAGCAGATCATCCCAACTGCCAAGCGTCCCAAGAAGCGCGATGGTCCTGGAGATTCGCGACTCGCGCGCTTTGAACACGTGAATGCTCCCGAAGGTGAATTGACTATCATGTTCACTGATATCAAGAAATCCACGGGTCTATGGGAGATTTGCCCGGATGCGATGCGCTCTGCTATTCAAATCCACAATGACATCCTACGTCGACAACTTGCGATCTTCGGTGGCTATGAGGTCAAGACAGAAGGTGATGCTTTCATGGTCGCTTTCTCAACCACGACTGCTGCCTTGCTGTGGTGTTTCAACTGTCAAAACCAGCTTCTTGAAGCTGAGTGGCCTACGGAGATTCTCGATCAGCCCCAGTGCCGAGTTGTGGTTGACATGGACAATAATGTGATCTTCCGTGGCCTGTCTGTCCGTATGGGTGGCCATTGGGGCGAGCCTGTCTGTGCGAAAGATCCGGTCACCAGCCGAATGGACTATTTCGGTCCAATGGTGAATCGTGCGTCGCGAATTTCTGCCGTCGCGGATGGGGGGCAGATCTTTGTTTCCTCGGATTTCATGACCGATATCCACCGTAGCCTTGAGATTTTCGCGGATGCTGAGCGTTCTGCATCCACCAGCTCGACCGACAGCAGCTCCCGCGGCGATAGCCTCGGCCACAACATTCGTCGCGAACTGCAACAGCTCAATAGTCAAGGTTTCGTTATCAAAGATCAAGGCGAAAGAAAGCTGAAGGGTCTGGAAAATCCGGAACCCCTCTACCTTGTTTACCCCTCCTCGCTTTCTGGTCGCATGATCTCTTCTGAAGAAGCACAGGATCAAGACAGCTCTGTTGCAACTATCAGCCCGGACAATCAACTTGATATCCAGACAAACGTCATTTGGCGTCTCTGGGAAGTCACACTCCGTCTTGAACGACTTTGCGGTGCTATGGAGCATCCAAGTGAACCGAGCCTCAGAGAGCCGAACGTCGCTCTCTTCAACATGGTCAAGAGACATGGAGGTGAGCTCAATGACTCGACCGTTCTCAGTTTGGTCGATCAACAAGTCACTCGCATCGAGGTTAGTATTACACAAACTCCCCTTTCGTTCTACTTCAAATCTTAACAAATCCCAGGTATGCATCAACACACTCTCCCTACGCCATATGATGCGTCCCTTCAAACCAGGCGACACCCTCAGCGACCACGCCGTCCCTATCACCGAGGTATTACAGCAACTACAAACACAGCTTGCCGAATTCCAAGCTCTCAAGGAGCAGATGGCCGTTGGTGCTGCGGGCAACATCGGCGGTCCACCAACTCCTGTCAAGATGGGACCTTCAGGCAGCATCGACAGCGGCATTACCTCCGCCTCGTCGTCTTTCCTCCATCTCCCCGGCGATGCCAATCGCTCTTTTGATTCCGGCCGCAGCTAGCACTGAGTTCTGCCGCCTGCTTTTTATCACACTAATTTTCAACTTACTTTTGGTTTCCTATTACTTGCTTTTTTGAACTTCCTTTCTCCCTTCTTGTATCTTTCTTGCTTTCTTTTGGTGGGCGGCGTCCCACTGGCGGGAGGGGGTTCTGCAGATTGTTTTATATAAAGCATTATGGCATGGAGCCAAGGTGATTGTTTCGGTATCTTCTTTCATTATTGGTCTTGATCTGCTTTGAGTTTTAGGGCTGTAATTGGCTCGGTCAGTGAATATACATTACAGTCTATATGATAATCTCATGGGCTTTTTTCTTATCATCTTATTTGATCCTTAATATGTACATATGTAGTCTGCTGCACGAGACTACGTCGAACTTTGATAATCTGATCTATTTGAACCAACATGATATTAGATACGTTATATGTAAGAAAGTATTGACAAGTTTTGGGAGTCCTTTTTCCATTCCTTCCTCAATGCCTTTCTAGATGTCTTTCGAGATGTGTACGAAAGAGCTTTCTATGTATAACCAGGGATTACATCTAAACACCTTGAGTTCTACCTAGGTACCTACCTACATACGTACATAGCAATCTATCTCACATTGTACCATACACTATGTCCACATAGGCCTCTCTTCATAGTTGAATCAATATAAACAAATTGATTCAGACACCATCACCTCTCGTAAGACCAGTAAGACTAACGTACACCATGATTCTCTACGGTGGTGCGCCAGATACATCGGCCCAGAGGTCAAAATTGACTGGCAACCCACCCCACATCCTAACAAGTGTCTCGCAATTCTCACATAAATCCCTAACCGAAGTCCATACTTGCCCTGATAGATTATCCTCGTAAACCTTCGAATCCACACCTCGGTTTCTCAATGCGATGCCATGTACAGCTGTGGGGTTTGGGTTATTTCTATCTGGTTAGCTAGTGTCTGTATATCATGCACGGATGGGCTTACCGCAATATGTGTAGTAGAGGGTAAACCTCAGCACAATGTCCAAACCACAGTTGGTTCCCAATGGACGTGTCACCAGCGGACCTGCTCAGGGGGCAGTCGTACATAGAATAGCCGCTCATATGCATAGCTCCATCATTGATCAAATTCCACCGGGCCTCTTTGACTACTTGGGCCCACGTTCCTGTGCGTTCGCATTGGGTTCCCCCGATATAGCCTCCAAGAGAGGCTCCTAAGAAAAACCTACCTTTTCCCGGGCCATCTTTCACCCACGTGGAGTTGTACATCGTCGGGACCGACTTCTTTGGGACAAACTCACTTAAAGCAATGCACCACTTGGCATACATCGCCGTCATGGGCAGATAGAAGTTGCGGGATGTTGCGCGGTTTGGAGCAGCGCCTATGGAAGATAAAAACAATCCAAGTATGTCGTAAATTCCGGAGAATGGCACCTTGTTATGCACGAGGGTTTGAAGGAGAAATTTCGATCTCTGTGATGGGGCGTTTCGCTGCCAGATTGGGTTGAGAGCCCGTTTAGTAGACTGGGCAGGCTCCATGACTGGGTCAGAGAAGGTGGCTCCGTCTGGGGGACTAGAATCGGGAGTTAGATAGGAGTACCTGCGGTAACAGCAAGGCTTTTACCAGAGCATGTGGATCTCGTCGACCATCGCTTTGAGCGATAGCAGCTCGCTGTCTTGTATGTCATACAAGAACCCGTTAGCCACCACATGGCCCATGAACGTTAATATCTACATACGTCCAACATAGATGAGCATCGGTATTAGATGGAAGAGGAGGTCATGGAGTACTTACCTGACTTCGTCCCCATGTATATGCCACCTTGATGTCCAGGATGTCATTGAAGGCCCTTAGGACCTCTTCTGACGCAGCCATTGTACATGACACTGAAGTTGATGATGCGACTTCCAAGGGTTTGTTTATACCTGCGCGGTTGCCATGCTCATGTAACTCTCAGATACTCCTTTCTTTCCTCTCATCTTCTCACTCCCCCCATCGAGACGGAAACCCTCTTGTAGATCCCCAGATCTGGCAGATGAGAACCCAAGTTTTATGAACCTTCCACTGTTGGTAAAAGATATAGGACGGGGAAGGAGCCACATTAGGTACCTGAAGAAGATCTTATAGGGTTCCTTTCTCTATACATATCTTCCTAAATCGGTGCATCTGGGGTATCTCCGATTTTTTAACATTGCGGTACCAAGCACTGTTCTTACCTTTGGATCTACTATTATGTATATCCTGACTTCGCCTGAGATGGTAAATTAAGGCCTAGAATATTCACAGCCTTGGAAGAAAAACTATGCATGTAGGCAATAGAAGCTATCCATGGATTGCAGAAGGCTTTTGAAGGCGTCCGTCAAAGACCAGAATCGGGAACTTGAGTGGCAGGACCGGTCTGTAGGTGCTTAAGTCCTCCTTGAGCCAGAGCATGAGCGATTTCATGTATATCCCGAGAGGCGATTTCGTCCACGCCATGATACATCTGATACCAGAGATAAAACTTTTCGCCGGACTGGAAAATTGTGTAGTAGGCATCTTTATCCTCCATTATCGGTCGTCCGGGACCAAGACCATGGTCTCGAGCCATTTCTTGACCTGCCGAGTCAACTCCCTCCCATTCTTTTTGGAAAAAACTACCCGGAGGATTCGTGGTCCATCCCGGGGGAACGGTGAACTGGTCAAAAATAACCTAACTTAGTGGCTCGCTCGACTTAGCTTGGTGGCAGTTAGGGCATTCTTACTTGTGGCACAGAGACGCTTTGAGCGGGAGACTCGATGGGTGACGCAATGGGGGATTTTGTGGGAGACTCCACAGGAGATTCGATGGAAGATTTGATAGGGGACTCGGTGGGTGACTCGGTGGGTGACTCGGTAGGTGACTCCATAGGTGACCCTATGGGGGATTCGATGGGGGATTTGATAGGGGACCTGACAGGCGACTTGGTGGGTGACTTGATGGATGACTCGGTGGGTGACTCCATAGGTGACTCCATAGGTGACCCCATATGAGATTCGATGGGGGATTTGATAGGGGACTTGACAGGCGACTTGGTGGGTGATTTGGTGGGTAAGGCGGACTTGACTGATGAGGAGTCTTAGGCTAAGGAGACATTAGCAGCATGCCTTAGGCGAGAAGTGATGACTCTCAGATGATGGAGTGAGGCTTTTGTGACAGGCAGGCATCTATCTGATTGGTGCCTTGTTTGTCAGGATTCTCATGTATGCTAACTAACTAGCGACCTAGGTAGTAGTGTATTAGCTAGTCTCATACAGGTAGAGAATTCAAACTGCTTCTATCTCTCTCTCTCCTTCTGGCCCTTGCTGCCAGCCTTCAGCTCTCTTTTTTATTATACTCCATAGTAAAACCCTGTTAGGTTCCTTAAAGTGGAAATAGGATTCAGTACGGCGGTTTGGCCGAGTGGTAAGGCGATTGACTAGAATGTCCTTGAGATCGAGTTGTCCAAATCTTGAAATCAAGTATTCTTAATCGATTCCGTTCGCGGGCGCATTCGAATCATGCAGCCGTCGTTGAACATAACCTTTTTTGCTTCTATTCCTAAAAAAAGAATCTTGAAATTTCTAAACACTCTGTCTTAATGATCTTCCTAGACTTCTCTGTAAGATCATTACCTCCCATACCATCCTAAGTAAGGAGATGGCCTACTCAACCTGAATTACTATTTAAGTAGTTCTAAAATGGAAAAAGGAAAAGGAAAAAAGAGAGAGAAGAACCTCATAATAGAATACTTAGGAAACTTGCACTCTCTACCTCATATAAAGTGTGTAATATATAGAGTTTAGGTCAAAACTTAATCTAATATGCGATCTACCTAGGAGGTACCTAGGTACCTAGGTAATTTAGATCTAACAGAGATCCATGGATAGGTGTTTCTTATTTCGAAGGTGTCTACCACATATTATTTCTCGGTATAGATAGACGGCTGATAAATTGAATTCTCTACCACCAAGTTGTTATAGTCGTCATATAATCGTTGTAAGATCTTCCTAGATCAAGTTTATGACCCCCCGGCACCCCAGAAGAAGCACTATTAAACCTGACTACGTTATTTCATCGTCCCGGTACGCCCTACTAATAATGGTTGCAGTTCTGGTGGCACGTTCTTGATCCTTTTATCGATGCAGACGAATCGTCTTCCCCGACGGCATATCTCTTTAAACGAGTCACTGTCTAGACCATCCACAAATGAATTAGTGATCGCGATAGCTTGCTATAAGGAGCTACTAGCGTACTCCGCGAATGAGTCTTCTCCCTCGTTATCACGTAAGGAAACTCCAACCAAATCGCTTGGCTAGGTCACTTTCTGAGGCGTTGGTGCCGTAGGCATGGGGATATCTTTCGCTATAGGTTCTACCTCGCCTTTTACAAAGAAAGACGTCTGATTTGGAGGCGCCGGTGGATTCGGAAAGTTGTTGTGTTGAAAGTTGAACTGATAGGTGCTGATTTCACCTTTTCTAAAATCTCAATCATATTATAAAGTCAGTCTATGTTCCTCTAGTGAGAAAAAATAAAATTTTTATTATAACAACTCAGTAGAGTTTACTATAATAGTTTAAAAAATGCTAAAAAGATATGTGCAACGACGGCTGCATGATTCGAACATGCGCCCGCGAACGGAATTGATTAAGAATACTTGATTTCAAGATTTGGACAATTCAATCTCAAAGACGTTCTAGTCAATCGCCTTAGACCACTCGGCCAAACCGCCGTATTGAATTCTATTTTCACTTTGAGGGACCTAACTAGAGCTTTACCATAGAGTATAGTAAAAAAGGAGATATTATGGCGTTGAGGCAAGTAAATTCAGGCCATAGGGAAATGAAGTACTAAGGGGACGAGTTCAGGAGCTTGTTTGGGTCTCAGTTGATATCAGTTGATCCATGGATGTATATGTACGTAGTACGTACATATGGACCGCACCTACGTATTTGGGCTTGGCAGAGATTGACATGAAAGTGGGACTGGGGCAGAGTCACGTGATGACAAGGTGTCCTGAACCGAATCAGAAGAGAATGTGAGAGAATGTTAAGTTGACTCTTAATACTCTTAATCTGAAGTTGTCCTTGCAACAGCTATCTATCTATGTAGTATGATGTAAAATAGTATTCTCCCATGGGTTTCTCCACGTCAGCGAGCAATTACAACATCCATGGATAGTAAAATTGATGTAAACTTAGCCTTGCCTGTATGTATGTAATAATTTGACCAGTACCCAAAATTTAATAATATACGATAGGCCCTGAGGTAGTAGCTAATTGAGCTCTCTTTCATGTCAAATCATGATAACGGGGCTAAAGCACCACCTGTCACTTTTAGCAGGTCACGTGCCATTGTTTATGCGTGCGTCATCGACCTTGTTTTCTTTCTTGGTCTGCTCACCCCTTCATCTGGTAACCCGAATCCAAGCAGGAAAGAGTGGGAGAGACATCTGTTTCTTGAGCTTTCTTGCCTACATTTACATCGAACAAGTCGTTAGTCCCAACATCGGCCGTTTTTCCCGCCCCACCTGTTGCCGTGGCTACGAACTGAACGAATGATCGAACCAGGTCTGCTGTAATTAACAGCTCGACAAAAAAAAACCAACACTTCTGCTACCATAGCTAAAATTTGAAAAAGGGAGCGATCGGTGGCATTTTCCTCGCATATTGCAATCTCGTCTAGCCACGCACCGTGCTGCAAGTTCGGTGTCCATCTTGAAATCCCCGTAGACTACGCCATCTCGGTCGGGGTGTTCGCACATTAACCAGGCGGCGACGTCGCACATTGCAAAATGGCGGATGAACTGGAATACCTGCATCCAGATTTCGATCTGAACTCTCTCACTGTCCCTCGTCTCCGCTCCATCCTCGTCAGCCACGATATTCCGTACCCTGCCTCCGCAAAGAAGGCTCAACTGATCGGCATCCTCGAGGATGAAGTCCTTCCGCAAGCCAGAAAGCTGTTGCGCGACCGCGACACTGTTCGACGGACGAGCATGGGGATTACAGACATGAGCAGTCGGTCGACATCAGTGGCTAGCGACGCGAACGACAGAGACTCGATGCCTCCTCCACCTACACCCTCGACAGTCGGGTCCACAAGCAGAGGCCAGCGAGGTACATCGCGACGCAGCACGCGTCACTCAACGGTGGATGTCGATGATGGTCTCGGCCCTGCTACACCTGTCAGGAACACAAAGCGCACGAGCGTTGCTCGGTCGGTGGGTAAACACGCTCGTACGTCTGACACGGAAACCGGCGACGACACACTCGCCACTCCAGTCGCTGCTACCCGTCCTACGCCTCGAAAATCTACAGCTAGGAAAGTCGGACAGAGTGAGATCCTCCCTTCTACAGAAGTGGATGAGCACACTCCGGGTCTCAAGCCAGAATCACGCAATGAGAGCAGGTTTACGGATGACAATCCTTTCCAGAGTGGAAGCCCCGAGGCTCCTAAAAGCGCAAGGATGAGCTATGATGGCAAGCGGAAGAGCGTTTCGCGCTTATCCACCGACAGCCCAGCTCGGGGCCGCGGACTCAGGTCGCGGAAATCAGCAACCCCGTCTAACCTTCAGCAAGATGATGGTTTCCAGCCACCCAAACGGGATTCATTTGATTTTGCCTCCAGGTTGATGCCTCCCCAGGAAGAGCCTGAGGAGGAGTCGGAAGAATCCGAGGATGATGAAGAAAGCGAAATTGAGGCAGGTGAAGAATTCACGCCTGAGGAACAGCTCGCTATGTCTATGGAGAATGATCAGTACTCGTCACAAATTCGGGCTAGGCGACGGCCGCAAAAACAAGGAACTCTCAGCCGCTTGGCCCCTTGGGTAGTTATCCTCTCACTGGCCGGCAGTTTTGGTGCCTGGTGGCGCAAAGAAAAGCTCGAGATTGGATATTGTGGCCTGGGAAAGCCCACCTGGTCTTTGGCAGAGACCAAGGTTCCTGAATGGGCAAATGTTCTGGAGCCTCGGTGCGAGCCATGCCCAAGCCACGCCTTCTGTTACCCGGACTTTGAGGTGCGCTGCGAAAATGATTTCCTTTTGAAGCCGCATCCACTTGCCCTCGGTGGCCTAGTGCCGTTGCCGCCAACATGTGAACCCGATAGTGAAAAGGAACGCCGCGTCAAGGCTGTTGCTGATAAAGCTGTTGAGGAGCTTCGTGAGCGCCGAGCAAAGTGGGAATGCGGTCAGCTGAAGGAAGACGGCAAGGGTGCCAGATCCCCAGACATCAGCGAACCAGAGCTGAGGGAAGAGGTGGCCAAGAGACGCCGCAAGGGTCTGAGTGACACCGAGTTTGATGAGCTGTGGAAGGGCGCCATTGGTGAGATCCTTGGCAAGGATGAAGTTATCAGCAATACCAAGCCGTAAGTTTCCTGAACCCTAGGAGTAATCCTCGTGTCTCCTTGGCTACGCTCATCGCTCTGGATTTTCCCATCCAGCGGCATTTCTTATAAAGATCTGGTCTGACATTGTGTACCGGAACTGACAGAGACGCATTCGCAATTACAGAAATTCCGGCGTCCTCGTCCTCTCCTCTACCTCCATTGCACGGCTCCCACTCGCATGCGCCGTCCGCCGCCACTTCCGACTCGCTCTCCTCGCGTATCGACTCCCTATTTCACTTCTAATCATGACCATTGGTCTCCTTGTGTACGCTCGCGCGCGTGTCATTGCACGTCGATCTGACATTGCTCGCGTGCCGGAATTGGTAGCTACGACGCTTGACCGGCTATCCACGCAAGCTGCACTATACGCCCGCGGCGATGCCAAAGAACCTTATATCGCCATCGGTCAGCTCCGTGATGACGTCCTCCGCTTTGAACTCCAGGGCAAGCGTCGCGAGGAGCTCTGGCGACGGGTCCGCAACTTTGTCGAGGGTAACGCTAATGTCCGCGCTTCTGTGCGAGAAGGACGTAGCGGTGATGTTTCTCGAGTCTGGGAGTGGATCGGTGGCATTAACGCTATCGGCGAGCCGGAACATACTGGCCGCCGTGAGAGTGCGCGATTCTCCATCCCTTCTCCATCCGGTAACATCGTGGCAAGTCCTCACACCCCTGTAGGCGAAAGCCAACCCGAACCTATTTCTAGTCCGAGAGAGTCTCGCCGCTGGGACGAGGGCCGTCCGATCTACTGATTCGCGTCCTACTGTCTGGAGGATACTTTAGTGTCTTCGCACGTAGCTCGACTGTGACCGTATTCTTTTTGATATCCCACGTGTTGTTCTTTTCTGGTGTATGAGATGCCTCTTATTTCCTGGTTCTTGCTTTTTTTTTTTAAAACAACACTTTATTCCCAGTTGCCTTCCCTACTTCATCTGTACATATTTTTCGTGTCCATACTAATTCTATTGCCCATTTCAATCCAACCTCTTTTCTTTAGACGCAATATTCGGACTGCCTTGCGCAGGATGTATATGTAAAAAAACAATGTAATCCAGCTGCAATAATTCCATATTCCAACCGATTTTGGCAATGTCTAGCGCCAAGCCTCACCCTGCATTGCCTTGCAGACCAGCACGGCATGTATGCAACACGCCCCATCGAGTACCCGTGTCTATAGGACTGCATGTGCTGTCACACCGATGGAACTAGCGGGGTTCTTTGTGAACACGCATAATCCAGGGCACCGTACGGAGTACATATTAATTGTACTCCGCACCACTAAAAGACCAAGTAAATGTCATGTATCAGCTCGATATTCCAGCCCAACCACGAAGATCAAGACCCACACTTTATTCCTATAGTACTGATGTACACATGTGGCTCGGTTAAAAGCGCGAGAGTCTGCAAATACTCTATGTTGCACGGAATATGCAGATGGGAATACTGAATTGAGTTACATTTGGCGTTTATATACCTCAGCCAAGCATTCGATAGTCAGCCAAGCACTCGATAGCCCGTCTGCAGCCTCAAAGTGAATCTGATCTCGGTAAAACGCCTATGTCGCTCTCGCTCCCGCTCTTGACCGTCTCCATTCTTGATGCCCAACGTGTCGAGCTGATCAATCAATACCCCTGTCAGTTTTCGTTTTTGTTGGCGTCAACGCTCTACACGCAGATCGCGTGAGGGGAATACTGGATCCCCGGATCGTGCTTTAAGAATGTTCCTTGCTTTCGTTCTTGTGTCTAGGTCTATGAGAAGTGTTGGTATTGATAGGAAATAGTGTGATTGAGGCGGCATTGTTGGACATGGACATCCAATGGAACAGGAAATGTGAGATGTGATGTGAAGTGATGCTCGAAGCCACTATAAGCCGCGCGAAGTATAATATCAAAGGTACTAGTATTTGGAATAGCATCGAGGAACCCGTCGGGAAGAAGGGACGAACAAAGAAGTCGATATATTAACTGCTTGCTCATTGGTGTCTACCTACCACTAGAGTGGTTCGAAGGATTTATCTGCAGATGCGCGATATTCGGTTCAAACATCGCTAAGACAGGTATTATATTGCAATAAACACTAATATCAGGATGGGGAGAGCTAGTGATGCATGCATATTATCAGATCCTTGGACAGGAAGGAATTCCTGGAATTCCTTCCTGTCCAGCGATCAATTAGCCCCCGTATTTGCTCGGGGCTGCTCAGGGGGAAATGTTTCCCGGCGAGACGGACTGCTTTTGTGTGATGTGCTCCGCACATTAGTCGTGCCTTCTGCGGAAGTAGTACCTACATCGGGGAATGAAGATAGCCCTAATAAGAGCGAATCCAGAGTTTGACCGCTTCTTCAGAGTTATCCAAGGAGAACCATCCTATGGAGCGCTTGGGGTAATGGGGTGGATACGGGCAGTAGCCGTACTCCGTACGTGTACTCCAAAATCCGTATGGTCTTGGTTTTTCTTTTTTTCCTCCCTTTTTTTCTCACGAAATTGCGATCTCGTCTCCGGCCCCGCTCTCCTTTGTGCCGAGATACAGTTAGGGCACGTAACAATCTAGTAAGTATGGAGTACTCCGTATATTGTGACTCTAGGGAGTAGAGCAACTCGGGAAGCTTCCTTCCTTGCATGGCCTTAGGTAGCTCTATAGGCAGGATTACACATACCGGAAAGGTTTGGAGTCGTACTGGATAGGGGCCACGTATTGTGGCGCCGAAGATCGGTGAACGGGCGCGAGACCTGTGCGTGTAAGCACGATGGTCGGGATAGTGGGGATAATTGTAAATGAGGGATGGAGAATGCGTGGTATGGGGATAGGCTTGCAGATATTGCAGGTATGGATCTAGCGTACACCGTACGTCGACTCGCTTATATTGAGTGAGCCTCCGAGTCTAATATCTATGGATATAGACGAGATTGGATGACCAGTGGTGGAGCAGAGGGTTCAATGTCAAGGTTCTTCGCCTCCCTGGAGATATCCGAGCCATGGTTGAACTTTCCAAGAAAAGGACGAGTTGCGAATACCTTCTTCTAGGAGACTTTGAAGGAATTTTTGTTCAATGGGGAACAGATCATGTATGGTACGGAAGTATTCTCCCGGAGAATTATCGGAAGTCAAGGTAACAGTAGCTAAGTCTGTGACAGACTTTTCCTTTTTATTCTTTTTATTTTATTTTATTTTTTTGAATTGAGAAAAAAAGAAAAGAGACATGTACATGCGAGAGTTAAAAGACCATGGCGTGCATAGCGAAATCGATGCGGTGAAGTCTATAGCAAGTCAGGAACACGGGGGTAATACCTGGACCCATTCGCAGACTGGAACTCTTCGCCGGTACCAGTCAGAGTGCTGGACTATGTCCCCACCTGTCAAGTTTATAGAACGTACTTTTGGGCTTCCACGGTTGATCTTGCCAACTTCGTCTTAGTGTTATATCCATGGTTAAAATCATAGTCGCTTCGAAGGATATTTCACTATCGTCAAGTGTGATTGAGAGTGCATATACTCCGAACACGGGACAGAGTTGAGCCATACTAGGAGAAAGGAACGGGTTTCAATAGTTTGCTAGCTCCGAGCTAACCTTGGTAAAGGAAGCCCTAAGAGCCGAGGAGGCCAGGGCCCCGTTGCAAGTACCCCATTCATACAGAGTGTCATTCCTCTCGATAGCCCGAAGGTTCGGCGTTATTGTTATTGGACAGGGGACGAAGTTTCCAGCCGATATTGAGCTATTTTGTAAGGGCGATCAGAGAGATCCCCGATTGACGATCAGGGCAAGTTAATCCCAGAACGGTATACGGACAGGTCAAGAATCATGCAGAGGAAAATTGTATCTTTGGTTCACTTGTGTGGCAAAACAGCCACAGTGGGTTCAAGTTGACAACGTTTCGCCTGGTGGGGTCTTCACTCCCACTGCGCCTACGTAGGCCAATGCATTGGTTAGGTGGGGTTTTTAGTCGAGTCATGTTTCGGCAGTATAGAAAGATATCGGTACGGAGTACATGGGCACTACAGTATACAATATAGATGGGGAAAATCGCATGAAGCTACGGTATGGATATGACATTTTCACAGAGCGAAGGGAAAAAACAAAAAAACAAAAGAAATAAAAAGAAATAAAACTCAAGATCTCCCCGATCGACATGTGAGCCGAGAATGTCAGCGATCGACTAAAAGGCATCGACCCGTTTTTGTCCAATGCAGAAAGTCCCGGGAAATGGCGATTCTAGGAAGCGGATCTTAGATACGGAGTAAATGTTCAGTATTAAAAGTTGTTATCTACGGAGTAGAGAGGCTCACATCGTAGAGTCATGATTTCATGGGAATATTTTCAGTCTTGCTATCTTGCTGGTTGAGCCTATCATTTACCCCGGAAACTAACTCCGGGGATAAATTTAGGGTTATGGGTAGGATTCCAATAGAGACTCGATGTATGTAGGGATGCGGGTATAAGCCTAGATGGGAAGAATACATATGTATGAATAAAATTATCAGGAAAAAGTACAGATTACATTGAGTAATGTATGTTGTACAATATAGACAATATATAGACAATATACGGAGTACTGGGTATAGGAATTAGACTATTACTCAGAAATGAGCTATTAGCGGTAATTGCTTTTTATCACTTCCACCATTAGTAGAGACGAGAATTGCATTGACTTTTAGTATTTGATATTAGATTTATTTGATATTAGATTTGACATATATTTGACATATATTTGACATATATATGATATATCTTCAATTATTTCCAAGGTCGGTCCCTGGAGCCTCGATCTGCTTATTTCCTAGACATGCCAACTTGAAGGCCCACATCCGCCACTTTAGTCCTTGATTCTCTCCTTTTTCCCTGTTTTTTTTCCCCTTTGAATTTTTCCCCTATATTTTCCTATTTTTTTCTATTTTTTTTTAATTTGTTCCCCATTTCTTTACCTGTTATTTACCTGTTTATTTTCCCTCTTAATTGATTCCGTTGCCCCCCCACTTTCCCTCATGCCCTTCTAATCTAGGCTGCGCACATTGCAGGATTCCGCTGCATACGTCTAGCGCGCAGGCCGCCTCTTCTCTTTCTCCATTCTATAACTCTTTCTATGATCTGTCTTCTAAGTGATTTGATTACCATGCTTTCAAATGGTTGGGAAGACAGAGAGTTGCGCTTCTGATTTGCTATTTACCTTTTTTGTTCTTTTTGCTTGATGAGTGATCAGACACCCCGAGGCTATAGGCCTCTTGCGCCTCGCACCAGGCTACTCGGCGGATCTGGAGGGGATGGAGGGGAGGGAGCAGGGAGTCCTGCTGGGGGTGCACCAGAAGAAAAACGAATGAGGCGAGCATCGACAGCTTGTACAGAGTGTCAAAAACGTCGGACCAGGGTACAACATTCACTGCGCTTCCTATTTTCCTATTTTCCTATTTTCCCTATCTATCCCCTTTGTTTTCACCTAATCTATACTTCAATCAATCTGACATGCTCTTATTTTTTTCATTTCGTCAGTGTACCGGCCCTCCTCATTGTACCGAATGCTCAACCCACGGCCGCGAATGTGTCTTCGATGAAGCCGCCGACAGACGCCGCAAAGCTTCCGCCAAGAGAATCCAGGACCAACTGGACCATTTCCGGTCATTTGTGGACGACCTCATCGGACTCATCCGAGATAGTGATGGCCCGACGGTGCAATTAATCGTCAATACCATACGATCCGGAGCCACCCCCGGAGAGATCCGAGATATCCTCACCCGTCTCTTGGAAGATGATAATCCATCCGATTCCCGCAATTCAGACGTGCGCGACTCAAACCTGAACCTGAATATTACTCCCAACAATAACATGGGCAATTACTTTAACCCCTCGCTAAATTAGCCCTAACCTTCCCGGGGCAATCTGCGCATCCTCTGGACGAATATGTGCCAGATCTACCCCTCGTCTCTCCGCTAAAATCCTCCCCCCAAACCTTCTCCATCCCAAATCCTCGAACTACCAAACAAATCGGCTTGTTTCATAGCGTTTCCCTTCATAGCTGTTCGTGCCGCATTTCCTTTCGAGGATGGAGCAGATCATTCAGAGAACCGTCACATTCCTCATTCTAGCTGTGTGATCAGTTCCATCTTTATGTTTATTGCCATATCTCGAGACACATTGAGATCGCGAAGAAACCAGACTGTTCCAATTCTCTTCGCCAAGCTCTAGTTATATTTTCTTTTTCTTTTTGTTGCAAATGTTCTTTGCCATCCCAAAACCAGGGGCTTTCGAAGCTTGCAAAACTGCGCGAAGTCCCGATATATGACAGAAGTGAATATACCCAGAGATACCCAGTTCTAGCTTGTCACATTCAGACTTTGTTTCTCGGGAGTTACCCGGGGGTGTTTGTGGATACGGAGCAAATGGGATTTTCTTTTTCTTTTTCTTTCTTTTTCTTTTTCTTTCCTTTTGATATTGGAATTTCGCATCATTCAAGCTGCCGGCAGATATTCTGCCAAAGTGCAATGAATGTCCCACGGATCCTTCTTAGCCTAGGGCTCTCATCCTCTTTCAACAGAGATGATTCAACTTCGCCTCGATCACCGAATACTATTTGCTCCTTCGGCCTATGATACCAGTTGTCTCGTGGAAATGGAGAGGTCTCTGTCAATGTCAACCACTTGCCTCCTAGGATGACACAGATTCATCAAAGCTGCCGATCACACTATCATATTGTTGGGCACCTGGGCATATTCTGCTTCTGCCGACTCCTATTCCATGGATATGATGCCAGTGTCAGTTGTGCTTTTACAACCAGCTTACATGGTATACGAATCTATGGTAAAATTGATTATTGGGGCTCATATAAAAATTTTCTTTTGACTTGTAGCTAAATAAAGCAAATGAGCGATTTCTTTAGATGTCTATTGATGGTCACCCTTCAGTCAACAGCCCTTTACGCGGTGAAAGCCCGGTCATAAGGAGATGATCTTCCTTGGTCTTCCTTAATAACCATAGCTTGTGTATATTAACACTATACTGGATGTGTATCTAAGTAAAATCCGGGGAGGTGGAGGCATCCCCGCGCCGACCGGAGACTTGCCGAGATCGTGTGCTTTTCCCCAATTTCCCCCTCTTCCCCCGGATACTTCTCCTTTCTAACTACCTCTAGGTCTCCTCTCTTTTCAATATTCCCCGGGAATTAATTCCCTGGCTCGGCCTGTCTTGCCGATCTCGATATGACAACCACTAGCGTTGCCATGCACGAATCTCGGCCCGTGGTCAAACTAAATGAAACAACTTCAACAGAGCCGCCCGCATCTAACAAGAGGAAAGCATCCGACACATTAAAGGATGGTGCTGCACATCGCCAGAAAATCACCAGAGCTTGTGACTCGTGCAAAATAAAGAAAACCCGGTGTACTGGTACTCTACCGTGTACAAGATGTACACGCCTGTCACTACCATGCAGATACAACGCCGCATACTCTCGGGGACTACCACCAGACCCTCTTCCTGCATCACCGAGTCCAGTTAGTCCACTTTCAACTTCGACTGCGCGTCGTGCATTTGTGGACGGGGTTGGGCGCACGTCCAGCCCCAATCTACAAGCCAACGGTCGGGACTCGACTATGACTGACAATCTACTTTCAACCCAAACCCAAAACCAGCATGTGTCATCGCGAAACTCACCAGAGCCAGGATCAACTGATTTTGAGGGTAATTACCTCGGTCCTTCATCCGGTGTTTCATTTATCAATCGTGTATGGAGCCGTCTGCATCATGACGAAAGGACGCACTATCCGGATGAACTCCAAAATGAGTCCTCGCGGAATACAGCTGTCTTTATGTTTGGCGATAAACCTTATTCCAATCCCCAAGAAGCGGAGTTTACCCTCCCGTCTCTGGAAAAGGCACTGGAGCTGGTGGGGATTTACTTCGATTACTCTATGGTGACTTATCGGTTTGTGCATAGGGGCAATGTGGAAGAGTGGACTAGACAGGTTTACCAAAATAACATCGGCCTCTCGAATCTCCCGGTGGGAAACATGGTTGCTCGGACTGCTATCGTCCTCATGATTATTGCTGTGAGTACTTTGTACATGGAAATGAGACCCCGAGGAATACCTGATGGGCGGGGCGAAAGGCTAGAAAGGTTAGTAATCTCTTGATATGGTCAGGCAAGGAGCCTAACTGAGGGATTACAGTGAGCGCTGGTATGCAGCATCGAAATACATGTCTTCTCTCGAGTCAGGGCCGCCGCGACTGGAAACCATCCAGGCCCGGCTGGGCCAATGCCTCTATCTGCTGTCATCATCACGGGCCAACGAATGCTGGTACTCATTCGGCACGACAATGCAGATTGTGACTGCACTGGGATTGCACAGGAAGTTGCCGGCCAAAGCCTCGAATAACGGGTGCTCATATCTAGAACTGGAGCTCCGCAAGCGCATCTTCTGGAGTGTATACACTCTAGACAAATATCTAAGCATTATGTTCGGAAGACCTCGACTGCTCCACGATGAGGACATCGACCAAGAATTACCGGACGAGACGAACGACGAAGACTTACTGGAAGAAGATCCGACGCGAAGAACAGGATCCACGGACAGCATGATGATTGCCTCTGTTCTTCATTACCGGTGTGTCCCTCATGTCTAGCCTGGACGTATACTCATATAGCACCTGAGCAGCTAACACCGAATCTAGACTCGGTCGTATCCTGGGCGATATATCCCGTCAACTATACAGCATAAACACCCTCTCTCGAGATACCCCCCTCGAGACCGCAATCCGCCTAACCTCGGAACTTGAAAAATGGAAAGAAACTGTTCCACCATTATTCAACAGTGTCCACCCAACCAGTTTAATCCCACCCCTCTGCCGCCAAAGCCAAGTCCTCCAACTCGCCTACTCGCACGCGATGATCCATGTCACTCGCTCATTCCTCTTGAACGACTTCACAGACCTCAGCCGCAGACCGAAAGTCCCACACCCGATGGTCAGCTCGCACGTCCAGAAGTGCATCCAGGCTGCCGAGAATATCATGACAATAACCGACGGTCTCGCGCATCAGGGCGTGCTGATCCAGTCCTTCTGGTTCACGCACTACGTGTGCTTCTGTGCTGTTTTGGTCGTTTACATCCATACCATCCAACAGCACCGTAAGTCACTAGTCGGATCTAGCTCGGCGTCTGTCTCCTCAGTCGGGAGCCCCAATGACCCAGATAAATTGCACCAGCTCTTCTCTCTCGCTGAATCTTGTCAGCAACATCTTGCTGAAGCCACGCGCAAGAACTGTCCGAGTCGTCGCTACGGAATCATTCTGGAGGAGTTGAGACAAGAGGTTCATCGGCAGATTGGTTCCAGTGGGCTCTCTGTTGAAAGTCGGCCACATTCTTCTAATGAAAACGATATTCCGTATGTCTCGGGAGACGGTTCACAGAATTCGGATGCAAAATCGGTCCTTTTTTGACCCCCAGGCGGTTGATTTCATGATGCAACCAGCCGATTTGGGGATGAATGCGGGGGACGATGCAGGCTTCCTTGAGAGCCTCGAAGGTTCAATCTGGTGGGCTCAACTTGACTCATGGGTATGTATTAGCCTTTTCTTGACGAGCACGAGTACGGAATATCGCTCGCCTATACACAACTTGCGTTAACAGTTTGTCCTAGGCCTTTTCCAACCTCCCTAATGACCCCTCTACATTTAACTTTTAAGCACAACGAGGATGGATGGCTTACGAGGCACAAAGCCGAAATCACGTTCAATTGCAAATATCCTACTACAGTCTGTGTCATGGCCATTCTTCCCTCTACACACTATCCGGTCACAAACTTTGATTCAGTGGCGCACAAAGCTGCATAAGGCCACCCCGGTGAATGTTCTCCAAGTAGTCATCGAACCTCGCCGACACCTCAATCACATCCTTGAGGTGGTCATACGTGAGAACCCCCCCCTTTCCACTTCGCGTACTGACGAGCGGTGGTGACGGCATTCCGAATCTGCCGACCGTTCAATTTCTCCTTCTGAAGCACATTCAAGCTCCCCATAAGATTTTCAACATCAACAGCATCTTCATCAAACCCATCCAGACGCTGGATAAAAGTCTCCCAGATGGTTCGTCTCTGCTCCTCACCAAGAGGCGGGTAGTGCAGCGCCAGCTGGATGCGCGACTTGAACGCCTCGTCGAAGGTACCGACCCTGTTGGTGGTCAAGATCAGGATTCCCTCGAAACATCCACCACACGCAGAAATGCCGATACCAGCGCATTCCGGTTCAGATCTTCCAGACCGCGCTGCTCGAGGAAAACATCTGCTTCATCGAGCAGAACTACGCAGTTCCAGATCTTGCCCAGGTGTAGCACGGACTCGAGGTACTTCTCCACATCCTCTGGCTCGATGCCGACGTCACCGCATGTGACTCGATAGAGAGGCCTCTCGGCTATTTCAGCCACACTCTCTGCAGTCAGTGTTTTGCCTGTTCCTGGCCCGCCGTGCAGAAGCAAGATAAGTCCGTTTCCTTTGCCGGCGATCAGATCGGCGGAGTATTCGGGCTCGACGTGGTTGGTCACCAATGCTTCGATAAGGTCTCTGGATTTAGAGTCGATGGCTAGACTCTCGAAGGCGTCTTTGTTCCACTCGACATGGGAGATGCGGTCGACTGAGAGGTCGAACCATTTCTTGCGCCGGAGGTTGAAGCCAGTCACCCTTGGAGGCATCAACATGCTGAACGGCTCTTGTGGGGGTTGCTCTCTGGCCATGACTCTCTCATCGAGTGTGTTTCTGCGTAGGTCATTATTCAAATACCCGTTCGAGTCTGGATCTGGATGCAGTCTCTTGTAAGTCTTCATGTCTATGATGTACCGGTCCTCGGCCTAGTAGCAGTGGTTAGTCGGTGCATCATTGCACGTTGACGATAAACACATACCACGGTCTGGAAATTCTCTTCCTCGGTCGCCTGATAGGACACATACTTCTGGGTGCGGAATGTCCAGAAAATCCCCCCACGGCGCTGAAGCTTGCGGAACAGATATTCAGGGGCATACTTGACCGGATATACCGCAAGGTCCGTGATAGAACACTCTTTGTCTGAGTCAATATGGTGTAGAGGAAGGCTAGAGTCCTCTGACAAATTATCCACTTCAAGCGACGGCGGCATTTCCATGGCATGCTGCGACGGCGGCATCTCAAAACTGAGCCTAGTGTGAGATTTATAAAAGTCGCCATCAAATTCCCAGGTCTGAACACTGATCCACCAACAAGGATCGCTGCCACGAATTTCCATGCTTCGAGACGGCCAGTCCTTGGCTAAATAACCTACATGCTCTTTGTTTCTGTTCGAGACCAGGACTTCGTTGGGCTTGAACAGATATTGAACGTACTCCGGGCGAATTTTGCCTTTCTCCAAAAGCAGGTCTGCTGCAGTGTAGTCATTACCGCAAGCCTCTTGGACATAGTCCATGAAGAGGTCAAATTGTCTTTGCGCCTCAGAGCTCAGCCCTCGTTTAATTTCCGTTTCTCCAGCACCCCGGTTATGGTAGACAAAGAGGTAAGGCGACTGCACCTCTCCTGTGTTCCGGTAGTCGCTGTACATGGATCGGAACTCCTTGCCCCTGAGGAAATCTGCGATCACGCCTTTGAGATCTTCGGAAACTGGAAGAATGGTCTCGCTGAATGGTTCTGGCTTGCCATACTTTTTGTTCGGTGACTGCAGCTCGGCCCTTCGTTTGTAGTTCCGGAAAACCACAAACGATATGTCTCTGTTGAGAGCGAGGTACAGCTCGAAGTTAACCAGCGGATCATTGCAGCGCAGATACGGCGCACCCATGTTTCGATGGATGAGCTCAGGGGGGATCGGTATAAATCCCCATCCATGGAGAGCTGGGTCTCAGGCCCGAGTTGTCTGGGCCTGGGGCTGAATTCATCGTCGCTATCGTCCATGATCTCATTGTCACTGGGATAGGTGCTGTCTTTCTCAATCCGGTAAAGGATCTGATACTTCGAGGCTGTGGGTAGAACTGGCTTTCCTTCCAGCTCCCGGACCTTGTCGCGAAGAGCTGCGATTTGGGCCTTGAGGTCATTGGCTTCTGATACAGAGACACTTCCTTGGCTGGGAGGAGTGTACATTTCTGAGCCAACGGGATTCGAGTACTGCGGGTTCATATCGTATGAGTTCACTGAACGTGGACTCGGAATCTGTTGCCTTGCAGGAGTGTAAGGGGCATCGATATGATATGCCGTGGCTTGGGGATACACCGGGGCTTGGGGACATTGACATGGAACAGGACGACCCGGCGCTAAAGGGGCAGACATGTTTTGGTTGTTGACTGCCGATGGCCCGAAAGAAGGGACAGGGATATTAGGCCCGAGTGGCCGTTGGTATGCGCTGCTCTGTGTCGCAGCCATGGCGGCATTTCGCCGGACGACGTTCTGCCGTTCTAACAGCATGAGTTTGAATGAGTAATTCTGGTTGTTTTGGTGTTCTTCCGGAGTATTGGCATTCGGAATGTAAGATGAACCATCAAGAGGAGGAGCTATCCCTGCAAGCGAAGCAGGAATCAATTGCTCTTGTGAGGCGTTTTTGCCGCTCAAATCTTCGGAGATGGTGTTGGTCGTGTACAGCTCGCCACGAGGGTGAACTGGGTTTGAATGGGGATACATGTCCACAGATGACAGAGATGCTTCTGAACATAAACCAAATGGACGATTCTACTGTCCAGAGGAAGTAGGAAACAGACAATAAATAGGCCAAAATGGGGGATACGAGGAGATTCTGATTCTGACCACCCCCGCGTCTTTGAGCCTCTTTGGATTGTCATGTGGTGTGGCTGTGTGCATGTTCATGTTTGATTTTTTCAAGCATGAGTAGCTATATCTTGTGAATGTTGATATCTTCCAGGTTCTCCATGTCTATCAGGTCCCGGGTCATACAGAAAAGTCGGGTGGTGCTTACCCTCTTTCGTGGTTGCCAGCCCTAACATAGGCACTTCACTACCAACACCTAAGCTCTATACTTCATGATTCATCCATCTACTCCATACTCCAATATATTGTTAAGGTCCACACATGTTTCATTCAACACTCATTGGCTCTGGAGGCAAACATGACCTCCAGTAAGAAAGATGCAAATCGACGAAGTCTTTTCAATCTCTTGATCCCAACTAAAATCGTCTTCTCTGGGAAGCCAGACCCATCTCCAACCGACTCTGGGGCAACAGAAAGCCCGGCATCAGAGCCAATTATCCCAGTGCGAAAAGATCGGCTTAGGGCTCGTTTGACCCGCAGTGGCTCCAAGATTCTACTGTTGCTGGGCTTGCGTGGTTCATCCAAGAGTGAGTGGTGGCGTCTTTCATGTTATATCGGACCATTCACTGATTCTCCATCACAGGCAACAAGGAATTTAGTCTCGACAGTGATTACTGCGATTCCGTACAGGCCGGCGACGAAAGTCCAGGTGTCTCGAACCCATCTTCCCCAAGTGAGAATGGCAATGATAGCCCAGAGTATCCGATTGCAGCCGAGTCCCCACGAAGCGAACCGCTACCTACCACTCCTTCACTCAGCATCCCTACCCAAGTGGTTGATACTTATTCTGAACCACTTCCCGACCTACGATCGTCACCCGAGAGTCAGGGTGAATTAGCTGTTGTCAACGACGTGCAGCAACATGCCACAGGCGAGGATCCTCTGCCGACTACCGTCACTGAGCAACCGAGTCTATCCAATTCAAAATTTGTCGATCGCTTCTCGCATAAGATCTCGCTTGCGTTTGGTCAGCCCACTGTCATCCGCCGTGTGCATCTTCGGTCAAGACCGAGTATTCTTCCTCTCAATTCGCCAGTATTGGAAGATTTGAGCAAACAGAGTGATGGTGCCAATGATAGCTCAAACCCGTCAACCAGCCGCAGTAGTGGTGGGTCTCCTGCTCGCGGGCAGTCAACTTCCCTGACTCCGATCACGTCCGGGGGGGCCGTCTCCTTCCTCGGATAAAGGCAAACTGCACGATGGACACGAAACTGCAGTGATGCATTGGCCCTCTCTCTCCGAGATTAATGAAGCTTCCAATGCTCCAGACACCAATGTAATCACAGTATCGCCGTCAATCAAAACTGTCGAAGCGACATCAGTGGCGAAAGTTTACTTGGAACTATACTTCAACTCCATTTTCCACAACAAAGATTCCCGTCAGCAACGTCAGCTCGAGTTGGAGCAGCACATCTATGCATTTGAGCTCACACCCGAGGAGCGATTGATGACAAGACACAACTGGGTCTTGCGCGAGAACGATTATCTTCGACAGTGTCGTGTGCTCAAATCAAACCGATACTGCAGCCAAGCAGAAAACGCCATCTCTGTTGCGGGGTACAAACCTATAAAGGTACTGGGGAAAGGAAGCTTTGGTGTTGTGCGTCTTGTTCGACCGAGTGGTTATGATTCGAAGAGCTCCCAGGAAGACGCCCCTCTGACACTCAATGACAACAATGTCCAAACCAGATCGAATCCTCTTGGAGCTCTGATGTCTGCTGTGGAAGGTGCCAGGCAAAGCCGCCGAAGGTATATGACCAGCGAAAAGAAGGAAGTATATGCCATGAAAGTTATCAGAAAGGCGGAGATGATCCGCAACTCGCAGGAAGGCCATATTCGAGCGGAAAGAGATTTCCTTGTTGCCTCTGAGAGCTCTCGCTGGGTTGTTCCTTTAATCGCCAGCTTCCAAGATGCCAACAATCTATATCTTGTGATGGATTACATGGTTGGTGGTGACTTCTTAGGGTTATTGATCCGCAAAGATACACTCCGCGAGGACTGGGCACGATTTTACGTCGCCGAAATGATATTGTGCATTGAAGAGGCACATCGACTCCGCTGGATTCATCGCGATGTGAAGCCCGATAACTTCCTCATCTCTGCGTCGGGCCATTTGAAGATCTCCGATTTTGGTCTGGCTTTTAACGGGCATTGGTCGCATGATCAAGCTTATTATAACAGTCATCGCTACTCCTTGCTGGAGAAACTTGGTATCGATGTCAAGGGTGATTCCGAAGACCAGAAGATGGCTGCCGAAGCGAAAGAGCTCGCGCCTGATATCAAGTTGCACAGTCTGGATGACCATACTCTTCATCAACCATCCTCGACAAGCTTGTTGGATTGGCGAAACAACAAAGGACGACGGAGATTCGCAAAAAGCGTTGTTGGAACCAGTCAATACATGGCACCTGAGGTCGTTCGCGGTGAAATGTATGACGGACGATGCGACTGGTGGAGCTTGGGTATCATTCTATACGAGGTAGGCCGCTCGACATTCCCGTATCGTGTGTATCAAAGTCTCACGGCGTTTCCAGTGTCTATATGGGTTTACACCCTTTGCCTGTGAAAATCGCCATGATACAAAGATCAAGATCCTCGTGAGTACCTTCTTGGTTCCCTTGTTCCAGTGAACATTTTCTAAAATCCTCAAGCAACACTCAAGAACTCTGCGATTTCCCCGGGAGAAACCCACCGACAAGTTAGTCTCTCAGGAGGCCATGGATCTGATTACCAGGATTCTTCAAGAGCGCGAATATCGCCTGTGCTCTCCAAAGTACCAAGCCAATGATATACTAAATGGACGTCCTGTCTCGACCCAAATGCTCTACTCTATGGACGCGCGGTACAGAAATATCGCGAGCTACTATGTATACCCCAATGATGCAGCAGACATCAAGATTCATCCGTTCTTCCGAGGTATTCGATGGCAAGAACTCCACATGTGCCAACCGCCAGTGGTTCCTAGGGTCAGGAATTGGGAAGATACTAGATATTTTGACGACTGGAAGTTGGCCAGCAACGAGATCGAGAACGTTGCTAGTAGTGACTCGGGGGACCCTGAACAAGATCCTGACGCGATCACCCCTGGTAATCAAGAAATAAGTCCAGCGGAGGACGTTGTTAAGCCGCCGGTTGCTGAGACTACTCCACGCGCAGCACAGGAGCAGGCGAAAGATGCGGAAAAGAAAAAGGAGAAGAAGCGACCCCGTGATAAAATCCTGCGAGACAAACAGATGAGCAAGACTGTCTTGGACATTCGCAAGAAGGGCGCTTTTCTGGGCTATACATACCGGCGACCCGGTGACGTTGCTTTGGCTTTCAGTACAGAACGAGGGCGTCAACCGTATACCAGAGGCCAATTGGCCGGCCTCTATGCACCGTGACTATACAAAGCAAAGTCGTGGAATGGGGAGTTGACACCCTACTCGACTTGGAACAAACCTGTTGACTATCGTTGGATTTCAATTCACACGACAAACCACCGGGTCACACATATCCACATAACCCTCTTGTATAGCGCCTCATTCCCTCATAGGTGACTACCCTCCGTCCTTGGACAGTCTTCCCTCTGCCATCCCTCATGTATCTTTAGGAATGAATATATAATTATGGACAGGAGATGCTAGCCTACTCTGCACAAAAAGTATTGTCATCAGATTGGATACATCCTATTTCCTATGATACTTCATCGAAGATGAGTGTAAACACCCAAAAGGAAACAACGCTGGGAAATTCATACACAAAGCAAAGGGGAAGCGGCTATGTATGGTCTCAAATCACATCTGGTGGGCAGGGAACAGGGGTATCGGAGAGCAAATTCGGGACAGAGAATCTTCTTATAAGGGGTATCAAGTTCGGAGTAGACGGATATAAGGGGGGACGATTGAGGGGATAGATGCGTAAGTCGGCAAAGAAAAAGCGAATCGATTCACAGAACCGGTGCACTCATGGAGAAAGCCGAATCCGTGACACGATCCTCGGGCTTCATAGTACCATTGAGCAGTGGACAGAGCTTCTTGTTTGTCTTGATGTGTCCGACCTGACCGCAGTTGGCACATTTGCGTTGAGTACCAGCAGGCTTGCCGTCCGGATCGCCGGAACGAGGATGCCCTTTTGCTTCTCGCGGGCGAAACGACGCTCCTTGTTGCGGTGGAGACGGCTGAGCTCGGCCTCGATCAACTTCATGTTGCGGGTGTCGAGGTCTGTATCGCCCGTAGGGGTGATATGTTCCAGCTTTGTGTGCATGGCTTCGTTGCGGTGACGGTGTTGGATGTAGTGCCTGATCACTCGGGGATCGAAAACATGTTGTTCCTGGTGCACGATTTCGCCGTTCGCCTGTTTCAACTGGCGGGTGATACGCAACACTTTGCCGCGCTGGCTGTTGAAACTCATTTTGCTGAACTGACTTGTTGTCTCATCGTCACGGCGATATGGCCCAGGTGTCTGTGCTTCAGACCGGGGTGTTGGTTTGTTGAATTGATCCTGGTAGTCGTCTTCTTGGTCGACGTCGCTTTCCTGGTCGGAATGCTCAATGGTGGAAGACAAGCTGCTTTTCTGAGCATCCCAAATCCGACGAATGGATGTTTCGTATGATTTTTGCTGGCGGGCAACATTGTAGCTGTGACCTCCAAGCTCCTTGAGTCGCTGCGCATCCAGCTTATCCTCAACACTTTCACCGATGGCCTTGAACCCACCCTTCATGCTTGTTTTGATGAAGTTATAGCCCTCACCTCGGCCGGTGGGGTCTCCTTCACCATGGAGTTTCAGCATAGCCTTGCCTTGAGAGGCCAACAAAAAGTTGCGAGTTGCCTTCCAGGGAGCCATCTGCTGCTCGAAACTCTCGAGTTCTTCATCTTCTTCGTTGTCGCCGCCAGTCTCGGCATCGTTGCCATAACCAGTGTCGTGGAGGTGCTGTTGTCCAATCTGCATGGATTCCAGAAGACAAACATCTTCGGGCTGAACCCACGAGCGGATTGTGTCTTGGTCAGGGAGAACTGGATCCAGTGGCTTCCAATATTTGGTGTCTTTGTCGTGTTGAAGGAAGTCCTTGACCTTCTGTCGGTTCTGCATATCCGTAGTGTTTGGTATGTGAGCTGTAACATCGCTGATCGCAAGTCGCTCATCCGGGCTCTTTTTCAATAGACGATACACCAACATCTTCATGCGATTCTTCGCAACAGTTGTCACTTTGCGCGAATGTGGCCCAGGGATGTCAACCGATGGGAATTGCTGTCCGGCAACGTAGAAATTTTCGATGTTGCGCAGGTAATAGGTACTGCCATTTTGTCCAGTTGTGTTGCGGACTACGAGGAAGTCCGTAGATTTGGTTTGGTGTGGGAATAAGGGTGCTCGGTACATGGAGTTCGAGATTGCCGGGGAAATTTCGCCGGGGTCAACATGGCCAAAGATTGAGTAGGGGCTCTTGTCCTGGGGTAATAGAACAACAGTTTCGCCAATATCTGCCCTTGGGCGGGTGGGATCGTCAATATTCTTTCGCCGGTAATAATTGATGAAACGGTTGCACATTCCAAAGTTGGCTAGTGTCATAGGCATCTCTTCAGAGTACTCCACCAGCAAGACGTTGGAGTTGTCACCCATGGACAATGACTGTGTCGAATCATAGACAGTTTTCGCATCTTTACCACGCAAATGCTTGCGTTTTAACTGAACGGGGTTCTTGAAGTAAGCCGTTTGCCCAGGCCGGAAAGCCATAGCAGGTCGGTGGAAAGATCTAGCTTCAGCCTTGGCCAACTCAGTCTTGTAGTAGGGCCACTGCAAACGCAGAGCTGGCAGGCCATGCTCAAGTGTCACGTTGCCAAGAGTACTGCGGATCTTGTTCTGATGATTCTGTTTGAGCATGTCGTATGCTTGGTCATTTGAGATGTTGTATCGCTGAGTGAGGCGGCGCGTGAGATTCAGGTCCACTTCATCCCTGGTGCGAGGAGCGGTATGTTTCGGCTTGTTTGCCACGGCATCCGCTCTTAATTCGTCGACAAGAATGTTTGGATCATTGAGATCAATTGTGACTTTCTTTGCGATTTTCATTGTCGCTTGTTCCGGATCATCCAATAGTGGGATATCGATATGTGACAGAGCAATGACATCCATGGGAGTCGGGCCGGTCTTTCGTTTCTTGCTCGGAACCTCGGTTTCCATGAGCCAATCTTCGTCCTCATCCAAGATATGATCTTCTCTTTGTGCCAACGGCTTCTCTTCCGGGTCAATGCTAGAGACATCATCCTTAATGTCCCAGTCCGCACAAATCGTTCGAAGGTCCTGCATGGTGAAGCCACCGGGCAGCACTTCATCCCCGTCCACATCATCCATGTCAATGTCTTCCTTCGTATCTTCCTCCGCCTCTTCTCCGTCCTCTCTGCGGTCCGATTGTGTAATCATTACCAAGCCATGAGTTTCATGGTCAAGGCCACGCTTGAGGGGTTGACCGGTTCTGAATGCACGTTCATGATCAGCCGCCAGCTCAATGTTCACTTTCGTAGGCAAGACAGGCTTAGGTGGCTTGGCCGGCTGTTTTCCAATGAAGATGGCCTTCTTGTGAGGGATCAACTCGAGCCAACGCGGAAGAGTGTTGCGGTCGAACGAGGGAAATAGGGACTGCAAAAGCTCTTCGTGGTTCTCAGGCGGTGCAGGTGGGTTTTCAACACCTGACATGGCGAACAACTGCTGCTGAAGTTTCCATGCGCGGAGTTCGACAGGATTCATGTCTTCCGACAGAATACTGTCATCATCCGGGAATTCATCTTCGCCCATAATGGGTGGCTCTGGCTGCGGCGCCGGGGCTGACGGGATGGACGGTAGGTCAACGGGTGCACCTGTTAAAGGCATTTCTTCGTCTTCGAAAAGGCCACGAGTAGAATCATCCTGTCCAGCAGGTGGCGGCGAAAAAGAACCTTCGCCAAACAGATCATCGAGGTTGTCATCCTGGGCCTGAGCCCCCTCTCCTGGGTCACCGAAGAGATCATCTCCATTTCCGAAAAGAGCGGCGTCGTCTGAGCCCAAGTTCGCGAAAGAATCTTGATTATCATTCACTGCAGGCAGGGCTGGGGCTGGGCGTGTAATGACCTCTTCTTCCGGAAGTTCATCGTCGTCGAAGTCCTCGTAGTCGATTGCATCGTCGGCTTTTTCACCAACTTCCAACTCACGCGACAAGAAATCCAGAGAGGGGCCTGTATCTTCGTAGTTGTTCAGTTGTCGCATCACATCGTCGAAATCAGTATCCTCCTCGCCCTCCGGGGCTTTCGGTGTTGCGTGAGGCATGATGGGCAAATACGCTCGTGTTCAAAGTCAGAGAAGTGTTGTAAATGAAGAAAGCGTTAGATTCAACAAGTTGGTGAGAGAAATCGCAGGATAAGAATGTAAGCGCGAGCCGGACAAGGCGACAACGCGATTCAGAATATGCACATCTGGGTATTAGGCGAGTCTGCAATCTGGGCGTGGGTTTTTTGCCGTGGCTCGGGTCGCGCAGAAGAGAGGAGAAAGAGGAGGGGCGTGGCGGACAGGTGGTTGTAGAGAGAAAATGGGTTTCCAGGATAATGAGCAAGGGACGGGTCACGCTAACCCGATATGGCAATCAGCTAGATGCCTGAATTCAATGGAAAAGGCTCAATAGACACATTAATTACGACTATGAAGAAGAATAGAAGGCAAAAAATAGAAAAAATAGAAAAAATACATTGTTGATAGTAAAAATACATTGAATGAAATTATTGTCAGATGAATAGCAACCATAAGTCATGACACATTGAAATCCCCATAGAAAATACACAACGCCTTGCTTGCACCCTCCATACAATAGTGCATTACTGTAGCCTTGCCACCGTCAGGGACCAGCTTTGCAATCTGTTTCAAGTCAGAGGTCCTTGGAATGTAAAGAACCATGTGTTTGCTGAATACTGAGTATTCATCGTACAATCTTTGGAGGGAATATGGCTCCATGGTCTTCAGGTTGAATACCTGGTCTGAACGATATCCGGGCCCTGTTATAATTTAGTTCATGCCACAGAAGCAATGATTTGGTGACACTTACCTCCCCAGGGAGGGCTAGCAAAGACGACACTGTACGGCGCCAATTCTTTAAGTTGGTTCTTAAGAATCTCGAAGCAATCGCCTTCGAACCAAGTGATCTTGTCCTCCACCCCATAGATTTTCGCATTATGTTTTGCGCACTTTAGGACAGCAGAGTTTTTTTCAATCGCGTAGATTCGTTTCCATTTTCCGGTCAAGGCAAATGCGATGGTGTTTCCGCCTGCGCCAGCGAAGGCATCCACGAGAATACTGCGCCCAGCAGGTGCTGATTCGGCAATTTGTGAAGCTATTTTGCTAATGAAAGTTAGCAGGCAGTCTAAAATAGTAGCGAAGGTCACAAACTTGGCAACTGGTTCTGGCGTGACGCCAAACCAAGCATCATCGGTCAACCATACACCATCGTCGTACTTGGAGAAAATCCGGTAGCGCTGTGCCCAGTAGCTGGTAATTGGATTAGCATTGGTATTTTTCAAGAACAATCACACTTACTTCTGAATGTCCCAGGGCACTTCTCGCAGACTGCTGTAGTGATGCACCTCTGGAGGCGCGTCTTCGTCTGCCATGATGCGATAAAGCGAAATGATCAATCCATTCTCGATAACTGATAAAGATGGGTGGTGTTTGCATGGTTTGCACCTGCGCATCTGGCCAGCTCGCACGAGGTAAACACACCTAACTACAGCTTCCCTACTCAGCCTCATTCGATCAACTCTCGCAATCTTTATTATAATAGAGAATTATGTTCGGCGCGTTAAATCGCTTCATCGGCCGGCTAGACGGGGAGCCTGGCCAACAGCCTCGTAACGGCCCCAGTGACAACGCATTCGGTTTCCAGGTCCTCCGCAACAAAGACCCAGAGCTTCCTCTAGAGCCATGGTTTGACTTTATCGTGGGAATCAACGGTCATACAATTGTGAGTATATGTGATTATTTCTACTCCTGGCCATTATAGCTTCGCTCACACTGACATACAGGAAGATCCGGACCCGAACCTCTTTGCGACAGAATGCCGAAATTGCGCTGGGGGAACCTTGACACTTGAAGTTTGGAGTGCGAAGGTAAGGATACAGAAATGGTACCTCTGGATTCCAGCTAACTGTATATCCTATCAGGGTCAACGAACACACACAATCACTCATCCTATACCGTCAACAAACCCCTCCCTCGGCCTCGCGCTGCAGCTTGCCCCCCTCTCCTCTACGCAAAACATCTGGCATGTTATTGCAATCCCATCACCGCTCAGCCCCGCATACCGAGCCGGGTTACTTCCTTACTCAGACTATATCATCGGAACCCCCAGCGGGACGTTAAGAGGGGAGTCGGCACTAGGGGAGTTGGTTGAGGATCATCTAAATCGTACTCTGGTTCTGTGGGTTTACAATAGTGAATTCGATGTGGTTCGCGAGGTTGAGCTGGTTCCTACAAGGGGCTGGGGTGGCGAAGGCGCCCTTGGTGCAGAATTGGGATTCGGTGCTCTTCACCGACTACCCATTGGACTTGGAGAAGAGGTTGAGGGACCTGGGGAGGTTGTATTCGAGACACGTGAGGATGGCACTGCTTCCCCAGTGAGCGGCCCTGCAAGCGCTGCCCCGGGCATGGCAGCTCCATCGAGCAACTTCCTAGTCCCAGCAAATATCGCATCGCCGCCGCCCCTGGCCTCCGCTCAAACAAGAGGTGCTTCGCCATTAGAGAGCAGATCGTCCGGTCGTCGTGCAGGGAGATCACGGCCAGTGGCATCGCCCAACAGAGCCTTTGATGATTACTTTGCAGAGGGCGAGGAGAAAAGTCGGGAGCAAGACTATGCGCCCTCACGGCATGGAACTCCTCTACCTCCGCCGCCGAAGGTAGGAGGCCAGTCCTCTCACTCGGAAAGCCCTGCGCCGGAAGGATCGCCAGGACCGACGCAGGAAGAATGAAGGAATGATTTAGAAATCAGAAATCAACTTTAACGTAGCGTATGACGAAATCGAATTATGTCGATCATCGCAAAGCTTCCTGTTCCTAATTGCACACATAGAGGCTTCTCCAGATCGCCTACTTTATGATTGAACGATTCAAACAAAAGGAATCAATCCGGTTATGTCTTCGGATCTACGAGTTCTAAGCGTACATATGCAACAAATAAATCCGCTCTATAGCCCCAAACAGACGGGCTATATTTAGTGGCCCTTGCTCACCAGCTCTTCCAACTTCTTCCGGGTGTCACCAATCTTCTCCTCCATCATCTGGCGCGCCATTCCGCTGTGCGCAATGCCGGTGTACCAGATGTGCTCTGCACGCTCACGGATAGCCAAGTGCTGCTCCGCAACGGCAGGGACCTTCTTCTCGTACTCCCAAACCAAGTCCCCGACATTCCGCATCGTCACGGGCAGGAGGGCGTAGGCGGCAGCAGTACCGAAGGCGAGCGGCGATGCAGTGCGGAGGAAGATGCCACGGTTACGCGAGACAATCGAGCCGGCCATGGCGGTCACGACAACGTAGACACCGCCGGGCAAAAGACGCTCGCCGGACTCGGCAGAAGGTGCGAGCGAGGCAACGGTGTTGGTAAAGCAGTTTTCGATGTTGAGGGCCCGAGAGAGGAAGTTGTTGAAGCCCTGCTCTGCGGCAAGGGAGTGTGAGTAGAGGAAGAGGCGAGCTTGTCGGACCTGAGCGGTCAGGATGTCTGTCGGAGTGGGCGAAGAGGGGGCTGTTTGCGCAGCTGGCGCGGAGACCAACTTAGGAGCGGCAGGCGCAGCAAGCTGAGAGGGTTTGGAGGGTTCAGGAATGTCGGCTGGGAAGTCATCGTAGATAGGTTTCCGCTATATTAGGGAAGCAGTCGTGTGTCAGACCAAGCCTTTCAGACTTTCAATAGAGCTGGGGACAGATATGATCATACATTGTCTCGGGGCTCTTCTGCGAATGCAGTCTTCTTCGGGTACAGAGCAATACCTCCCGCGAGGAGAGTGGCTGCGATCGGAGCCACAGCCCGCTAGTCACGAGTCAGCATGGACAGGACATTTGGGAATCAATTGAATCCAACTCGAAAGGACGCAATTATAAAAAGGCATACCTGGTGCAACATTGGCCGGAATGACATCCTGAGGGTGTGGGGGAGGAGAACGGGAGGGTAGCTGGTAGTGAGGATGAAGCAAAGTCGTGTTGGAGCAGGACGGGAATTCTTCGGCTCGGCGGAACCTCCAGAAAACTCCGTCATTGCCCGTTCTCCTTGACTCTATGTTCCTTTCAATAGGGGATTTGCGGATTTACAGTCTCCAATGGTTTTAATCTGCTTTTGATACAGTATCTACAATGCTTCGCCCTTTGCGACGAACATGGACATGTCGCAAATGCCTCCACCTGCGGCCCCAATATCGAGCCTTCGAGAGTGCCGCATCTTCTCCGTCAACGCCGTTTGAGTACATTCCAGCAGATAACAGTGCACCAAGGAAGAAGACCGATGACCATACTCTGCGCCGCGTTTTTGATTCCCAACCGTTCTGGAATGAGTTCTCCCAGCAGCGCACCAGCACAGTCCCAAGGCGAGCTGGATTGGTCCAAAACCAGTACCTGACAAGTCCTGAGGGCTTCAGGACATTCGCAAATATCTCGCTACAGAGATGCCAGGCTATCGTAGCCAAGGTACTTGCTGCCTCGACGGTTGAAGAATACAGGGCCCTAGCACGAGACCTCGACCAGCTGAGCGATCTCCTGTGTCGCGTCATCGATCTGTCCGACTTCATTCGAACCATCCACCCCGATCCGCGGATACAAGAAGCAGCCACGCAGGCGTGGGCTCTAATGTTTGAATATATGAATGTTTTGAACACAACAACAGGGCTTCATGAACAGCTCAATAAGGCCTTGAACAACCCCGACGTGACATCGTACTGGACCGAGGCAGAACGGATCGTGGCACAAATCCTTAACAAAGATTTTTCGAACTCTGCAATTCATATGCCACCAAATGTGAGGCAGAGGTTTGTAAATCTCTCCAATGATGTGAGCCAGTTGGGTTCCGATTTCATGAACGGCGCGGAACCTGCAAGGTCCCAGGTGGTCTTTGGTGCCAACAGTCTCCAAGGATTGGACCCTATGGTTATCTCCAAAATCAAGCGGTGGAATAAGAAAGCGCCAGTTCCGACTATGGGAATTGTTCCTCGACTTGCTCTACGCTCGGTGCATGATGAAGAAGTTCGCAAAGACATCTATCTCGCCACCCGAACATCCAGCAAGCGCCAAATCCAAAGATTGGAGGAACTTCTAGCGAAGAGGGCAGAGTTGGCACAACTTACGGGCTACAATAGCTTTGCGCACATGACTCTCAGCGACAAAATGGCCAAGACACCCGAAGCAGTATCAAACTTCCTGACTTCGCTCGTGTCAAGCAACCAAGGTCCAGTCCGGGAAGAACTATCCAAGCTGCAGGGCTTGAAGGGAGACTCCGCCCTACGGCCCTGGGACCATGCATACTATGTTCACAAGCGCGTCCTAGCGTATTCGCAAGCTCGGCGCTCTCGTCACATGGGTGTTATCAACGAGTTCTTTTCTTTGGGCACGGTGATGCAAGGTCTCTCTCGACTCTTTGACCGTTTGTACGGTGTCCGTCTAGTCCCTCATGAAGCATCTCCCGGCGAGACTTGGCATCCAGACGTTCGTCGATTGGATGTAGTGGATGAATCGGAGAATCATATTGCAGTCGTCTACTGTGACTTGTTTACGCGGCCGAGCAAACACCCGAATCCGGCTCACTTTACTCTGCGCTGCTCGCGCGAAATCTCTCCAGAGGAGATCGCCGAGTGTGCCTCTATGAACCAATCTGCGCACCCGAATGACGGCATGGCCACTGGTGTAGATCCGCAAACTAACACTCTGCGCCAACTCCCAACCATTGCCCTCGTGTGTGATTTCCAGGAACCTCAGGCCAATGGCACCGGCCAGCCAACTCTCTTGAATGAGCAGAGTGTTCGCACCTTGTTCCACGAAATGGGCCACGCCGTTCATTCCATCCTAGGCCAAACCCCTCTGCAATCTATCTCTGGTACTCGGTGCGCGACGGACTTCGCCGAACTTCCCTCCGTGTTGATGGAGAGCTTTGCGACTGCGCCGGAGGTGCTGCGCCTCTACGCGCGACACTGGAAGACCGACGAACCTCTGTCTGAGAGCATGATGCAGAGCATGGAGCTAGACCGTACTGCGCATGGGTCTATCTATGGTGCCGTTGAGAATGAAGCACAGATCCTCATGGCGCTCGTTGATCAGGCGTATCACTCGATTCCAGCCGAAATCAGCTCAGCTGGCATTGATTCCACCGACATCTATCACCGAGTCTTTTCTGAGTATTCCAGTCTGCCTGACCCAGACAATGTCCAACCGCGTACCTCTTGGCAGGGCTTTTTCGGCCACTTGTACGGCTACGGTGCCACGTACTACAGCTACATCTTTGACCGCGCGATCGCAAACAAACTCTGGCAGGACGTGTTCCAGTCTGGTCAAGCGGCAACCGATCGTGCCGCCGGCGAGCGATACAAGAACGAAGTTCTCCGCTGGGGTGGTGGCCGCAATGGCTGGCAATGTGTGGCTGGTGTCCTGGGAAGCAGCAATCCCTCTAATACCAACGGCCGACTGGCTGAAGGTGGCGATGAGGCCATGCGTGAGGTTGGTCGCTGGGGCCTCGGGCGGGAAGGCGTGTCTGGATAATGTGACACGAGTGTAACTTTAGTTGCCTTTCGATACATCTATACCTGCCTAAACGGGCTTTTGTAAAATAAACATAGCTTCATGATACGATTGGGTCTTCTGACCTTTTTCAATTAAACTCTTGAGGCTTTGGACTGGATTCACCGTGGACAAATGATTCTCAGCATCGAATACGTTCAGCCGCACAGACATTCTGGGCCACATGTGGATATATCCAATAGGAGCCTAGTTCAACGTTGGATGCGATGTCCGAGACTAGGCTACTGCTAGGTACGGTGTACTACATAGCGCCACCGTTGTTGGCAGATGGTGGGGTGATTGGAATGTCTCACTGTCCCTTTGTTTGGGGTCTTACTAGATTGCAACCTCATTTATTATGCTTGAGAGGTCTTCAGACAAATGCAATTACTAAATAGACGACAGGGTGTTCAGTATAGGACTAGGCAATCGAATTAGTATGACTTCCATAACCACCACCAGCCTAATTGTTTTTTTCCTGGTCCAAGTGCCTCTGACGTCCACTCACTTTCGCTGTGCATGGTGGCTTGCTTAGCGGTAGCCCTACCCCAATAACAGGCAAAGTTACGAACTGGTCTTGCAGGTATATTGCCGAGGAAAGGCACATGCTCTTTGTGTATATTTACAGGGCTTAGGTAGTATCGCACGGTATAGTAGAATGATCTTAGATCATCTGGGCATTTATGTAGAGTGTTTGGATAAAAATTTCAATATTACTTTTTTATTGAGAAGCAAAAACATATCTAACGACGGCTGCATGATTCGAACATGCGCCCGCGAACGGAATTGATTTCTAGTCAATCGCCTTCAGACCACTCGGCCAAACCGCCGTATAGGTTGAGTTCTGTATTCACTTTAAGAAATATGAAGAGTTCTGCTGTAAACTACAATAAACAAGAGAGCTGAACCCGTGCCCAACGGTCCGGGGCTGAGGGAGTGAGGGCCCGCAGGAGTGGCTGCGTTGCGTCGCGTGGGGACAGGTGTGGGGGGTCCTACCACGAGGGTCACCGAAAGCCTCACTCCATCTGTTAGACAACATACCACCTGCGGCACTACTCGCCCAAGGTAAAGGTAGTATTCTAAGTAACTGATTTTCCCTGGACAATACATATGTACTTTAATGGAAGATCCCACCACATAGAAACAGTATTAACCAGTCTTAGGCACCTAGGCCTTCTTATCTTCTTCTTCTTATTATACCAATCAGCTTGCAATAAGTACGAAGTACCATGCACTTTACGAGAACTCACCGCTCTCTCTTGCTCGTATGGGATATTGCAATTTCAACCTTTCATTCGACCCCTGCTCAACTAAACTGAATACCGTTACGAGAAATTATTTTCCCCAGACCTCCTACCTTCTTCTCTCAAACCTCGCCATTTATACCAGTCTATTTATTCAAAATGCCTAATGTCCTCATCGTCAATGACAATGCTTCTTTCGCTTCCAGTGACACCTTCTCTACTCAAGATTCGATAGAGCAACCACGACATTCGCTCCGTCGAAGAAACACAGTCTCCCAACTTACAAGGAGGGTTTCTAAGAGAATATCCCAAACAATACTCAGGGCCAGAGTTCAAGAACATGCGCTAAGCGAAAAGAACCTCAAAGACCTCAACGATGCAACAGATATCAATCCACACAACTTATGCTCGCCCGCTCATCAGCCTCGTGAGGTTAAAATATACAACAGTATTCACGAAAAAATTGAGGAGGAATGCCCTATTCTTAGCGTGGAAGAAGCGAGAGAGACACGCCTTCATCAGTCGTATGCAACCTTCTGTGAAAACTTTACGCTGTCGGGAACAACAAGTACGAGGAGGAGGTTTGACTTATCAATGGGGACGGAGTGGGCAGAGGAGCATACACAATCCTCACACACGGATCTGACTCTCGAAAATGACACACCTGCATTTTCGGGTTCTCATGCATGTCCTAAGCATATAACGGTCCATTCAAAGCCCAGACCAAGTACAGTCGTGTTCCCAATATCGTGTCCATCTACGGACCTCGACGATACACCCATACCACCCTCAGCAGCTACCGAGAAGCCCTCTTCAGAATTACCGGCGACAGGCACATCAAAGGTTGAGGAAGACTTGAACAAGATCAGTTCTGAGATAGCGCCGAAATCTAACTACCCCCAACCGCCGCCTCACATCATCACCCCAACTGTGTGGATGGACATGCAGCGCGACAAGCAAGAACGCAAAGCAGCTCGACGGCAGAAACTGTTAAGTCCGTTTCGGTCGTGGTTTATGACAAGCCAGCCCTCGTGGGGACGGAGACATGAAGTCGTCGAATAACGGGTTCGAACATCGGGTTCTCCTGTGAGGCAAAGCAAAGCATGTCTGAGATATTGGGTGGCTTTTGAGTCTGCCGGTTGTATTTTAAATGAAATAATATCTTAACCAGACAATTCATACTTGCTTTTTTGCCTTGAAACGTGTTATCACATGTCTGGACCCCACATGGATCTCACATTGTCTTCCAAGCGCCCAGCTTTCAACGCCATATGCGCCAATATTGAAAATGGCCAGCTACTTGAATCTTTACGTATCTTGACATGGTGAGGCTTATCATTGTATAGTATAAGATGTGATGTGGTAATCCCCTCATCTTTAATACCAGTCTGCAGAAGCCATAAACTTCTAGGAGGCAGAGTAAATGAGCTATCTACATACCTACCTAGGTAATCATATTTCTTAAGTCATTCGTCATGGTTGCCCTGAACGAGGTGTCTCGGGTATAAACGAAACATGTACTCTGCAAGTCGTTGGTGCAGTTCATCAGTGCTAACACACAACACTATAAGATAAGACAGGCGCAATCACGCTGTTCAGGAACCTGACCTTTGTATGCCACCGTCTAAGAACCCTGAAAGAATTTGAGACATTTCACCATTCACTACCGCATGCTGGACTCTATAGCCAACCCGAGATCATACGACGGCAGTTGCGGTGGTCTGTTTCACGACGCGGGTTTTACCGCCTATAGCACATGTGCAGAGCAAGCTGGTTAAATTATGTAACTGTATGGGGTACCATTCCTTCCAGGACACGGGGAGGAAAAAGGAAAAGAAAACGGCGAGAAGACTACATAGTAGTCAGCGCTGAAACACATTTTTACGCAGGCCCAATCCGTGACACCAACGGCTATCTCCTAGTCTATGTCTCGGAGAGGAATATGGACTTCCGGGTGCCAATAAGGCTGTCAATGGTTGAATCATATCCCTCTTGCGTTGGGTCTTGTTTCTTATAACCTCTGCCCCAATAATCTGAAAAGGAGTACCGTTTCGGAACTAGCATATGAAATGCTTATAGGTCCTTTCTTTAGAACGCAATCTCCAGGTGGATATAAAGGTCTAAATGATATGGATATCACCAAGGGAATACCCTACTTCGCTAGTATCAGGGCACGAGGAAAAACAAATATAAAGTATCTGTCAAGTGAAATAATAAAATCTGAAGTTCTTCATCCCGACCGTTTTGTAATAGATTCTTTTCTCTCTGAATATAAGTGTAATTTCTCAGCTGCTACTTGGAGGGAGACAGGGATATATATCTTTGCCGTGATGTTGAGCCTCCTACCAAATCTATTATTCCTTGGCCCTATAATGTTTGATTGCCCCCAGAAACCAAGTCCGCTTACCATCGACTCATTGGAAATAATAGGAAGACTTGTCTATGAGGGAAACCATGGATGTTGGATGTCACATTTCCAAGCCGAGGCCCTGGCCAACCATATGGTTAGCTAGTACCTTTCTATTGTTCGAGCAAGAGATAGAATGTGTATGTCTGCTTTCCAGTTGTATGAGTACCTAATAAAGACCTGATTTCCTTATCATCATCAAGGTCCTAATCCGTCAGGCCCAAGCAGACAGTCGTATATATACTTTCAATAGGTATGTGACAAACATTGAAGACAACCAAGGGCCTCCCATGGATGAGAAACACCCCCCTTGGTAAAAAAGGGTATATTTGAAATTGGCTGAAATAAAATTTCTGCTTATTTTGACAAAAGATTTAGAAGTCTATATTCCGAGAAGATGTAAAACCAAAAACCAAAAAAATTGGACTCGCGGGGAATCGAACCCCGGACCACTCCCATGCTAAGGGAGTATTATACCACTAAACCACAAGCCCAGTTGAATGGAAGATGTCAGCGTTTAATGATATATGAACGAAAGCAGACCTACAGCAGGGATGTCACGGAATGTGGTGCACCCACGAAATACGTCCATGGTTAGATACAGGTTACGACATTCCATACTCCCCGACTATCAAAATTATTACATAGTAACTGGTGTGTCCAGTAGACTACAATCCCAAGCCAAGCGCTCATATGGCACCCATGAATATTAAACCGAAACAGCGACATCGCGAAGGTGTGATGCAAGGACCGAGTCCAGCGTTGCAGCTTTAGACCATCTTCAAGGATAAAACAAAGATTCACAATCTGCAAAGTAGGATCTTTCTATGGTATACGCACTGGCTGACCCAAAGGCATATATGAGAATGTGTGAGATGAGTATGTACATGGGGCAGGAAGGCACAGCTTTACAAACAGGCTCTCCGCAAAAGACCAGACATGTCTCAATTCCCTGTTGGACGGGGTGAAAATACTCAGGAAAGGGGTATGAAGGAATAGGAAAATCGCATAAGAAAAGAAAAGGGACCGTACCTGCCGAGTCGCTGAAACTGACAGACGAAGCATGGGTGAAACACATACCCGAAGGCCAAGGGGGAAAAGAGGCGCGCTGCGTGCAAATAATGACTGATATGTCGATTCCTGTCATGAGCTGTTTCCAAACCGGTTCGCAAACCAATTCGCAAATCCCCCTCCACTGCTATTCTCACCCCGGCTGAGCCGTCGGTTGCTAGATTCTCCTCCCTCTGGCGTTGGGGACCGGCGCGGTGAAATCCGCGGGGAGAGTCGAGACTGAAATGAAGATAACGAGGATCGACCGCTGCGCATAGTGCGAGAAGAACTGTGACGCCGGTCGGATCTCGGCTGCTCAGGACTATCCTGGATCACCACCGGATTCTCAGAGGTGCCTTCCCCGGCTCTGTGGAATATGCCGTTAGCTGAAAGTTCTCGGGTTGTGCATACAACTCATATAGACTTACTCTGTATTTGCATTGATGCTGCGCCGGCAATGCGGACAAGTGTTATGTTGAGTCAGCCATGCATGGATGCAGTTGAAATGAAACCAATGCGTGCATGGTAACACAGTGACTTCCAAACCGAGTTCAACGTTATCCATGCAAATCGAGCACACTGCTTTTCCTTCAGATCCCATCATATCTTCATTAACCTTCTTCTTCGGCAAAGCTTGGATAGCAGCATCAGATGCTGGCGGTGCCGCAGTGCTTGTCCCAGTATTCTCAACCAGTTCTGTGATGACTCGGTCAAGCTCCTCCTGTGAATATACTGCATCTCCACTTCGAGTCATATTGAGAATGGCAGACAATATTGAAAGAGCATGGGGGCTTGCCGGGCCGCCACGATTTCCCCGTGCACGTCGCATAGTTTGTACCCCGATGTCAGCGCGAACGGCGTCCATGATTCTAGATCCGGATTAGTCTGCTAACAATCACAACAGTAGAGCGCTCACATACTCATTTATGTTGATACGTTGCGGCCCATCTCCATTGCGGGGAGATAGGCCTGGATGACCGCCGGTGAGGTGCTCGTCCTCTAGCCAGTCGGGTGACGTAGAGGACTGAGGATGGAAGGGGTCGTCTCCAAATCCCCTGTACCCACGAGGGTTTGGCTCCATTAAACTTTGTAAAAGAGTGTCGAAGCTTTGTATCATCATCGGAACCATAGGGTTCGGGCCATTGTTGCGCTGACCAGAAGGCATCCCAGTATCAAGTGTCGCACTGCTGAATGAGAAACGGCCGTTGGGCGATCGATATGTGTGTATGGAGGAGAATGGCGGAGTGCCGCTTCCAGGAAGCCCAGGGCTTTGCCGTTCTTGCGATTCTTGTGGTTCTCGTTCCCATGGATTGTGGTCTACCCACGGGTTGACGCGTGGAGGCGACGAGGAGGCAGCTCGGTGTGAGGGTGAACCTTCAGAAGGCGGTTCTGGGGGAATTTCAATCTAGAGTGAGAGGCATTGTTAGAGTTGAAAAAACCAAGAGAGAAAGCATGCGCTGTACTATTTCTGTGAACTCGGATTGACAATGTGGGCATGTCAAATCACCATCCCTTATCCAAACCCCGCCACAGGCATGGCATAACATGCGGTCGCCGTTATCCATGTCGCAATACAGACTGATAATCAAAGAGTTAAGAGATGTTGTACAACACAAATGTTAGGATTGAAGCTGATAGAATGGATAAGCACCAGAACAGTCACGAGGCATGGCCTTATCTGCGGGGAGTGATCACAGTTGGGTAGATGACCATAATTTATTGGACAAGAAGAGAACAGGAAGGGACGGGGGTAATGTATCACAAATGATGGTAAGCCAACATGTTAGAACAAAGAATGATTGGAGTGATTAAGTGAGTGAGTGAGCCTTGAGAGGCTCTGGGGCTCTAAAGGTCGGCAAGAGGCAATGACGTTGATCGCCAATCGCCCCCATCTCAAAAAAGGCAAAGGGAACAACACCCGAAACTACATGGATGAAACAAAGAACCATGTTTCATGACAAGATTAGATGACCATCAGTTTTATTTCCTCTTATTTCTCCCATTTAAAGTCTGCGGTTTCATATCAGAGAGTTTGATGCGACGCAAGGGGAAGGAGGCAAAGGAGGCGAGGTATATATAGCTCATATTATATAAGAAAAAAAAAAAGTTAAAGCCACTTTTTACACTGAAACAGAGATTAAGACTCAACCATATGATCAATTCATAAAGAAACTAGTACAAAGTATATAATAAACAGCAAGAAATGGTCACTTTTTCCATGCAGGGATACAAATTCCTCGCGATCATCTCATCCCTGCCAAATGCAGTGGGGGAGTGAACTGAAAAAAGAGACAGCAATGGATATCACAGGAATGATGCAATTGAACCGGTCACCTCAAACACCCCGATGAAAAGACGGATGGCAATGTCGAGCAGTTTACTTGATCTCGAGAAGCTTGACGTCGAAGATAAGCTTGGAGTTGCCGGGGATACCAGGGAGGGCCTTCTTGCCGTATGCGAGAGAAGGAGGGATGGAGATGCGACGCTCACCACCGACAGCCATGCCGGCGACACCGATGTCCCAACCCTTGATGACCTCGCCCTTTCCGAGCTTGAAGGTGAAAGGCTTGCCCTTCTTGTTGGAGTCGAAAACCTTGCCGTCCTCGAGCTTGCCGATGTAGCGCATAGCGACAGTGTTGCCGCTCTTGGCAGCAACACCCTTTCCAAGCTTCTTGTCGTCAATCTTGACTCCACGGACCTCCTTAACGCCAAGAGTGCCGGTGGGCTTGTCGCCAGAGGGGGGTAGGGCCCTGCTCGAGGTTCTTGGCGAACTGGACCTTCTTGTCGGTCTTGGCCTCCTTCTTGTCATCCTTCTTGTCATCCTTCTTGGCCTCCTTAGGCTCAACAGCGGCGGCATCGCCGTTGTTCTTCTTGAGCTTCTTCTGCTGGGCCTTGGTCAAGGCGGGCTCCTCAGCCTTGGTAGACTTGGCCTTGTTGGCCTTAGCCATGAGATCGTCGAGGCTGGCTTCCTCCTCAGCGGCGCGCTTATTCTTGCCCTTCTTAGCCTCAACAAGCTTAGGAGCCTCCTCCTCGCTCTCAACCTCGGTGATTCTAGGGTCCTCCATATCATCAAGGTCATCGCTCTCATCATCATCCTGCATGGCCATGAGGTCATCCATGTCGAGCTCATCCTCATCGGGAGACAGGTCGTAGTCATCCTCGTCGTCCTCATCATCGTGGTCATGGTCGTGGTCGTGGCTCTCATCGAGACCAATGACGTAGTTACCAGTTAGGAAAACAGTGTGGTTACCAGTGACCTTGAAGAACACAGGCTCACCCTCGCAGACAGTGATATCCAGAGGCTGTTGGTAGTTCTATAGGGATATTAGACGTCGATATCCAACAGATCGTGAAAACAAGAGGGTATTGGTCTTACCTGGCTGGGGCTGAGGGTGCAGACAACGTTCTCATCGAGCTCCAGGCCCTCCTCGGACTCGTTATCCTCATCGTCAAGGGCAGGGCCCTTACCCTTAATGAGCTTGGAGATGGCAGCCTTCAGGTCGAAGTCCTCGTCATTCTCCTCCTCCTCCTCATCATCATCTTCGTCCATGGCATCCTCGAGGTCCTTGAGGGCAGCAGCTGCCTTGAGCTTACGGGCCTTCTCCTTGTCGCTAGGACCGCCGTTGGACTCCTCTTCGTCCTCGGAGTCCTCTTCATCCTCATCACTGTAGTCCTCGTCATCCTCATCATCCTCACCGAGGCCAAGACCGGGAGGAGCGCGAACAATCTTCAGAGTAGAGCGGGGAGGCTTGCTCGAGTCCTGCTCATCCTCGAACTCTGGGGCCTCATCGGGATCGATAGCAGCCATGCTGATGCGGAACTAGATTCAATGTCAGCACGAGCTATTGAATAATTGATGATCACAGTAAGACTAACCGAAGCAGCAGCATTGGGGACTGCTTGCACCATGGCACCGGGAGGAACCCGGAGCGCATAGACTGCGACAGGCTGAACAGCAGACATTGTGAATAATTAGAATAAGTTGACGGAGATGAAAGAAGCTCGAGTTCGAAAGAGAGAATGAACCACGTGGAAAAGGATGTGGATGAAGAAAAGAGAAAAGAAGAAAAGAAAAGATGCTACCAAAGCAACAGATGCGGCAAAAAATTGGAGAAAAAAAAAACTCGATCAATGAGATCAGCGGATCTTTCACCGCTGATGTATTGCCACGAGTCACCGCTTCTGTAAGCTTGGATCCACGTGATGATTCCCGAGCTTCGCGAAGGGCAGCATGACTATTTCTTTTGCCTTCATACTTTCTTATCGGTCATGATGGTCGTTGTAGCCCAAAATGGGCTCCCGTCATGAGATCAACTCTAGTGCAGTGCGCAAACGCATTGAAAATCGTACGTTTAGTCCAAATATCAGTCTCCGCTGTTATCTGACCGTGTCTAGATGACTTCAACGATGAAGAAGGAGAGGAGTACGGGGCCTCCAGCTTCGGCGGGTTTGGAGACTACATGCGCCGGAAAAAAATGAAGTTGCAGAATCTCGATGCGGAAATTCGAGCATCAACTGATGATTGCCCGCCAATATTCCGTGGTGTAGTTGCCCATGTCAATGGGTACACTCAACCTTCCCTGCAAGACCTGCACCGGCTGATTGTCAGCCACGGGGGTGGCTTTCTTCAATACCTAGATGGCAAGACCGCAGCCACTCATATCATTGCCAGTGCCCTGACACCCAAGAAGCGTGAAGAGTTCCGCCGCTACCGCATAGTGAAACCTACGTGGGTGACAGACAGTATCGAAGCAGGACGTCTGCTGCCATGGGATGAATTTAGATTAGTCGATGAAGGCCAGGCACAGCGAGTCCTCAAATTTGATGATGGCCGGTTCATCAGCCAGACGAATAGCCCTCGCCTAGGTTACAAAGACCAATCAAGGTCCAGCTGGTATAGCTCTCAGCTCCGAGATATGAGCAGAAATGAAGAGCGTCTCGGCTCTCCAAAGCCTGTGACCCCGTCTATGCGGTCGAAAGCCTCACCGATGGTCATACCAACCATGCCGAGCCAGACATCCCAGTCAGATTATGGCGACTTCCCTAGCTTCACTATGGAGATAGAGGAGGAAGTCGATGACCCTCGGAATCAACAAAAGACACCGGCCAGTGATGCAGCACAATCTACAACGCCACAGCAAATTCCCAATTCCGATCAAGTGCCCATTTCACCAGATCCATTGGTTGACCTCGAATCAACCTCGCTTCTCGACCAAAAAAGTGCAACAAACACCGTTTTAACCTCCGAAGAATACAACGCACAGCTTCTTTCTGACCCGAGGATGCAGAAGTCCTCTGTTGCCAACCCGGAATTCTTACAGCAGTATTATAGGGAGTCGCGCCTCCATCATCTGTCAACGTGGAAGGCGGAGTTGAAAGCCCAACTGCAGGCCGCAACGAAGGAAAATGCGCAGTCTCAGAGATCGAAAAAGAAACCTGTGCCTGGATCACGACGGTACATTCTACATGTGGACTTCGACTCATTCTTTGCAGCTGTCTCGGTTCTAAATCACCCCGAGCTCCAAGACAAGCCGGTTGCGATCGCCCATGGCCCTGGATCAGGCTCCGAGATTGCTAGTTGTAATTATCCTGCACGTGCTCGAGGCATCAAGAATGGGATGTGGATGAAAGGTGCTTTGCAATTATGCCCAGATCTCAAAGTCTTGCCTTATGATTTCCCCGCCTATGAAGATGCGAGTCGCAAGTTCTACTCCTCGATACTTGCTATAGATGGTACCGTGCAGAGTGTCAGTATCGACGAGGCTTTGATTGATATTACAAATTTATGTTTGGAAGCTGGTGGTTCAGATGGGAAGGCTATATCAGAAGGATCAATATATCGCGAGCAAGCCAAAGCGGATGAAATTGCCCAAGATTTACGCGACTCAATCAAAAAGAAGACCGGATGCGCTGTCTCCGTCGGAATTGGCAACAATATTCTGCTTGCAAAAGTGTCCCTTAGGAGAGCCAAACCTGCTGGACAATTTCAATTAAAGCCAGATGCTGTTCTGGACTTTATTGGAGATCTCACTGTTCGTGATCTTCCTGGAGTGGGCCATAGCATGGCAATTAAACTAGAAGAGCTGAATGTGATGTTCGTCAAAGACATCAGGGACCTCTCGAAAGAAAGATTGATATCTCACCTGGGACCCAAAACTGGAATTAAATTGTGGGAATACGCTCGCGGGATCGACCGAACAGAAGTTGGCGATCAAACCATGAGGAAATCCGTTTCTGCTGAGGTTAACTGGGGAATTCGATTTGTCAGTCAGGAGCAAGCGGATGACTTTGTGCGTGCTCTGTGCGAGGAGCTGAATCGAAGATTGACGGAAAATCTGGTGAAGGGGAAACAGCTCACCCTAAAGGTCATGCGTCGATCGATGGACGCTCCATTGGAACCGGTCAAGCATCTCGGCCATGGAAAGTGTGATACATTCAACAAGAGCGTTGCTCTCGGCGTTGCGACCAATGTAGCAGAAGTCATTGGGAAAGAAGCAATATCTATGTTGAAAAGTTTCAACTTTTCACCTGGAGACCTGAGAGGTCTGGGCGTGCAAATGACCAAACTTGAACCAATCAAGCCTGGCCTTTCAGGCCCCGAGAGCAGCCAGCGACAACTAGACTTTCAGAAGTCTCCACCTCGCAAGAAAATCATTCCAGATGAAGACCCCGACGAGCTGGAGAGTCCGCAGAAAGGTGACTCTGTTCGTATTCAGGCGGATCCAGTACTCAGCGATAGTGCTCACAAGCCGCTCAATATTTCGGGGTCCCAATTTATTATGCCCACTCAAGCAGACCCCAAAATCCTTGCTGAGTTACCCACGGATATCAGATCAAGACTTGTTGCACAAGCAAAGCCGCGTCAGGATTCTCGCTCTGGGTCTCCTTGTCCTCCCCCACGTGAAGCACGACGGCCTACCCAAGCAGACCTTCCCCCGCAGTCCCAGCTGGACCCAGATGCATTGGCGGCATTACCTGAAGATGTCCGGCAAGAAGTATTGGGATATTACAACCACCCAGCCACTAATCCGCCAGTACCAGACTCGCGCCCATCAACATCTAGCTCTCTAAAGCTGAGAAGGCCGGTCTCGCCACCGAAAAAGAGGCGTGGCCGCCCACCTAAGTCGGCAACGATTGCGAACAAACCTAAGCCCAAGCCTCTGAGCCAATCAAGCTTTGGGTTTGCTCTTCCACGCCCAGCGGCCGTATCTGCTAGTTTGGATGAAGAGGTGTTGTCTCAGACAAGCGTCACCAAACGTCGAGGAGCCAGCCGAAGCTTCAGCGGAATTCCTCGCTGCTCTACCTGAAGATATCAGACAAGAACTCCTTGAAGAACAAAAGCGCTCCCGCATGCAACAGCAATCACGAACTACTGAACCTGCACAAAGACCTCCATCTCGGGCACAAGAGGCTCCTCCTTCTGCACCAATTACTGTAGAGAAACTTCTACCTCTACCCCCTCTCCCCAGGCGTCCTGTCTTTACATCACAGCGGCTGTCTCAATTGCCAGATTTGCGAGATGCTGTTGGCTCATGGCATGAAGTCTTTGCAGCCGATGGCCCGTACAGCGAAGATGTTACTTCGTTATGTAAATATCTGTCCAGTGTGACATTGCAAGAGAAGGATGTGGACAAAGCTGTGTCAGTGGTCCGCTGGTTGATGTGGTTGGTCGATGATCATTCGCAGCAGCAGGTGTCTAAAGAGCCACAAGGATCTCGGCCAGAGGGAACTATAAGCTGGGAAGAGGCTATAGAGACCATGCAGTACAGTATTCAGGTCGCTCTGGAGCAGAGAGACCTTCCCCTGTGGACTTTTCGTAAATGATACCCAAATGTTAAGCATATATCGTTGACTGTATATAACTAAATGAGCCTAAAAATACATCAAGTACAAGTGCTGGAAGATGCCCATGCCCTTGAAGAAGGCAAAAAAATAAAATAAAATAAAATAAAAAGCAAAACAAAAGAGACGGAAGAAATAAAGTATCGAGGGCGGAAGATGAGATCGATCCAAGTGGAGTCGTCCACGGGTGGCCCCACATCTCCCAATCTCCGATCCCCTGTCTTTTACCCCGTATCTTCACTCTTTTTACACAACAAACCCATCATGGCGCCTGTCACCAACGGTCAATTCTCCTTCAATGTCGACACATTCTATGTTGCCACGTCGGGAGGACAGATCCACCGCCGTGCCGCACCAGCTGAGATAAAAAGCCCTTTACGATACCTCGACTACAGACAAGAGTACACCAGACCACCCAGGCCATTGGTATGAAGCACAGCTCCTTCACTATGGCCTCCCACCGTCAAAAGTCAAGGCGACTGCTAAGATGAGGCTCTTGAAAGCTGTGCAAGACGGGGGCCTGACTGTACCCAAGGAGAGCCTACAGATCGAAAAGATCTGAAGAAGGAATGGAAGAAGCAAGATTCGGAAGAACAACCTCAGGCCAATACCAAGACCACAACGACGAAGACTGTCACCACCAAGACTGTCACAGTTTCTAAGACTGTTGCGTCCAAAACCACAGAGAGCAAGACCACTGCATCCAAAACCGCGGCCAAACCTGTAGCGACCAAGGCTGCTGTCTAACCCGCGGCTACCAAAACTGTTACACCCAAGGCTGCTCCATCCAAGAAAGATACCGCGCCCAATACCGTCGCCTCCAAAGCCACTGCTGCTAAAACTGCAGCGGCCAAGCCTGCGGCCAAACCTACCACGACCAAGGCTGCTCCTAAAGCCGCGGCCAAACCTGCTACGGTTAAGGCGGCTGCTAAAACTGCTGCTGCCAAGCCTGCTACACATAAGGCAGCTCCCAAGAAGGCCACGGCACCCAAGACCGCTACCGCCAAAGCCACGCCAGCCAAGAGTGCTACGCCTCAAACTGCCCCAGCCAAGAGAAAGAGGGCCTCGAATGACGAGGAAACACCCAATCAAGTACAGACCGCCAAACGCCGCGTGTATGGCAAAAAGGCACAAGGTAACACGGATGTGCCCACAAATAGCCACTCCGAGCCGAGCGGATGGTCTGAGCAGCCTGAGTATCAGGACGCGCCTCCATCGTACGAATTTGCCTGCAGAATGGTAAATATCTTCCCCCTCATTTGCAGACGCAAAGTATGTTTATCTAACTTGCCTGACCAGGACGGAGAACATCCTTACGATGCTTTAGACGACCAAATGGACATTGACTATGAGATCGAGTCTGAAGCATACTCAGACCCACCATCTCCACCCCGAACCCTGAAAAATACCCTGGGTCTACTCAATGGGACGTACCAAGTTCGTTCCTCGCATATCGAACACAGCTGGCCGCACGCTATGCCGCCTGAAGGGATCGCGCTGTCTCTCCGCCTTAACGGAAACGAGATTTGGGGGGCATATGAGTTCGGGGCGTTTGAGGGTGTACTGTGGATGCCGGAACGACCTATGAGGGCCTCCTTTGACAGAGTTCCGTTTAAGTGGCGTGGACGGGAGACCGGTGAGGGTGAAATGAGCTTTGAAGATGACCAGGAAGGTTGGATTGAGTTTTTGGGCGATGGTGATATTGTTGGAATGATCAACTGCTGTGGAGAGCTCCATTTCCGAGGGCAACGGATCGACAGTTTTGTCCGGACAGCCAGTGATCTGCGTGACGAATGGGAGGGATACAATGAAGAGCAATATGAACAAGAGAGGAGGGGCCGGTGGGGTAGGTGGTGATTATTGAATGCTAGGCAATGGATAGCTTGTTTCAATGATTCCTAGATGGTGTATTTGATACCTACAATGAAGAGGAATATGGACGAGGACGAGAGAGCAGGGCCCGGTTGGAGCAGGTGGTGAATAGTGAATGCTAGGTAATGGATAGCTTGTTTATATGAGTCCCAGATGGTCTATTTGATTATAGTCCAAGGTAGTCAGTCAAAATCCTCCCTGGGTGGCCGAGTGGGTGAGAGACACGAGGTCATCTGATTGCTGGGTGGAACAATGAGCCCGGGTGACACCGCATTGGGAAGCTCAGTCAATGGTGAAACTGGTCAGGGTTTCGATCCTCGCGCCAGGAGTAGTTGGGGTACGGTTTCTTTTTTTGCCCCTTTCCTATATTAGGCCACACCATTAGAGTCTCTTTTCTTGCCTCTCTTCCCTCAGCTCATGCCGGGGTAGCGGTAACAGCTCTATCTAACATGTTTATTCTAACATTATTAGAATAATCATATTGCTTTTGGTTATCTTCTACTGAACACGTCACTCGTGGCATTCTCACGAACTTGACACTGGTGGTTTGGTGGAACCAACCCAGCAAGCTGCTCTGTCCGCGCGTATTCTCTGCGAGGACATGGCAAAAAGTCTCGATAGGGAACATAGGGATTTAGATAGTCGGAATAGCTTTATCATTCCTATTTAAAATGGTACAGTGACACTCCTAGAGTTGTCATGTCTTTTTTAGTGTCTTCTCTGGTGCTTCTCTAGTTGTCTTCTTCCCCATCTTAGTTGAACCTTGCCTACCCACATAGTTATATAGGCACCTAGAACTTAATAGAAAATATAGTGCGTACAGAGGATGTGCTTTTATTGCTAACCGAAGTGAAAAGTCTTGTCTAAGCGGCACTTCATCAGTTACACTTGTGATACTAGCTGATAAGCCAAGTATAATAATACCACTGACCAACGTTCTATATACAGGCTTACAACCGGCAATAGACCGGTTGTCATTCTATTGGTTCTATTGACGAAGGAACCGACGGTCCAGCCTGTGACAGATCAAATATCCCAGAGCATCAGCACCCGGAGCGTTTACGCCCAGGCGCCGACGATGCTCATGCAGAAAGCACCCAAAAACACCAGGATACAGGCATAGACCCTTCTCTTCCCGCGGAGAATGCGCCAACTCTCGTCACTGAGGAAGTCTTCCGACATCAACTCCACCAGCGAGGCGAAAATCAGAAGTCCAGCTGACATGGCATTCATGACACCAACAACGAGTAGACCAACCTCCGAGTCTGGGCTGTAGAGTGTATGGGTTGCGAGACCAATAGCCTGCCCGATTGGGGTTCTAGACCTTTGTCAGAATCGTCGAGTCGGGAGTGAATGGAGAAGAAACTTACGTGCATCCATACGCAAGGGACATGATCCAGGGCTGGATTTGCTTTTCTGACCAGGGAAGTGAGGCAATGCGGGATCCAAGAGCCAGGCCTTCAAATGTTTCTGTAGTTGATTTAGTCAAATGCACTGCTCCGATCAAGCAGACGGATATGGGGAACTTACGATGGAATACAATGGCAATCAGCAGAATCACGAATTCACTGCCAACAGATACACTGAGTGACATGCCGATGAACACACTGTGGAAAAGAATGCCCATCTCAAGAAGGTAGACCTGCATGGTCTCTTTCTTCTGCTTCTGTTCAGGGGTTAAGCCGAATGTATCGTCATCACGCTCCACGTCTGTCTGGATAGCCCCGTTATCCTTCTCATGATGAGTTCGAACATCGGATGCAGACGCAACTCGAACTACATCTTCAGTGCCTTCGCCCATGCGATTAATCGCCCGGCTTATGCTCGCGGACCTTCCAATTAGCGGACCCATATCTCGCAAATGCCGGCCATCCATTCCAGCGGAATGCGAGCTCGGCACTCTAGCGTGATCGGGATATCTAGGGACATCAAGAGTTGCAGCTGGGGCCGGAGTCGCATCCGCAGGGCACGAAGCTCGCCTTTCGGCTGGGACCTTGTTTCCTCCACGGCAGATACTCTGGGCTGGACTGAATACCATTTCGATGACCGTGACGAGGAATATACCACCCAAGGCAATGGCGCCTGGCATGGCTGGATAGTCCTTTGTCCAGAAATCAGATAGACATGGGTCTCCCAGCGAAGTAAACGCCGTCGGGAGGAGATGCACAAATGCTGTTGCGATGAGGACACCAGTTCCAAAATGAGTGACGAAAAAAAGGAATGCAGGTGGGATATGCATTCGTGGGAATCGAGTTGCAAGAATGGGGAATGCGCACGCAATGCTCGACGTGGCCAGGATGATGAAGAGGGCCGCAACGTGCAGAGGTAGGTCGTATGCCCGCGGGTACCTCCCTGGGCACAACTTGATCGTTTGACTGGCTCTGTGTACTGCTGCGTAGCAGGTGCTTCCAGTACGAGGGGTTGTTTAGGTGTGAAATACCGCTTCAGACTGTCGAAGGAAATGACTGCCGAGACAAGAAGCACGGAGAGCAGCCACAATGCCCAATCCTTGATACTCTGATATGACGGGAAAACAATGTTCTCTGGATCTAGTCCTTTGTGACCGATTCCAATATTAGTACTCTGGGGAGCGAGGCGTCCTGTTCACTTGTTAGAAGGTTATTGCTTAGAATATACGCTTGATGGATGTTCATACCTGACGTTGTCAGGGACGCCTCGCACCCCGTGCCAAGGTAATTCCCTGCATCCTTTTCCTCCGGTGAAGGAGTGTCCTTCCAATTAGAGCTTCCACGCAAAATTCCCGGACCAGGCTCATCATCTTTCTTCTCGCGGGTGTTTGAGATGCCATTGAGGTCTTGGCGGGTAGTCAGGTCGGGAGAAAGGAAGCGCGGGTTCTGATTCCACCCATCATGCAGCAAAGTGTCGTCAGTCCGAGAGGGGCAATTCATGATGTGGTAGCCTACGATGTCGGGCCGTGTTTCTAACCTGACTATCTCGACTCAGTGTAACAAGTGAAAATTATAACCAATTCGCCCCAAATGGGCATCAGGCAGCATCCCGAGGGCTTGGCATTTGGTGGACCTCCGGCCCGATTTTCCTTGGCAGTGGACCAGAAACTATCGCCGTGATTCGTCCAGTCAACACATTCGGTCCGGTATTGGCCGATCTACGAATAACTACGAATCCTGTGGGCGTGATGCTTGCGTTGCCAGCCCTGCGAAGAGTGTGATGTGGAACCGAGGCTACTAAAATAGACCAAGGGGTTCAAGGGGTCCCCAGAGCCATCGTTCTGGGGAGCTTCCAAGGTTGATCCAAGATTACTAATGCACAGGCAGGGCCCACGGGTCAAGTGCGAGTTGATGAGTATCAATGACACAGGAACTAGTTGTTACAAGAGCGCAACAGTGCACATTGATATTCGTATTACGTATTTCATATTTTTCTTCATAATCATTTTGCCCAGGGAGCCTTGGTATGCACATCCGCATTCCCATCCTGTGAAGGCGAAGACTGGGGTTGAGCAGACCAAGGTGCTCTGGTGGGTGCCATGGGGCCGGGGCGCATGCTTGAGAGATCTTGAAGAGCAGAAGGAACTCTTGTAGCACCGCTAGGCTTTGAGCCTGGGGCCCCCTCTCTTCTCGCGCCGGCCCATGGGGCTGCTGTCGAGCCCATCGGCGGAACAGCCTGCGTGCTTGCCCCGGGCTTAGCCCAGGGAGCCTGGGTCCCAGCTCCAGGCGTAGGACGGGTAGCGGCAACAGAAGGGTGGCCAGAATCCGGCGCAACAGGACGTGCCTGAGGACCAGATGTTGTATGAACAGTGGAAGGGGGCAGAGGCGCATTTGGATCACGGTCCCAGCTGAACAGAGACCCGAAAGGGAAGTGCTGTACTACAGGGAATTTCGAGAGAACCTCCGCGTTGTACATTTTGATCATCCCCTATAGTGAACCGTCAGCGCGAACATCCTCACCGGTTATCAAGACTGCGAACCTTATTGATCTTGCCCCAGCCAGCTCGAATGCCAGAAATATCGAACAACATGGGGCTGTGCTCCCAGAATGGACCTCTCTTCACATCATAAATGAACCCGATAGCGGAGAAATATAGATTAGTTTGGCGTTCTCTTTCAACAACTTTTGCATCGGCGACCCCAGCCGGGTCAGGTGCATTGAGAAGCGAGCCTTCTTCGGGAGTTAGGTCATTATCATTGATTGCAGGAGATAATTGTGCAGATCCAAAGATATAAGGGACGAATGAATGATCATCAAGGCCCCAGACACCGTGGGAACCAGCAGGCTCAAGGCTGTATGTCTTAATGAGTAGTCTGACAAGCTCCAGATATCTAGGTGACAACAGTCAGTAAGGGACGAAGCATATCCGGCGTAAGAGATTCTTGATGGACGCACGGATGGATCACCCCGACCACGATTGCTCGTTCCTCCACGCCTGGATCGGTCTCCGGGAACCCGTTCAGTTTCCATATTCCGCCCAGGAAGGCCAGGAAGCTCAGTTCATGACCCGTACCATAGTCCAACCGCTGACCGCTTCCCCAGCTGCCCAAGAAATATGATCTCAACTCCGTCCCCGCGGTTGCGCCCTCATCCGGTGACCCCCGATTCAAGAGGTCAGCTGGTAGGCATTCCCGCAGCAGGTCGGATGCGCGACTTTCGACCACCTCAGTCCATCTCCGAAAGCTGATATTTCCAAACCTCCGCGGGCCGGTATCTGGTGGGACCTCCTGTATAATGTCTTCAAGTTTCGAGAGAAGTCGCTGCAATTGTCGAACCGGAGCGGAGTATTGTATCGCATCGCTGTTGAGTGTCCAAGTTTGTATAGTGTTGTCGGCCGCCTTCAGCGGAAACATAGACCGGTTGAGTTGTAGCACCCACGTCATGATATCAACGTAGGCTTTGGAGGTCAGGAAAGTCGATACATCTTGCGACTCGTGGATCTTTTTGTTCGGGTTGATAAATGTGTGCGGCGTAGAGGGGTCCAGAGTGGACAACACACGAATAACCGTGCCATTAGCCATGTTTGCCGAGAAAATCCGTTGGAGAGAGGAGGGCAAGAAGGTTGGAGGGGCGGGATGTTCTTTGCGGCTCCACCAGAGCTCCGTTACCGCGTCTGGCCTTCCAGAGGTTCATTTTTAACTTCCCCACGCGTTTTTGACGATGGCGCCAAAAAGATCCAACAATCTATCTACAGACTACACTCTTGGACTCTTGAATAATATCAACGCGCTCGGGCGCGATACAAATATACAGGAACCCAAAAGACGGCGCCGCACCACCGCCCATGCCAATGTTTTTGATATTCCCACCCCCCCGCCGACGAAAACCCGAAAGACCCCCCAAACCGAACCAAAAGATACGGGCCGTTTGAACCTGAGAAATCGTACAGTCCCTCGATTTGCGCGACCGGTCTCATCACCCAACGTTTCCGACAATGAGGAAAACAATGGGCCCAGCAACGACGAATCCGGGTCTGGCGATGGCAAGTCCGAATCTATTCAAGATGGACCCGATGGAAGTGTAGAGGAGGAACTGGATGATAACCGCGACGAGCTTCAGCCCGAGGCTGAACATGATCCGTTCCCGAACCAGTTGATCTATTTCCGGCCGAAGATGGGGGTCCGGCTGATGATCAGGTTGGAGAGGAAGCTAGAAATGCAGAAGACGATGCACCTAGAGACGGGTTCGAATATGAAGATGAGGAAGAGGCAGATGATCAAGCTGGAAAGGAAGCTGGGGAAGAAGCTAGAGAGGAAGCTGGAGATGCACAAAACGAATCCGAATATGAAGATGAAGAAGAGGCAGATGAGCAAGCTGAAGAGCAAGCTAGAGACGCACGACACGATACATCTGAAGGCGGATCCGAATATGAAGACGAAGAAGACGCAGATGATCATTCCTCAGCCGAAGACCAGAATCTTTCAACGCCCACCCAACAGATCGCAGATGCAGACACTCGGGAGATGCAAATCCTCGAGAGTATACCGACAAACAAAAGGGATGGCACACATACAAATCGCATATTAGAAAATGCTCAAGAGTCTCAAAATGCCTCGTCGCAGCTTCAGGAAGTACCGGAGACACCAACAATCCAGTCGCCCCGCCCAAGTCAGGACCGTCGCAAAGCTCGCTCCGATATCTTCACGTGGCTGACCGAGACCACTAAAGAATCTGGGTTCAAGGATACCTGGGAAGCAATCCGCAAAACAAGAAAAAATCTAAAGGCCCATGCTGTTCCCTCTACAAAAGAGCGTTTCGGGGGCATCATAAAGCTCATCCAGCGGCTACGAGGTCTGTTTGCAACCATGACCAATGATCCTGCTTCAGCTTCTTCCTTGAAAAACCAGTGCAGCCTCATCGCCAACAGCGTCTTTAAAGAGAACCAGTGGATCATTTACACCGAAGCCCCCGAGGATGAATGTAACGGAGCAGACCTGGTCAACCAGCTCGAAGCCCATATCGTTCCCCGATTGATTGATCTGATAATACTCGGATTCAAGACTTACAAGACCATAAATGATCGGGGAGCGCGACATTTCCGCATTATCCTGGATTTGCTTTGGGGTTCCTGTGATAGGATATCTTCTCTCGCCCAGATGCATTATGATATTAGTGGGAGTGTGATGGCTTATTCTAAAACGGCGATGAAACACGTGAAGGCTCTTAAAGACGCATTAGACGATGGCCGGCTATCTGAGAAACCTCGGCGCATCCCTCAACGCCCTCTACCGTACAGGCAATTTCAGTTGGAAGAGATCGACAGCCATATTTCTTGTGGGCGGTGGACCTATGCAGAGAAGACTGCGCTCCGTGATGGCTTACAATTATATGGGGGTGAGACTGTTCATTCCTCACTTATCATGCTATTCTGACGGTATCAGCAGGCGAAGATCGATATGTTGATATCAAATGTGACGACACAATCGGCGGTCAACTCTCCCAGCGCATCCTGCGAGATATCCAGGGCCAAGCCATCAAACTTGGGTTGGATGATCCATAACCTAATCAAGCAGGGAGAGACAGTATTACGTGGGATATGGGACTGTGTAGTAGACTTTATTGCAAATATAAATAATATATATACCCCTTTGGAGTTCATACTAAAAGAGTTGAACCTTTCAAGCGAAAGTATACCTACCTAGGTACCGACATGTGTAGGTATGTCCCAGCAGTCCACCTGGGCAATCCCATGTGGGGTTCCGCGAACCACAAACCGCGAACCAGACCCGTGGATTGTTTTGATATTCCAACTTACACACGTGGGTATTCCAACAAGCCTTACTATCCTTCTTATTAGTGCGAATATTTTCGTAAATGCCTGATAGGTCCGATATTGATGTAGTCATGGCTATAGCAGAAGTCTCGTCCTTGGGCTCTTGATTCTGTTTCTGAGACATCTTGGGTACCTATGTAGGTGGTACGGAGACGAGAAGGTTGCCCGACTGTAATGGATATCTACCTAGGTAGCTACATATATACGTATGTAGATAACAAGATGCAAAGCTGTAAAGCTCTAAAGCTGTAAAGCAACTAATGAACGTACAAGATTGATCTTGAATCTAGTCAAGCCTGGCCTATATTGGTTGCATTCGGGTTAAAACAGAAATAAAAACCGTAAGACAAAGGAGATACCTAGGTACCCCAGATGCACGACCCCATTTAGGGGGGTTTTCTATAGAGAAAGCCAACAAAGTATGGAGCGGCGATCTTCCCCCCCCCTCCTAAATTGACACCGCTTTCTTCTTTTTCCCGCTTTCCCCTTTTCTTCCCCAAAGCATCTCGACACCGTTTGCTTTTGTCAGTTTATTTGCTTTTTCTTTTTTTAATTCTGGCCTGGACTTCTTTTGGTCTGGAGATCAGTTTTCGAGTAACTGTGAAATATTCCCATTGGAACGGTTGTGCGGCGCGTGAGTACATTCTTCTCTTTTCTGCATGTTTGTTTATAGACGGGAAGCTTCGGTTGAGCTGGGCAATGGCACTCAGTCCTGCCATGAGCACAGTTAAGTACCTTGAACGACTGGGAAATGAGATTTAATGCTTGTCCTCAGCATGCTACAAGCTTCTGACGGGCCCATTGGAGTTGCATAAATTCGAGAGCTTGAATCTGGGGTTGAGAGCAATACCGGCTGGACCATCATACGTTTAGGGTTTTGGATTTACCCAACCAGAGCTGACAATTGACAATGCTTCTTGTAGACAGCTCACTGCTACACGCCAACTGAACCCTACCACGAAGCTTGCCCTCTTTAATACGTTAATCCCGAACAATCTACCGATATGTCATCGAACGACGAACCGGTCGTCGCCCCTACTCCTGTGGAGGTCGATGAAAATGAGCCTCCAGCTACCCCGATAGAGTCCAGTGTCGTCTCCGGAGGCGAAGATTTGGTTAAGTCCAGCCCGGAGGTATCAAAGGAAAGTCCCGCAGCCTCTCCGGCTAAGGCTAGCCCTGGTACACCCGGCGCCGCGAAGCGTCCTGTGTCTGGAACAGCTACCACCAAACGGCCCACTTCGTCCCTGCAACGAAACCCACGACGGGTACCTCTCGCACGACTACCAGCACGCTGAACAAACCTCCCACTCGTCCCTCGACCACGACCACTCGGAAGACAATGAGCACCTCGACTGTCTCGTCCCACCGGTCTCGCATGTCAGTCAGCAGCTCTGCAGATGAGAAGCCTCGGTCTGTGGCGAGCTCGGGAGATGAGAAACGGGGAATCTCTGGCACTGCGAAGCGCATGTCCATGGCCGGTACCAGCTCGACTCGTGCTCCTCTCAGACCTACCTCGTCTTCCATCGACCGTAGATCGAGTGTTGTTGGTACCACCGCCGAGCGGAAGCCTGCCACCACAACTGCCCGCACCGCGACCTCGACAAGCAAGCCTGTGGGCAGGTTAACTTCGTCGACGACACCTGCGAGCCGGACTGCCACTTCCACCTCCACCACTAGACCTGCTACTGCTCGGCCAACTTCGACTACGAGCACAGTCAGATCTGCCACTGCGTCTGACCCCAAGAAGCGACTGAGTACGGTTTCTGGCTCAACTGGCCGTGCTAGTGATTCCGAGAAGCTACAGGCCCTTCAGACTAAGCTCACAGAGAGCGAGGAGACCGTCGCTAGTCTGAAGACTGAATTGGAGACTGTCAATGAGAAGCTCAGCCAGCTTTCTGTCTCGGCCGAAGAACCCTCGGGCGATGCTGGTGCCACCGAGGCTAGTCGCGCGGACCACACCGCAGAGATTGAGAAATTGACATCAGCCCATGCCGAGGAGCTCCAGGCCCTGCAAGCGCAACTAGACGAAGCGGAGTCCCAACGGAAAGAGCTCGAGGAGAGCTCGCAGAAGGAGCTGGAGGAAGCTAGACAATCTGCCGCCTCGCAAGGGGATGACAGGACAGTTGCCCTTCTTGACGAGCTCAAGTCAACACACCAAAGCCAGCTTGAGTCCATCGAGAAAGAGCTGGCAGAGCACAAGTCTGCAGCTACTCACTTCGAGGAGCAGATTACCGCTCTGAAGAAGGAACTCGAGTTCCAGAAGGCTGCCCTGGAGGAAGAGAAAGCTCTGGACCTCGAACATTTCAACAGAGAACTCAAAGGGACGTGATCAGGTCCTGGAGAACCTTAACACGGAGATTGTTAAGCTGAATACGCTCAAGGAGCAGGAGGTCCGTGCTGCGGAGGAATCTGCCCAGGAGAGTGTCTCTGGTCTTCAAGAGCAAGTAGCCTCCCTCGAGGCGAAGCTTGCTGCAGCCGAGTCTCTTACCCAGGAGAGCACTGAGCAGAACACTCTTATTGCTGAGAAAGACCAAGAAATTACCGAGCTTAAGCAGGCTCTTGAGAAGATTCAAACTGAGCTTCAGGAGGCACGCGACACCGCAGCCACTGGACTGTCATCAAAGGTCGAGGAATTGGAGACTGCCCATGAAGCTGCTATCGCAAACCTTAAGGCCGAACATGAAACTGCTATTAGTGAAATTTCGGCTTCCCACGCGGAGAAGCTCGCTGTTGCCATGGCGGCGGCGGAATCGAGCGGGGCAGAACACAGCACGCAACTCCAGGAACTTCGTGATGCCCTCGAGGAATCGAAGGCCACTGCCCAGAAGGGACAAGAAGATGCCGTTGCTGAGCTTAAGACCGCACATGAAGCAGAACTCAAATTGCTGCAAGAAAAGCTGGAGGCTTCCGAAAATGCCCTCGGTGAGACCCGCCGTGCCCTCGATGAGGGTAACGCCTCGGCCCAAGACCTTGCCATTCAGGAGATCGATGCTCTTCGACACAAGTGTGAGTCGCTGGAATCCCAGCTGACTACTGGCACTGGGAAAATAAACGCGCTGCTCGAGGAGATGCAGGTCAAGCAGGCCGAAGCTGAGGCTATCCATCGCACTTTACGGGATGTTGAAGACCACTCCAAGCAGGAGGGTGTTCAGAAGGACAACAAGATGAAGGCTCTGGAGCAAAAGGCTGCAGAGGCCGCATCCCTTCTCGAGCAACACACCCTGCAGGCTGCCAGTGTGGCCGAAAAGCATGCACAGGCTCTGGAGGATTTGAAGGCTGAGCATGCTGCTCAGCTCGCATCCGAATTGGAGCGGGTCAAGGAGGCATCGGGTTCCCATGACAGTGCTCTGAGAGATCTTCAGACGAAGCACGACGAGTTGCTTGCCGCAAACAAGGAATTGGAGTCTACTCACGCCACCCGGGTTCAGTCACTTGAGGCTGAATTGAAGGCGGCGCTTGAAAGCCACGCTCGTGAGATTGCTGCCCATACCGAGGGTCGCGAAAAGGAGACCGTCGAACTTCAGAATCAATTCGAAGAGACTCAGGCGAAGCTGCAAGCTGAGATTTCCGCCTTGCAGAGTTCTAACAAAGCTAATGCCGAGCTTCACGAGCAGCAAATTGCTGAGCTGCAAAAGGGCTTCGAAGAGACGAAAGCCAAGATGCAGGCTGAGATTGAGGCCGCTCAAACCTCTAAGGCTGCTGATGTCGATGCTGAGCACAGCAAGGCAATTGCTGAGCTGCAAAAGGGCTTCGAAGAGACGAAAGCCAAGCTACAGGCTGAGATTGAGTCCGCTCAAACCTCCAAGGCTGCTGAGATCGATGCCGAGCACGGAAAGGCAATCGAGCAGCTTCTAACTATGCACGAGTCCAAGCTGTCTGGCCTCAGGGAGGAGCTCGAAGCTTCTAACAAGACCAAGATTGATGATCTCCAGAAGACTCACGATGCAGCCCTGGCTAGTGTCAACGAGCAATTGTCTCAGGCCAAGGCTGCTGTCCAAGACACATCCGCTCTGGATGACTTGAAGGCCATGGTCGCCGATCTGCAGGCCAAGCTTGCCGACTCTGAGAAGGCCCACCTTGCGGTACAGGAATCTGCCACTACTGCTTCCAGGGAAATGGAGGGTCGTTACTCAGCTGAGCTTGCCAAGGTTCAGGCTGACCATGCTGCACTTGGAGAGAAGTACCAAGCCGCCGTCGCCCAGGTGGGTGAACTCGAGAAGCTTGCGAAGGACTCGGACAGCCAGAAGTCGCACCTCGAGTCGATTATGAAGCAGCTCTCTGAATCCCGCGACCAACTTCTCAAGGTCAAGGCAGATAACGCCGCCATCTCCGACTCGCTCGTTGATTGCAAGAACCAAAACAAGACCTTGTCCGAGAAGCTTGAAGCTGGTGAGCGTGACCTGAACGATCAGATCGACAAGAACATGGGTCTCCTGAATCAGCTTGGCGATGTTGATTCCGACATCTCTGCCAGCCGACGACGGGTCCGCGAACTCGAAACCGAGCTCGCAGTTCTGAAGGCGGACAGTGGCGAGAAGAGCAGCTCCTCAGGTTTGGAGGCTAGCCGCTGGGCGACAGCTGATGAGGGTAGCGAGAACGCTGAAGATGGGGGTCCAGCCACAACGGAAGGTGAGGACCTAGGCCCATCCATTGAGGGAACGGTGGGAGATCCCCGATTGAAGAAGTCTTCCTACTCATCAGATCTTCCCGCATTCCACCCATTCACATGATTATGAAGACTATATTAGCGTATACAGAGACTAATGCATTCCATAGATGGCAAGCATTCAGGAACAGCTTAAGCACATCCGAACAGCCAATGATGATTGGTACAGCGAGCATCACAGGTCAGTCAAAAATATGCTCGTATTTAATCGGGAATTATGCTGACCACTCCAGACTCATTGGCGAACTTGCCAATCTCTCCCGGCAAGCATCCTCCGAGTCTCTCAGCGCCTCGACCACACCCAATTCGGAAGTCCCACCAGCCCCCGAGCCAGAACCTGCTCGTACCCGCGCAGCAACAGTCTCATTTTTCAGTAAACGCTGAGTTTCGTGTGGATATGGCACCTTTCTGAGCTCTTAGTCGTGATGCAGCATGACTTTCCTTTGTTGAACCCTGTTTCACCCCCTGCTCTTGTGATTCTACTGTATGTAATAACTACGCAGGATACCCTGTCTTACTATGTCGGGGTTTCCCGCTATTCTTGTTTCAATATCTTTATCTACACATACAACTTCTTTGAGTTGAAGTTCTATTTTGCATTACTACAATGGTTAGATTGGCCAGTTCTTAAGTCGCGCAAGGCGTAAGGGTTTAATACTCGATACAAGCGTGCCGGGATGAATAATTCAAGCGCAATGTTATGATCGAAAGGCTAGAACATAGTGGGTATCTCAACATAAAACAATAAGCCCAAAGAACGCCTCTCTCCCCATATCCCGAAATAAGTCAAAGATTCAAATCACTCCGAGTCGGAAGGGTAGCTGACCAGCGCTGGTTTTGGTGTCACGGCAGAGGAATCGACTTCTGTGCTGCCACTGGGATCTTCACGGAGGGATGGAGTCGATGGAGTCGAAGAGGAGACGGTTCTCCTCTTCTTGATGCTAGGTTTCCATGCATTCGGGTTACCTGCATTCACCAGGAACGGATCAATAACAGCACGAGTATTCCCAACCAGTTCACGGCGGAGCGAAGCCTTTCGTGACGCGACCACATCATCCTTCCTAAGCCGCTTCGAATGAGATTTCTTCCCTTCCGACCCCGTCTTCCGTGCAGGACTTTCCGCCTGCTGCTCAAACATAGGCCGGAGACGAGTCACTCGGGCCGCATGCGAGCCATCACCAGTCAGGTCCTCGCCAAACTCCACCATACTCGCTCTCTGCCGATCCCCCTCAGTCTCATCCAGAAGCTCAATCCCAATACTCATTTTGTCCTTGAGAGCCTCACGCTTCGACTCAGCTTTCTCAAGCCCCTTCCTCTCCTGCCGAAACGTCCTCCGCAGCCGCTTAGACTTCTCGTACGGATCCTCCCAATCACGCTTCTGTCGTTCCTGAAGTTCGAGAATGCGAGTCGCCTCCGTCTTCGCACGAAGCTTATCCTCAATCTTCCCCTCGATCTTCGAAAACGGATCCTTCTCCGCGGGATCCATCTCTCGCGCGTGCGGCTTGATAGCAATTTCCCCGGGCTGCAGCTCCTTGTCCTCGCCGGTGTCGCGTTTCCGCCCACCCTCGGTAACAACGTATGCCGTGTTCTGCGGGTCGGTTTTGATTTCGATGGTTCCGCCGCAGACGGTGTGTTTCATGCGGAAGCTGTAGATCGGTGTTGAGTAGTAGTTCCCGACTTTTTTCTTCTCCGCGTTGAAGCGCACGCCTTGTCCGATTATTACGGGGTGTGGCTTGCAGTTTGTGCACCAAACTGCGAAAGGCATTTCGAAACGTACGACCAGTGCGCCTGTTGTGTGTAGGTGGCGCGCGCGCGCGCCGAGTGGGTGCTTCCCCGCGAGTTTGTTTGCCGTTGTCAGGCCTTCCTGATCTGGCGGGACATAACTGTTTCAAATGTCAGTATAGGGGGATTATGTGGATAACTGGATATTTTGCTAACCGTCCCATGTCTATTAAGATGGTATGTTAGTCGGTTGCTTCGCATGTTCTTTTGAGGTGGGGTTAGGACTTACTGAAGCCCTGCATCTTGGGCGAGTTTGGTAGGTGTCGCGCAGTTGATGTTAGAGAGCACCCAGGCTACTGGCCGTGCTCAAAGACAGCCAAGTCTGAGTTGACGGTGTTGCAGAAGTGAAGTTGTCCGCGGAGCTGACTTTCTAAAGTTAGTCGGAGATATCGGGATTAAGGCTGACTCATCATGTTCTTTCGCCTGGGCACGTGCCCGGTGGACATCCCCTGGTGGGTCCTACAGCGGCATCTATACAACATACTGAAGAGGGCATCACCAGGATAAAACATTCAACAATAAATACGCTATTTACATAAAGTAGACAAAGAAAAACCTAGCAGGATAACAACTATGATGACACTTGATAATATGGTACAATCGACCTCATCATCATACTTCGTCATACACTCACTCTCTTGAATAACTTTTTCGTTCAACCGCTTCCGTCTTTAGGAATTTTCAAGCTGATTCCTTCTAGGGTCAGATTTGCATCTTTTCTATTTATCCCTTCTTGGGAGAACCCCTCCTTGAGCAAGATCAAGCGGTCCATCCTTCGAAAGGCTTCCTCGAAGAATGGACCAAGATACGCACCAAGATACAGAATCTCTAGTGTTGCAGCTGCTGTTGGAAGACGTGGACACCAATATTGACTGGTTCGAGACACAGCAGCAGCTGCTGAAGGCTTCAAATCAACCAGCCAACAGGCTAGAAGAACTCGAGCCCGACGAGCTGGTGGCATTGCGTCTATGGAAAACCGAATTTGAAAGAGTAAGAGTCACCTTGGGTGACATTCAGACGGCCACAGCGCTGTCACTCCAGGTAAAAAGGACATTCACCAAACGTATTTCTGCCGCTATCGAAAAACTACTTCTCTCTTTCTGTGACGTCTACTTGGAGCTGCTATTGGAAGACTTGAACACCAAGATTGACGGGCTCAAAACACAGCTGCAGCTGATGAAGGCAACAGATCAATCGATCGACTTGCTAGAAGAACTCAATCCCGACAGGGGAGTGGCACTTCGTATATGGAAATCCGAAATCGAAAAACAAAGAGTCATATCGAGTGACTCCCAGATGGTCACAGCTGCGTCGCCCCAGGAAACAAAGACATTCGCCAAACATATCTCTACCGCTATCCAAAAATTACTTCTCCCTCTCAAGAACATCATGCGGTCTATCAAAGCCTCGGTATCGACCCACTCCAAGCCCGAGGTCTGCACCTCCTGTACAGAAGTCCGCAGCGAAGTCTTCAAAACACAGTGCTCCCACATCTATTGCAAGAACTGCCTAATTCATATGGTAACAAAATCTCTACAAGACGAATCATCGTTCCCCCTTCAATGCTGCCACAAGCCAATCGAAGGCTCGAGCATGAAAAAGATGATAGGACCTGCATTAGCCCAAGAACAAAAGAAGAGGCAAACCGAGATCAGCGATCCAGACCGAACCTACTGTTCACATGCAAAATGCTCACGATATATCCCACCAGCAGTAAAATTCTGGCCAAAATTTACTTCCCAGACCGTTGGCACCTGCAAGTGTGGCGTACGGACGTGCAGGAAGTGCAAGAGGAATGCACATGCGGGCAAGTGTCTGTATCAACTAGACCAGTCGTTGGAGAAATTGATGAAGAAGAAGAAATGGCAACGGTGTGCTAAATGTGGCCGTGTGATTGAGCTCAGTCAGGGCTGTCCTCATATCACGTAAGTGCTTTGTTGACTCGTGGACCCTTTCTAAACTCCCTAAGCTACTCGGGATTTACTGACCCCTGGTAGTTGTATTTGCAGAGCCCAGTGGTGCTACAGCTGTGGGAAGAGGTGGAAAACTTGCGACTGTTCGGTATAGGCTGAACGAAATCTGGGAGAATCCCATGAGTCCTAGGGATTTGAAAGAGACCGTGTGGGTAGGATATAGGATCACTCTCACTGAACTTGGTACGAAGAACGAAGTATTTGTTTTGAGTACACTTGGCTTGGAGGAATATGAATTCTAATCTGGCATATATCTGAGATTGCTCGATCACCTACCTGTGAGTGATGTGTCATTGCTCGATTTAAGGCAAGCCAATTGATACTTTTATATTGCTATACAAGCGGGAAATGATATACATAGATACTATTAGGGCTATGCGTAGTATGAACTTGTTTGAGACATGACGCTACCAAAACTAAAACCTCTGAAAGATCGTTAATACGTGTATTATTTGCGCTGCATGGCCTTGTTTTCCAGGTGTTCACGTGGTATATACGTAGTATCAACCTCACCACCAACTTATTTTCTTATTTTCTCCCCTTTGTAGAAGCTCCAAGGTATTCCAAGGAGTTTATTCATTTTTCTAGCACATCTTCCACTCGGCAACATTCAAAAGCTGCCTTCCTTACATGGACTGCGACACGGATCAAGATACGCAGTCTAAGACAATATAGACAGGACAAGGACTCACGTTTATGAGGCATTGAATGAAGGATCAGCATGAGCAACGTCAGTATGGGTACAGCTATGTCAATGGGATTAGAGACAGAAAATGACTTGTCCAAGTACAAGAAAAAAAGATCCTCTTCCAATTCCCTTCATATCGACATCCAGCAACTTGGCGATTCCATCGAAAATGCCATCAACTTGGTCGACTCCCCTAAACCCGAGATTTGGCGCGAGTGTGTCTCATGCAGGGACGATCACATCCAAGATGACATGATCAAAACGAAGTGCTCACATTTCTATTGCAAGTGTTGCCTGGTCCGCCTGTTCAAAAACGCTTTGCGTGATGAATCTTTGTTTCCTCCTCAATGCTGCCACAAACCAATTGCAGCCTCGGAGAAGATGATCGGACCTGTATTGGTTCAAAAGCACAAGGTGAAGGCAATCGAGCTCAAGGACCCCGACCGGACATATTGTTCTGATTCAAAGTGCGCTCAATATCTCCCACGAAAGGCTGCACCAACTCGGGTTTGCAAATGTGCCAGTTGTGGAGTACGAACATGCAGGAAGTGCAAGAAACGCGCCCATCCGGGAGACTGTGTATATAAGCTTGATGCGCTTTTGGAGGAATTGGCAGATCGCAAGGAATGGCAGCGATGCTCGAATTGCCGTCGTCTGATTGAGCTCAGCACGGGCTGTAATCACATCACGTAAGGACAATTTCGTTTCTTGATTTTAATGATTCATTCTATTAAATATTTGGGCTCACATCTACTAGGTGCGTTTGCAAGTTTGAATTTTGTTATTTTTGTGGGAAACAGTGGAAAACGTGCGACTGTCTCTACGCAGATGAAGAGAATCTTTACGAACGAGATTACTGAAGTAGCCGACACAAGATAGTTCTCGAGGTTTGCCTTGGAGTGGACAGGATGAAGGTACTGGCCATCTGGGAGATTGGTATGGATGCGATTGAAATGTAGTTGGTATGGAAAGGTAAAGAATGTGGTTTACACGGGGCCTTTGAGTCAATCTCATTTATTTCTCAAGGAATAGCCTGAATTGCTCATTAACCTATGCGAGAGTTCCTAACTTATGAATTTAACCACCTGATACCTTCAGTGCTGCTTTTTGATATGTAAACATTCGAGTAATAATAGACTGTAGAGCATTAGACACATATGTTGGCCGTCATAATTACATGGTCTTCTCAATATTTGTGGATTATAGTAGACTTTCTGTTAAATACGATAAATTATGATCTCACAGAACTCTTTATACCCATTATAAAATCACTTGCAAAGGGAGATCTGACAAACATGGTCAACATTCTTGACATTTCAAGAACTATTCCACGCCGCTTCGCAAGAGTATCAAAAACTTTGTCTACGATATCAATCATAGACAGAATTTGGACTCAGGCCAGAAGAGCAGCAACCGACCCGTAATACAGTCGGGAGAACTCACGATGCAGATTTTGGAACTCAGAAGTAACTTGGACCCAGTCCCGTCACTGGGGAAAAAGGGTGGGAAAAACCACTTCGACAGGCCGTGAAGTGAAAGGCAAGAGGTCTGCAGCGCTGCAATATATTATCAAATGATAGCGATGAAGACTTACTTGGTGAAAGCTCGAATGATGTCGCCGAAACCAACGCAGAAGAAACCGAGACTCGACAAGAGTGTGCATCTTGTACCGAAGAGTATCCACTGTCAGATACTATTCAAACAGAATGTGCTCACAATTATTGCCGCGAATGTATTCTGCGCCTTTTCGAGGGTTCCCTTACACATGAAGCCCTATTTCCTCCTCGATGTTGCCGCTTGCCGATTCGTGTCTCTACCGCCATCGAGGATATGTTAGGCATCGAGATGATAAAGAGATACCAGGAACGGAAGATCGAAGCCAATGACCTTAGGAGAACTTACTGCTCAAGCGCAACCTGCTCTCACTATATCCTGCCACAGAACGTCCGTCGCGGGTAGGAATCTGCGGGTTTTGTACGGTTCGAACGTGCACCGATTGCAAAAAGCAGGCACACAGAGGGGGTGATTGCAATAAGCACAGACGTGCTTTTGATGACGAGGATTTCAACGATGTTTTGCTGGAAGAACTAGCAAAGAAGAAGAAGTGGAAACGATGTTCGAATTGCTCTAGGATCATAGAGCGTATAGATGGCTGTTTTTCAATATTGTAGGTCGAATTTTGTCCCTAAGCTTACAAACCTGGGAAAACTGACCACGCTCTCTAGCTGTCGGTGTGGAACGAACTTCTGCTATAATTGTGGGAAAAAGCAAAGCATATGTAGATGTTCTAATAACCCTCACTCTTACCGTTACCGATGAAAACCCGAAGGCTATGCTATGCAAGAAACAGAAATTCGACGCGAATAGAGGAATGGATAAGAGACGAGGTTGATCCACGCGGTCTTGATTTGTCTTTTTTGCCCTTGATATGTTGTCTTGATGGCTTGGACTTTTATGATTACATCTGTGTTCGATGAGCTTAATGGAAACTCTGAGTAAATCAGAACGAATGGAATTCTCGACATTTCCCTTTTGTTGAGGGCGTCGAGAGCCGAAAGGAGACCATAGACATGGTTAAGTCCACACGTATTGTATTCTCTTTAATGAATTGACTGTTAGGTCTCTTGTCTTTTTGTCGGCCTGCTACCTCCAGCTTCTTCCCCATCATTACCAGATCCTTTCTTCCAAGAGCCACTTTACGTCGAGGCCATATTAATGGTCTCCAGGCCTGTTTTCTACGAAAGCTACATATAGATATAGTCATCGCGAAATCTGAAAAACAAGATGATCGAATTGCTAGGCACTTAACGTACATGTTTCAATGGAGCATCTGAGACTATTTAAATATCAAAAAAGAGCAAAAGAGCGAAAGAGCATTCACTGGCGGATAAGACCGCGGAGTTCCTCCTTAGACAGGGTCTTCAGGCCAAACAGATCGTTCGAGACCTTCTCAGAATCGAAGAGAGAGCCAAATCCTTCACCAAAGATAGCCCGCAGAATAAACTTGGGAACAAAGATCGCCGGGTTAGGGGCCGGCTTGACCAGTTCTGCAAAAGCCTCCTGCTCCATATCTGTGGTCTGGACAATCTTCGTCTCGAGGCTCTTGCCGAACAACTCCAGCAGCTCGTTCTGTGTGACTCTAGCCTCATTGATATAAACCGGGGAGTTCTTAGTGGCTTCGAGGTTGTTGATGATTCCAACAACTCCCTTGCCGATGCCACTGAGAGTAGTTGCACTAAAACGACGATCACCGCCATCAAATAGTGTAGCCGGACCAGCAAGATTCAGCAAGAAGCCGTTCGCGAGACCCCAGTCGAGGAAGGCGCCATTAAAGAGCAGGGAGTAGCTGAAGCTGGATTGCTGAGCGGCGTTCTCGAGATATTCCCTAATGCTGACCTTATCGCCGAAGGCAGGCGATTTAGAGACAAGGGGATTCGTGGTGTCCAAGCCGAATTCCGAAGGGATAAATCGCTTAACACCAGTTGCTACTGCTGCGTCGATCAAGCGCAGGTGGGTGGACTTGGGAATCGCGCCGACATTCAAAGTGTTGACAACAGCATCCTGGCCGGAAAGAGCGGCCTTGAGCGAGTCGAGAGACTCATAGTCCACCTGTGCGACGTGGACACGGGAGTCAAAGGTATTGTCGCTGCCCCGTCGAGTGAGGACAGTCACGTCAAAGCCTGCGGCGAGAAGCTCCTTGAGAATTGCAGGACCGAGGTTTCCGCTGGCCTGGTGATCATGTTAGCGAACGAAATATTGTGAGGGTCACTGCGCTGACTTACTCCGGCAAGGGCAACCTTAATGCTCGACATGTTGAAGTTTAGATATGAATGAAGTAATCACAGGTTGGTTTTCCAAACAGGTAGTTGCTGTAAGGCTAAGTAAAGTATTCAGAGCAATGAATAGATTGTAGGAGTGTTGTCCAATTCGAAGGCCCCAGGTGGAGGGCTTAATGCCCTTTATATGCTCCGTGATGCCATGCCATATTTGCAATACCGGCTCTGCATTTGGCATCTGGAGAGATTGATTACAGAGCCATTGTACTACATACCTACTTGGATTATGAATTGTGATTGTGTGCTTACCTAGATGGGTATATGTTTCGGACCGATTTCAAAGCATCGCGGAAAATGCCAACCTTCGAAGGATTAGTACAGGGTAGACGGCATTATATTGCAAGTCCGAGCCGCTGACTAATCCATACCACAGCGGGGACTATACCTAGATAGGTAGTTATCGGTAGATATCCATATGGATATAATTCCGCACTTTGTTATCAATCAATTGCTTTAGTGCCAAAAATAGTTTAATTTGACGATATAAACTTGCCCACAATCCTTCTTCATCCAATATTCCGCTGGCTTCCATTCACACCAAGTCCACAGGTATTAATTTTGGTTATTAAGATATGAAACGAGAATTGGGTATCCACCTGCATCATCAATGCCGCTGATCTCTATTAACATGGATAACACCAAACCATAGGACTTTTAACGCGTCCACCTGTGCATTGGACTCGTTGTCCTTGCCTCTTTCAGACCCTCAAATACCTGTAGAATTCAATGTGTTCGATTCAAGCCTTATTATACTTAAACAATGAATAGCATATAAGCAGAGGCAAAACTCAGTCACGATCCGGGATGGGTATCAAAGCCTAGAGAACTTTTCCATTACTATTCCCTATCAAATGTGCATGCAAGATCACGGGAGTTCCCAAGGGAGTCAGGTACCCGACCTAGACCGAGACAGATGTCTACCAACGTTTGACGCTGGTTGTCTACAGAATATTGAAGCTATCGTCCCGGGAGTCTCCACAGTCATATTCAAGCAACACAAGCTGGCTTATAGTAGAACGATCGACCACCCTATCTATGAGCCTGAAGACACAAATAATATCTCAAATGAGATCGATGCCCTTACACAACTCTAAGAGCACATGTAGGCTGAAATAGGAATTGATACGTCAATTGAATAGTCCCACTATGAAGTTTTCACTAAAATACTTGACTAAATACCAATGAACCCTTGCACGGTTCCTTCGCCTCAATTAGAATCTATATCTTCGGCAGTCATTGCAAGCTTGGAGTCCACACTGCCTGCATTCGAGAATGTAATCGGGCATCCAGTCCCCACATTCTTCACATGCAGCGGCGACCGCGAGCTTTTTCCACACCACATCATGATCGCACTCATGCTGCGCAACTAGGAACTGGGCTGCTTGTTCAACAGCCTGGGGCGCAGGGGCTGGCTGGTTCCGACCCGCAATCAGCTCCGCTCGCTCCTGGAGCCTAGCCTCGTCCCAATGGGCGCATTCGCACTGCTTCCATCGCGCAGAACATACATAGCAGAATTCGTAACGACAACGGCACCTAGATAATTGAGTGCATATTAGCATAAGTAGCCAAAGTGTCAAGGAGTTTTGATGTCGACGAGACAAAAATCTTACGTGATATGATTGCAGCCGCTACGAAGCTCAACAAGATGATTGCAATTAGAGCACCTTTGCCATCCTTCTGCCCTTGCAAGCTCTAGGACCTCTGCGCGGTCGTCAACACATTGTCCTTGATGGTTGGTCTTCTTGCAGAGGGTACATGTTTGCCGATTGCATACTCTGCAGGTTGCGATTGTACCATGGACATATGCTGGCAGAATGTATCGAGAGCAAGCAGGATCTGAGCAATAAGTACGATGTCGATCTCCATGTTCAATCGTTTTTTCCTCGAATCTCGCCCACAGCTCATCATTGATGATACCACGCGCACCTTCCAATGGCAAAGGTTGACGACAACAACGAGGGGGGAACAAGCTTTCATCAGCCAGGGAGTTTTGGAGAAGGCGGATGACACATCCTTGACAATAGACATGTGAACAGCTATTCTGAACCGTGTCGGACTCGGGGCGACTTTCAGAGCAAGCAATGCACTCCCGCAGGACAACAGGCGGAGGCGCCATCGGGATAGTCATGGTATCCTCTTGCTGGCGGGCTTGGGCCTGGGCATCTGGGATGGGAATCAGGTCCAAGGCGCCACGAGGTGCTTGCTGGGGAGGAGGTGCGTGACCAGCAGATGCTACACGAGCTGCCGGAGCTTCATCCACCTCACGATTAAGAACATCTCGAAGAATGGCGGTCTGGTCGGACCGTGATTCTCTCGACATCTGTAGGGCCTCTCGGAGGCCCTGTTGGGTGCTCATTCGACATCGAAGCTCGGTTCGCCATTGCAATAGAGCAAGGTTTTGATCACGAATTGGTGCTGTTCCTCCGTTTCCATGGCGTTTCAACGATCTCAAAGCCTCTTCAACCTCTTCTAGTTCAGTTTGTAAGACGATATTAATTGTGTCAAGGTCCGTTCTGTTGTGAGCCATAGTGAAGGCGTATCATGTCAGGTCAAGGACAATATTCACTCAGATGTAACGAGAGATTGTTTGCATCTCATGACTTGATGACCGAGGACAACGATATATAGGGATTGAGGCAGGTGGACAGATGCCAAGGCGGTCGTTCAGTTTGGTAAGCAAAGCAAAGAGATTCAGAAGTCAGATATAGATGTAAAGTGGAGGAGACTGATGCGAAACAAGGTAGAGAGAGTGGGAAGATCGAGAAAGAGAGAGAAGTGGGAAGAGACAGGGCTCGAACCACGCTTGAGAAAAAAGTGCGCGTGGACACGCGAAGACGAATTTTGGGAAAGAACGAGGGAAGAGCCAGAAAGGGAAGGCACCGGGGCAACACTCGAGAAACGCCTAAGAAGAGAGAAGAGAAACAGAGGAAAGATCTCAATGGGAGAGGGAAATTGAAGAAGCTCGAGGATTGATTCTGGAAGACATGTCTGGTCTTCAGGTCTCTACATTATGTGAGTATAGGGGAAACCCTGAAAAAAATGGTGGTTATATACAACCAACATATTGTAGTAGGATAAGACAGACTACATTGAGCCAACAAAGTTCATATTGACATTTCTTTTGTTTGATTCAATTCCTTGGACCTGGTCATAATCGCTAAGTTGCAAGTGATAATGTACTTAGGTAGAACTGGATTGTGTATTATTATAATCTCCTGGGAGACTTCCCAGTTCAATATTCAAGTGTTTGTTTAATTGCGTCGTAGATTCCTGGAGTAAGAACTTCGGTTAGTGATAATAGGAACGAAATGAAGAGAATTGGGTACTCACTTGCAACATCGGGCAGAATGAATTGTTCGTAACTCAGCCCAGTATGTGTGCTCCACCCAGCAACTCGCTTGACGGGGGCTTCAAGACGCAAGAAGGCACTTTCCTGTATCGTCGATGCAACCTCTGCACCCACACCGTAGTTGACCATACTCTCATGCACGACAATGGCTCGACCAGTCTTTTTGACACTGTCGATGACAGTTTGCCTATCCCAGGGATATATGGTTCGCAGATCAATAAGTTCCACACTGACACCCGGCATAGCCTTCTCGATAGCAGAGATAGCAGAAGAGCACAGGTAAAGAGGCTGTCCATATGAAATGATGGTCAAGTCCTTGCCTGGTTTGATGACCTCAGCCTTACTGAGTGGAATGGTGTAGTATTCATTCGGGACATATTCCACGGCTGCACGGTAGAGGATCTTGGGCTCCATAAACACCACCGGATCATTGTGCTCAAAGATAGAAGACAGAAGGAGTCCCTTTGCTTGAGCAGGGGAGCGTGGCATGACTACTCGCAAACCGGGGATATGTGCGAAGAGTGACTCTGGCGATTGAGAGTGGTACCTATTCCGATCAGTCAATAAGTACACCAACTTGCTTGGCACCTGGATACAACGTACAGAGCACCGTGTCCAACCGCACCACACGGCATGCGGATGACGAGACCTCCAGCATTAATGCCTGTCCCACCTTCTCGATACCGAAACTTGGCCGCCTCATTCACGATCTGATCGAACGCTGGAAACACGTAGTCGGCGAATTGGATCTCAGCTATAGGCTTCATCCCTTCCACAGCCGCTCCAATTGCGAAACCCGCAATGCCTTGTTCCGTCAAGGGGGTGTTGAACACTCTATCCGACCCAAATTCGGTTTGGAGATCCATTGTGCATCGGAAGACACCACCAAACCCAACATCTTCGCCAAACACGATAGTTCGATCGGATTTGGATAGTGCTGTGCGCAATGCCGAATTGATCGCTTGGTAGAGGTTGAGTCGTTTACTCGTGGCGCCTGCAGGGTACTCTGTATTTGACAAGGAGGACGAGGTGTGGTGTAAAATTGGAGTGGTTTTGTAGTCAACAGGTAGGTTCAGCTTTGCCGCCGGAGTGGGAGCTCCAGAGTAGAACCGGCGAGGAGCTTGGGCGAAAGACCGAAAATGAGTTCGTAAGGAAGCCATTCCAGCTAGGATTGTGAGAATTATGGGATCTTAACAGAATGTAAACACATAAGTTTTCTTCTCCGAAGGGATGATTGCCTTTAAATTCGCTCCTTGTTCATTGTCCGGGGCATTGCGCGGGGAAACCGCCGCGGATAGCCGAGATAATGCAAACAGGGCAAACTAGCCAAACAAGTCAAACTGGGCATATGACGAAGTGCGATGGGCCAACGCAGTAATAGTCGAAATAATAGATGCAACTATGGAATACAGAATATGGAATCATACACATATGCGCTGTCTATGCACTCGCTTCCAACATTGGATGGATCGGACTTGATCTTTCCTCTCATGGTCTTTGAGTACATATGCAAATAACTGAAACAAGTGCAACACACATTTTGCTCGCGTGCTCTCCATTGGAAACACAACAAGCCCTGGGCTTGACTATGCATAATGAGTTACACCAGCATATACCTCTTTTTGAAAACTATTGGACATATAGATTTGTTCTAGGAGTATCTCGGATTTGATTCGGACAAAGATTGGAGGGGCAATGATCTATCTTATCAGGGCTGTCATTTCGGACCCGTGACTTGCTTCCCCGGCCCACCAAAATTGCCTTTTTTTTCCCAATGACTCAATCTTCCTTTTGTTTTATACTCAACTTCTCTAAGTCCTTTTGAATTTCATTCAATTCTACACAATGGCACAGGGAAAGGTATGAACTATTGCTTAACCCCCCTTCTTCCTGCCCAGTTCCCCAATATCAGTTCCCAACCTCAATTCCCCATTCTATCCCACACCGCCACCCTCTCCACACTTTCTCTGACAGTTCGATCCCACAGGTTTGCCTCGCCTACTCCGGCGGTCTCGATACCAGCTGCATCTGTATGAACATCCCCGGTCGTTGACACTCGTCTATCAATTGCGGATACTAATACCGGAATTCAGTGAAGTACCTCATCGAAGAGGGCTATGAGGTCGTCTGTTTCAGTAAGTCGCGATTCAATGCCATGTCAATTGAGATCAAGCACTAATATAAGCATAGTGGCCGATGTCGGTCAGGAAGGTAAATTCAATTCCGTCGACGGTATCATCCAACATCGGTCTAATAACCACTCGCAGAGGACTTCGAGGCTGCCCGCGAGAAGGCCCTGAAGATCGGTGCCCTCAAGTGCGAGATTATTGACATCCGCCGCGAGTTCATCGAGGAGCTTTGCTTCCCCGCCATTGCTTGCAACGCCGTCTACGAGGATGTCTACCTGCTCGGTACCTCCCTGGCTCGCCCCGTTATTGCCCGCGCCCAGATCGATGTCGCCAAGGTACGCTTTCCTTCTCCGCCAGAAGAGAGATTTCATACTGACTCAAACCTAGCGCGAGGGCTGCTTCGCCGTCTCCCACGGTTGCACTGGTAAGGGTAACGACCAGGTCCGCTTCGAGCTTGCCTTCTATGCCCTCCAGCCCGAAATCAAGGTCATTGCCCCGTGGCGCGACCCCGTCTTCTACGAGCGCTTCAAGGGTCGTCAGGACCTGCTCGACTACGCCGAGGAGAAGGGTATTCCCGTCACCTCCACTAAGTCTAAGCCCTGGTCCATGGATGAGAACCTTGCCCACTGCTCTTACGAGGCCGGTATTCTCGAGGATCCCGATACCACTCCTCCCGCCGACATGTGGAAGTTGACCCAGGACCCTCTGACTGCCCCCGATCAGCCCGAGGACTTCACTCTCCACTTCGAGAAGGGTGTCCCGTCAAGCTCGAGTACCTCGAGGATGGCAAGCAGAAGGCTGTTACCGACTCCGTCGAGCTCTTCCTCACCGCTAACGCCATTGCCCGCCGCAACGGTGTCGGCCGTATCGATATCGTCGAGAACCGTTTCATCGGTATCAAGTCTCGCGGCTGCTACGAGACCCCCGGTCTCACCTGCCTGCGCTCCGCCCACCTGTGAGTATTGTATTGCGAAATTCTGATGGCATAATTAACTTGTGTCCAGTGACCTTGAGGGCCTTGTCATGGACCGTGAGGTCCGTGCTCTGCGCGATTCTTTCGTCACCTCCAACTACTCCAAGGTAAGCACGATATTTCCGGTATTAGTTTCTCTAAACTAATGTATCCAGCTCCTGTACAACGGCATGTACTTCTCCCCCGAGCGCGAGTTCCTTGAGAGCTCCATCACCGCTTCCCAGAAGACCGTCAACGGTAAGGTCCGTTGCCGCGCCTACAAGGGCACGGTTTCCATCCTCGGTCGCTCCTCCGAGACCGAGAAGCTCTACGACATGACCGAGTCCTCCATGGATGAGATTGGTGACTTCTCCCCGCCGAGACCACTGGCTTCATCAACGTGTCTGCCATTCGTCTCAAGAAGTACGGTCAGATGAAGGCCGCTGCTGGTGAGAGACTGTAAATTGTGTCTCCAAAAATATGACATATCATCTTCAATTTTGAATGATTGGAATGCCACATGTTGACCGTCCCTGGCTTCCTCGGGCCAAAATGTCACGTCTCCTTGTCCAATGTTTCACCAATATATGATGGATGGGCTTGGGCTTGAATGACTGTATAATGAACTAGAAAATATTAACACTATGGGAATTGGTATTTAAAATGCAATGTCTTGGATGAATTCAATGATCCCGTCTTTATTACGTCCACGTAAACCCCTGCCTCCAACACTTGAACGAAGGGAAGTGTTACATTTTCTAAATATATTTACTCTAATTCCGCTCGCTATATGGTAACAAAAACTGAGATATGAGCAGGAGATGCATGTTACCGGCTGCACCTACTGGCAATATGGAGGTGATAGTTATGTATATATGTATTTGAGCTAGATATCAATAACGAAATGCACATAACAGAATATGTATGATAGAAGGAAGGTATGTGTTTTTAAAACATGTAATTTTTGCTAGCTGGGTGGGTGTATAATAAACACAGCAGATGCCGCCAACGAACGCCAGAATATGCTTGAGTGAAGGGATTGCATTGGTGGAAGTAGTTGGAAGAAGAATAGAAAGCAGGCGATAAGGAAATGGAAGTGACGCATAAGTCATGGGTCGTCGTAAGAGTTGGATGGATCGGAGTGGTTGCATGGAGCGTACGAAAGTGCATATCCACCCATTAATGACAGCGGGGGAGGATGGAAATATGTATGTACAAATTATGATTCTGTCGGGTGGCAAGGATTGGGGAGTTAAGAGGAAGAGGTGAACATAAGTCGTAGCCGGCTGGGACCTTTCTTTTTCTCCTTGGGCCGTTTCTCGGTTTCGGAGACATAGGTGCCATGTTTAGATGGTGTGCGACTGGGGGCGTGACTGGGAGCACGACTAGGGCCTCGACTAGGAGCTCTGCTGGGTGCTCTGCTAGGTGCTCTGCTGGGGGCCTTTGATGGTGCCTTGGATCTGGAGGAACTTCGTCCGAAGAATCCACTCGGTGCCTCGGAAGGAGCTTTTGATCTCCGTTCGTGCCGCTCTGATGGTGCATGTGTCGGAGCCCGGGTGGTGCGTGAACGGCGGGAGCGACGGGATGAAGCGACCGATGCATCTTCCTCGAATTTGAAACGAGGATCGCGTCGCGCGCGCGCAGTGGTCACATCGATGCCCGACATGGCCGCTGCGGTGGGTGTGATGAATTCGCCATCAACAGATGTCCCAACGCTGTGGGCTTGCTCGTCAGCGACGCCGCGTCTCCACATCTCAACAGAACTGAGAGCTTCTGTGTTGAATTCCATCATTTCTTCCATTTCCAGTTCCGTCTCGACGGGCTTTCCTTCTTCCTCGGCAGTGCCACCTTTGATTCTTTGGATGATTTTGTATCCTCCAAACATGACCACCGTCGCGCCTAGACCGACACCGGCGGCGATGAGGAATTGAGGACTGGAAAGAAGAGCGAAGACGGCCGGCGCAGCTGATTTGAGCGCAGTTAATGCGGCGGGTGCCATTTTGCGCCCCAGGTTGCTGATCTCCGCCAGAGTCAAGGCGACCGCGGCCATGGCATCTGGGTTCTTCTGGAGATGGGCGATAGTGGCAGTAGCACCATGTTGCACACAGTGTGCTTCTTCGAGAAGCCACTGTGCCCGGTTGACCAGAGTATCAAGCTGTTGTTGATCGTCCTTGGGCTCCGGGGGGCTGTATCGAGATAAGGCTGCATGAGAGGCGTCCCCATATGCAAGGTCCATGTCGATATGCGCATCAGATCTAGACCGAGCCGTTGATGGGCGAGGGGCGTCTCGGACCGACACATCGTGATGGGTATGACGGCGGGCGAGTGTCTGCGGGGGATCGTAATGAGAGTCCCGCCGCGATACAACTGTCTGTTCATCACCGTAGTGGGACGAAGCACGATGACTGCGGCCGCTGTGATGCCTTGAGCGAGTCCCACGGCTCCGCCGTGAGGGAGCTACTGATGGTGAGTCATCGATCTGATAGTTGGCGAGTCCTTGGAGTGCCTGTTGCTCCGCAATTTTTGCATTCCGTTCGGATTGGAAGGCGGACTTGCGCTCACGATAGGCGTTTTTGGCGTGGCTGAAAACACCGAATAGTTGCTTACTCTAATACTTGTCAGAATGCGGGGTCAGGTCTCCGCTGGGGATCGAACTTACGGTGCTCACAACTTTGCCGGACTTATCAATCACAGCGATCGTTTGACCGAAAGGTGCCATAGCAAATAATAAGTCGTTGCGACGACCTTATCGATAATCAGTCATCAGATGGTCGAGATCGACAGTCGACAAGGAAGCGGTGTAGGGTAAAAAATGGGTTTAAAAGAAATGTCCGGGGTATAGATCAAGCATCGAAGAACCAAGCAGGGTATAAAAGAATAAGCAAGACGCACCCCTACTCCGTAGAGAATTCTCAGTTAATAAGGCAGTTGGGTTGTTAACCTCAGGCCTTGATCAGCGCAAAAGGTCCGATCGCAAGCGTCCCAACAGGGTTTTAAGGCATAAAAGTGATGCGGAACAAGGAGGCTGGGGATCGAGCGCATCCACGTTGGGCAGAGCGATGAACAGGGCCAGGCTGCAGGAACTATACAGGGCAGAGTAATTGGGTGCCACTTCAGAAGGCAGACACGTATCAAAGGCTCTCGGCAGGTTCGATGAGCTCACATCACATATCATCGAAAGCTGTTGGGCGCCAAAGTCGATCTTTGCTGCAATGTCCCGGGACCCGGAAGAGAATTTTCAGGGAAGACGAGATCAGATTATTATATTTAGATCTAAGAGAAAAAAAAAGGAAAAGCAATAATCCCTTGACGTAGATACATAGTCTGTCTGTATTGACAGTCAGCTGTTGGACTGTCCAGGCCCTTCGGAGAAAGAAGGTGTGTAAAGAGCGGTGACATGTGACATCTGATTGGCTGACGGTGTCACCGCCACTGTGGCTGGTGTAACCCAATGTCCAGGTCAGCCACCTCATGTGTGGCGGTGCTGGGGCTTTAGCATGTGAGGCGTGATGGCTTTGGAGACTTATTTCGCTTCTTTTCCCTCCAGGGATATATATTGTCTCTTTAATTATTAAAGGTATATTCCCGCAATGATGATTTGAAGACTAGGGATGACGCCATTACTGTTGTATCACTCGATTCCGAGTCATTCTCAGGGGTTTTGTAAGATAGCCCTGGACATTGATCACACACGGCCTGCAGGCCAATGTTTCCAGCCGAGAATTGAAGGATGAAAGCCATCAGGGGTTGTACCCAGTATGTCTCAGGCAGGATCTTACCTATAATATTGAAAGCACATGTATCTCTCTCCCTTATCATTTAAAGAGCTTCCAAGATTTCAAGATTGGAGTGCAGATCAACATCGGTGAACATTTCGTTGTACTATCTCATGGACCTTTTTTATTGATACCCCAAGCTCACTCAACCTGGTCCAATACTGAATCTATCTTAAATCCTGAACTCCCTATATATTATGGTCGGCCGTCGCCCCAGTACCCCTTTAGCACGGCTATTGTGGGAGCCAAGGTGCGTTTCATAGATATGAATTCCAGAATTCAACCCCAATGAATGGACATGCGACCGTGGCATAGACAAGCCAAAAATCAATCCGACTGATCATTCTTTTTTTTTTCTGTATAGAAGGACGTTTTGTCGAGATCCAAGGCATGCTAGGGATGGTGAGTCAAATATTTTATCGATGGTGCAATATCTTCTTATTGTTATTGCTTTTCCTTTTCCCGTCCCGCCTTGATGATTCATATTCCTTTATATTTCTTCATTTTGTTTAAAAAGCATTGAAGCTCTTTAACATCAAAAAAAGAAGAAAAAGAAGAAAAGCCGAATGGAGTGAATCCGGGAGAATTCCTGTGTTCTGTTTGGTTGATTTGAAGCGGAGATCATCCGAGAACACCAACATCATTTCACTCTTGCAAACTATTGCAAACCGAGTATATCGGACTAATCATGGATCTAGTCGAATCTGAGAGCGCCTCCGAGGAGGACCAGAAAATCTGGGAGTCTGATTCTCATCAAGTCGATGCTGCCCTCCCAAATAGTGACTGCGGCATCGGCCACCGTGTGCTCGCCAGTCGCTCCGTTCTCGCTCTAGCCGTTGATGAACACTGTGTTTTCGCTGGTTTACAAGGAGGAGATATTGTTGTAAGTTAATTTGAATGCTTTCAACTTTCAAAATGTCTACAGCAATGTTCTTCTGAGGCTCGAGGTTGACCGTTTCACCAGGCGTGGTCCCTTGAAACCTATGATCTGGTGGTATCTGTCCACGCACACAAAGAGAGTGTGCTAGGCCTCTATCTCTCTGAAGATGGAAATTTACTATTTTCAAGCGGGGGTGACTCCGTGGTCAATGTGAGTCATTCAAATGAAGAATCTCACGAACCGGGATTAATGACGCGGATAGGTGTGGTCCACGCGAACATTTGAACGTCTCTACTCCATTTATTCACACCACGATGTGGGCGATATATTTACAGTAGTCTATTCATCGGATAACCAAACTATTTACTGTGGTGCGCAGAATACAAGTATACAGGTACCTGACCCTTGTCTGCGCCCCTATTTAACGACATTCTAACTCGGACAGTGGTGCGATCTCTCTGAGGAAGGGTCAACATTGAACCAAGCACCATCCGTCCATCCATCCAAGCGCACACATCGCTTCTTTGATTCCCGAGGGCCGGACGGTACTCGCGCTCCTGGATCATCGGATGGTGCTCTCTCTGACGGTGGTCGTGTGTTGAGCTTCAAGCGGGATCACCATAAGCTCTTCGCGCACCATGGCTACGTCTACTGCATGCTTCTGGTCAAGGGTCTGGTCGAGACCGCCCCTGCCGAGGAGGTTCTTTTGACTGGGGCGGGCGACGGTGTGGTGAAGTTGTGGCGCCTGGGTAAGGATCCTGGTGCGGTCCCATCCCAAATTGCCAAGCTGCAGAACGGAGATGCTGTGTTGAGTGTAGCCGTTGAGGGATCACTGCTCTACTGTGGTTTGGCTGGCGGTGCCCTTAACATTTGGAATCTGGACTCTCACCAGCTTGTTAAACGGATCACTAGACATACTGGGGATTTGTGGGCTGTGCACGTTATCCAAGGTGTCGCTATTTGTGGGGACTCTAGTGGAACGGTCAAGGTATGTACCGATCTAGACTTCCGGCGCCTTCGAATTGACTCCCGCTAACCACCGGTAGAAATTCAACTCCCGATTCGAAGAGGTTGGTGGCTGGGTTGCTCATGAGGGCACCATGCTTGCCTCGGCCGCCGGACGGTTCAAGGATCGCCATATCTATGCTACCGGAGGAAATGACAATTCAGTAGGAATTTGGGATTTGACTGAATTCTTTATGACCCAGGAAGAGCTGCCTCCGATCAGCAACGGTACGTCTCATATAAGCTATTCGTTCGGACATTTGCTAAAATATACCCAGACGAAATGGTCAACAGCCTTGCGAAGTTTGTCTCTTTCAAGACTATCTCAGCAAGTCCTAAATTCGCTGGCGAATGCAACCAGGGTGCTGCTTTCCTTCGGCGACACTGCAACTACCTCGGTGCCAAGACGAAACTCCTGACTACTGGCCAGGACACCAATCCCATTGTTTTTGCTAGATTTAACGCTACTTCACCTGAAAAGGTGGACAAGACAATCCTCTTTTATGGCCACTATGACGTTGTGGGCGCAGAAACGAACCGAGCTAAGTGGAGGACTGATCCTTATCAGCTCACTTCCATTAACGGATTTCTGTACGGCCGTGGTGTCTCTGATAACAAGGGGCCCATTTTGGCATCACTGTATGCCGCAGCCGATCTCGCCCGGACAAAGACCTTGCGGTGCAACGTCATATTCCTCATTGAGGGCGAGGAAGAGTCCGGGTCCCAGGGTTTCCATGAAACAGTCCGCGAGCACAAGGCTCAGATCGGATCCGTGGACTGGGTTCTGCTAGCCAACAGTTACTGGCTTGACGACTACAACCCGTGCTTAACCTACGGGTTACGCGGTGTCGTGCACGCCAACTTGGTCGTTACAAGCGACCATCCTGATCTTCACAGTGGTATCGACGGAAGTACATTGCTGGATGAACCAGTCAAGGATATTGCCATGCTTCTGTCTACAATCGTGGGACGCAAAGGTAAAATCAATCTGCCTGGCTTCCATGATGCTGTCAGGCCTCTCACGGATGCCGAGCAGAAGCGGTTCGAGGCTATCGCCGATGTATTGCTTGTGCAGCACCCGGAGATCCCCGACAGCCAGGCGCTGATTAAGTCGTTGATGCATCGCTGGCGTGAACCCGCCTTGACCGTTCACTCGGTGGAAGTCCCTTCAAGCAAGAGCGCAACGACCATTGCGCGCCGAGCCAAAGCAACCCTATCGATCCGTATCGTACCGGATCAGCACGCCGACGAAGTCGCAGCCGACCTCACCGCCTATGCGCAAGAGCAGTTCGCGCTGCTCGACTCACAAAACGACCTCACAGTCGAAATCACCGGAAAATCCGACGCCTGGCTGGGAGACCCAGATAACGAAATCTTCGCCACGCTGTCAGAGGCGATCACGGCAGCATGGTCCCCGGCCCAAGAGGCCCCCAAACACCAATACCCGCCCGTCCCACAACCCACAAACACTCGCCCAGCGACCAAGCCCAAACCCAGCGCGGGCCCAATCCCCGAACTCCGTCGCGAAGACTCCTCTGACAGTCTGGCGTCGCACGTTGAGCGGGTAATCACATCGATAACGACCTCATCAGCGGGCAAGGAAGCCGCGCGCAAACGGTCCACGCAAGCAGCCGCTACTGTGCCAACGTCCTCCACCCTCACACAAGCCACACCAACACCGACGTCGACTGAGGAGTCAGTCGCATTGCCAATCCGGGCCAAGTCTGATCCGGTTGCCACAACCTCACCGAGAAATGGACCAGATGTTGCATCTGGCGCAGCCAAAGTGAAACCAATGTTCATCCGTGAGGGAGGGTCCATCCCGACCATCCGGTTCCTGGAAAAGGAGTTTTCGGCCCCGGCAGCTAACTTGCCTTGTGGGCAGGCGAGTGACAACGCCCACTTGGACAACGAGCGTATGCGGGTGGAGAATTTGTATAAGAGCCGGGAGATTTTCCGGTATGTGTTTGCTAATTTGGTGGACAAGTCTTGAGTTGTGTCTCTTTTGGGTCTTTGTAAAATAACTTTAAAATGCATTTGATGTGTATCTTTTCCGGGGCTGTGACTTTCCTTACACGTTCATTACATCTGGTGTTCTCCAGACCATAGCCCACACATTCCACACCAGCTCTCAATTAATCTTTGACTCCATAAAGGGCCAAGATAACGCCTCGAGATGGACCTCGGGATCAACTCACCGTTTCCCCCTACTCCACCCCTTATTGTGTCCCCAAGGCCATTAAGTTAAGCAGTTAGGCCTTTGAGCTGTTGTATGGGGTACATTCCCGCTTCTGATGTGCGACGTCGGAGACTTGGGCATTTCTCGATTCTTAGTTTGACTATCCACAGGTGTCTCGTATAGATACAGCCCCTCCTCCACAGGAAGCTTAATGCTGTCTGGACATTGGATATTCCTGAGTTTGATGCGGCGGCCAGGATGTCGCTAGCCTGGAAGAAACTCGGTCCTAAGCCGAATGGGGGCTTCCATGCATGATGCTGTCTTTGTTTGAGAGGGCGCTACGCAGAGCCCCGGGAACCTTCCATGCTGTGTTCTAAGAAGAGTATTGGACAGGTCAATTTTGCGTTTCGATCGTGGCCCGGGGGAATTTGATATACTTTATGGTTATGCTTGGCATGGGGATCGCTGGATGGGCTTTCTTTGTTTGCTGGCGTCCATGGATGGAGATCGAGGTTTGGATATTTCATCATCAAGATATAAGAAGAAGACGCCGGTCACCTTTGATTAACACTGATCAAACACATTTCTGTTTCTAATTCTCTTCCAAAATGAATCTTCTCCCGTTTCAGAAACTGCTCTCCAGTTTGTCCAGACTTCTTAAGGTCTTGGCCAATATGGGGAGTATCTCTCATCAAGTCTACCTGCTAGATCGAGATGAGGCGGAGACTAAACGGTATGTGTTTACTCTGTTGGACTATGTCACATCTTTCAATTCATTTCCTATTTAAATGCTCAAATCAATGTTGGAAAATACCCCAAATATCCCTGGTATTTCCTGAGATATTGAAGATCTCTAGATCTTTGATCTTCGATCTTCCCTGTCACCTGCAGGGGTTCCGACCCGACAGTTCGGTATTGGCTGATATTTCGATAGTCTCAATAACCAACATCGCTTTCTCGTCGATCTCTCCAATCTCATTCACCCGTCTATTCCAAGTGATCTCACAGCAGTAGCTGATATAGGCACTGGCACAGGGTATGTTGTTTTCCCTAACACTTTTATTTTTCAATTTGGTGGAAAACATAAGCAAACCCACCACAGCGTCTGGCTCGAAGATGTCGCCGAAGTCCTCCCCAATAAGTCAGTCTACCTCCACGGCTTCGACATCTCCTCAGACCTATTCCCACGAGGCCACCAAATCCAACGACCTGGCCAAAAGCCAATCCCACTAAGTGTCCACGACGCACTGCACCCATTCCCAGCAGAGCACCGTGGCCGATACGACCTCGTGCACATCCGACTCCTAACAGCAGGCCTGAAACAAGCAGATTACACACGTGTTCTCACCAATGCGCGCGCTTTACTAAGTATGTCTTCCCTCGTCTCCCCTTCTCTTCTCTTATTCCCATCAAAACAATAAATACCGTTAAGCTCGAACCCAACTAACAACCACAGAACCAAACGGCTGGATCCAATGGGAAGAAGTCGACCACACGGCTTTCTGCACAAACGCAACACCAGAACTACCAGCAATAACCCGGCTGCGGGAATGCGTGATCGAGGCCATGCTGAAACTAGGCCTGTGGCCGTTCGCTCCGCAGCGCGTGTACGACGAGATCTCTGCGAACGGGTTTGCCGACGTCGTCCGTGAGACGTACACCACTGCCGGGAAGGAGGATATGCAACCTATTGCGAAGAAATGGGTTGCTGGTGTGATGCGTGCGCTGGTGCCGCCTTCTATGGTTGCTATCGGGCAAGCTGAGGATACCACGCAGGCACATGGGATTGTTGAGGGGTTGGTTCGGGAGTTTGAGGCTCATTGTGAGTCTGCGACGGCGCTGGTTAACTTTGGGGTTACGGTTGGTAGGAGGGTGGATTGATACTTTGGTTGGGATTATGGTTGGTTTTACTGGGAGGCTCTTTTGTTTGTTTTCGATGCCATTCAACTAGCAGATTCCACGATTGGAACGTGTGATTCATTCAACCCTTCTACAATGTGAACGGCGGACCTGTGAATTACGCGATGTGGTTAGTTTTGCCTTTCTAGGTTCAGCATCCCAATACACTGTCCTGTAACCTCTCCTTCACATCGCCCGACATAAAAGACCTGACCTCGCTCTTACGACCTCTTTTTCTACTTTCCCTCCCTTCTCCTCTATCTTGCACTCATCGCCACAAGGGTGGGGAAAGGGTACGTTCCTGGCCCTCAAAATAGTGCCGCAGGAGGTTTGCCATAGCGATCTGCACTAGTCTAGACCAGCAATAGGGAGAACTGAAACAATGTTGCACGAAAGGACCTGAGTCAGTTCCTTTGCAATCCAATGTTGCTCCTCGTGACGTGCCATACCTTTTGCTGTCGGCAGGCTCGTGCTGGACACGAGTAGCTGCCGAAAATGGAATAGCTCAAGTGAGGCTGACTTAGTGGGTGCATCTTTGCCAACTTCAATGTTGTCGCCATGTTTCCCCCGATGACTTCAAGTCATCCGTATTGAAACAGACGGGTACACCTGAAACGGTACGCTTAGCCTACATATGTAAACAGGAGTCAGTGATTAACTATAAAATACGAGGTTATTGGTTACCTACCTCTGGATTTCTGACAGTAGAGGAAATTGGGCCTCTGCTGTTGTAAATATGTATCATCAATTATACTATACAGAATCAGAGCGATGGGCTCTGGTGCCAAATTGGGGGTTTTCGGACTTACCTAGGTACTACTATCAGCTGCCGTAAGCTCCCCTCCCTTCAACACCCCACCGCCCCTTTTTTCTTTTCTTTTCTACTGCGTAAGGCTCTTAGCGAGGTTGCATGCTTTGCAGAGTTGGCCACAATTGCGGAGGTCGGGTGAAGTGACAGATTTTGGTCTGCTGAAACGGCCCCCATCGATTGCACGGGTAGTGGACCGTGTTGATGCTGATCCCCCTGCTAAGTAGTCCAACTGGATACTCGAGACTAAAGGCTCGTTCAGGGGCTTTTTTCCGCGGTACTACCGGTCCCCTTACCGGGTTTGTTAATGACTATCTGCAACATTATACTAGGAAAAAGATGATCACGGATAGTGTTTTCCGGATCCGCATATTCAAGTATACTCTGGACGTCGTATAGAACTCTTAACGAAAATAATCACAAACCAAGTCTTCTGCTGGGGATCCATGGAGTAGCCAATGACATGCATAATTTTAATTTCCTACACATGCCATTCTAGGAGAGTGGTATTATTCGGCGGCACTATTCGGCGGCGCTATTTCTTTCTGTTGATGCCATGTAAAGAGAACTTCGAGTTACAGCTACCACTACTGACTGCCACTAATAGTGCCTAACTACCACATCCATCGATCCACCTATTCACTCACACCAACACAGTAGTATATATCTTTCTGGAACATAGTCCCACACTCCTTGCCACCATCACCCAAAACTGTGTTCCACTGGTACAACTGCTTGGGAGTAATGTCGTGATCCTTAGCGAAGTCAATGCAGTTATCGCCATCCTTGGCCTTGGCATAGTCACTGCAGTTGTCCGCAATGCTATTCGACTGGGTGGGGGACGGGACGGCTCCGTTTGTCGATGTGGGAGTTGCGGTCGTACTGGTAGACTTGCTACTAGTGCTTGTGTCTTTATCAGTGGTTGATGTCCGAGGGGTCGATGTGCTCGTGGGGGTTGGGCTAGATGTCGACGAAGAGGTCGAAGTTGTAAGCGGCGTCGAAGGCGCCGGCGTACCAGGCACAGCCCCGAAGACGATGCACTCGCCCCAGGTCCGTCCATACAATACCTGTACTTCTTGCTGAAATCGCAACTGGTAGAATTCGATTTCTGGTTCTTCAGCGACGGATTCCACCTGAGCAAGTCTGCTTGCGAGATTTCCCAGAAGGTACCGGCTGCTTGGCAGTTGCTGACGCCCGTGTAGTTGTATTGAAGATCGCGGCCATCGATGAGGCTTCCGCAATCCTTCAATGTGCCTGGGGCGATGGGGAGCGGGTCAGGGTTATTTACAGGCGTGTAGGTTGCGTCAGGGAGATCACCCCAGGGGATCTTGGAGACAGAAGGCATGTAGCCTGGGGCACCGGGGTAATTGTCCATGTCCTTGACGGGCTTGACGCAGTAGCTGAGGCCAGCTATGAAGTTTGTGCAGCTAGGCATGTCAGTTATGGTTCCAAGATGGGGAGTGGAAGACTTCAAACTTACTTCTGGTTCAGGCCCGGGTTCAAGATGAGGAAATTGGCACGGCTTATGGGGAAATTCTGGACGATTGTGTCACAGGTCTCATTGCTCTTGGGCGTGTAATACTCGCCACAGTTCTTGGTGCTGTTTTGGGCGAGGTTGGTCGGGACAGAGACGGCCGACGAAGCCGTGGGTGAGCCAGTGGCAGAAATAACGGAGGATGGAGCGTGGTATTTCTCCCCAGGCTCATCCATGCAGATTTCTGTGCCGATGGTGCGGTTGAAGTTGTAGCAACCGCCGTCGATCCATGGGTTGTAGGAGCGCAACTGGACTCTCGTGATATTGTGTTCCTTCGCGACACTCTTACAGGTGTCTCCCTTTTGGACTGTGTAAGTAGTGCAATGGTTCTTGATGCAGAGGTCACCAGACTTAGGGGAAGTTGGCGCAGTAGGCTTGAAGTTGGTTGTCCATGAGGAGTTGGTAGGTGGCGACGCTCTGCGACTTGGAGACCGACTCGCAGGTGTCTCCCTCCTTGATGGTGTACTTCTTGCCGCTGCAAGTACTGGCCGTTGGGGTAGCTGCTACGGATGAAGTGAGTGTGCTGGATCTACGGAGCATTAGTATTTGTTTAAGCGGTTCGTCGATAAGCTAACATACAGATGAGGAAGGGACACAGTCGAACTGGGAGACACCGTCGGCTTGGCAGTCACTGGGTACCCTTTGAATCCGCAAGAAGAGGTATAACTGGGGTACGCGCTCGAATACACATCAGGTCCGCTGCCGTAAGGATACCGGGCCTCGTTGCGAAGCTTCAGCAAAAGGCACTTGTTGCAGTCATCTCCACCGTTCTTGGTGAGGTTACCCAGAACGATATTGCAGTAATTGCCTTGGTCCTTCAAGCAGGTCTGCTGGAAGTTGAAAAGAAGAGTGTCGGCGACCTCAGAGATGGGATACACTGTGCCCCATTCGTTGCTGTAAGTGGCGCCGGAGCATCCGGCAGCCACAAATTTTCTGTACTCCAGCAGCTCGTCGCGACAGTCGTTCGTGCAAATCTTGTCAAGACCATGCTGCGAGTAAAAATTATTGGAACTGAGACTGCGCACAGCCGAGACGCAGGAAGTTAAATTGGTAGTGAGTGCGTCTGCACACTGATCATTGTAGTCACCGACAGAATTGTCAGGAACGGGTTGAAAACAGGTAATGAGTGTGAAAAGAGAGAGAAAAAGAGTGTACCGCGCAAGCGAATTAACGAAAGACATGGTCGGAAGCATATGGGCGGACTAGTTGGGGGACTGGCCGAGGCGGATGTTCTTTCATGTACAAAGCATTCCAAGGTTATATGTTATCGATAGTGCCAATTGATACATAAGCATTGACCCCATCGCTCTGCTGCGGCTTTAAATTGCGATGCGCCGGAGAACCTCCCCTTCGGGCAAAATGTAGCGTTTCTTAGGGTCTTTTTCCACTTCGCGCTCCACATCTCGTGTCTACCTTGAGTCTGAGCCGCTGAATCTGTCGAGGTGCGTTTGGCCCTTGTGTTTCCTCGCACATCTAGTCCCTTTACGTACATTTGGCCCCCTCCTGGCACGCCTAAATTATGCAGAAATTCGGCAGAGACTATGCGCGGCTGAATTCTCCTCGTTCTTGGCACAAGCTGGGATTGGAGGGAATACAAGCTAAAAGAAACTAAAGTCGTAGCCTCGTGCGTGGTTTATGTTTTTGGCCCCCGGGTGATCGGCGATCAGGCACAGTTAGGGTTTGATTGGCTGACTGTCTATACTTCGTCAAGACTCTTCCCACTGTCTACCCCCGCCGAAAAAGGAGTTGTGGTTGTCCGAAGTAATTTTGGGAGATCGGCTGTCCCTAGCTTGAGATGCTTCTCGCGGGTTTTATAGTATTTAGTCCTCCACGGACGGCCCTCACGGTGGTTCAACCCGTTCATTCCTTCATTCCTTCATTCATTCATTCGTTATTTCGTTCATTTGTGATTCAATCATTTTTTTTTTTTGCTTTCTCCCTCACCATGGCTCGAGGGTTGCTGAGCCTGTTCTTTCTTTTATTTTTTCTTTCAATTGCTATAGCCGATCTTGCCGGAGACCTGGGTAGCGAGTTAAGCTCACTAAAACTTCTCGGGGATGACAAGTACAGCTGCAGCAAAGATAAGCCATGCTCGAATGGAGCCTGCTGCGGTAAAAACGGTGTCTGTGGCTTCGGTAAAACCTACTGCGGTACCACCGGCGAGTCTCCCAACGATGCCTGCTGGAGTAATTGCGATGCACATGCAGAGTGCGGCAAAGATGCAAAAGAGCCTGGCAAAGCCTGTCCTCTCAATGTCTGCTGCAGTGAATTTGGTTTCTGTGGTACCACCGCAGAGTTCTGCGGTGACGGATGCCAAAGCAAGGACAAATGTGAACAGCCTGACTCTGGTGCCTCTTCCGGCAATGTCCAGGAGCGCATCATCGGATACTACGAGGCATTCAAGTATGATTCGGACTGCCAGGGCATGAAAATCAAACAGATTCCCGTTGAGAGCTTAACTCATGTTAACTGTACGTCTCCCTTCTCATCATCATCTGGCCTGGATTACTGATTTTCAAAAGATGCCTTCGCCTATATCGACCCTGATAGCTACGACATTGGTCCCATGCCCGAAGTCGAGGAGAAAACCCTGAAAGACTTCACTGCTCTCAAGGAGCGCAACCCACATGTTGTTCTTGGTGTCTCGCTCGGTGGCTGGACCTTCAACGACAATAAAACAGAGACGCAAAAAGTCTTCGCCGAGCTCAGCTCCACGGAAGAAAACCGGTCCAAGTTCATCGACAAGCTTCTCTCCTTCATGCGTCACTATGGCTTCGACGCCGTAGATATCGACTGGGAGTATCCCGGTGCTCCTGATAGACAGCCCAAAGACTGGGACTCAACGGACGATGGCAAGAACTACGTGAAGCTCTTGCAGGACATCCGGAAGGCCTTCGATGACCAGGACCTTGAGTACGAGCTCTCCTTTACTGCCCCAACTTCTTATTGGTACCTCCGCTGGTTTGACATCCACGAAATGGTCAAAGCCGCAACTTATATGAACCTGATGAGCTACGATCTCCATGGTGTCTGGGATTCTAGCAACCCAATCGGTAGCCACGTCCTCGGGCACACCAACATGACCGAGATAAACCAAGCCCTAGATCTTCTCTGGAGAAACGACGTCCCGGCTAAGAAAGTCAACATGGGCCTGGCCTTCTACGCCCGAACCTTTGAGCTCAAGGATAAGAAATGCAACAAGCCCGGCTGTGCCTTCAAGCACGGCGGCAAGAAGGGAGCCTGCACTGACACCGAGGGCATTCTTTCCTACAATGAGATCGTCGGAATCATTGCAGAGGACGACATCAAGCCGGTCTACGACAAGGAGAATGCAATCAAGTATCTCGTCTGGGATGAGAACCAGTGGATCTCATACGACGACCAGCAGACATTCCAGCAGAAGATCAAGTTGTTTAACGAGAAGGGCCTAGGTGGTCTCCTTATCTGGGCCATCGACCAGGATACCCGGAATCTCGATGCCCTTCGTGGTGTTCTGTACCCTGAGGACGTTATCATGACGGACAGTATGAAGGATGACACCAGCTACTGGGAGAGCCAGCATCCCGGTGACTGTAGAACTACGGAGTGTGGTAAGCCCTGTGGTCCGGGCACCGTTGAAATGGACACTTTTAAATGCCCTGATGGTGGGGATAAAGGTGACTCCCGCATCTGCTGTCCTATCGCTGCTGCTCCTGACCCGCAAACCTGCCACTGGCGTGGTGGTGAGTCTGGAAGTCTTTGTAACGGGCAGTGTCATGGTGGTGAAGTGGCCTTGGCTTCGGCCGTTGATGGAGGCAACGGCCACTGCTCAGATGGTACTATTCCCTCTCTTTCATTCCCAAGTTCAAGTTGATTAACCATCTCAGGACGTCAATTTTACTGTTGCCCCATCCCAGAGGTTGCTGCTGGTGGCGGGATTAACTGCGGCTGGAAGGACACGTGCTCGGACGACCAAGAGCCCTTGACGTTTGCCGGAACATTCTTGGAGGCTGTCTCCGATGTGTTGGATTTCACCGGCTTGGTTGGCCAAGCCCTGGCTGATTACCTACGCGACGTCGACATGGAAAACGAACGGCAATACTGCTGCTCCAAGGAAGAAATCCAGAACTGGAAAGACTGCTACTGGGCTGTATGTCTTGTTTTATACCTACCAGTATAACTTTAGCTGATACTATGACAGGGAAGAGGTGGACGATTCGCGGATAGCTGCGACGACAACCACTGCAACACCGGGCACGAGGTTGAGCTTACCCTAAGTCCGTATGGCGAAGGAGAGGACTGTATGCCTACGTGAGTTATATCGAGTCATAACTCTAATCAGTGCTAGCTGACACAGACTAGTTCCCGCCAACGAGCCTTCTGCTGCACGCCTGCAAGTGGTGAATCGTTGTTCCTGCCAGTTCCGTTGGAGTATCTCTTTGAGAACCCTCCGGAAAATGCTGATGACCCGGATTTCAACCTCTCGGTGGATGACACCTGGGGCACTGGTAACGCTAAGGGTGATTCCGAAGAGGAGCCTGATGTATGTATCCTACCTACTGTACCCTAATGGAACCGAAAAGGCTGACGAATTTAGGATGCTGCTTTCGGATTCGTGGTTATTACTGCTCCTGAGGAGGTCCAAGTCAGCTTGGACAAGCGTGATGGCTCGCCCTGGGAGTTGATGGATTGCCCCGACACCGATAGCGAAGAGGAGCATACCATCCGCATGGTTTGTACCGAGTCTAGCGAGGACAGCAAGTGTGACCACATTCACCGTGGACAGGGCGCTCCTGGCACTATTCTGCAAATGCCTAATGGCTGTGGCCCTGGTCGTTACGCCGTCGCGAAGGAGTTCAAGGAGTCCCAGAACCAGACCCTCCCCGGACATCTGAACAAGCGTGACCTTGCTAGGAGATCTGTCTACGACCTGACATTTGACTATGACTTCAAGCGCGTCCCTCGTGACTACGGTGACGCCATGATGCGCATTGACTATAGTAACCAGCCTGGATACTGGGACTCTGTTGTTGACAGACCCGGTGGTAGTGATGCCGAGCGAAAGAGCAAACGCGCAAAGCGAGATGAATCTGGCTTCCACAAAAACCGCAAGCGCTGGCTCGAAGAGGAATGGCGCGATGCGTATCACAATAATGGTATGGAACGCCACGAGATCCACAAACGTTGGTTCGGCGAGGATATTCTTAACTGGCTCAGTCAACTGATCACTGTTGGCGAGGCCGAGGCCACAAAGGAGCTTAACCATAAAGTTAATGAGAAGGTCGAGCTCATCCTGATAGATCAGCAGTTTGGACCGTGTCCTGTTGGTCCGGCCCAGGCCCAGGCGAACATTCGATCCACCATTACAGCTGAGATTGACGTTGAGACCTCCTTCGGTATCACCATCATCACCACCCTTACGCAGGGAATGGATCTCAGCAGATCCTATCTCTACTTCCGAAACGCCGGAGAGGTCAGCGCCAAGTTTGAACTTGATGCCGTCGCCTCCCTAACCTACTCTACCGGTGATATCAAGCTACTCGGTCTCGACGACTTCCCCGGCGCCACTTTCCGCGTGCCCGGAGTCGTCACAATCGGCCCTAACCTCGCCGTCTATGCCTCCGCAGATGCCTCCCTTGTCTTAGCGGGCCACCTCGAGGCAGACGTTACCCTCGCATCGTGGGAAATCCAACAGACGTACCCTCAAAGCGACGAACACCCAGACCAAGCCCTCGACGAGCCTGACCGCGAAGCCAAAACCATCGGCAAGCCCTCGTTTGATGCCTCTGTCACTGCCAACGGCGAAATCGCCTTACATCTCAAGCCCACTGTCAGCTTTGGAATCGACTTCGATGATCGATGGAAGGTACCCCGGTGCGCCGTTGATCTTGTCCTGGACGGCTATGTGATCGGACATGCAGAAGCCCACTACTCACTCAACGGCGACAACAGCTGCCCCTTCAGCTATGGCATTGATGCTGGCTCGGCAATGTATGCCCAGCTGGACGCCCCTGATGAGTTCGGTTGGGGTGATGACCTCCGTGTCACACTCGCGGAGGTGCCGAGGAAGCAAATCACGCCTTCGACTTGTGTGGGCAAGGGTGACAAAGATAAGCGAGCTTGGATAGGCTATGAGGCTTTCAATTCCTCTACGGAAGAATTCAACCCGCGCAGTGGCGGATTCATGCGTATGCCGGAGTATCACGCGGTTGCCAAGCGCGACACACTTACCCTTGGGCCGTTGGTGACTGTCCCCGATCGCTTCCTTAATTGTCCTGGGGAAGGTGGTGGGAAGAACTTCTGCGTGCTGTGCTCAATGTTTGGCGAGGATAGCAGCGACAGTGATAACCCCAAACAAGAGGTTCCGTCCCTGTTCCGTCGCGACGAAGATGATTCCTGTCCTTACTACCCGCCTGGCGATGGCGGGAAGTGTTACGATTCGGACTCCACGCTTTTTGAACGTGCGGACCCGCAGGAGACCAAAGTGATGACACTGAGTTTCGTGAATAATAATGCAGAATTTGCGTATCTGAAGTATCCCCGGTGTAACGCGAAGAACGATGGGCCGTCGGGTGTGGCGAAAGTAAGCTCTCATGTTACTTGTCTGTTTCAACGAAGGGGGAATGCTAACGATTATACCAAAGTGGTATCTTCCCGAGTTCATGCTCTCTAGCTCAAAGAATATCAACGACAACCGACGGTGCTCGGCAAAGACAACAAAGGAGAACACCGTCCAGTCAGCGAACAATAAGTACCTCGTCGATAATAACGCGAAGCTACCGGCTTCGGACTTCCGCTCGGAGCACATCTTCGAAGTACACCTAATAAGTCATTTCCTTGAGTGGGTGTGCGGGGGAACGACAGAACTCACGTATGGGCCAAACACCAAGCTTGAGTTCCCTACGGGTTGGACGCGCCCTGATTCTGCTTGGTGCCTGGATGTGTTTGGAGGTAAGAACTCCAGGAACATGAATAGCGAGTTGACATAGACTAATAATATTTGTACAGGTCCCAGTGGTGGAATGACTTGGTCGAGGAACAACGGTCCCAACAAGAACTGGGTCCAACATACGGCCGACTTCCTAGGAAGTGGCGCCAACCTTGACCTGCTCGTTCTCTATCACAAAACGCCCAACGGAGTCAAACAGGTCATCACCGAAGGAAAAAAGTCTAGTCTGCCGGGCGGTGCGAAGAGTGTAGCGGACAAGGTCATGATGAGCGCCACTGTTTTCGACTACCTGCGAGAGCTCAGCGACAAATGGACCAAGCCCAGCCAAAACGTCGAATTGATATCTGACGAATTCGACACGCAATACACCCGCCAATATGTCAACACCAAACCGGCGGGCAAGGCGCTCGGAATGCCTAAGGCCCCCCGCGATGTCAAGCACTGGGGCTTACGTACCCTATGGGCCTACTGGATCGACAGGCACCTGGACAAGGTTGAACAGGTGCAGGCGGATTGGCACAAGACTGCTAAGGGCAAGATGGAAGGCTTAGGCGTGAACGACCCAAACGCGAAGAAGTTTGCAGCCCAAACTATGATGACGGGCGATGCAGCAGTGGGGAACTTCAAGTTCCCACAGAAAAACCCGGGTAAGCCACTTCCCGGTACTGCGACAAGTTCATCAAATGATCAGAGTAAGTACGGAATGTGGGGAGACAATCAGCTAGGAAAGCTGGGCCTGTAGTAGATTTAATATTCGGGGTGTATATAAATGTCTATATATAGTGGTCAGACTTGAGACCACCTTGCCAGTAACTACTTCAAGAGTGTTAACTTATACAGCATAAGTTGAGTCGAATAGCCCTAACTGTCGATCTTCCCCTCGCTTACGTAAACATCCTCCCCTTGGAGTCCACGAAAGTCCGTTGCTCCCCTCATTTACTTCACAAGTCTTTTTTAAACTTAAATCTGTTTACTCTTCAAATAATCCAAACGCCCCAAGTCATCATGTCACAAAGTGAATGGCAGCAAGTGCGCACTTATGCTGACCATCTGGGTCACCGCGTGGTGCTCGAGCAGTACGTCACGCCAGACTACGAGCCTGACCCCGACCACATAATTCCCATTCAGGTCTACAGCCTTGTACCCCTGGATGACGACCATAAAAATCTCCGGCGTTACCTGATGCAAAGTTTCTGGGATGATGAGGTCAAGCCTTTGTTCGAGATTTATTCATACTGCCCGCCCGACGACTTTGCCTGTATTGAGCATAACCGTATTGAAATCGCCCGTCGCAAGCAACAACACCGGTCAGGGGTCGAGAATCCACTCCCGCTGATTCCGCGATTCATTCGTCCTGACGACTACTCAACCGTTGGGTTTTGTGTGCTACTGCGATCGCATAGCTATCGACTGGGCTATGTTGAGGACTCGGATGAGCTTGCTAAGCTGGGCGAAGGCCCGGACTTGCTCTACTTCAACCGCTCGTTTTCTAGCACCCGCAGTTATGTTGATAATGCGCAGCGTGAATCCGAGGACGACGAGAGTCTCTCGTCAGAGGGATTCGAATTGGCCACCCAGCGCGTCACGGACCAGATTTACATCGGCCAGATTCTCATAGTCGATATCTTTAACGGCGTCGGTCCCCCTCCGGAGCGATACGCCTTAGATATAGACGAGGGTGAGATACCCAGCTCGGATCTACCGTCAGAAGAGCAGATTCGCGACCAGCTTAGCCTAGAAACTTCAGTTGGCAGCTTCTCTCTTCATCCGGAATTCCAGGTTTCTCGGGATGCCAACATTGTAACAGTCACCAATACTCCTAAGGGCAAAACCCCCGATATTCAATACCTTATCCATGCGCTTTTTCTCAGCTCCATTCGCGATACAGCAGGGCCCTCCCTCTTAGAAAGCACAGCGCGCCTATTCACAGCGTCAATGTTCTCCCACCTCCCGGCCAATAAAACCCTTACTCTCAAATTCTTCATCCCAGATTCCCCTTCTTTGTCAGCCATTCGCCCCGCCCAAAATGAGGTTCTCGAAATTCTATCCCGGCAAACTCAAGAAGAGGACCGAGAGAATTCATTCCCCATCGGCGCCCTACACAACATCTCTATGGGCGACGATCAACCCCCAGCATCAAAACGCATTACTCCTCAAATACCCGAAAAACAGATCATCACAGGACAAGGGAGGTTCTGCGAGCTCTTTCGCCTGTTCACAGTTGTGCTCGATCGCGCCAAGTTTGTCTCCGAGGCCGGAGTTTACTTCTACATGGCGTACCTGGATGGGTCCGAGAATCCGGATCCTTCCATGCAAGACGCTCCCGATGATACGCAGGTTGTGCGGGGCGTGGACATGAGTACGGTTGCTAGACGGTTAGGGGTGGTTGTTCTTGACGGGTAATTGGGTTTGGTTGGGTGGTTTACAACATATTTTGTGAAGATATTATGCAAATTTTCTACTTTTTCAACTTTACGCGTATTTTACCTGCCGTAAAATGCTTATTCGAAGCTTCGTGGTCGTAAAAATAGACGGACATCTCTCTCAGATCGCCCTACCACTAATAACGCATTGGATTCGAATCAGGAAAATGCCTTAATTAGCTGGATCGAATTGCTAAATTCTTGCTATACATCAATATTTGGGAGAAATTTGGTCACACTCCCAATTGAGCTGCGTTGCCTCTGTCACGCGTAAGCCCTGATTGCGACAGGTTAAGAGATTTATCGGTGCTTGGGTAGGGTTAACAACCTGGTCGGGGCTTGGTGATCTTTGGATTGGTAACAATACTGCACAATACTGCACAATACAGATTACTTCCGTCTAACGTTCAACTGTTCGAGATTGTTAACAGGGCTAGGCGGGTGCGGAATACATAGTGAGGTACAGGGCAGGACGGCTCGGCATCCAAAGTTACTGGTGGAAACGCGGCCATTTTGGGCGTCAATTTCACAGGTACTCATATTCCACTTGTAAACGATGGGCTTGTGGAGTTGCTTTTCGAGTTACATCGTCTATAGTATCTAGAAATCATCCAGGAGTCTCATTATCTGATGACTCTGATAGAACCAACCACCCAACTGGATGCCTGGAGTATCCTGCCCGGTAATAAAGCCATCACGTATCTGCTGTTGCATCGCAAAAGAGTTCCCTCTTGTCTGAAATCCGGTTGCTTGGTTCATCGCTTGTTGGCCTTGGGCCTCCGTTGCTCCAGCAGGAGGAGCTGCCACAGGCTTTTGGGTCCCGTCGAGTGACCAATAATCTGGCGCCGTTGATAACGAAGGGGAGTGTGGACCAGAACCAAACCAAACAGTGTCACTATTGAGGTATGTGTTCATGTCCAGGTCGGTGAATTGACCGCTATCCATATCCCCTGATTGACTTCTTGCCTTGGCCTCAACGTACTTCGCAGCAACGTCACACAGGGTCTTCAAAATGCGCAGTTGCTTACTGCAGGAGGCATAGCGAGGGAATTGAGCCATTGAGTGCAAGCCGTCAACTAATCGTTGTAGGTAAGCCAAGTCTGACAAGTCGGACGTCTCAGTGATGTTGCAGAATAGGATTAAAAATGGCATGAACGGTGCTAATATGACGACTTCGTTGACCCACATGTCAAGGCTGAGAGACCACGATGTAGCGTCTGAAACCATGGCGATGCACACTTCGGTCTCATTTAGGGTCGCTCTCGCAGCTGAGATGCATTCTGGACAAGGTGCCAAGCTAGAGCTTTCCCCCGACGGGATGCCTCTATAGATACAGGCCAAGATAGAGTACTCGATAGCTCTGTTAGCATGTATGATAAACCTACACGGTTCAGCATGTATCGCATGGCTAGTCCACTGGTTTGGCCGTTTCTGAAGTACAAAATTAGCCCGAGTTAAAAAGCGAATGGGAACAGCCTACGTAGAACTCCACTCTCGCAGCCATTATTCTCTCAAGCTCACCGGCCAGGGCTCTGGCACGAGCCTCCCGGACGGAGACGGGCTGCGCCAACGCATTCGGACTATATATATTGTCATATACTCGCCCGTAGAGGTTTGCAAGATCGATCCAGTCTGGCAACCTGTTGTACAGCAGGGAACTCATCTTGCGGTCGAGGAGCAACCGTGGAACCGTGATGTCGTGGTCTCGAATTGTGGAGCATCTACCGAGACGTAACGACACTGCCTTCTCGATGACATAGAGTGCCCAGAACAGCCGTAGATTCTGCTGCGCTTTTTCCGCAGGTTCGGTTGCCATAACATAGCTGCTATGCATCCCAAGGGCCTGACTCATGAGTGAAGCCCTAGAAATGAATGCCCACGCCGCAAAGGGTTTGCCACATTGCAGGCAGTAAATAGCCTGTATTTGACACTGTGAATCAGAGTTGCCACAAAACAGGATAGCGAAGCATTGAGGGATAAACATACAGCCATGTACATGGCACCAACAGAGTCTATATTCGTAGGGATGTGGAAGGAGAGGTTGGATAGGATCGTTTCGAGGCTTTCCTTGCAGATGGTTGCCTGTGCCTCGTACTCCTGCTTGACTATCTCATCTTCAACGGCTCTGGAGCATTCGGTGAAGAGACAGTAAAGACCATAGTGGACAATTATCAGCTCTGTGTCCGTCACTGGTCCGGGCGAGCAGGCCTTGATGACATATCCGGTGAAATCACCCAGAGATCCAAATTCGAAGGGCCAATAGACCTCATTCGGCGAACGCTCTTCCAAAGAGTTAGTAAGAACAGTTGCAATCTGAAGAACCAACAATCCCCACGTACCGTAAGCGATCCTTAAGCATGCCAATATTCGGTCCATGGAAGGTATAGGTAGGCCCCTGAGACTCAACTCTGGAGGAAGCGCCTTCGAGAACGGAGGTGAACCTTCTAGGGTCTCATTCTGCTGATTCTGAGCGCTGACCATACTCCGCAGGGCATCCAGCGCCGACGTCATTTCGGCAGCAACGTTCGAGTACGGGTCGTTCTCCACGACAGTTTGAAGATACCTAGTTGCGAAGATGGCATGGGAGAACAACGTGGATTCGATGCCTTCAACTTCCTTAACTTCCTTTAAAGGCAGGTGAGGTCTTTTGGCGCCTGTTTTGTTGTCGCTGCTGGTAACCTGCGACTCCTTAGACTGGAAAGAGGAATGTAATGGCGATCGTAATCCAGCTGAACTCGCGAAGCCACTGTTACTGGTTCGCTCATGACTTAGTTGCCTCATCATCTCGCTGAGCTTGTCAATCTTGTTCGAAATGTGCTCCATTCTACTCTCGCTGTCGATGCCGCAAATCCATGACTTAGTAACTTGCCAAACAGACTAGGTAGATCAGGTATCCCCTAAGTCGGTTGCACGATACGAACTCACTATACGTTTGAGATGAGGATCCGTTGCCGCTTTTCCTTGGCTTTCAAACCCAGCTGGTAGGTACATTGCGATCCCGTCTTGATGCACTGCAAACACGGGTTAACGCGATCACACTTCGTCTGTGTAATAAGAAGAAAGTTAGCAGCTAGCTCTATGGTGGAGCTATCCGGGTGCAATATCTGCTTGTATAGCAGTCACACCTTTCGATGGCGGCAACGGTCACACTGCCTATAATGTTAGCATTCGAACGCCGTGCAAGACCAGATACAATAGAGCTCGTACAGCCACTCTCTCGGTTTCAGCGGTCTTATCGTCCTCATGACCCTTCCATTGCGAGACTAATTCCTCTTCTGGCACAAGAGTGTGGTTATCATATTCTTCCCTTGTCGGTCCAGTGGGGCTACTCTCGCTGTCGGCAGGGCATGACATCCTTACTAAGAGGTTCGTAAGGCGCCAAATTTATGCCGGAAGAAGGACTGGAAGCCGAGTACTAAGAAATTTTTTCCAAATGAGCACTGGAAAGAAAATGGTGCGAAAAGGAACGAGTCTATGGACCCTCGGGACGCCAAGACTCCGCAGGCCGTAGGCCCTGCGATCACAGACCGGATAGCGGAGACATGGCGTCCGCCTTTGCAGCATCTCTCCACTTCTCTGCTATTAGTTTCGGCCTTCCGGGTACACATCATTCCCGGATGAGGAATTTATTCATACAAGGTGGGTTCTTTCAAGAAACAAATCGCGGTAATTCCCGCCTTTGGTTATGGAAGGTCGACACTATTTAACAGGGCATCTGCCCCAACAAGTTAGCTTTTCCCTCAAACTTGAGCAAATCTTCAGGTACTCCGACCTTTAAAGGATCCACTCTCGTCGAGCATTGCGAAAGAACCAGCCATGAAGTACTGTGGCGTTGTTTATGATGTTGGATTGAAGTTCGGGGACGATGGATTTTCAGTCGAACCCTTGGATCCCGCTCTGGTAGAGTACGACATGCGAACCATCGCCAAGGACATGCACGCCAACGCTGTGCGGATCGAGGGGAGGAGATACATCGATTGGCAACTGCTGCACGGGCTGCTCATTCGATGGGACTCACGGTGTTCTTTAACCCATGGAAGATGAACGAAGGCGTCGACGGGACGTGCGCCTATTTCGAAGAGGCCGCGAAGGCAGCGGAACGACTGCGGAACGAGGGTGTCGATGTGATTTTTGTTGCCGGCTGCGAGTACACAATCTTCAGCAAAGGAGTCTTCCCCGGCGAATCGTTCAATGAGCGTGCAATGTGGCTCGGTTCTCAATACCCAGACGGCCGTATGTCAGAAGATATTCCCCAGACCTTACGTGAGAAGTCCGTGGAATTAAACAAGGTCTTGCGGTCTTTTGCTACGGTGGTTCGTGCCAAGTTTAATGGGCCGCTGACATATTCGGCTGGCACCTGGGAACTTGCAGACTGGGACATATTCGACATCGTCGGCATCGATTACTATCGCCGCGGAGAGACCAAAGAGCAATATGTTGCAGGCCTTGAGCGCCACCGGTTCGATAAGCCTCTCGTCGTTATGGAAGTTGGTTGCTGCGCCTACGAAGGAGCAGCTGACCGCGGCGACGGCGGTTTCATGCTTCTGAAGAGCACAAATCCAGACGGCAGCGGCGTTTTCGAAGGCGACGTCATCCCAACCAGGAGCGAGCGGGAGCAGGCTGATTATCTGAACACACAGCTCAGTCTCCTTGCTACTGCGGATGTCCACGCGGTCTTTGTCTATGTGTTTTCATTCCCGTGCATGCGAAGAGGGGAAGGTGCAAGTGACCTCGACATGATGTGTTTTTCATTGGTCAAATACTACCCGGAACAGGACCCGAGGTCGAATGCTATGCCTCCGTGGTCACCCAAGGAATCCTTCCACCAGGTCGCCGACTTCTTTCGGTCCATGCTGCAGCCGCAGATTTAGTGTCCTACTACACTTGGACAGGGTTAGGACATCACCAACGCCTAGGGTGGTCTATGTAGCTGGCGCTCTGTACTTCGGCCATTCATTTTCGGCATCGGTTCAACAAATCCTCAGATTCTATGTGTAAATCAGGCCTATAACATTCAATTCAGTCCTTATTCAAGCAGTATGTATAATAATAGTACGTATATATAACATAAGCGTCAGCGTCCATTTCTTCCAAGGTTTGTTGGTTTCCTATAGCCGTACCAGATGAGCCCCAAGTGCCCCACATTAAGGATCCGGAGAAAAATATTTTCGAGTCATCAACTTCAAAAATCGAGATCTCCCAAACTCCAGATCTACCAGCAATGGCAGAGTCAATGGAAATCCAGGAAGCTCCGCCCAAAGGGCGAAGCAAAGTCCAAGTTACCGCAATCATGGTAGCGCTTTCAGTAAGACACGCTGAACTAAATCCGCATGTTCACCTACTAATTCCACTAGTTATCGATGTTTATCGCCGCACTAGATCAAACTATCATGGCTACAGCGATCCCAACAATCGCCGCGTACTTCCACTCCTCTGCTGGGTATACGTGGATTGGCGGAGCGTACCTTCTCAGCTCCGCCGCCAGCGCATGTATCTGGGCCAAGCTTTCTGATATCTGGGGTCGGAAACCTATCTTACTTTTGGCTGTTGCGTGGTTTTTCCTTAGCTCGATTATTTGTGCTGCTTCTACCAGTATGGAGATGTTGATTGCGGGTCGAGCGTTGCAGGGTGTCGCTGGTGGCGGTTTGCTGCAGCTGGTTACGATTATTATTTCGGATTTGTTCAGTGTTAGGTAAGATACTGATTATCTGATTTTCGCCGTATTACTTGTCATAGAAGGGTCTTATACTGACTCTGTGGTAACAGACACCGCAGTTTATATCTCGGCCTGATGGAGGTTATGTGGGCTTTCGCTGGTGGTGTTGGACCATTGCTTGGCGGTGCATTCAGTCAGTATGTCACTTGGAGATGGACTTACTGGATCAATCTACCGATCTCGGGGTTCACATTTGTGCTTCTTTTCTTTTTCTTGGACGTGCACAACCCCCAGACGAAGATGATGGATGGCGTCCGTGCCATTGACTGGTTCGGCTGTCTCTCGGTTCTTGGCCTTACTCTCATGCTCCTATTGGGATTGGACTTCGGCGGTGAGACATTCGCTTGGAAATCTCCGCAGGTTATCTGTCTGATTGTCTTTGGATCGCTATGTTCTTTGCTGTTCGTCTACAGCGAGAAGAAACTAGCCAAGTATCCATTGATGCCTATGGATATCTTCGCTCGATTCTCTAACATTGCTACTTTGCTAGTAGCATTTGCACATGGCTTCGTTAGTATCTTCATTCTCTTGGCCATCCGAAACCACTAACAAACCTGTAGGTCTTCATCGCGGGAGAGTACTACATCCCCCTCTATCTACAATCCGTGCACGGCTCCTCGCCAATGGGCTCCGGTGTCCTCATCCTCCCACTCGTCGTGATGGAAGCATTCTCAGGCATGTTTACCGGCGCAATCATCCATCGCACAGGCCGATACCTCGAACTCATCTGGATCGGCCTGGTACTGATGACCATCGGAAACGGGCTGTACATCAACCTCAGCGTGGAATCCTCCGTCGGCGAGATAGCCGGATACCAGATTCTCAGCGGTCTCGGCGCCGGATTCCTCTTTCAAACACCCATCATTGCCATCCAGGCCATGGTCTCCCAGGAGGACACGGCGACAGCGACGGCCACAATTGGCTTCATTCGCAACATGGCAACTGCGGCCTCGATTGTGATTGGCGGCGTTGTCTTCCAGAATAGTATGGGCCAGAAGCAGTCCAGCTTGCTGGCTTCTGGTATGTCGACTAGCATGGCGGCTCAGATGTCTGGAGATTCGGCTGCTGCGAGTATCGAGTCGATTAAATTCATTACGGATCCGGCGCAGTTGCGTGCTGTTAGAGAGGCCTTTGCTTGGAGTTTGAGGAATATGTGGATTCTTTATACGTGCATGTCTGCTGTTGGTGTCTTCTTTTCGGCTTTTATTCTCAAGACTAAGCTGAATAAGGAGCATGTTGAGACTAAGACGGGACTGAATGTTGAGAAGACGCCGGTCGAGAATGTACATAGCGTATAGGTTCTGGGCAATATATCTATCTGTTTATGTGGCGTTAGCTATTCCTTGTTTCTATAACTTTCGTATAAATCATAGGCTTGATATAAACCGACGAAGAGGGAGGATAACTTGATGGAACGCTAAATTAAGGTTAAAGATGCAGAAACCTTGAGAAGTATCAGGCGACCCACTGTTGGATGGATTAGACTCGTCATATCCTGCTATATCAGGTCAGAAAACAAATATGTTAGCACAAACTCAAGCTAGTCAAATTAAGACAAACAGGAACATCATTATTATTCGCATCAATATGTGCAACCCGTAACAATACATTCGAAACCGAGTCAAATAAGCAAGCAAGAAGCGAACATAGACAAGAAAACAGAGTAAATAGTTCGTCACAAAGCATCAACGCTCCCTTATTGAACCGAACACTTTCCTCCGACCACACAGAGAACAGGCAGGTCAGCAACACTATTCCCAACCCAGATCTTAATGCCCTCTCCATTAACAGGAGCCTTCCAATCCTGCACGACAACATCCCAAACACTAACATCCTTCCGAGTAAGATGCAGCGTAACCGTCTCACTCTGACCAGGCGCAAGCTCCTTTGTCTTCTCAAACTGTCGGAGCTGCAGGGCCGGCGTGTCGAGCCCCAGACTAGACGGAAGCTCAACATACAGCTGAGCAACAGCCTTGCCTGTTCGTTTACCCGTATTCCGCACCTCCAACTGGACCGAAAATACAGTCTCGAAGAGAGCGGGATTTCCGCCCTCGCCACCTCCGGCCCGGGGGGACTTCGTGCGGCTCGGTGCTGTAGCCGTCCGGGTAGGCATATTTCTTCGTCGCAGTGATAGACTCTGGCTTGTCCAGGTAGGGGTAGAGGTAGCGCCAGATGCGGGTAAATTTGGTAGAGGACCAGGCGACTTCTGACACGTCCGGGATGCTGGTGTTGTATGAGGGGGTTGGCAGCTTGGTGGGTCGTGCAGCCGGGTAGGCGGAGTCTAGAGGAGTTTTGGTTGATAGTGAAGGTTGGGAGAAGTTGAAAGTGGTGTAGGACAGACCGTGGCCAAATGCATACCGGGGTGTGATATTGGCCTTGATGAAGTGGCGGTAGTCAATGTATAGCCCCTCGGTGTATGTGTCCTGGATCTGGCCGAATGGTTGACTGATCAAGTCCACGCTATCCGGGTAATCATCTTCGCTGCGGGGAATGGTGTAAGGCATGTGGCCGCTTGGACTATAGTCACCAAAGAGGATATCGGTAAGGGAATTGCCCGCTTCTTGTCCCGGGAGATGTGCCACAACCACTGCTTTTACGGACTTGAGCTCAATCCACTCTTCCATCAGGATGGGCCCGACGGTGTGGACAATCACGACTACATTGGAAAATTTCTCCGCTGCTGCTTTGACGAGCTCGTCGCCATCGTGCCAAGCATTCAGTCCAGCTTTGGTTCGATCTCCCGGGTTCCCTTCGACTGTAATGAAGTTCTCGCCTGAATCGGCACTGATGAAAACGAGAGCGATATCGTTGGGGCTGGCTGTAACGTCCGAGGGGAATTTGTCTGTGATATGGAACTCGGCATTTTCAGTGATATTAGAGATTGCCTCTTGGGGTGTGATGAGATAGGGTAGTCTCGCTGTCCCACTGCCCCAGCCCATGGTCAAAACGCCTTTGTTGCATCCTTGGTCGGCACATGAGTTGAGACCATCTGGATTTCCGCCTGCATCTGTGCCGAACACTTTGAGAGAATCATCGCTGTGCAGAGGAAGAATGTCCATGTCGTTCTTTAGCAAAGTGATTGCCTCCCGTGCGACGGCTCTCGCGGTGATGTTGTGGTTGCTCGTCACATCGACGAACTGGTTAACAACACCAGATGGAGAGAATAGAGCACCGGGGTAAAGCGGGCCCTCCTTGTCCTGTGTGTTGGTTGAGAAATTTGGTAGGGGATAGTCCTTATCCTGTCCGTATTTATACCAAGTAGCAACGATGCGTTGAACCTATACTCATATATTAGACATGAGGGAAATCCACAAGCAGAGGACCACGTACCATATCGTTGAGTCGGTCCATGGGAACACTTCCATTCAGGACCGATCGCGACAGCTCAGAACCCCAGTATGAGTCTCCGAACAAGGGAACTGCTCCATCGCCAGGCATTGACATATCCAAACCAGCTATGGCGGACGCAACGCCAGAGTAATGGCCCAGCCAATCCGTCATCACGAATCCTTGGAAGCCAAGCTCATCCTTGAGAATCCCATTAAGCAACTTGCTGCTCTGAGAGCACGAAGAGCTATTGACCTATAAAGTGTCAGCAACACACACCGAATAACGGAATTGAGGAGACTCACATCGGAATAAGCTGTCATCAAGGACCCTACACCCGCACGAACACCCTCAGCAAAAGGCCAGAGGTACAGCTCATGCAATGTGCGATCATCAATATTGGAAGAATAGCCCTTGGTAACAACACTGCTCATGCGGTGCATTTCCTGCTCATTACCAATGTAATGCTTGATAGTCGCGATAGCGCCAGTGCTCTGCATGCCCTTCACAGTCTGGGCACCTCCAAGGGCCTGCAGAGTAGGATCAGCACCGAAGCCTTCCCAGTTCCGTCCACCGCGCGGCTTGCGTCCAAGTGCTCCCACGGATGGTCCCAGTAGCACGTTGACACCCTTGCCGCGAGCCTCTTCGCCGAGGGCAACACCTCGCTCGTACATGAGGTCTTTGTTAAAGGTTGCGCCAACTGTAATACCAGGTGGGAAAGCAGTGTTGTGGTCTGAGTTGCGGATTCCCAGAGGACTGTCTTGGAGGCACAGGTTGGGAATACCTAGGCGAGGCACGCTCCCAGTCTGCCCCACGCAGGGTCCCATGAAGAAGCCAGTGCCTGTTGTCAGATTGACTTTCTCAGCTAGCGTCATATTGCTGACGAGATGATGCGCCTTGGAGTAGGCCTCACTCCAGTCGGGAACCCAACCTCCCGGAGGGGTGGGATAGTATGGAGGTGATTCATAACCTTCTGCTGCTCTCTTGTGCAAATGTGTAGAGTCGGGTTCGTCCGGTACTGGCGAAGCCAGGAGAAGCGGGGTGAAAAGAGAGACTAGAGCTAGATGTGCCCAAGGAGCCATGGCGACGGATTTTCAAAAAGAAATAAAAGGAAATGAAAGTATATGAAAAAGATCGTATTTCGGCCAGTCAAGAGAATGGGCCCATTATTTTTCCCCAGGTTCGAATCTGCAGGATCCCAAACTAACAGCCCGGGGCATCCCCGCGCTTTATGAAAACTATAGACGGGGGACTTCTTGGAACGGGGAAGGAGCAACGCCCGTGTGCACATCTCGGGGAAATGTATACTCGCGCGTGGGTGATCTTTGCTGGATTCGAGGAGGATCGTCACGGGATACTGTTCACATTACACTTGGCAGCGGAGTGAACAAGGACTTGTGACTAGTCTAGTGAATTCGCTTGCATAGCCGAGGGTCCCCGGACAAGAATATGTGGGTTCGGAGCATAACATATGTACTCGGTAGGTAACTACGACATCCATGGATGTTCCGTTTCCTGATTAGTCCCCGGATTATCTTTGCCTGAAAAGAGACAAGTGTCAGGGGTTGCCCCCTTTTTTCGACCCATGGATCAAGTTCATTCCGATACCTAGGTAGGTAATAGTTCATCTAGTTATTTCTGTAAATAGAAACACGCGACACTCCGTTTGATCAACATTGAAATGGTGTTGCTCATTTTCATCCGTTGTACGGAGTACATGTCCACCCCTTAAACCTTGGTATAGCGCAGGTAAGGCTTGACCTCGCGCACTTCACCAAACTTCTTCTGGGCATCCGGGGTACTGACAGAGGGAGGCACGATGACATCATCACCAACGATCCAGTCGATCGGGGTAGCTACACCCTTCTTATCACCGGTCTGCAGGGAGTCGATAACCCGCAAAACCTCCGCGGAGTTCCGGCCCGTAGAGGCAGGGTACATCATGGTGAGACGGATCTTCTTGCTGGGATCGATAATAAACACGGAGCGGATAGTAAACGCGATTTCCTTCTGCCCGATGCTATCCTGGTCGATCATGTCGTAGAGGAAGGCAACTTTGCGGTCGGCATCGGCGATGATTGGGAATTGGACTTCGGTCGAACCGACTTCGTTAATGTCCTTGACCCACTGGTCGTGGGAGCCGAGCTCGTTGGCACTCTGTAAAGGATCGCATCAGCTAACTCAGGCTCTGTAAGAGTTGCAAATGGCGGGAGCTCACCAATCCGATCATCTTGACGCCGCGTTTGTCGAACTCATTCTTGAGTCGGGCGAAGGCGCCTAATTCGGTTGTGCACACCTGATACTATGTCAGTTCAGTGTCTTCATCGAGAATATTGGTGAGAAATACGGGCGTGAAGTCTGCAGGGTGTGAAAAGAGGATGGTCCACTTATCACCGATGAACTCATGGAAGTCGATCTCGCCCTGGGTAGTCAGCGCCTTGAAGTTCGGGGCTATCTTGTGTTAGCACGGTATCTTAGCAAATGTGATTCTGTCGAGACTCTACCAATTGAGCCCAGGCGCAGATGCGGCTGTTCCACCTTGTCTGAGAAGAAGCGGCGGAAAGCGGGCGCACGAGGCACCTGTGCAGACCACGGGGCACGTGGAGCAGCTCTGAACGCACGGAACATCTGAGAACCAATTCTGGAAGCCATGATTGTTGAGGATGTAAGGTGAAAGCTTCCAAATTTAAGTTGACCCTTTGGCCAAGACGTCATCAAATCTGACTAAGCAACCACTTCCGGGGCAGGGCCTGCCCGGCTACCTAGGCCAGGCCCAAGTGGTCGTAGGGCCTCGCCAGGTGCTCGGGTGTGTGTTCTCATATGGTGAGCTGTAACCCGGGTGAGACAATGCTTTTGTGACTTGGAATTGTCTACATCTGTATATCTATATTTTTTATTTTTTAATGGAATCTGAACATGCCTTATGTTTCCTCGAGCATATTATATATTGTGCCATGCAAACTGCGGGGACTCGGATTTATGCAGCCAAGCAAAATGTTATAGATCCAAACTTTTATCCCATTTATAGAACAAGTACGGAGTACATAGATTCCAGAGAAGAGAAGTGCCGTATATCTGAGACATTCCCGTAGAAAATGATTTGACATCCACGGAACTGAATTCTATGATTGGACCAATTAGAGGCTCCAATCTGAGACCCTTAATATCGATACTTGGTCCATGTCCACAATCCTGTCAGCCAATGCTGTCAGCCAATGCCCCGTTAACTAGTGGTCTTAATGGTTTTGGCAAGATGAAAAGCTGTGCATTTTACTTGCGAGAAAAGTAGATTGGCTTTGTCAAGAGTAAAATGGAGGTCTTCCTATAAGACTATACTGATCTACCTGATACCGACATAAAACCTCACAAAGAAAAAGCCAAGCTTTTGTGGACCCTAGACGGATCCTTCTCACAAGAGATAGACACGGTCTCGCTCATAAATCGGCGGATCCCTCTTTGAAAGTCTTTTTAGTCTTCTCTTTGTTCACATTCCCCTTCAAAACGTCCCATCACCTTCAAGATGGGACGGTTTCACTATCTACTCGGTTTGCTGCTATTATTTATTTGCTCATTTCTCTGGATTGCGTCGAGCCTGGGAAAACAACCATCAAACATCCTTATTACTCATGGATCGTGCCTCTGCAGCGAAGACAATGTTACCGTCGCCTCAGATGTCGGTGATATCCCCTCAAATCAACTGGAGGTTCCCATCCAAGATATGAATCCAATATCAGAGCCCAACATACCAAGCTACCTCCCAATTGCAAATTCCCACGGTCATCACGAACAGCCGTCAATTCCATTAAAGCTCTGGCAAAAGGCCGGTTCAATGAAAATCAACGATGCCCGCCAGAAAGACATCCGCAGTTGGCTAGATGTGAACCCACGTCTGCGACATGAGATCCTCACAGATGACAGCGCAGACGAGTACGTCCGTGGGCATTTTGCCGACTACCCAGACGTCCTTGACCTTTATCTCTCACTGCCGGTCCCGATCCTAAAAGCCGATCTCCTTCGTCAATTGATCTTGTACGCCGACGGAGGAATTTGGAGCGATCTTGACGTGACATGCCACCGACCAATATATGCCTGGATCCCAGAGCAATACCAGAGCAGAACAAATGTCGTCGTCGGTTTGGAATTCGATGGATTCCAGTTCTCAAGTTGGACGATCATGACAAAACCCAAGACAAGCCATATCGTGGCGGTCATCAAATATGTCATCGATAAACTGAAGGCATCTGCTGCGCAGCATAGTGTGACCACTGCGGAACTTAACATGACGATGATCAGCGATGTGGTGGATGTTACGGGTCCACAGGCGATGACTGTTGCTCTATTACAGAACCTGCAAAGGGAAATGGGCGTTCCGTTCGGTCGAGCGAATATAACTGATATCAAAGAACCCACCCTATTTCAGGATGTGCTCGTGCTGCCTAATGCAGCCTTTGCCTCTAGACAGGCTGGCTTCCCAGAGGACAGAGGGCCATATCTTGTTGAACACCATTACGCTGGCTCTTGGAAGAATGCCAAGGGCGGCGAGACACAATCATGACATATTCGGACCTTTGTACAGGCGTCAATCATATATGAGAGGATGGACATAGGAGCATAAACAGTAATCTAATTCTTACATTCAATGTTGTTGCTAGAAGGATATATACGTCTAATGTCTTGTCAACCATGGTCTTCAAATCTTGCGAACGAATTTATACGGACATTGGTATGTACCGCGAGTGGTCTCAAATTTCGCGTGTAATGAATCAGAATGCTGCCGCCAGGATTTTGTGCAGCATCTGCTTTTTGAGTAATCGGCGGGTGGTTTAAACGGCCAAGGACAAAGCCACAGCCCGTAAACGAGAATCAAACCTGCTATATAGCGGTGCTCTAGAGCAAAGTTTCTCCTACATGGCCACGCTTCCGGTGATGTTGTGTCTGGCGAGGGGATGTGGTAGCTTGAAACATAATTTACAGCACCAAGACGATGCAGCCATTATGGAAGATGATGCGACGAAGCTGCTCGCCCACATCCTCGAACTGGAATTTCTTGTAGCTCCTGGATATTCTTTATCATATTGAACCTCCATCCAAGCTGCAGATTTCTCTGTCTTCCATTTACCCGAATGCCAGAAATCTGTATCAACAAAACGCCAAAGAGGGCATAGGGAGGGTGGGCCTTTGGTCGCGCAACTAAGAGCATCGTTAAAATGCTGTGGCTAAAGTTATTCGTAAGATATAACCAGACATCTAAAAGGTCTATCTGAAGAGACCGCCAAAAAAGACCACTAAAAAGACATATAAAAAGACTATCTGAGAAGACTACTCTAGAGTGATTGTATATATACCGAAAAGTAGTCGGTTGTAGCGCTGTGTTATTTGAGAGGGAGATTGAAAAAGCCCAGGCTGTTGAGTTTGCTTCTAAAGCTTTCAGGTTCCTTTCTGCGTATTCACTTTTTGATTTAAATATTTCTCACTCCCGAGGTCTTCTTCCACTCTCTCGCCACTCACACCACCCAATTTCATTTTTATTATCCTTGTTTCCTTTTCGGTTAGACATCACAACCCAACGCTAGCCAGCCTCTCAGCAGACACCACGCCCTCCAACACACGATGAGAATCATCTCGGTCAATACATACATCGTCCGCGGAGCTATCCACGACAGGCAAGCGTCTCGCCCGACTCTGGGCTAAGCTGTCTGGTGCGCATCGAAACCGATACGGGACTTGTTGGGGGGGGAAGGAATGCCGTCCACCACCACGGAGGGTTGGGGGGAAGGAATGCCGTCCACCACCACGGAGGGTTGGGGGGAAGGAATGCCGTCCACCACCACGGAGGGTTGGGGTCCACCAAAACTTCTGGAGATCGTCAACACAATTTTCGGCCCCGCCCTCATTGGACGTGACCCCACCGAGCCAATGGTCATCTGGAAAGAGCTTCAAATCCTCGCGGCTTCCACCTTTGGTCCAGACGCGTTATTCCACGAGAAACAGGTATCTATCGCTGCAATCAGCGCAATTGATATTGCGCTGTGGGATATCAGTGGAAAAGCCAAAGGACAGCCAGTCCATAAGCTACTGAGCAATGTTGTCCGATCCAAGATAAAGGTCTGTGTAGACATCTCACTTGATTCTCGTTGGGAACGACGCTTTTCCTCCGATTCTGCCTGGCAGCCAGGCTCTCCTGTTCCACAACCAGAGGCACAGTTCCTGCTCGATCTGGGCTTTGATACCTTCGAGATCTCACTCTTTGGCCCACTTGAAAAAGATATGCGAATAGTCCGAGCGACTCGCGGCGCATTTGGCAGGCAGGCAAGCATTGTCGTGAAGAACCGCACTTTGAGGGCACCAGCGGAAGAGTTAGTTTGGGCAATGTCAACCGCAAGAGTTTCGCTTTTGGTTGATAACCCGGCAAAATACTCTGAAGACAGTCCAAGTCTCTCGGTGCCTGTGGCCTGGGGCGGATGGGCATGGGACGGAAAGGACCTTTGCAATGGCATGGCTGGAGGCGATGTTGACATCCTTCAACCAAACATCATCTTGTGCGGGGGCTTTACTGCTTTGCTTCAAATCCTAACTATTGCTAAATCCCACGATATGCTTGTTATGCCATCCTGCGACACGCGCCACGGCTCAGGGATTGCTCTGGCGGCTACGATCCAGGCTTCTGCCGCTGTTCCGTGGAAGTCAATGGAGGCCGGCCAAGAACCAAACCCGAAAGAGCCCATGATCAGTCTTTCGCCAGATATTTTGGATGTTCGGAACCAATTCCTCGTTCAAAATATTGATGGTTCGGGCGGATATCTACACGTACCTGAGGGGCCGGGATTGGGATCAACTGTTGACGAGCAAGCCTTGAGCCGAATGGCCATCCAATGAAGGCGTTACTTTCCAGTCAAAATGGGCCTGGTTCAGTGGTAGAAATGGGTCGAGGGTGATAGTGAGAACGGCCGTGTTCCAAGGTTGGTAACCTTGGAAGCTTTGTGCTGTGTGACGTCAGACCGATAGTCCCGTCGATTCATGTATGTACCCCACACGGGCCGCAAAGCTTAATCTATTGAATCTACAACTCCACAATAATCCACAATGTAGATACCTAGGTAGTATAGTATGTATGCTATTGTATCAAAAGACCATTGATAAATACTATTCTATTTATTTGTTTTGGAGGGGATGCCTGAAGGCTGCCTTGTTTGAATGGGTAGTCGTTCAGGAAGGAAGGAACGTAACGTGTAGGACTGCTCTGAAAACTTCAACCTCTGTTTTTGTTTTTGTTTTCTCTTTCTTCTTTCTTCTTTCTTCCCATCTTTGTACCGTTTGAAGTTTTTTTTTCCTTTGTTTTTAAATTAAAACAATGGCACTGTCAGCATTTGTCTTGTTCTTGGTGCTCGCGGCCATGGCCGCATACAACTATGACGAGCTCTTCCACCTAGTTGGAAGTGTTGTGGTCGGAGCCACCGTGTTGGTGGTGGGGACATGCTATTTTAGCAGGTAAGTTCACGAGGTTTCATCTCTCCTATGTCCCTTCCGGCCAACCTGTGGGTCATGTCTCATGACACCAAAAAAAGTTGGCAAGAATGCCTTGCCAAATACCCATCCAAATACCCATCCAAATACCCATCCAAATACCCATCCAAATACCCATCCAAATACCCCTCCAGATACCCCTCCAGATACCCATCCAAATACCCATCCAAATACCCCTCCAGATACCCCTCCAGATACCCTGTAAAGTATTTAGACTAACATAGAGTAGTCCCCGTGCATGGCTCTTTCGTCTGCTGCAAGCAGCAGCAGCAGCAGCGTTGTTGGCCGAAGCCTCGGTGGTTGTGGCCGAAGCCACCGAGGCTTCGGCCAAAGAAATTACTCAGATGAGAGCGCAGATGGGGCTTTTGGAGCAGCAGCTCCGTGGCACGGAGGCACGAGTTCGTGATTCCGAGATACACCGGGAGACTGAGAAGAAACGCCACGAAAGGAAGGTCCGAGACCTGGACGCTCAACTGGCGACAGTCTCCCGGCGTATCAAGGAATCCCTGCTCGCGAAGGATCGGGCCCTCGTCGAGTGCCGCCAGTGGCGGCGCAAGTTCGAGGACCTGGAACACCTACAGCAGCAGGCCCAGGAAAATCCCGTTCGCGGGAAGGGACGTCCTCGTTGGGCCCCGGCCAAAAAATACGGAGTTCGGAAGGTGGAACGTGGTCGGCCGGACAAGAAATTGACTGCCGTTGCGCAGGTGGCGATTGTCAATGCGGCGTGGGAGTCGAAGCAGGTCAGGTTCGAGAGCGAGGCCCGAGACTATGTGGCCCGCACATCTGACCAGCTTCGGTCTCTCCGCGCCGCCGTCACCGCGCTCAGCGAGGAGAACGCATCCCTCCTCCGCAAGCAGCAGACCCAGGCGACTCACGGCATCCCCCATGAGCTGGCCCAGCAGCAAGTGAAGGATGCCGTGAGGAGCACAATGGAGTTTGCTGACAAGGAGCATAGGGAGCGTGTCAATTCGCTGGAGCAGACTCACCGAGAGGAGCTGATGGCAGCCAAGGCCGGCTACGAGGGGGAATTGGCGAAGGCAACAGCGGCACTCAATGAAGCAAAGGCATCCGCAGTGCCGGTCCAGCAGCTTCAGACGATCAAGGGCGAGCTGGCCGCCAAGGAAGTGGAGCTGGACCAGCTGCGGACTGCCTATGCCAAGACTGCCGCTGACCTACAGGTCGAGAAGGAAGCACACGGAAGGCTTGACGGCGAGATGGAGGTGGGAACGAGAGACTACGTCAAGTGTGTGCAGCAGAGGGACGGCTATTTAAGAGCCCACAACAAGTTACAAGACCGGTACGACAAGTTACAGTGCCGGTACGACGATGTTGTGGGGGAGAAGGAGAAGGAGGTTAAGGGCCTGGACGAAGCAGCTACCTACCTCGCCGACGAAGGAGAGAAGTTACGGCGGCAGGTCGAAAAATTGAAGAAGGTGGTCAAAGAAAAGGAAGACGACAACCGAGTTCTGCTGAAGCATAATACAGAGCTACTTTGCAGCTCTGTTGTATCGAACATCGAACTCCAGCAGACTCGGGGCAGAGTGGGCAACCTTGAGCGCCAGGTGGCGGATTTCGAGGCTGCAGACATCACCGAGGCCGTTGGCAGTATGCAGTTTGGTGGTCCAGCTGATGGTGAGGCTGAGTAAGCCGTCCCGGCGTGCCGACCGATCTCCGCCATCCTGCTCCTGCTCGGTTGCTCACTCTGTTGTTGTCCTCCTGCTGCTTCGTCGGGTTCCCTAACCATCTCACGGACCTTCCCCCGTCCCTCCTTTCTTCTTGTTGTCTTCACCTATTTCCCCACCCCCCTTCCATCTGCCCCATCCCCATCTGCCCCTCCCGGCCGCGACCTACGGTCATTACCCTTACATCACAGCATGTCCCATTGATCACTCACACTCTTCTTATGAATTCTTCACGATACCGCTCATTTGCCGCTCGGCCATTGATGCTGAGTCTGGCCAAGCTTCTTCTAGTCGCCATATCACAAGTTCCTTTCACCACTGCTGCGCCTCTCTTCTCACCACTTTTTCTCTCATCCCGCGACACAGAACCACCAAAGGAACCGAGCGATCCGAGTTTATGGCTTTACTTGGGATTTTCAGCTGCCCTTGTTTTGAGCGGGGGAGCATTTGCGGGTCTTACGATTGCCTTGATGGGACAGGTCAGTTTTTTTCCAATCCGGCTAAAAATTCCCCGATGAACCATGCTGACATCCATGATTGTTTCGCCGTACAGGATGAAGTTTATCTCCAAGTCATCAAGACATCCGGCGAAGGGCACGAAAGGAAAAACGCTACTAGCGTTCTCAATCTCTTGAACCACGGAAAGCATTGGGTTCTTGTCACCCTCCTCCTTAGTAATGTTATCACAAACGAAACCTTACCCATCGTCCTTGACCGAACACTCGGTGGTGGTTGGCCGGCGGTGCTAGGAAGCACTGCTTTGATTGTCATCTTCGGCGAGATTGTTCCACAGTCCATTTGCGTTCGTTACGGTCTTCCCATCGGTGCCTGGATGGCACCTTGCGTCTTGGTCTTGATGTATATCATGTCCCCAGTCGCCTGGCCAATCGCAAAATTGCTGGATAGGCTCCTCGGAGAGGACCATGGTACCATCTACAAAAAGGCCGGATTGAAAACGCTCGTCACACTCCACAAGACCTTGGGCGAAGCCGGAGAGCAACTCAACTCTGATGAAGTGACCATTATCAGTGCAGTTCTCGACCTCAAAGAGAAGTCGGTCGGCAGCATCATGACACCAATGGAAGATGTCTTCACTATGTCTGCCGACACTGTCTTGGACGAACGCACGATGGACCACATTCTTTTCCCAAGGATATTCCCGCATTCCCATCCACGCTCCTGAGAATCCGATGAATTTTGTTGGCATGCTCCTTGTGAAGATGCTTATTACATACGACCCGGAAGACTGCAAACGGGTCCGCGATTTTGCTTTGGCTACACTTCCTGAAACACGCCCTGAAACCAGCTGTCTGGATATTGTCAATTTCTTCCAAGAGGGCAAGTCCCATATGGTTCTTGTCTCTGAATATCCTAGTGAGGATCGTGGCGCTCTTGGAGTTGTCACCCTGGAAGATGTCATTGAAGAACTGATCGGAGAAGAAATCATTGACGAATCTGACGTCTTTATTGATGTCCACAAAGCCATCCGACGAATGACACCTGCGCCTAAGTCTCGTGTTGCCAAAGGCAAGATCGTCGAAGAGCCTCCTTTGAATGCCTCTATTATTACCGATGGCGACTTGATTGACGTGGATCCCACGCAACCCTCATCTCTCCCCAAGCCTTCTGATTTGATTCGACGCCGCAGTTCCGTGGAAACACCTCTTCCCCGCTTCCAACTTCGCAAAACTAATCCCGACATCAATCCCGACTCACCAAATGAAAGTGTCACACAAGTCGGCACCACAGATGAGATTCGAGAACACCTAAAACATCTTGGGCCCTCGAACTTGGCCAGTAGGCCGCGCCAAACCCGTTACCATGCCGTCAAGATCAAGCGTAACAGCACTTCTCCGTCCCGTTCCGCACAAACCGACTTTGAGTCTGGACAAAGCACCTCCGACTCCCAAAAACTCATACCTTCTTCTACTGGATACCAAGGTGGCATAGGCGCGGGCTTGCTCAACTCCGCTGGAACAGACGCCAAAGATGGTGCGCATGCTCTCAAACTTGGCTACGGCACCATGGCTTCAAATGACAGTGTGAGCAAAGGCACCGGTGCTCAGCAATACAAAGACCTTCCCCAAGTCTCCATTCCCGAGGCCGTCCGTGAGGAGCATGAAGACCAACCGCGTTCTGGGTCGACGCGGGCGGCCAGTAGTGTTGCCTTACGCGACGAGTCCGAAAACCAACCGCGTTCTGGGTCGACGCGGAAGGCTAGTAGTGACGAAGGCAGTGTTGAGTCGTCTGGTACACCAGGCTTTATCTACCACCACCGCGGACCGGCACGCAGTGGAAGCATCACAGAACAGGTCGTGGATGTCAACGGTATTCGCAAAGTTGTCCTTCATGCAAATTGCACCAGCTCTTCAGAAGGTGAAACCCATCCATCCGGCCATCAGCGCCATCGTGAACACCACCCTACCGATGGTGCAGTCCATGATACCGATGACGCAAAATCAGAAAACCCCGACGGCGGCCACACAAAATCCAAGAAAAAGCGGCGCCGAAAGAAGCATGGCAAAGCTTCCAAGTCTGATGGCGGCCCCTCAGAGGACCAGCCGTTACTTCGATGAGCCATTAGTTAGTTCAATGAAAAGACATTCCTACTACCACAATTATTGTATTTGCATTGCTTTGTAACCGTATATGCAACTAAGAAGCCAAAAACGTCTTAATCCGCGTGGGGATTTGATATATTGCACGAACTCTTGAGAGGCAGGTAGATTTCAGTCACAGGTCTTCTAGTCTATCTTGGAAAGCGATGGTGTATTTAAATGCAACGTGGGTGGGGGGATATCGATCTCAGAATAGTCCAACATACACGCGGTTACAGCTACATAACAACATCAATTGATGCCTCCAGACACAGATATTGAGCAGATTTGCTTTGATTTTATGAGACTATATACATGAACGCTATTCCAAACTCCCCAGATAACAGGAAGAGATGACGAGACAATGACGACAGCTGTAACAAAAGGTATATGCAACATGTAATCGCTATCCATAAAGACGTTCGTCATAAAGTTGTCCAATGTTCCGTGAGGCCTCGTTAAAACCGACCGGGTTGAAAAACTCATTTGAGAAAATGGCCCGGCTCGGAAAGAGTACCTCACTTGGTTGTTTCGGTGCTGAATCGAAGGGCTTGCAGAAGCCCGAAGGTTGCCAAAAGTCGAGCAGCTCGTGGCACGGGAGGAACGAGCGTGCAAGTTTGAGAGCTGCGATGGTTGTCGGTGTATTGCGGGTATTGGCGAATGTTTCGTTGGTGACATCGAAAAGACGATGTCGTGAATGAAAACTGGTCGATTGGTGTGATTTCCCGTTGGTGCTGTGATGAAGCGATCATTGCAGAAGGGGATCCTAGTGGGGAAGTTAGTTTTGCAAAACAAATGAAGAGTAGACGGCGAACATACCCGGTAGTGCTTCTGGTGATTGTTGGCTCTTTGGACGCGGGCAACGTAGCGGTTCTCTTGGCGAAGGGCACGAGTTCTCTCGCGGCGCTCGGCAGTGAGAGCAGCTTCCTTTTGTTCTTCAGTGGCTTTAATCAGGCCCATGCCACCGTTGGCACGAGTGGTAAGAGCGCGGTGATGGCTGGTGCGGCCGCGGGGCTGTTCCTCCTCGATTTCTCCGTTCGCAATGGCAAGCTGGCGGGCAGCTCGTTCAGCGGCTGTGGGGTATTTGTGGAGATTTTGTCTGTAGTATTTGGCAAGTGAACGATGACCGACACTCTTTCCAGATGGAAGGTGGAGCTCGTAGTCTGCCTCGTAGGCACCTGCTGCGTTTCGGTATGAGTCGAGATCGTCCTCGTCGATGGAGGAGGCGGAACTCTCGGTTTCCCAACCTTGGTCGTCTCCATCGCCATTCACCTTGACGCCGCCGCTCTCGGCAGTGGATTCATCCTCATCGTCGGAGTAGGTGCTCCGGAAATCGTAGTATTGGCCGATTTCAACTTGCTCTTCTTCGGACTCGAAAGCAATCATGCAGTGGCTCTTGTCGCGCATGTGGGTTTGGATGGCTTGTGCATCGTTCTTGATGGCGTGGCAGTAAAGGCACTCAAAGTTTTCGGTAATTTTTCGGTAGAGATAATTCACGAGGCCATCGAGATCCGCCAAATATTTTTGCTCGGGGATGAACATGCCGTGGTCTATGCGCATGTGGTCCACGTTGGTATGAATATCAGTTGAGTCGGTTTTGCAGAAGAGGCAGCGAGACGGCAAGAACTCGTCTTTTTTGATATCAGACTCCATATCCTCATCTTCTTCTTCATCAATGGTAGCAGTCTTGAGGCCCTCGGTGACCTTGCTGACGTCATTGTCGGACTTGGTAACGGGTTCGCCGAGAGAAAAGCGGAACTCTGGACGGAGGCAGCATCACCATCCTTACGTAGGCTAGCCGCACGTTGCTTGTGCTTTGAGCTGTTGATGTGATTTCGGTACGAGTTTTCGCTGTAGAATGCCTTGTTGCATGTATGGCAAGTGTTTTCATACGAAGCCTTGGCGGCGGCCTCGTTGGATGTAGCTTTGGCGGCAAGAACTTTTTCGTTGAATGTTTCGAGGGTGACTGGTGGCAGGGAAGCGATACGACGCTTCATGTTGTATAGACTAGGTCAAATCAGCTTCTGGAGTCGACAAAAAACAAAACAAAAAGACAAAAAGACTGGGAAAAAAAAAAAGGAATTCAAGACTTACTGCCAGTCTTTGCGCATATGATCTCTCTGTGCATCGCTGCGTTGGAAAGCAACAAGACAGGTGTTGCAAGTGTATTGCAGCGAGGCTGCGTCTTGGTTGGTCGACGACATATCGGTGGTTTTTTGAGAGTCGTGGGTGGTTGAAAGGGTGGGCTTTCCCTGTCGATTGTGGGATGAATATTTGTAGGCGGGGTACATATGAAGGCTCTGCCTTGGCCCGATTTCAGTAATTTTTTGATGATCTGAATGTAGATTGATGATCAAAGTAAATGAAAGTGATGAGACCCAGATGGATGTAAAGGAGAAGAATCTTTGCAAGGAAATAGACCTGCGAGTGAGTCTTTATGCACTCGATAGACTGTCCAGAGTTGATCTCTGAATGTTTCTTATCGACTAAGCCCCTCTGAAAATGGTACTAGTACTATTCCGGTAAGCGTGGACATCGTAAATGGCTTAGTAACCCGCAAAAAGGCTGTCGGGCTGAGTAACCCAAGGTCCGCCGGACTATTTGACTTCCGACAGCTCCGACCCTAAAAGTGGATATATTTGCCTGAGGCATCATCGTCTTACTACGTTATCGGGTGAGCTAGTCTTGGTCGCATTCATTCAACGCGTGAAGACGAGCATATCACTAGCGCTCATTCTCGCATACAACTGTCCTCACACCGTCAGATATGCTACTCTATTGAAAATGACAAGGCTCCGCGGAGGTTCCATCGACGACCCAGACATCGCGCGATCCCCCGGCGGGCGAACTGACAGTTATCGGTCAAAGCTTCCACCAAACGCACCGGATGCGCTCGCACAGAATACTACTGAGGTATCCGACCCCTCAAAAGTATTACCACAGTATCGCGATGATCGAAGGCGAAAATTCAACGGCTTAGTGCGCAGGTGAGTGGAACTCCAAACGCTGGGCTTCGACCTCCTAACACCGAATGACACTAATTGGTTTGGCGGAAAAGGTACAAAGCTCAACTGCTTCACGGCTGCGACGATCCAGGATGTCGAACCTCCACATGTGCCAGTCATCGCCGAAGACTCAGTGAAGGTCCATATCGTCGATACACGGAACTAAGTGCCAGGACTCTGGCATGCTACCTCGCCAGCTTGGACGACCCGGAGACCGGTTTATGCCTGAACGTGCCTAAGCCTCCACCACAATTGACAGCAGAAGATTACCATCGGATTTCCCTGCGCCGAACCCGCACACTTGAAGCACAGACCGCCGCCGCCAACAGGTCGCCAAAACCGGATCAGTACGATGAATACCACCCAGCCGGCGACGCTTCCAGGCCTTCGCAAAATAGATCAGCTGTGCCTGAGAGTGAAAGAAGGGGGTTCTTCGTCCCAAACTCGTACTGGTAGCAGCTATATTCGGGATCTCGACCATACTGCGGAGCAACAACTAAAAGACCCCAAGTCTTTTACCCAGAACCTCTTTGATACAATCTCACTCCGTATGGTCGAATGGCTTCCCCTTCGCCGTGCTCCAGATACGTTGGAGCCAAAGTCCGAAGCATCTGCACCGGGGGCCGCAAACCATCCGTCTACTGCTGAGAAGCACCACTGCCATGCCGATAAAGCTCCAGGCAGAGATCTCAAAATTCCAGGAGGTCCCACACTTGTAAATCAGCCTGGCTCTCAACCTCGTACCCCTTCATCTCGAACATCAGGATCTCAAACGCCCGCGGTCGAGCTCAAGTTTCAGAACCAACATGTCAAACGACTATCAGTCTCCGAGGTTGACCATTGGCGCCAGAGTCCACGTTCAAGCCTTGACGATAAAAGGAAACCTGAGTTTAACAAGAAGCTCCCAGTGGCTACCTCTGATGAGTTTGTTAGCTTACCCTCACCACCAGCGTTAAAGCACCGTCCGCAAAAGCACCGCGGAAGAATTGGCGACGTCGATTCAGTTCCTCTGAAGGAAAACCGGAAAAACCCACGACGTGTCTCCTGGGATAGCCAGAAGCTGCTGGATGAGATATCTCCTATCAATAGTAAGAGGGGCAGGGAGCCCATGCCTCCTCTTCGCCCTCTCCCTCCTTCGGTTACCCACTCGCCCAGTGAGCGCAAAACAAAGCAAGCTCCTGTTCAAAACTTGCCAGACACGATTCCGCTCGCTCAGACGGTCACTCATCTTACCCCCGAGATCATCGATGGTCTGTCACAGGTCATGATTGGATCTGCGGAAGATGCTGATTGCTGGGAGGAAGAACTTGATCGTATCCAGTGTGCCGGCAGCTTTGAGCAGCCGGATTGGCGTTTTGCAACTATGCGTCAGCGCGAAGTATTTCCGTTCGTCGCTCAAAGTGCATTCTTCGTGTTTAGCAGCCCCAGTCAGATTCTGCGCTCCTTTAGTAGCGAGTCAACAGATATTACCGGGGCTCCATTCAGTCGCCTGGATGTTTCCCGTCTGCGTTTATCGCTGCAGCGCCTATTTACGATTTGCCCATGGGATATTGCACTAGATAGCCTATGGAGCTCTCTGGACAAGCTCTTTGTTCCCCGCGGGGATTTACCTCTTCTGGACGGCCATCCCGCCGATCATCTCGCAGTTCGACCATGACAGGACCTGCGGCCCCTCCGGTCGTCCCCCGACGTGTCTCTGAATCTGCCAGTGAAGATTATCTGTCGGATCCCGATGCCGCCTACATTGCTACGATTGCCTTGTTCGCTTTGGTCAGCTTTGTACCTAAAATTGACCTGGGGACTTGGAAAGCAGTGGTTCGTATGCGTGCCGCTGGGTCTGTAGCTTCGCTGTCGGACATGCACAAGCTGCCTTCGAAGAATGCGCAGCAAGCTATCGAGGTGACGGACAGGTTCGAGCATGAGTTAGGTCTCCGCCTCATTAATCGCCTTGTGCGGGCTCTCACTGCACGACTGGCGTACCATGAAATCTCTAAGGCTCGCCAAGTGTACAGCCTAGACGTACTAAAACAACGAAGAGTCAACGTGCTGGACCGCGTGGTTGACTATCTTAGTGAGCACCACATCTCTCATGCCGCTGGCAGCGATGAGCCTGCTGGGTCCATTAGCCCAGCCTCCCTCATCGTTGAGTGGCTTAGGACTCTTTTCCTGCGTGAATGGGACGGTAACCCTGAGATGGCTCGTAGCAGCCCAGCCGGTGGTGCCATTCAGATTCTAGCCTCAATGTACAAGGAACGGACTAGGTTGGGTCTTTTGCCCGAAGACTTCCATACACCTCTTCTCACGGAGCGGCTAGATCCATTGGATATGCCCGTGGCATGGGTTGGAGGCATCCCAAACAACCGAACCATGCATCTCCTATCATATCCCTTCCTTTTCCTCCGTCCTCTCTCGTGATTTACTTCCGTGCTTTGAACTATTCCGCCATGACCAAGTCCTATGAAGCTGCTATGACCACCACGAGACATGTCACTCAGACTGCCTTCGGCGCTATTCGAGTTTCCGACGATCCTCGACTCCTCACCCGCATGAAAACATCCATGTCCACTTACCTGGTTCTCGTTGTCCGCCGAGACAATATTCTCTCCGATGCCTTGAGCCAATTATGGCGCCGAGAAAAGCGAGAACTGATGCGACCGCTGAAGGTACAAATGGGCATGGATGAAGGAGAAGAAGGACTTGACCATGGTGGTGTTCAACAAGAGTTCTTCCGTTTGCTAATGGGTCAAGCCTTTGACCCATCGTATGGCATGTTCACAGTTGATACTCGACACCGCGTGTCTTGGTTCCAACCGTGCTCGTTGGAGCCTCTCTACAAGTTCGAGCTTATCGGTCTGTTGATGTCTATTGCAATTTACAACGGCCTGACCCTCCCCGTGAATCTTCCCACTGCCTTCTACCGCAAAATGTTGGGCCTGAAGGTGAAGCATCTGGACCACATTCGAGACGGGTGGCCGGAGCTTAGTCAAGGGCTTGACACATTATTGGCGTGGAAAGATGGCGATGTCGGCGATATTTTCACAAGGACTTACGAGTTCAGCTTCGAAGCCTTTGGAAGTATAGAGACAATCGATATGCAGAAGGTCAGTCGTGATGCGGCGTGGCCTCTTGCCAGCAAAACCAAAGTCACCGCTCCAGCTCCTATGGCGGGCTCCAGCGCCTGGATCGATGTGCCAGCTTACTGCCACCCTGTGATATCGAGATCACCAACCCCGGCGGCAGTCGAGGAGGCTGCCGATGTCACGTCCCGTGAACCCGCCTCAGACACGACCGCCAAATCAATGCCTGAGTCCATATCACTTCAGTCCCCTCTACCCTCAGCGGAAGAGGCCGCTCTTGTGACCAATAAGAATCGACATCAGTTTGTCAAGGATTACATCTTCTGGCTCACAGACAAATCGATTCGACCACAGTTCGAAGCCTTCCAGAGGGGGTTCAACACATGCCTGGACCGATCGGCACTGTCGATCTTCTCCCCGGAAGCCCTGAAAACCGTGGTAGAAGGCATTCAATCGATTGACGTAGAAGAGCTTGAGAACCATACCCGGTACGAGGGTGGATTTGGTCCTGGTCATCGTGTCATTCGTGACTTCTGGGATATTGTCCGGGAATACCCTAATGAAAAGAGGGCCCAGTTACTTGAATTTGTCACTGCTAGTGACCGTGTTCCCGTCAACGGGATATCAAGCATTATGTTTGTAATCCAAAAAAACGGCGTCGGAGATTTGGTGAGTCCACTTTCTATAACCTCATAATACGGCCTGTTATACTGATTGTTCTTCTAGCGTCTTCCTACCAGCTTGACGTGTTTCGGACGGTTGCTTTTGCCAGAGTATTCGTCAAAGGAGACCTTGGCGAAGAAGCTTGACAAGGCTCTCGAAAATGCCCAAGGATTCGGCGTTGCATAAAAGGTTCTAAGGTTGTCAGATTCCATTGTTTGCCTATACATACCCATTTGTTCTATATTTCATTGATGTGAATTCTCGCATGGTGCAAATAGCATATTTTTCATGAAGTACTCGGTCTTTTATTAGGCATCTATAGAGGTTTAGACAAATCACAGTTTATAGATCTCCATTGGACTCCAATGCAGGGCTGTGGTTCGCTTGATGATGTGGCGCTCCGCAAATTTATACCAAATCGGACTTCAGGGGTCTGGGGTTATGACTCTTAACATTTACTTCCCTGGATTGGATATCTCTGTCTCTCATACATATCTGTCAATTACATTCCTAGCGAATTCGAATTCCTTTTGGGAGCAAAATACTATGTAAGGCAATCCGAGAGTACCCCGTGGACCCCTTACTCAAGCCCTCCCTATCACCCCCCACGTCCCGCGATAAGCACGTTCAGCGGGTTCAATATCTGCAACTCCTGCAAGGTTCTAACCTCAGATTTATCAGCTTACCTCCGACACTCTCTTGAACACTGAACATGGCTCCAATTATCCACTGCGTCCGCCACGCCCAAGTATGTCCATATCGTGACAATGTCGCAACCACTCCCTGAGCCTCGACAATTGGTTCGCAACATGGCTCTTCTCTGCTCAGTCGATCTAATAGATAATCACAGGGCCTGCACAATGTGTCCACCGCCAACCATGTCATCCAAGATCCCGTCCTTACCGACCTTGGCCACGAGCAATGCCAAACACTGCGCGCGAAGTTCCCCCGCCATGCCAATATCGACCTGGTGACTGCCTCGCCCCTCCGTCGCACACTCTACACTGCGCTCGAGAGCTTTGCGCCGGTCTTCGAGTCAAATCCGGACTTGAAGATTATCGCCCTGCCTGATATTCAGGAGACCTCGGACGTTCCATGTGATACTGGCAGCGATCCTTCTGTTCTGAAGGAGGAATTCAAGACGGGAGTTGATCTGGATCTCGTGCAAGATGGGTGGAACAACAAGGTAGGTTCCTCACTTTTTGGAAACTCGGGATTGCCTCGACAGTATTCAGCACATGGTGTACTCACATTTTGTCTCGAAAAGCTATCCGGTCGCTACGAGCCGACCAACAAAGCCCTCAAAGAACGCGCTCGTGCAGCCCGTCGCTGGCTGAAAGCACGCCCGGAGAAGGAAATTGTCATGGTCACGCACGGCGGTTTCCTGCACTATTTCACTGAAGACTGGGAGGACAGCAGCCAGTTCCAGGGTATGTGATGACCTACGATTGGGGGAAGTCATACGCTAACGCCGTTTTTCATTCTCGCAGGCACCGGCTGGTCCAATACCGAGTACCGCACTTTCACTTTCAGTGAGGAGATACACACAGATGATCTGGAGGGATACCCTCTGGATGGTGATAATGCTTCACTTGAGGAGACTCTTGACTCACGGCAGCGCCGGGGTAAGACTGGACCTATGCCTAGCCGGGAGGAACAGAAGACACTGTATAAGAAGGGCACCCAGGGCTGGGATGACCAGGGATTGCAGATGAGCACCGCTGAACGGGAGGCGGCTAAGGTTACCGAAGGTGAGGAGGTCAATGGGGTCCGGGTATGAACTGGGCAGTGAACAAGAATCTGCCTTGATGGACATTGCTATTGTACTTTTTGGTTGTCGCATTCCAACCTTGAAGGTTTTGCGACGGGTTACAAAGATAGAGCCAGTATATACATAGATCGGACATAAACCAAAAATAATTCCTTGGATGTTCCAGCAAGGCTTTTTATTCCATTGTTGCTTTCTTGACCCCAGTTCCCTCCTTGAGCCCCTTGGACTATTTTAGCCCTCGGTGGCTGTTTCAGCGGACAATAGAACAAAGCTGACATGCACTGTATCAAGGCCTTCATTGTCGAGTCTTTCACTCGTGCTAAATATTCTTTTATCTTCGGTTGTGGACAATGACCTTCAACCTTGAAACACGATGAAACACTCTGCCATAACCTCGACAAGGATGTCGACAAAGGACTTGTGTGGAATAACTATGAGCTGGGCTACCCTTTGTCTTGGATCTGATTGTCTATATAATGGCTTTCGGGCCCCTCGCTTTTGATCTCATCAGCAGAGCATTCCAGCTCAAGACAGAGCTTAACGCCTGTCTTCACTACTATATATGGACTGCGAATCATTTGCTGAGTACCTTCCCATTCACTTGCAGGATAGACACTAACACTTCTACCTAGGACCATTTACATACCGCTATCATATCTTCTTATATTACAGGTGGGAGCCCACCCGCATGATGATCATTGCTAACTTATACCATAACAAACTAGGGCACCGTGGCATCCGACGAGCACCAATTCGAACATAATTTACTACCTGTCTACGGCTAAGTCCTTTGATAACCCACCCCTCGCCACTTTACCTCCCTTACTAACGAGATCCAGATATTACTACACCATATATTGTCCCATTCGAGTATACCTTTTCATATATCATGCCACATTAGGTAGGTCATTCCGGATGCACAGAGAGATACTAACCGACTGAATTAGATTCGATGCGAGGATATTCCCCAAATATGGATGCAGATAACGACTAACTGAATGGCTAAGTTATTAATTACCCTTTCGGCAACATGGATTCAGTACTAACGAAGCATAGGCCCGTCGATATTTTTATTCGAGCATCATCACATAGGTCCCCTACCAAGCAGCTAAGTTATTCTCCGCCCTCGTGTCACTAATCATAATTTTATAGGTACATCTCGACGACAGTCCACAATATACGGTGGCCAGCGAGTAGCCGCATAGTGAGCTACATTCACTCCTCTCCCCTTTGACTTGGATCCAGCACTAATGCATCTAGATCGGACTTAGTCTTTTGTTTAAAAGATCACGAACTGTATCTTTCGAGCAGCTAGGTTATTCCCTTCCAAGGTCGAGCCCCCATTATGACTAATTTGGATTTTACAGGCAGCCATATGTCAGAAGACCACCGGGACTAGCTTTATTAATTCAACAGCTCAGTGAGTTACTACATTGCTTTCTAAGAAGACTACCTATCATATACTCGCCAAGCAGCTAAGTTACTCCTGTTAGAAGGCCATTGTGACTAACTTGTGCCATATAGACACTCAGGGATGCTTCCTATGACCAGCTCAATTATTATGCAAGCTAACTGATTATATTACTATCTCCGTGCATTCGTACTGATTCAATCACTAGGGTTGTTCGTCGACTATCGCTTATGGATTATTTCAAAGGGGTCTCGAGCTCAAACACAGCTAAGTCATTCTCTTGACACTCCGTGCTAATATAAATTTTAGAAGCTACGCCTTGATGAGTTAATATAACAAATATAACACTACCTACCTTCAGAGTTTATGACTAAGTACGCATGTAAGCCCTTCTCTCCTCTGTATTCAGGCCCAGTCCTAATCGAATCGCAATATAGAATCCTCCTAAAGGAAGCGCTTACACGGCCACAAAATGATATGTCCTTGAAAGCTGCGACAGTTAGACTGGTGACAACCATGATTCATAGAATAATGATCAAAGGCTGTCATCAATATCATCAAACCTGTTGTCGTCTGGGTCTCTCCAGAAAAGTTCCGGATCGTCTCCATTCTTCCACTCCTTGATAGTGAATCCACTCGGAATACGAGGATCAACGCCTTCAAGCATCTTCAGTCCTGGCAGTTTGGCGTCCTTCTCGCGCGCGAGTTGCTCAATTTTGGTATCGACATCCAGCTCAGACTCGTACTCTAGATAGGGACCATCCACGCCTCGTCCGTGCCCGTAAATCGTGAGAGACTCAAGGGTAGATGGGATATGATCAACCAGATTCAAAGATTTCTAGTCAATGTGGCCCTCGCCATCTCCCGTGCCAGGAGCTAGATAGTATAGTGTATGAGCTCCAATACTAAGATGTTTGAGTTGTGGAAACCCTTTCAAGGAGACGCGCTACGGTAGAGTCTATCTTTGTAGCGCTGTCGATACTTTCTCTCGACCAATCTGCAATTGGTGATATTTCTGATATTTCGCATCACATAGAGCATGTATTCCACGAGTCTGCTACGACAGGGCTATGGCGCCGTATACAGAAGGTTTGTTGGTCACGTTGAGCAGCACTTTACGAGGGAGACCTTGCAAGTGCAGCATTTTTGCCTCTAGAGCGAGACTGCGTCGCATCAAGAGGAGACACAGATAGGGGAAGTCAAAGAAAGGAGAGAAATTGAAAATGGCCAGGTCTTGGCGCGAGGATTGAAATACCCTGTAAATCCATCTATTCGACCTATGTTGGTATTTGACATCTTCCTACCTTCTGTTCTATGCCTATCTATTTTTTTAGTTAGGGTTACCTGTTTTGTTATCCATGGATATATCCAGGGCATCGACAATTTGTAAGCTATATAGGCAGCTACCTAGGTAGATTTCGGATGTCATGCATATATGTGCAGAACGCCGATGCCTACCATTTCCCGTAAAGCTTGATCCTGGATATCATTTCCAAAGTGCTTTAATGTTGATGCCTTCAATTGGGGTACGAAGCCGCGGGAGGCCTTCTATTTTTAGGTGTCGATCACCAAAGTCCCGTGGCGCAGACTTCACTCCGAGCTCATATAACTTCCCCATATAACCACCTGGGTAATCTCTTGCTGAATTGTAAATTGACACTCCAGATGACAAGATGATTGATGAAAACTTACCCAGTACGTTGTAAGGACTAACGTAGCCTCGTCTTTTTCCCTGAGCGGGGGCTACGTCATCGCCCGGCTTCAAGATTATCATACTGACCGCGCGGCAGCGTTCTTCCTGAAGAACAACTCAAAACAGCCTCAGATCAGCACGATATACCATAGTCAACATGGCAATGACCCCGAACCTGCTTACTCCTTGCGCGCGCTTGACCCCGCCTCCCCAACATCGCAAAACCGCTACGGAGTCGCGCTGTACGACCCTTACGTGTCAGACGTCGTCTACGGCGAGGTCGCTGTAGCTCCAGACTGGACCCAACCGAGTCTGTCGGCAGACGCAATACGAGCAAATGGCGGCTCAGTACCGGCCCCAGAACCCATCCTCCCTACCGAGTTCACCATCCAACTCTACAACCCCGACCAACAGATCACAGTGAAATATCGTACCAAATCGTGGAACAAACCAGCTCGGTGGGAATTTGAGATGCCGCAAAGGACATTCCGGGTTCCGTCCGCTTCAACGCTAGACCAGACACAGATCGATCCCTCTCTCGCAGACGTTACTCCGAAGTTGAGATTCAGCTGGCGCAAGGATGGAAAGCTGTCAAAAGATTTGACATGTCTGTTGCATGGAAAAACATCAACCATCCCCGACACGCGCACAAAGAGCCGTGAGCCAGATATCACGGTCGCTCTATTTCAAGGGCTGAAGGAGCTGACTCTCTACGAGCCCAATCTCTACCGCGTCGAGATGGAAGATTTCAAGGGGCTGGAGGTTGTGCTGCTCCTCGCTACTGTTGCAATTCGAGATATTTTCTTCGGACCTGCTAAGGAGGCTTTTCATATTACCCCCGGTGGACCGAACCAAGCTCGTAAGCCAGTAGGGGCAACTGCAACCGCAGCGGCAGCCACACCAGCCAATGATCCCAGACTCGATCGGAAGAGCCCACAGACACGATCTTCTGGGCCATCAATGAGTGCAAAGCCATCGCCACCTCGACTCAGCATCCCGAGCTCCTCATCTCCGGGCCCACAGGAGAGAAGGCGACAGGATGAACTTGCAAGACAGGAAGAGGAGCGACGAACCCAGGAGGTTCTCGCCGCAGAACAAAAAGCACGGCGTCAGCGGGAAGCAGAAGTCGAAAAAGAAACCAAACGTCTACAACAGTTATACGGGAAGGAAGAAGAGCAAGCGCGAAAGCAACGACATACTCCTCCATCTTCCCGGCCGTACCTTCCGCCCCGACATACTGGACCCCAACCTTCCCACCAATACTCTCAATCCTCATTCCAACTTTCTTCCCAGGCTGCAGCCCGTCCATCCCATCAACAATATCCCCACGGCGCCAACGGCCCGTACCTCCAGGGGCGCATGGATCCCCGAGCCCAATCCTCTACCCACCTCATGCAGTCGCGACCACAACCACGTCCGCAACCCCGACCACAGTCTACCGTTGGGTTCCATCCTACCAGCAGCGGTGCTCTCCCGGCATCGAGGCCGACACCTCAAATCCAGACGAAAAAGAGTAGTTTCTTTGGGTTCCGGCGCCATAAGGAGGAAAACAATGCTACCAAGCTTGAAAAAAGAGGAGTTCTATGTTCTGATCATCTATACCCTGGCGTTTTTCTTCGCGGCATTTCATGGTGGTTACCTTTTGTCCTTGACCATCTCATTGTACCTAGGTAGTTGCACGGTGATTACGTTTTCATTGCAGTACACCTACGTGACATATCCTGTTCCACAAATTTTGAACCGAGTAAATTAGTGATATATGAGTATATTCATCTTAAGTAGTGTCTGGAGGGCGGCAAGTGGTTAACCGCAGGCAAGGGGAGTACACATCCTGAAGCATAGCAAAGCAAAATGATTGGACATATGCCGTGTGTAAATTTAGTTTAGCTTATAGCTGTGGTCGACTTCTAAAATGAGGATCCGCCCGCGGATCGACTCCTCCTACTCTTCGTCTACAAATGCTGTACCGATAACAAATCGGTCTTTTATAATCTCCTTTCTATTTTCATCTTTCCCTGCCGGCGGCTTAGCACGAACCACACTCTCCACTAGTTCGTTAGGGCCAGTTCTAATATATTAAGGCGCCGGAACATCTTATCAGTAAGAACAAAGTGGCTCTTAACAACCTCTACACTATTCACGAGCTTATAATCATACCAATTCTAAATGCCTTCTCGGAAGGCGCCTCCTTCTATTGTCTAATATCAAATATAATTATATATTTCATCTCTTATTCGAATAGGAAACATTAAGTTACCACTACTGGTATAGAGACTAATAGTATACCCTAGTAAACAATTTCCCGTTCTATATATCCGTCGAAACTAGGATTATTCACGATATTAGAACAAAATATAAAATTAACAGCGATATATCCTAATAGTAGTTAGAGTTATAGTCAACATTCCTACAATATCGAACTAAATAGAAAGAGATAGTAACACCAAAAGGTGAACGTAAGAGGGCTATATTTTACCATTTATATCCAACTCCGCCTATATAGAAATGGCACCTTCACATCCAAGTCCTCAGTATATTCTTCTTACTCATAACTTATCTACTATAGAAATGTCCTAGCTTGAGTTAGCATCTTTGCGTGAATTCGTCCTACCTTTGAGGCGGGCAACATCTATTGGCTATTTAGGGTGTTCTCCGAGCACATCTACGGACTCTATAAATGGCATCTTCACCCTACTCCCACGCTTTAACCTCTCGTATCTTCTAAACAAATAGGGTGGTCGACAGAACCAGCAAGGATGATCACATCCAAGATCATAGGCTGAAGCCTACCAACAACCTTCAGGGATGGGATTCTCCAATGATAAAATGAGAGAAAATGCGTTGGAAACACGGTTGTTTCACAGCACACAGCCATCTTGAAGACTAAACTTCAAAGTCTCTGAGAACGGCCAGTCTTCCCGAAGAACATACGAAAGCACGTCGATCTGCATCGCTCCGGTGGCCCACGAAATTCTGGCAAATTCTTTCTCAACCCCATCCGCATTACCTCTGGCGATGATGCTCCTGCCATCGAGGCGTCCACATTCCATTCGCTCGGGCCTCCATTCCTCCACGTTTTGATCGAGTCTGCGAAAAATTCAATACCAACATCTACGCAAGATTGCCAGCAGATCTTCGCTACAATCCTGAAAGCCTACCTGTGTCGGGGTTTGTGGTGACCTGTTTCAGAACCTTGAAAGCTCCAACGCAATGTCAATCGGGCGACCTTGTGCCAACTACGCCCTTTCCGTACTCCATCCACCAATCTGCCCCCGGACTCCATGCCCCATGTCTTCGACTCCTATCTCGAGCATACATAACCTACAACTACTCGATGCAGGTGACGATGTATGTGTCTCTGAACAGTACACGCCGCACCCGTCCCCAACGACCCAGCTCTAGCTTACGTCGCTCACACTCACTTTTCTCATTTCTCCGCCACGACAGCTATCTGCTGTTGTTTGTTCGACAAGATGACTGAAAGGTCAATGGCAACCCTTTCCTGATATATTCTTCAGTATTTAACACAGATATCGCCACTCGAGCTCATTCTACGGTTCGCGGATAAAACTCTCCGATCCCTTCGCTTCAATTTTCTGCCATATCGCATCGAATCGGATTCTTCAAAGTCGTTTTAGACTGATCGGCTCAGATCAGTTTCAATACATTCAAAGGGGCCTGTTGCTTGTTCGCTGTGCCCGCCGCTCGGTCACAGCAATATGTTTTCCTTGCAATCCGACGGGGTTCTGTCGCACAATCGTTTGTTCGCGGTAGGGGTGTGGCTCGCGAGCAACAAAGCTTCAACAAGAAACCCAAGCCTCCTCCAGTGCTGAAAAAGCCATATCTGCTGGACTGTAACAGAAATCGGCCGAGGAAAGGGCGGAAAGGGAGGAAATCAAATGTGAGGTGTGTGTCCCTCAACTGAGGTCTGCCATCCAACTTCCTCATCTTTCGTCTCATTACGCGGTTTCTGAATCGACGCACCCGACCTCAAGGCAGGTCCTGTGGAACTTGTCAATCAACTTTCACAATCAAGCAACAAAAAAGGTCCATGGATTCGATGAGTTGAAGTCTGACAAGCTTCGCTTGGAGGTAGAGCTTAAGCGTCAGATAGAGTCACTAGTGAAATGGAGCTTCCGAGAGCTCCCAACCCATCAAAAGAAGCTACAATACATGGTGCAATGTGAGAATCATTGTTGATATTCGAAGGAGAAATAATTCAAAGACTATATCTTCTATTACCTACCTTTACACTACAAACGTATATTGGAGTATCAATTTTGAAGACATCAAATCTGATATGTGGCACATTTCTGAAAGAGCCTAAACAACAACTAAAAAAATATCGTTATAGGATTGCAGGATGTCGTACCCAATGTCGAGGAGGCCTTTAAAGCTATATCGAAAGAAAAGAAGTAAGAGTATACCCTGGGTACCTGCTAGAAACGGTAGTGGGGCAAACAGGGATCCGGACGAATGGGAGGCCGTAGTGAAATCGCAAATTCGGGGCAAGGTTGTACAACATACAGGGGGGGCCCTAGCACAGATAAATAAATCAACAAATAGAAATAATTATTAAAACAAATGCACTTCAACCTTGGGACAGCTTAACTTTAATATACTTTGAGCACACCCTTCCTTACATGCACATGTATACTTGAAGTATCAACTTTGAAGACTTGCATCTACTCATTTCTCAAAACTTCTGCTACCTCAATCATATTAATGGTGCATATTTCGTTCTTCCGGCAACTTTGGCCGAGCGGTTAAGGTAAGCATGACATCACCTTAATTCAACTGAATTAAAACTAACAAAATCAACAGGCGCCAGACTCAAGAGAAATTTCCTCTTCACTGATTACAGTGAGCATTCTGGTCACGAAAGTGGCGTGGGTTCGAGTCCCACAGGTTGCATATCTTTTTTTTCCTTGTTCAACCTTATCATAGTTATGATTGGTTGTCACTGGATTTGGCCCCACATACCCTAAGCAGGAACCTTGGTTCCTGTGGGTAGTTCCAAGGTTCCAGGGTTGCTTTCAATTGGTTGTTACTTTTAATAGAGCTGGGGCAGGTTCCACACCTCCATGCCACCTCTATCGGTCAGGCATCTTTGCATTCAAAAGTAATTAATCATAAACTACCTCTTCACCGAATACAGTGGCATCTGGAAGTGGGTGGGCAATATTGGTCGTTTTTAGTTTTTCCTTCCTTCTCTTTCTTGGTCTAATAGGACATTATTTTGCCCGATTTTAATACTATGACGAAAGATTACATACACCATGGTAGAATCGTAGTTGGGTCAAAGGCACCTTTTTATATACAAGGAGAGCGACCCCTACGGACTATATATATAAGGCGCAGCCAACACCACCAAACTTACAATCCCGAAGAGAAAAGCGAGCATCACGAAAAGCAGGAGGGCCGATCCACAGCCAGCCATCACCACACCAATTAGGCTGAGTAGTACCCAAGAAGTTCCTCCCGGGGGCTCAATGTGGCACCTGTAAGCAATTTATGAGAAGTTGACTCCTGCTGTAGTAGTGTATGGTATGCAGAGGCGATAAGCTCATTGGAAATATAGAGTGTAATATATATACATATAGAGAGAGAGAGAGAGAGCAGTAAAAGCTTATATTTTCGTGAGGTATGATAACACGTTGTATTTGCGAGTGATGAGAAGCAGAGGGTGTTGAAGAATGTGAAGATGGGAAGATGCGAAGAGAGAAATTGGAACCTGTATATATACAATTGCCCTAAAAGGGCAAGTTAGAAATATTTTGCCCCGTTTCTCTAGTACTTGTATGCATGTGGGTTGAGCTGGAAGTTCTACTATTAGGTATAATCATGTGAGCTGTCTGAAGAGCAAACTGAAAAAATAGCTGAATGATATTCAAGATTGTTGGCATCGCTTTTGAGACATTAAAATACAGAGTGGTCATTCAAAATATGTGCACCAGTGGCTTGAATTCTTGGGCGTCACACCAAAGCTGTCTATGAAGTTGGTGTAGTGTGCTAATAGGGTATTGAGAAAGTTGCCGTAAGTTCAAACAAAACGCAGCCCTGGGATCAACACTGCACCACCCCACACAACGCCTAATTGCACATGGGCAATAGAGGTCGCCAATGAGATTGGTACTTGTGGTCGGCAATGGTTCAGCCAGAAGCGGACAGCTGTCTCAGCAAGTAGGCTCTACCCAATGAGTGGAAGGCGGAAAGGCCAAGAGCATGGTTCGTAGACCTTGGGCGGGAAAACCTCTTGGCTGGACAAGGTTGTATGGTGTCAAGGAAATGGCACAATAAAAGGCCAAGAATGACAAGACATATTACATCTTGCGGAAAGTGTTGCCAGAAGCACTGCGGCGCTCCTTGGCCCTGAACGATGTGTCGGTCTTGTCGTAGCGTACTTCGGGGGCAGCGCGCTTCGGCTTCCCCGCCGGGTTGAAGCTGATCTCTTGCTCGCCGACTACACCAACTCGTCGCGCAGGCTTTTGTCTCGACTTCATATTCTGCGCACGGGAGCCAAAGGAGCGGTCCCGGGTGGAGTTGGCTTGATTCGAGGAAGACACCTGCATACGAGGCGGAGGCCGCTTCGTTCGCTTGTAGTCTGCAGAAGAGATCTTTTTGGAAGCTGCAGCCTTCACGGGCTTTTCCGCCTCGCTGTCGGAGTCGGAGTCGGAGCTTGAACCGGGAACGTCGTCGATGGCTTCTTGCTCGACTGCCGTCAAGCCACGCTCCTTTCTCGAAGCTGATGGGGCAGCGGCCTGGGGGACCGTACTGGGGTTCAGCAACTGGAATTCGCGTGAAGTCTCGTCGACAGCGAAATCTTGGTCCTCGAACAGCGCAGCGAAACGGCCACCACCCAACACATTCTTGTCCTCGGATGGAGTGGTTGCAGCAGCATCGACCATTTCCTGGTCGCCAGAGCCCTCCAACAGGCGTTTGGCATGCTTGCGCTCCCTCTTCTCCTCCGCATTGAGCATCCTCTCGGCCAGTCTCCTGTTCACCTTGACAGCGACCTTCTTCTTGCCGCGGATGCGGCTCTCCCGCTCCTTGTTCATAATTTCGGCCACCTTCTTCGCTCTGGGGTTTTCTGTGTCGGGGAATAACCCAGTAATAGAGTTGTAAACAAAGTTCGATACTTGGTAGCCCTTAGAGTAAGGTACCATCTTTCCTGACTGCATGTATGATGCCAAGTCAATGGGCTCTCCGCCTGCCTTGATGAGCTTGGCATCCCATTTGGCGACCTCTTCACTGGGAACAAGCGTGAAGCCGGGCCAGACAGAACTGGACTGAGCAGATTTGAACGCGCTGGGGTCATTTGGATCCTCAGCCATCTCTTCAACCAGGTTGTCCAAGAATGAGCACCATTTCGGCGCGGGGCCAAGCTGTGGAATGAAGAATGAGTGTTGCTGTCGGCCTTCATTGGCTGTGAGGAGCATTCCGCTATCCTTGCACCAAGCAACCGAGTTGAGATCCACAGCTGGTTCAACAGAGGTCCAGGGTTTTTGATCTTCAATATCCCAGAGCTTGATGATGCGCTTATCGGCCGAGAGCAATTTGGGCTCGATGGTTGCAGCTTGTGTTGCAGACGACTGCTCGAGGAATTGGAGAGTGTGAATAGGGAACCCGTATCCTTGGTCCTTGACCTGGAAGGGAACGGGCGAACGCAAGTCGTAGAGGTGAATGAGACCATTAGACGAACCAGTTCCAAGGCTCATGCCGGAGCGATTGAATTCTAGAGCTGTGATCTCGGGTCGCTCATCATGTAGTCCAACTTGTGTGGGCATAGACAGCACACCTGCGCGTCCCTTAGCCCTAGGATCCCATAGCTCAACTGTCCCCAATGAAGTTCCAAAGGCCAACAAATTGTGACTCTCCTCCGCAATAGCACCGGTGTTGACCGAACCTGTGTTGATTCCACCTTGGAGGGTCCCGCCGCCCGTGGATGTAAAGTCGTCACCTCCGACGTCAATATCAAAACTCCGCATGTATCGACCCAACTCCAAGTTCAACCGGTACACCTCTCCCATGCCGTCTTGATTAACACCGACTGCAGGAATAAGCGCTTCAGTCGACTGGCGGTCATAGACAATGTCACGTCCATATCGGGGAAGTCTGGTGGTATAGTGACAGCCTGAGGGAGTGTGGAACTCAAGAGATCGGTCAGACTGGAGGTGGAGGGACTTGGTATAATCGGAAGACAGTAGGATGAATGTGGTGTTGAGAGAACTTGTATGACGTGCCCATGAAAGGGATAACTGCGGAAGGTAGTGGGTGTGAATTTGTGGCTTGTAAGTTCCTGCAAGCAATAGTGTTAGGGTATGCGCATAAAATATTGGAGATCAGTAGTACGAACCTGTGCTCATAACCCATTCTCCATCCTCACTGACTCGAATACAGTGACTTGCTTCCTCAAATTCAAAGTCTTGCAGTAATTCAACCCGATTGGCATACTCGGGGTCATTTTTCAAGCTGCGCTTTCGCCGTCTAGCAAGCCATTCGGGAAGCGGACGAGCACTGTCTGAGCCCGAGATGGTATATACCGGGACCTCGGACGGGTTGGACAGCTTCATGCTGATATATCCTGGTGTGATGAAGGCTAAGCCAGTTGTTTTGAGCTGATTTGCAACCTATTTGCAACGTATCAGTGTCGGCAAAAGCAGACCTGCAAAAGATAAAAAAAAAAACTGCGATAAAAAGCCGCTGATAGCGATCACGTGATAAACGGGCCTGGTGATTGGCCCAAGTGTCCCTGGCGAACGTTCCCCCCGGAATTACGCATTCCAACTTTCTGTTGACTTCATGCGATAAGCCTTGTTATTGAAATTATTACTGTTTCATTTCGTGCGCTGATTTCACTTGAGTGAGAGTGTTGCGCGAGATATCCCAGTCTTTGTTGATCGCTTCCCGTTCAACATGGTATCAATCAGCTAATGTATTCGCTGCTTGTTGATCTCTCTGCTATGCGCTTTCACTCCTTGCCACAGACCATGCAACCTGCGATTGGAAATGACTTCCAGAGTCAACCATCAAAATATCTTCTATCTTTAAATGCTTCCGGGGCTGTCCGCGACCGTTGAATTATGGACTTCCCTGGCGGCGCAAACACCAACATACATCTTATTGTGAGTATCGTAATATTTACAGTATATTCGCGCGCATACTGACGCGTCATGTCAGGATGGATTCTCCAATATTTACTGGAGAATATACACAGAAGAAGCTGGTATCGCAAATAATCCACAGGAGAGCCCCGCCAATGGCTACACTATTCTCAAGCACTTGAGTCGTCTCAAAGACTTGGAGGCTCGACTGAGAGGGTTGAATTGCCTAGCCTCGTGTCCAAGGCGCCTAGGGCTTTGGGTGTTCTCCCCCACTCCCGATTTCGAAAGCCTGAAACCTTTGTATGTGAGGGGAAGTGACGCAGATTCAAATAAGATCGTCGTTGGCACAACAACCTTGAAAGGTATGTCTATGAGCAGCCCGTGTAGTTATTTTGGGCCTTGTTAATTTGTTTTTTTACAATAGTCTCTGCATTGGGAAGTGTCTCCTCGGTGGACTTGGTGAAAGGGCTGTCGTCCGACAATCAGAGTCAGCACGGTACCCAACCCGCTGGGCAGCCACGGCCACATCAGAGCCAACCGTCGTCTCGCCGGCAAGATGGTTACAGCAGTTCAGCGGCCATTTACGCTTCTTTTATATCTGCCGTCACTGGCTCAATTGGCCTCCAGTTGATTCGACACCATGCTGCTCTACCTCTTGGGTCACGCACCCTTTTCACTGCTGTCGAAAAATCAGGATACGAAAGCCCCCATATTAACAATGACAGCATTCTCTCTACTTCTTGCTTGACTACACTCAACGTCCAGTTAACTATGGGTGGTACAATAACTGTTTCCGCCCAGACTATATCCCAAACAGGCATAACGCGACTGTGTGGACCACGCGAGGACATTGCCGAATTGATCGACGTGCAGCCTGGAATTGATCTTTGGCTATGCCCGAATGGAACTATCGCCAAGCTTGTCACGGCTAATCTTGACTCGCCAGCCGCTCCTTCTCTGGGCTACCCCGCCCCTGACAATCTGTCTGCAAAAAGAGTACAGTGGAAATTGGACGTTGTGCAGTGGCTGCGGAATTTTGGGTTGCATGTTGACTCGATTGATGAAGAACCCTGGGTTGAAGTGGAGGTTTGGGAGCCATTTTTCGCGAGGCTTGCTGGGGAAGCATGGCGACAGAGCGATGATGGTCAATCTGCACTACCACTAAAACGCATGCTGTGGCCAGCGAGATTTTGCTTCAGAAGGGCTAGCTCATCAAATATCTCTTCCGGGGCTCAAAATTCCCTTCTTGACGAACCCCTAGATTTTGCAGAGCGATGGTCCACAATGGCGGGCTCTCTCAAGCTAGATCATATTCCCCATACTGCTCAAAACACCCCTACCACCCAAGACCTACAACCAAAAGACCAAGGAATGCCGTCGCCACCCAAGGCCGAACCCCTGGAAAGCATAGAGAGTTTATCCCGAATTGCGCAATATCCTGATTTGCAAAGCACGAATCTTGTTTATCCAACTCCCCCAGATGGAGCTGCAGCAGTCGGATTGAACAACCCAAACCCTTCTGAGGCTTTTGCCGACGATTCTGACTTCGGACTACCGCATGCAACGCGGCAACGAAGTTCAAGAAATGAACCAGGGTCTGATATATCACCGGTTCAGAACAGTGGCGTTGGAGTTGGCACTGGCCGATATGATGAAAGCGACGAAGAAGATCTCTTTGGGGAAATGAACGAAAGGGATTTTGGATCGAAAGGTATTACCGATGCGGACTTCAGCTTTTTCGATGACCCTGATTTCGATGGCATGGAAGGCGACTCTCGTGTGGAGGATGTAGATGAAGTTCTTGAAGCATCCCATCCTCAGAGCGAATTGGAGGCTGAGGCCATGGTCGACGCAGAGCCATCCCCCAACCAGCCACCGGCAATCCCAACTCATGTCGAAACACATGAGGCACACGCATCTCCGGTACCCCGCGAAGCCCCACAATTACCAGAAGGGCCTATGGCCTCTGAAGACCCAGCTCATTCGCCTACGGATCGCGCAGGTCAGACAATCAGCCCGCCCTTGAGCCCAATAGAAGTGAAGAAGATCTTGTTCCCGGGGCCCGAGGCAGACAATCACCAACAGTCTACAGATAACCGGGGACAAGGGCATTACCACCCAGTGGCATTCGAAAAGAAACTTGGTGATTGGGATCAGAAGTACGGAGCAGCTGGCAAATTCTGGTTCTCCAGTGGTGGCTCGTTGGACACGTCAAATCAGACATCTGCCATACCCACGATTGGTATTCCTCACCGTGGCCGAAGCAGTGCCAACGCACCTGGCTCTAAAGAACGTAACAAGACCAGTCTATCTCTGGTTCAGTCAGAAAATGGTCAACGATCAGCCTCGGTGAGCAGTGACAGCAGCGAGGACAGTATTGAGATCGTGTCGGAGCATGTTCCGACGCCGGCAGCCATGCCCTCAATGCCATCTTTGAAGCGGAAACGAGCCCCTTCAGAATCTGATATAATGTCAGTTGCATCCCAAGAGAAGTCATTGCCTGGGGCAGAAGCAAGTCCCGCATACGCCGCCGAGAACTCTACGTTCCTCGGTAATTTTCTAGCCAATTTTTCCGATTGGATGTTAACAGGTTACTTCTCTGCTTTTCCACCCCAACAACTCCCTGTACTTCCTCGCCGTGAAGGCCAACTTGAAATTGCCCAACTTCTGGTTGACCAGATCACGCAGTCCTCCCTCAAGCATCCACTTGACGGGAAAATTGGTCTTTTTGACCTTGAGAGCGAGTCTTTGCCACTGCAAGCCCTTGATGACACAACGTTCTTGGGCGAATTCTCGAGACTGGACTTCAAAAGATACACATCATTACAGGATGAATTTGTTGCGAACCAACCGCAACAGCAACCACCACAACACCCGCCGCCGCCCAAAGACACCCCAAGAAGCTTCATTTCAAAGTTATCGGCGCCCCACATACGTGTGCGTCGAGGAAAAGAATACTTAGAGGCTCTCCCCTGCTATATCCTTTTGGGAGACATTTGGTCTTGAGCCTGCTCATGGACCAAAGAACATTTCTGCGTATTGCATACACCCACAAGCTACGTCCAAAGCAGCAGATATGTTCTTAAGACGATTTGGTCTTCTCTACCAAAGTTGCGGTCTTGGGATCCATACCAGAGGCGACGATTCTGTGGCATTTGAAGAGGGGCTGAAGCCATGGAAATCTGAAACATCTAGTTATGAATCTATGATGCAGGTATTGAAGAGAACATGCGAACAGCTTGGTATGTGTTTTCTCTGACGGTTGTGTACTTTACTAACAATCCTGAAGGCTCAGAGCTCTCACAATCCCCGGCGACTGCTGATAACCATGTTGTCTATATCATCAACCCGTTTACGCACGCTGCAGCACTAGCAGACATTTGTTCCGCCTTCTGGCACCTTTCCCAGCAATTGATAGCCGGTTCCGAACGAAGACAGACTCGAATTGCCAGCGAGCTTGTTCTGCAGATAATCCCGCTAGAGTTCATCATGTCGAGCGAGACGATGGTTATTCCTCCCCAGACGGATTATTTGAATTTGGCCCTAGAGGTCTACAGTCGCTGTCGCTCAAATGATGTGGACATGAGCCCCCTGCTCTGCGCGCCACCGATGCTTCTGGCCGACGCTCTCCCGAGGGCCATTAGTTTCCGACTTGCCCCTGAAAGGTCCTCGCCGCTTCAAGATGGGCGAAGTCTTCACATTGCATATTCGAAAAGTCTTGACCAACGCTGGATATCGGTGGCATGGTCTGATTTACCAGGTTCTATACAAAGAACCATGTCTTACTGCCTGCGGTATCGTCAGTCGAGTGGTGCCAGACCGGTTTCCGAGGTAAGGAATGAAGTTTGGGCTACGACAAAACACATCATGGATAAGTTCCAAGCACGATGGAAAGTTCAGCTGGCGACCACCGAGCCTATGGAGACCGATGAGGTTGAAGGTACTGCTTCTTATTTTCTCTGATATCAAGGGCAAGTCGCTAACACATTCACAGCGTGGGCTAGTCTAGCAGACCAGTACAACAAGGTAAAACCTGGGTCCTTGGAATTGACCATCCTGGCTGTCAACACTGTTTCCGACTTGATCCTCGAGCCACCGATTCCACCCATATCGATGGCCATGCTGAATATACTGTCTTCGTCTACCCTGTCTCGACCCCTAATCCAAGTGCCAGCGTTGCATCCCCGGAACAATCAGGCAATGCACCCACGCCAACCAGCGCTGGTCCAGCCACGTACAACGCACCCACACCAACGGACGTGTCACTTGAAACAGATTTAGAAGCAGTCCTCACTGACATCTGCGACGATTCCTGGCTAGCCATCCTATCACACCGACTCAACAGCTCTCCACACCTCACCGAATTCCGACCCGCCCTGTCCAGCGGGTATCTCCTCCGCCGTAAGGGCGCTACTGATGGGGACGGTGTGTTTGCAATATCTGTCAATCTCATCTATCCCCGCGTCCTCCCCCATCCCACGACAGCGTCCTGAAAGATAGTTTAAGTATGTATCGAGACCTGGGCAGTCTTGCCCGGCCAAGGGTTTATGCAGTGTACAGAACAACACACTGCCTTGGCATGTCGCCACAGCTCTTCGCGCACAAGAGCTTCTGAGTTATGTTTTTTGAGCGAAATATCTTATTACTGGGGCGTTATGGTTCTCTGTCTGCTTGGGATCTTTTGCATGTTACGGCTTTTTTGGTGGTGGGATGTTTTATTACCTAGTTTGGGTAGATATGTATACCCCTGGAGGCAGTGCATTTGAAGTCCATTTATTGCGCATGATTGTCAAAGTATTGAGGAGTTTAGAATCATTTCTCACGATATCAATGGATCTCTTTATATCCGCCATTTTACCAATGTAGAAGATTTCCTCCGCTCATAGGGGCAAATGTAAGAGCACAAGTTGAATTGATACATGGGTTCCATCTATTTGTGTCGATATAGAAAAGAGAGTAGCTGTGATCTGGCTCTAGCCTCATAAAAGCGGCGGCAGCTCAGATAGGAAAGCCCTAGTAGATCAAATACACTTCATAAAGTTACCTGAGTATATCCTTCTTCCGAGGTCATACAGCTTTGAAAAGGTGATAGATAGATCGGTATTGTCCGGAGACTTTGTCAACTTAAGATATTTTCAAACTGTCAATAGAATATGCACTACGAAGCTCAACAAAGCAAAGAATGTGCATCAAATGAGATCAACAAAGTACATCCAAGAAAGGAAAAAGAGCCAGCAAAAACCCTCCAACTCCGCACCCAGAAACTCCAAGAAAAGGAAAGAAAAATATACAACGAAAGCAACATAAGTACTTGTTGCTTCCAATCGGCAAAGATTGTACATAAAAGGCGTGTTTCAACGTAAAAGACTCGTAACGCAGCTCGTCATCGTGGCAGATAGTATCGAATGCCAACGGAAAGGGTATCGTGTCGCAGAATGGTCGTAGATGTTTGTGTGTGATCGTATGTATGTGTCCCGAAAAAGAGGCAATCAATGCTTCTACAGCGAGACCGAGAGAGCCCAAGGTCAAGGTCAAGGTCAAGGGTGCAGTGATTGCTGCTGCTACCCTGCCTTATCACCCATCTCCACTCTCCGCATCAGACTCTTTCTTCTTGGAGAAGAACGAGACATGGTTATTTACCGCCCAAATGGCAAACCCGGCGATTGCAAGAAGAAGAAAGAGGACGATGATGATGATCGCGATAGTGATGTTGCGTTTGACCATATTGGGTGGAGACGATCAGCAGATCGTAGTGATTTGAGATGGTAGAGAGATTCGGTCGTTATCAAGCGATAGGAGGATATGTGAAAGCAAAACAAGGCGTGGAGGTTGAGGTGGTAGGCCGTGTACAGGTGGGCAGCAATGCGTTGAGTGGGATTTGTATACGGAAGTATACAGCCTCGTCGGGCTGGGTCTTTTCGCAACAACTCTCCTTTTTTGGAGGAAAGCAAGATTATAGATCGGAAGAATGTGAGAAAGAAAAGTTAGAGGGAATTTTATCGGCTGGAATGTGAATGGGTTTTAAACAGGACTTTTTTCCCAGCCATGTGCTTTTAGAGGGGCTGGGGAACTCAATGTCAACATACTAACCACATACTGTGGCTAGGTACCCAGAATACTCCGTACATTATAGGTATATTATGGGCAGAGATAATTGACCAAAGCAATGTATTCCAAAGGTTATCAATGGCATATAGCTAGAAGTACGGAGTACAAGTCTACGCAATAGAGATGAGAAGCCAAAACCTGAGGCCATAAATATACTCACGTGACCCAGACCATCAACACATGGGAATTGACTCGAGAACGAAGCAGACTGATTTGATACCATTTCAGATTCAGTAATAGTACAGGTGGTAATGGAGAAGAATCATCATTAGTTTTGCCATGTAAATATGGTATCTTTCTTCACATGAACCGGTCGCATCCATAGAGTTAGCCCAGAATCTTCAATCCTCCCTTGGTTTTGGCTGGCTTTTTGATACCGTCCTGCTTCACTTTTCCACCCACCCGACCGGCGGTATCCCCCTTAGGACCCTTGCCTTTGCCTTGTTTCTTTCCATTCTTGGGGTTCGAAGCTGGGCGAACCTCGGTCACTGCTCGGCGCAGTTGGATTGGGTGCGAACCAATGTACTTTCCCTCCATATCTTTTCCCGCTCTGAAGTAGTCATCACTTCCACTGAAGCTGACAAAGCCGTACCCTTTGCTCTTCTGGGTTCGCTTCTCTCGGATGACACGCGCTTTCTGGACCGATGGGTAGCGAGAAAATGCCTTGAGCAGGGACTCATCAGTCACTTCACCTGCGAGGTTACCCACAAAAAGGCGGAAATGTGACGGGTCCCATTCTAATAGGGTCGGGTCGGTCCACGTTTCACCACCGCCAGAACGAATGACTGTTTTTTGTGGCTGGGACTGCGGGGCAGGAGTACCAGCTGGGGTTCCAGCTCCTGTGTTCACACCTGAGCCAGGCTGATTGGCTTGGTTCTTGGGGTCTTCACTGGGTTTGTTGTAGGCGCTCTGCCACTGCGCAATTTGGGCTTCAGTCTCTGCATCCAAGCCGGGGGCGTTGCCGCTCTGTGGGAATCCTGTGTTGGCCTGGTTGGGGGTAGGTCCGAACGGGTTCGCAATGTGTGGAACGGTCGGGCCGTATGTGTTTTCAGGGTATTGAGGTTGTCCATAGTAGGAAGGCGCACTCTGGTATGCCTGGGGCTGTTGATAGTGGTTGATGTAGCTGTTGGCGGGGGTTGTGTATCCAGAGACTGGCGGATTCGAGACTGAGTGGGTATTGGCACGATGCGGTAAACTGGATGCTACCGCGCGCGGCTGGAACGCCGTGAAGGCGCTGTAGCCAGTTGGTCGAGTTCTAACACCATGGCTTGCAGGATTGGCGGTGGAAGGCTGCGCGGTGTTGGAGGATGGAGGTGGGCGGGGCGGAAGTGACGAGGGAGTTTGGCTGAGACCTGGAGGAGGCGGAAGGGGCATGATGAACGGGATATCCAAATAGGGAGAGAGAAATGAAATGCGAGAGACGAGAATCCTAGATGCAAAGTAGCAACCGCAACGTACCTTCAGGGCCTGACTGACGCCGCAGTCATTCGCCAGACGTCACGTTTGAGAGGCACCCGAAGGATGAGCACTTGCAAGAGGCGAAACGTCGCGCAGCTTGCAAATGATCACAGTGAGAAGCCGGGGGAGCTAGAAAAAAGCGGGTCTTCAAGACTATACTGGATCGCAAATGCTTAATAAAAAGATCGGAGAAGAGATAATAGATGACTTTTTTTTTTCCCGTCTCTGGATGCGCTGGCTAGGCCGTTGGCGACGGATGTGTCACATGACTCGATCAAGCTTTCCTGACTCAGCCATAACATAAGCAAACATGCTGAGTCATTGCCGCTGCCGGAGCTGCAACCCCCACTCCAGTCCCAAAACAGCCTAGCGCATGCGCCGGTTATGAACTCATCGGCAAGTGATTTCTCCGTCGCAGCTCTGCCAGAACAGTTCACCGATGCGTGGACAAGGTGGGATGGTTAATTCGGATGGTTTCGATGGAGTTACATGGATATTCGGTTGATTTTCTGCTTCATCATTTTCTACTTCGATACTTAATTCTCTCCGTACTATCTATATTATATACAATTCTTCAGTTCAACCTTGGAAGTTACCCCTCCATGCCCCGCTATTGTACACAGTAAAAGCTGCAATGTCAATCACATACATACATACATACTATGTTAAAAGGAAAATCGGTAGCATCTAGTAGCAAGGGAATTGAAACCGGATCGGATAATGCTTTCCAAATTCTAACAGAACCCGAGTGGGTTGATACCGGACGACTCTGCTCCTGTACCTAATACTTGGCGCTACACCGGAGACAGTAAGAATAACGCTGGTACATGGTACCCCCGCCGGTATGTCCCACCAAGATGACGGAAGAGTTGCTCCGTCAGCCGGCCTACTTCTTCTTCTTCCCCTCCTCTCCTTCTTCATCTTCCTTTCTTCTCTAGATTCATCTTTACTCTACTCAATACCCCCCATATCTCACATCTAATCGTCATGGCTGACCAGGCTGTGTAAGTTATCTACTTTCTGCCCCCCCACTTCATCAATTCCAGCCTCCCAGCATCCCAGCCCAGTGGTTACATCCTGCATCTTGCAGTGATAACAGAGCGCATGGATCTTCAATGCTGCTCAGACATCATGCAGCAGCTCTATTTGGAAGACTCAATTCCTATAGAAGCTCCCGCAAGATGATGCCAATGGAGCTATTGCGTGTCTGCTCCTTTTTCCCCGGAAGCGCACGGATTTCCTTTTTCTTTTTGTTCCCATTGTGATTTTTACCCAGCTGTTGACGAGAGACATTGATCGCTGACGATAGCGCCCGTCTCGCCGGCATCAATGTCGGCGCTCCGGCGCACTTTGCTCCCAGTGCTGATTTCGGCCTCATCGGTCTGGCCGTTATGGGCCAGAACCTGATCCTGAACGTCGCTGATCACGGATTCACCGTTTGCGCTTACAACCGTACCACTGCCAAGGTTGACCGCTTCCTGGAGAACGAGGCCAAGGGTAAGCTCTACACAGAATAACATGTTCCAATCCCCTTTGCCAAATTGCTCACTATAGGACAGGCAAGTCCATCGTCGGTGCTCACTCCATCCAGGAGTTCTGCGCCAAGCTCAAGCGCCCCCGTCGTATCATGCTCCTCGTCATGGCCGGCAAGCCCGTCGATGACTTCATCGAGTCCCTTCTGCCTTTCCTCGAGAAGGGTGATATCATCATTGACGGTGGTAACTCCCACTTCCCCGACAGCAACCGCCGCACTCAGTACCTCACCGGCAAGGGCATCAACTTCGTCGGCAGCGGTGTCTCCGGTGGTGAGGAGGGTGCCCGTTACGGTCCCTCTCTCATGCCCGGTGGTAACGAGGAGGCCTGGCCCCACATTAAGGACATCTTCCAGAGCATCTCCGCCAAGAGCGACGGTGAGGCCTGCTGCGACTGGGTCGGTGACGAGGGTGCCGGTCACTACGTCAAGATGGTCCACAACGGTATTGAGTACGGTGACATGCAGCTGATCTGCGAGGTAAGGCTACTCTCAAGCTGCAAAATATGCTCAAGCCACCACTCACATCATTTAGGCCTACGATATCCTGAAGCGCGGTCTCGGCTTCTCCTCCAAGGAGATTGGTGATGTTTTCGCCAAGTGGAACACCGGTGTTCTTGACTCCTTCCTGATCGAGATCACCCGTGATATCCTCTACTACAACGACAACGATGGCACTCCCCTTGTTGACAAGATCCTCGACAAGGCTGGCCAGAAGGGTACCGGCAAGTGGACCGCCATCAACGCTCTGGACCTCGGCATGCCCGTCACCCTTATCGGTGAGGCTGTCTTCTCCCGCTGCCTCAGTGCTCTCAAGGACGAGCGTGGCCGTGCCTGCGAGATCCTGAGCGGTCCTACTCCCAAGTTCGAGGGCGACAAGCAGGCTTTCGTCGACGACCTTGAGCAGGCCCTGTACGCTTCCAAGATTATCTCCTACGCCCAGGGCTTCATGCTCATCCAGAACGTAAGTTTTCTTCTTGTCAGATTTATTGATAGTCAGTTTCTAACCCTCATCCCTAATATAGGCCGCCAAGGAGTACAACTGGAAGCTGAACAAGCCTTCCATTGCCCTCATGTGGCGCGGTGGTTGCATCATCCGCTCTGTCTTCCTTAAGGATATTACCAACGCCTACCGCAACAACCCCGACCTCGAGAACCTGTTGTTCGACGACTTCTTCAAGAAGGCCATTAACAACGCCCAGAACGGCTGGCGTAACGTGATCAGCAAGACCGCTCTGTGGGGTATCCCCGCTCCGGCCTTCTCCACTGCCCTCAGCTTCTACGACGGCTACCGCTCCAAGAACCTGCCCGCCAACCTGCTCCAGGCCCAGCGTGACTACTTCGGTGCCCACACTTTCCGCATCAAGCCCGAGAACGCTAACGAGACCTTCCCCGAGGGCAAGGATATCCACGTTAACTGGACCGGCCGTGGTGGTGACGTGTCGGCCTCGACCTACATCGCATAAGCGAGTTAAGTTGAGGTCTGCTAGAAGGGTAAAAAATTGGGATGTTCAATGTATTTAGATGTCTTCATGGAATGCCCATGATCCGTAACGAAGTCACTTGTTTTTTTCTTCTGCGTGTGTATCTGTTTCCTATCTATGGTTTTTGGTAGAAAACGATGAATTATGTCATTGCATGTCTACCTTTTTACCCAGTATCCTGCTGGTCTTTCGATATCTCCCTTGTTCCCGTAACTTGGGGTTGGTTGGATACGCAACCTGGAATCGGCCTTTTGAGGCAATGGCTGTCTGTTACTGCCAGGCCAGGCCATCATGAGCCTCCGGTCTCACCTCGGAGGGAGGTTCTCGGGGTCTCTTTGGGCCTATTTCTGTTGAGATGTTAGGTTGCATTCATCTTTACCAAATCCTTGCAACTCCATGAAGCCGTGCTGACTTACTATATGAGGTTCATATGGATAAATGCGAAAGAGTATATAATGAGCTGGTCAATTCGTTGAGAAAGTGAGAATAATCTGAACTTTGATGCCGGCAAGTTCGAAGCCTATGTATATGTCAACCGCGGAGGTCTTATAAAGACTACAATCTGCCATACCCAGGTTAAGCCATGCAGATAGATAAAGCTGCCTTTCCCAGCGTCGGCTAAATCTAAGAGTATACGAATGCCTGTTTGTCAGGGTCTCTAGCTGCGTCAATATCCCATTGGGGGCCTATAAAAGCCCGGCAGGTCTTCTTCTTCCCCCTTTCCCTTTCTCCTTCCCTCCCACCATCGCCCAGGGCCCCATGGCTACGTCCAACTTGATCTTGATCCATGGGGCCCTGCGCGTGGAGGGTCCTCATCGTGCTCGTCATACATACATACCCATACGGTCGTTCCGTTCGTGTTTTATCCGCTGTTATACTTGCAATCTTCAATGTTGTCTCTCTTGCAATTTCATCACGGCAAATCCAAAGCGTTTCAATTTTTTTTTAATAGTAATTTAACTCTACCAAGTAAGGACCACCAATATCATCAAATAGATCAAGAATCATATAGTCGTAGGGAGAAAAAGTCCCCAAAAAACCATCAAGTCGTATCAATCATGCAGGGAATATGCTAAATGAGCAAAGCAATCCCACAACTTCAAAGGTGAAGTGAAGTGAAGTGAAGTGAAAGTAAGAGGAAAGAAAGAAACAAAGACGCCAAACAAAACAACAAGACCCAATCTCTATGCACATCGCAGTAATCAATCTGTGATTGGAGTGTTCAGTCTATGAAATCAGCCAACCGCGTAAGAAAGAAATGGTTTAAAAGCAAAAGAATCAAGAATTGAAATGGAGGCCCAATCGCCTAAGAAAGATGAAGTTTGAGCGGTAGGTCAGGGAGGAGGGAGAGACCTAAGAAGTTAAGATAGAATATAAAACCAAAAATAAAACATCAAATTCATACTTCACGACCAAACATGGAAGCCCGGGAGCCCTGCTCCCCGTCTCCCACTACCACGCCGGGACCCAGCGGCCGATTCAGTCCCACCATGGTTCCCATGCCTACCTTCATCCAGGCTACGCCGCGAGGCACCAAAGTCGCTCATGGCGAAGAGCAGCGGCTCGTCGTCTTCCGGCGCTTGTCCAGACAGCGTCCGACCCGTGCTTGGCCGCTGCCCAGAACCGCGACGGATTTCCAGCGTGGAGTTGCCGCTGTTGCTTCCACTGGCGTTGCCATCGCGGTCCTGGTCGCGCTCTGCTAAGTGCGGGGCGAGGTTGGCGCCCCGGGCGAGACTGCTGGATGCTGAGCTGAGGGAATGTCCGCCTGAGTAGCCGCGGCCGCGAGAGCTGGCGAACCGGGGCTGGTAGACATGGGGGTTGGAGGAGGCTGAAGCGCTGGTTGGTCCAGACATTTGCCCGCGGAGGGATGCACTGTCCCGATACGGACCCGTTGTAGAGACTGACGGACCGCTTCGGTCCTCGGCCGGTGATTGTTGGTCTTTCTGGGACTCGTTCTGCTGTTGGGTGGCACCCAGCGTAGCGTTTGCGGGCTCATCAGCCCCCAGGCTGAGACTGCGAAGGCCGAATGGGAATATTTCGTCGTCGTCGCTTGTAACAATCGGCCGGCGCACGGCTGCGGAGCTCGAGCGGCGGTAAGCAGGATTGAATATCCTCGGTGATGTTGGGATGTCAATAGCACCTGCAGTAGAAGAAGGCGCTCGCGTATTTTCTGCGCTAGAATGTTCTTCCAGCGGCGGGTCGTGGTGTATGCGAGGGAGTCTTGAGTGGTGATCGGTCTCAATGTCATCAGCAACGCTGTTCGAGCTCAGACGAGAGCGGATAGCAGGAGTGTGGGGAGTATGAGGGGTGTGGGGGGATATGGGTTTCCCCGGGGAAGAAGCTGTAGAGATGGAGGTACCTGCAACCATTGGTGGGACACCCGACAATTGCTTGCTCGAAGAAATGGAAGAGCGATGCATGTGCATAGACTGTGACATTGAGTCGGACAACGCGGCGTTGGAATCTCGCATACCGCGGAAGCGAGCAAGAGCTGCTGCGGTGGCGTTAGGACCAGGCTGAATAGATGCCGAGGTAGATGAGTTCATTAGGTCCTTCTTCGAATCAAGCATCTTCAAAAATTCGGAGATGTTCTCATCATCTGCTTGAATGGACTCTGCACTCGTGCCTGTAGCTTCCGTGAGTAGGCCGGACCCAGGCTGTGCATTGGATGACGTCGCGCTCGCTCGGCCACTGGAGTTGTCGTCTTCCAGTCTATTTGCCCCTGCAGAAAGGCGGCCTCGTCGGTGGCTGAAGGAGCTGCTGTACCGGGAGATCGGAGCAGGCTTGGGGGATGCGGAATTAGAGGATGATATAGCTTGTTCAGATGCAATGGTTGTAGGTCTGCGCGCTGAAGCGGCAGAAGAAGGGGCGGCATAACGCGTGAATCGGCAGATGTTCCTGTGGGGATGCGTGAAGACATGTTGCGGGGAGACACTCCCAAGGGAGAGTCTGCTAAAGCCGGGGAAGCAGAAAGAGGGGGAGCTTTGAAGGGCTGGAATGAAACGGAGGGGCGGCGTTGGAAATTCGAGCTTCCACCTTCACCAGCAATCTGCGCAGCACGTCCTGAAGGAACGACTTTCGCAGGAGGGAGGAGTCTCCTGGGTGAGTCTGTCGGGGAAGGAGACCCCGCGCCCGAATCTCTCATTGCACGAAGCGTTGATATAGGACTGGCACCTGTTGTTGGGCCAACCTGATGGAAAGTCGAGAGACTGCCATATGCACGTGTGCAATCTGGGTTCTCAACTGCCCTTCTCTCCACTGGCACAGAACCGACTTCAGGATTTGGGCGGTTGACATCATCTGAAGGCAACGATGGACGAAAGATCTCGTCGTCAGCACCCATAAACCGCGAGCTCAGCAGCGCTTCCGAGTCGTCAACGCGGAAATCGCAATTCGTCCGATACGTGACTTGAACTGAAAAGGGACCTGCGGGCGACTCCGTGACCCCAAAGCTGTAGGTGTCCACCACTTTTTCGCTTCCCTCACTCAAAGGGGCTGTCAAGTGATCCAGTGAAAGGTCATCACGAGCAACGCTCCCATCTACCACACGGTACTTGATCTGGAGAGCTGGACTCTGCCGCAACTTTTTGTTGCGTTTAGAGAATCTCCATGCGGGCAAGAACTTGGAGTAGGTGAATAAGGATCGGAAGAGCACAATGCTTTTCTTATAAACTGTCGGCAATATAGAGCCCAAATCTGCCGGAAGCCTGCTTGAGGACTCTCCCAACTCGATTCTCCACCGCTCCAAGATAATCTCGTCATTTTCCGATTGGTATGGCTTAGCACGGGCGCCCTGAAGCGCCGCGAGCGACTCGCGCACATCCCAACGCTTCCCATTCTCATCCAGAATCACCAAACTTTGGTTATTTGTGAGACCCTTTGTGTCTAGGTATGTTTCGATAACGAGGGGTGGTGGTCGATTGTCTGTTGCATCGCATGTTCTCCAAGGTCGCAGGGGTTCCCGAAGGACATCTGTATCATCTAATTCCACGTTGAACTGGAACAAGACAAATAGAGTTAGCACCTGCTACTTTCAGATGCTTGACTGTCCCCCAAAGCATCGTAAATCCGACCATGAGATGGAAACGTACCCAGCGGTTGACTCTAGGGGACTCGGAGCCCTTGTTAAAGGAGGGAGGCAGTGCAACACGTGAATGCAGGATAATTAAAGCGGCTTTTGTGTGGTAGTTCTGTTGAGAAAGATATTAGCCATCAATAAACCAACCTGATAAGCCATTGGGGGGAGGATCTGAATGGACGATACCGATATTATCTGATTTAACCGGGTCAGGGCCTCCTTGCCCAGTGCCGCATTCCTCCCCTGCTCGGACGGCTGAGGTCCCGACTCTATCCCTAACCCCCCTGGCAGAATTAGACCCCATATCGACGGTTGGGGAGCTCGGGGCGGCTTCCTGTTCTCTGCGGTCGTCCCGAGCTGTCGGTCTGGGTGGGAAGTTTGGCGCCGGAGACGGCACCGATGATCGGGGATGTTGATGCATGGTGGGCGGCTAATTGCGAGCGCGTGGTTAGCGACCATCAAGACTCATGCGAACAAGAGGAAAGAAGGGTATTACCTTGATGGAGCCCAAGGAGTGCTGGGTAGGAGTGTTATCACCGCCGGAATCTGTTATCAGGAACGCAATCGGGCAGCGATGCTTCCAGGACTGAGGGCCATGCTAACAGGGGAGGAGAATGATAATCTTCTAAGGATGTTCCTGGATTTGAGACGCTGAATGATTCACGATAAGACAATGGACGCCCAGCATGTGGTCTAGGGGTGACTCCGGCCTGGGACCTTCGGAGCAAGTCTAGAGCTTCTCCGCACGGGCAAATGCAGTTGGATGAACTCGCCGTGTGAGGCGATAGAAAGATGAAAGAAATATAAGAAAGCCCGTAAGAAAGTAATGAGAAACAAGATGGATGCGGAGAAAGGCCAGAGAGAAGGGGTGTGATAACGAAGATAGTTCGTCTGTGACGCACATCCGGTGACTCGACAGGTCTCGAGTTGTCCTAGTCAGCCTAGAACGCCACACAGATGATGCAAACACGGGGGGGTTTGCTGCCTATATTCTTGATATTCTTGATATTCTCTCCTATTCTTCTTTTTACTCTTAGGCATATATCTCCTACACTTTTACCTACTAGAGATCTGTTGTACAAGCCGGGTACTATGCACGGTCGCAAGGATCGCCGTAGCCGGGCAAGGTACCCTGGAAACGATAAGCACCTGATCACGACTTACAAGGCGTGATATCAAAATATCTACATATATACCCCTGGAGGTATAGGCAGCTGATGATGATATCATTCATACTGGAGTACTATAAGTATACATATATGTATGTACTTTATCTCCATTTCCCCATATTCTATTTTGGCATGTTACACGGTTATCTGATCCAACGTCATAACTTCATTGATCATTAGATCGGTCAACTGGTGATGTAGGAAGCCTGACATCTCCATTGTTGATGATGAACATTATATATTGAAAGAAAAAGTTATATATAGACAAAGGATCCCATAATCTGACCAAGATAAACAAAGAGATGGTGCGAGAGCGAATTATATAACTATGTGCATATATGTAGATCAAAAACATATACAAAAGTTGCGGCTCAAACCCTCAACGCTCATTATGTCCAATGGTAGTAGATGTCAACATTCACTTAAAGATTGGTGCTGAGCACTCCGACAGGGTCGCTCTTGACCTTTGAGTCCTGTTCACCAAGATTGAACAGCGCATCAACGAGCTTCACCAGAATAGGCTCAAGCTGAACACCAAGAGCAATCGGGTTGAGGATACTGATAAGCTCAGTATTCTCAGTGCAGCCACTCTTGGTCGTGCCAGCAAATGCGTCCTTGACAAAATTGATAACATCCAGAATGGCAATGATTTCAGTAGTCGCATGACCACCGCTGGCATAAGTAGTAAACTTGACGTTCGCACCCCAGTCGCACCAGGAATTAACCATCTTTTCGGCATCTGCGTAAGGGATGACCTCGTCATTTGTAGCATGGTACACAAAGGTTGGCGCCGTCGGGGTCTCGTCCTTGTTGGCAGCCATGTTGTTCTGCTTCAACACAGACTGAACGATCGGGTCGAAGATGAAATCCTCACCCATCGTTTGGAAGCTAGTTTCAAAGATTGACCGCTCGAAGAACGCCAAGAGATTCGTAGTGGCGCATTCGGAAAGAGTAGAGTCCAGTATCTTTTGGCCATCGGCCGTCATGACCTCGCTAATGAAAGGGGCCAGCTCGGCACCGTAGGCGGTTGACTTTGAGAGACCAGCAATAGCTGGGGGCAGTAAACCACTGAAGGCTGTGTTGTCAAGCTGATACATCGTGCCGGTGACGTTCGAGGGAGTTCCACCCTGCACCCAGCCCTTGATGTTCAGCTCTGACGCGTACTTGGGCTGCAGAGAAGCTGCCCAGCCGGTAGCAATGGCACCGCCTGAATAGCCCATGCCGACAACCATGGGGTTATCGTCGAGACCTAAGGTCTTGAAGCTCTCCACGGCACGGATACCATCCAATACACCCATACCCGCGAGACGACCAGGTCCAAATGCAGCCTCCGGTCCCTCATAGTCGGGAGAAGCGACGGTGTACCCAAGAGCAAGATAGATCTCAATGATTAATAGCTCGACCGAAGCGATCAAACTGTCCTGTGGCGCACCAAGCTGGTAGGCATAGCGAGGCTGACATTTCGTCGCCGAGCTATCGTAGGCCGTGGCAAAGGAAACGAAACGATCTAGCTTCGCGTCCTTCGGCTTGAACACCGTCGTAACTGTTGCAATGGCCGAGCCATTGACTGCAGTCGTGCGGTAAAGCAGCTGATAGGCTTCCACGTCAATTGGGATGAGACCGAAGAACGCGGCAGTGATGTCGCGTTGGCTCAGGATTGTCCCAGGTGCCTCAGATGCGAAGCCAGCAGGCGGCTGATAGAACGGATCAGCGTCAGGAGCCAGGACCGTGCTGCGAGGGACTGGAGGTGCAGGTAGTGCTGAGACAGTTGAAGTGAATGCCACCAGACCAACCAGGGCAAGGCGCACCATGCGCACAAGGGACAATGCCATTTTCTGCTCTATATAGCAGAGTCACGGCTGCGATGCTGCATGGGGAAAGGGGGCAATCTCATATTATATACGTGGGGCGATCCATACATTCCCAAAGGTTGTTCCTGAGAATGTGATTGATATCCACAACCGAGGCTGGCAAATACTGCGGCGATCACACGGCCCCGGATGATGGAGAGAACTCCGTGTAGAACCCATGGGGCAATACATGATCTGTCTGATGTCTTGCAGATCTCCCTGTTGATATGATATTAGTTTCATATACTTTGCCCACAGAAGCATTTACACATTCAACAGAGCGATCAGCAAAATAAACTTATCAGCTAGACTCATGTCTTTATCTTTTTTTCTTCAAAACCTTCCGGACAAACGTTGGGGCCCAACAAATTTTCAAATTTTTCGGACTGGAAGATCGGCGCCCCCGCATAAATTTTCCTCGTTGTTCACCTTTGGGATGCATAAATGGCACCGTGGATGCAATATCCGAGGCTGATTACTGAGACATTATATCGGAGGAACCCCCTTCTGCACTATTGGAATACGTGGTGGATACGCCTCGGGTCAGAATACGCACGTTAATCCCCATATTCCGTATCCGTACTCCGTCCGTCCGCAATTGGTTGTTCATAGGCGCTCTAAGCCAACATTGTCTTAGCGTTACCCCTCATAATGCGGGGGAAGATCTTGCAAGAAGCAGTTTCTTGCATAAGATGCTGTCGCTAGGTGTATATTGGCACTTCACATGAAAGGGCTTCGGTTGCATTATTCGGCTTCATTCGTGTTCTGGCGGGCTCCATGGACGGATGCTGGGGAGCAGATGACACACTGTCCCTTTTTAGTAAGGTGAAGGCTAGGCAGAAGTGAGATTTCTAATAGGATATAGGACCGATTGGTAGGAGCAGAGATCAGAGAGGAGGATATACTGTGCATTGTCCCAAAGCCCTAGTTGACAATATACCCGTCTTGATGTAGATATCTCGAGTCCATGCCATTTTCGCCGATAGCGGTGGACACCCTCCATATCTTCTTTCATCAATATTTCAGGCATATTGTATTTATTGTCTTTGATTAGTGTAACTTCCATTCTCTCTTATATTTTCTCCCTTCAGTTAATATCTTTCAACCAGACCCTAGAATAATGGATGGCCTGGGGCATGCGTTAGTTTAACCCCACAGTTGATCATCCTGGGAAGCCTTCTAAACTGTTGCAGACGTTAGACTAACGCGGTGCCTAAGCTCTTGTGTGGGTTTTGAACAAATCTGTGGTCTCACCATTATTCAGGTCTACGTCTAAGTTTGCCAGATGGTTTTTAGAGTGAAGACCCGTACTCCCTACAATGGAAAACCCCGGAGCTGGCTTTTTATGGATCACCTACGTTGTAAACACCCTCTTCAGGGGCCAGAGGAAGAAAAAAAAAAGTGTACTGACCAAGTGGAGTCTCAAGAAGATCGAGAGAATCCACCAATGAAAAACACACTGGGACATAGAACCTTGGAAGGGCCATGGTAAATTGATTCAAACCATTTGATGTTTTGACACATTGAGTACCCTGGTTGGAATTGGTAAATACAAAACTGCTTCGCATCTTCCATCTCGCTAAGCTCCCCGGAAGCTACCGCAAAACAAATACTATAGTAACAATCCGCACGATATTTGCTTTAATCAGAATACCCAGGTTTCTCCCATTCAGGAGGGACCATATCCAACATGCTTTTGAATCCTTCCGTGGTGCGGTCGTCGAAGACCATCTTCTGGTCAATAGTAACCCTATTTTCACGAACTTGAGCAAGCCACCATGTTGCGAGAGCCGCAGCCTGATCCCGCACTGTACGTAGATCTTGCCTAGGTGTATTCCACTTGACTGGCAACGAGATACAGTGGTCACCCAGCCCATGCAGTGGCTGATGGGTCATGGCGGTTTGGCCGTATTTGCACTTCTGAATTACGAATAACATAATCGCTTCGTCACTATGGGTGCCATTCTTCGCTTCCGGTAGAAGTATAACACTGACCCAGCAATAGCCCTTACCATCGTCGCGGGGATCCGGAATATGGTGCTTGCGGGTTACAAAGGGGCTTGCCTGCACGCGCATTTTGCCGGTTAGTGGGGTGGATGGGGCTGACGACTGACCTTTGGCAGGGGAAGACGACATTCAGCTATATAGTATGTTATCTCTCAAGAGAAAATGCTTTCTTGATTATACTGCCAAGCTATTACAGCCTGGAGGGGAAGAGGGGGTTTATGTAGTGAGCTGAAATACGATGTGTTTGTAACACAGATAAAAACCTCAAAGAACTTTGGCTGCTACAATGGCCTTTTCTATTAACAAAGAAACCCGTTACATCTTGATTTACTATCACGTAGTAAAGTATAACAATGACACTTTATGCTGGAATTAGAGGAAGAGCTGTGTGTCAGTAGGATTTGCCCTAAATCCTTATGAGAGCCGAAAGGAACAAGAAGTAGTTCTTTGAACTAGTGGATGGGTAGTTGAACACCTAGACAAGTCCCGAGGTCCCGATCGCTACCAAAGGATTTTGTCATCAAATGGCTTTCTGGTAGCGGTGATGTAGAGGATCATTTGATGAACGCGTACGATGCTAGGCGAGACAAATTAGGACCCCCGAGCCTGAATGTCCTAGTATCTCATGGACACATAGTCTGCCTCTGTCACTCAATTCTATGGCGAGACACAAACAATTCAGCCTGCTCAACGAGAATTGGTGATGAAAAGCGGAGGGATATTTGAGGAGAAATGGAGAAGATTGAGTGTGGAGAATATCCTGATATCAAATTCATATACCAGGCCTTGCAGAAAGCATTTGTGGAGTGGCCTCTAAAACCATCCAATATGTTACATGCTCAAGAGCAAGAAACAAGATTGAAAGATATGTATAGTGACGATCCTTCAAATATAGCAATTTGATAAGAGTCAATTCCCAAGTCAAGGAACGAGAAGAATGAGACTCCATCGAAATTGGCGGTTCATATGGCCGGTAAAGAGGACGGGATTAAGACCATTGGAATGCTTCTTGAATAGTCAGACTTTGGAAGATTATGTACGAATATTTTCTCGTTGTCACATCACTTTCTCTCACTTTCTCCCTTCTCTCCTTCCTTCCCTCCCTCTCCCCACTCACCCCCTTATCATCCATCCACAAATACCGACATGGCCGTTATATCGACCCTGAAGTTGCCTGGCCAAGGGCTCGGTGACCCAGTGCTGCTGGAAAAGATCGACCGGCTCCTTGCTTGTAACCTTGCTGGATATGTCAACTTGCCGCAGCTTGTTGTTGTGGGAGACCAATCTAGTGGGAAAAGTTCTGTTCTCGAGGGTCTCACCAAGTTGCCTTTCCCCAGAGACAGTGGGCTGTGCACACGATTTGCTACTCATATCATCTTTCGGCGTACCAAGGCTGACACAAAGAGAAGTATCAGTGCCTCTATTATTCCAGCATTTGGCAAGCCCGCGGAGCATGCTTCTCGTCTGGCAGCATGGAAAGCAACCCATATGGAGTCTCTCGATTCCGAATCCTTCGCTCGAACAATGCGTGAAGTAAGCTCCGCTACTTGAAGAATGTTAGCTGTCCCTTCTACTAACTGGTATCTATAGGTTCACGAGACCATGGGTCTGTCCCGCTCCAGGGAGGAGATTCTCAAGCCTACTTTCACCCAAGACGTCTTCCGGCTAGACATTTGTGGCCCCGAAGAAGATAATTTGAACATAATTGATGTCCCGGGCATCTTTAAGAACACCACAGATGGTCTCACTACCAAGCAAGATATGAAAATGGTGAAGGACATGGTCCTCAGCTACATGCGCAACCCTCGTTCTATCATGCTGACCGTGATCCCCGCAAATGTGGACATAGCCACACAAGAGATTTTGGAGATGGCGCGTGAGTGCGATACCGAGGGAAGTCGCACACAGGGGGTGTTTACCAAACCCGATTTGGTAGACAAGGGTGCCGAGGACAAGGTCATCGACTTGGTGGAAGGCAAAACCTCTTCCTTGAAGCTTGGCTGGATTGTTGTTCGTAATGCCGGTCAACAGCAGCTACTTGACCAGGACTCCAACCGAGATGTGGTCGAGAGCCAGTTCTTCCGTGAAGCTCACCCGTGGAACAACCTTCCGAAAGAAAAAGTTGGCATTGCTTCCCTCAAGATCCGCCTGCAAGAAGTGCAAACCGCCCAAATTGGTCGAGAGTTTCCCAAGGCATGTCGCGATTCGCAGACTTGGCTAACTATATATGTAGATGCGCGCCGAGGTTGGCCGAAAGTTGAAGGCAATGAAGCAGGATCTTTCTGCTCTTGGTATCGAGCGAAGTACCCCAGAGCAGCAGAGAAACTTTCTACTCGACATTATAGTGAAGTTTCAAAACATTGTCTCGCAGGCTATGGCAACTTCCTATGGCACACATGAACTGTTTGAGAAGGCCGAAGATACTCGACTTGCAACAATAGTCCGAAACCGCATGGATGTTTTCAAGTCCGACGTGGAAGAATATGGATTCGAGTGTCAATTCCTCAATTGGACACCAGCAACACAGCACCCCAGTCCCGCAGGAGTTGGACCTGAACCTGAACCTGAACCTGAATCTGATAGCGGTGATAGCGATGACGACGATAATGACGATGAGGAGGCGGATGGAATCGCTGTTCGTAAGAACATGAATGCGTCAGAGCACAGTGGTGCCATTGATGGTATTCTCCACGAACAAGTCAACATAAGGAAGCCAAGAGGTGATAGCATCCTCGCATGGATCGAGGACCAATATCGTGCTTCCCGCGGATTCGAGTTGGGAACATTCCAGACATCTCTACTGTGCACCATAATGAACAAGCAATCAGGCAAATGGACGGAACTTGCACTCGGATATGTCAGCGATGTGGTTGATATCATGCATACATTCATCCTCAAAGTCCTCCTATCCATCTGCCCGGACGAGCAAATCCGCGACAAGTTAGTGAATGTTCTCGTCGATGAACTGTCCAAGAGATACAGGGAAGCGAAGGACCAGGCCCAGATGATTCTCGAGGTCGAGCGCATGAACCTGATGACTTTGGACAACAGATTTCAACAAACTCTCGACATAGCTCAAAAGAAAAGGTGCGTTCAACTAATCCATTCGGTCAATGGGGAGGATACTATACTAAAAATATTTTACCAGCCACCAGGAGCAGTATGAGATTGTAAAGGGTAAGAAGAAAGGCCCGATGAGCAACACCCAACGAACCGTTCGTTACATCCATGATATTCTGGCGGCCTATTACGCAGTGGCATCCAAGCGGTTCATCGACAACATCTGCCTGCAAGCTACCGGGTACTGCCTGCTTACCGGACCAAGCAAGCCGCTTGGACTCTTCTCGCCCCAGTTTGTTGCGGATCTGGCGGAAGACCAGCTCATGGAGATTGCGGGGAGAATGCAACGCTGAGTCGGCGACGAGCTCAGCTGAAAAAGGGGATCCAGGACTTGGAAACTGGCCGAAAGATTATGATGTAGATCTGGTCTGTGTGGTACGGACATATGTCACCAGACAATTCTACATGAATTCGGAATGAAATGGAATGTCATGCATACAACATAGTACATACATAAGGGTGCATCATCCTATCACTTCCCCACGGGCTCTGCCCTGGATGATCCTCGCCTCTCGTCCGGGGGCATGGAGGGACGTGCGCGTCGTTATTGGTCAGAGTAAATGCGCAGACGGTGATAGCGTCCATGTAGGCACATAATACAGATTCCCCTAGTATAGATGGCTTCATCGGCTTCTTTACCCCAACTACTTAGGTGGAACCTGGGAATAGATTCTAGTCTGGAAGCTGGTAACAAATTCTAATCTGTGAGAGGATTTGCTCAGTCTATGGGCTTTTAACTCTTTTATATTACTCAAGTCATTCTCTCGACTTAGTCAAGTGAGGGTCTTTCTATAGTTATATCTCACCTATACTTGGTTATGAAAATTGAACATTGTGTACCTTTGAATCTCTAAACACTTCATTTAAAACAAGCTTCGTCGCATTTAGAGCAGTGGGACAAGCCCGAAATGACCCGTGTCCGATATAGATGTACGACTGTGTACGCGGTTTTTTGACCCGGAGGTCATTATCGCCTACTGAGTGGCGGCTCCACGATCCATGGATGACATCGAGGACTGGATATCTGGCAAGTGCGACCTGCAACATCTTTGCTCCTTCCATCTCGAGATATTAGACATCTTCCCACCCTGTCGAGACACCCCTCATTCCGTATCCTCGAAATTTTCGAGTTGCCCGCCAAAGCACTTTCGCCACACGCGCACACTCCGAACCCACAACCGATTTCGCGTTAAATCCCACGATCAGAAAATTTGTGATACCAGATCGCGTCGACCTACATAGCGTCGGCAATTCTTATCCTTTCCCTTCCGACCAGAGCTCTCTTATCACCCAGCTCCCCCGTCGCGGTCCACCCCACTGTGGTGACGGCGACGCTCAGCTTGGGCCTGATAAGAGATTCGGCGCGTCGACCCCTCCGAGCACATGAGTAACAAGCTTTGGGAGTATTTCATTCAAGATGATGTCGAGCGGTTCCAGCGGTCTCTGGCGAACGCGACGTTCGCGGGACCGCGAGCTGCAGGAGGCTCTGGAGGCACATCCAGAGCTGCGACAAATCTGTCATCGAAGACTGGAAGCCCCGGGTCCATGATTGCCTCGTCCCCGAACCCACCGAGAAGTAAGAAGAATATCGAATCATTACCTTCGTCCTCCGTGCCTGACCGAACGGCCTTCCCGCGCGGGAGCACGAATTTGTCGCGTGCTGATGTCAATGCCCGCGATCATTACGGTCGTACACTGCTGCATCACGTCGCTTCGTCCTCGAAACCTACCGCCTTCAAGTTCGCACACGCTCTGTTGGAAGTTCCATTTATCGATATATTTGTGCAGGACCGGGAGAGTGGATGGACGGCTCTGCATCGGGCTCTTTACGCTGGGAATGCCACAATTGCTCTGGCGCTCATGGCGCGCGACCTACAGGACATGACAGATTTCAGCAAAGGTGGAAATACGAGTCATCCGAGTGGTGGCCTGATCAAGATCAAAGACCGTGAGGGTTGCAGTCCCTTTGACGTCTTCGGGGCGACTATTAGAGCCCGCGACATTAAGCATCTCTCTGAAAAGTGGCCGAACCCAGACCTTGATGATGATGATGATGATGCTCTGGGCAGTGATGCTGCTTCCAATGCTGCCTCAAACTTTGGAGATGATGGGGAAGATGGGCCATACGCTCTTAGGAGTGCCCTGAAAGGGACTGTGGATATTTCCGCCGATGAAGTTTTTACACTCGGAAGCAACAAGAACCTGAACCTTGGCCTAGGGGACCAGGATGACAGACAATTTCCTGAGCGTATCTCCTTGAAGCGCCCTGAGCATCTTCTGCGCCGATTTTACCGCGAATACCAAGAGAAATTGGAACACCTAGGGCTTGAGGATAGCGCCCCCAAGAGCAAATTGACCGAGCTGCCCACATTGATCAGAAATAAGCCAATGAAGTTCCAAGACATTATCATGTCTAAACTGCATACCGCCATAATCACAGACGACCCCGAGGCTAATCTGTTCATGTGTGGATTTGGACCTGGAGGCCGCCTAGGAACAGGAGATGAGTCCACGCGTTTCACCTTTGTTTGTATTGAAACGGGAGGACTGGAGGGCAAGAAAGTCGTATCAGCTGCTCTGGGTCAAGACCATAGCCTGGCAATTACCGAGCAGGGTGAAATTTTCAGCTGGGGAAGTAACAAATTCGGGCAACTTGGCTATGGCCTGCCCAGGACTAGCAACAAAAACGACATTCCCATCCAGACGACTCCTCGCCAGATCTTTAATCCGTTCAAGAAAGAAACGATCATAGGCGCAGCAGCGTCGTCTATCCACTCGGTGGTCTTCAGTACCTCAGGTCTCTATACATTTGGCAAGAATGAAGGTCAGCTTGGCTTGGTCGATTCTGATGCGCGTTCACTTGAGGTACAAACGACACCACGACGCGTTGGGGCATCCCTTTTCAGTTGTCCAATCAAGATGGTGTCCGCAATTGATCGTGCTACGTCTGTGCTTCTTCAGAACCACGAAGTTTGGGTTTTCTCGTCATATGGCTATTCAAAACTCTCGTTCCCACTGGAGGTGAGCTCCAGATTCATCAGGGATAGCTTCATGGCAACCAGGTATGACAAAACTGCGAACCGTGTGGTCAAGATTGTATCTGGAGGCAACACCATATGTGCATTATCCAGCTCTGGTGATGTGTTCACTGTTCAAGTCAACCAGTCCGATAATTCTTCGGTCTCAACATCCACAACCAATCCCGCAAAGATTCGTAATTCGTTAGCTGCCCCTGTTCGAGCATGGTCCGTTAAGAAATCATACATGGCAGCGAGTGATGTTGATGTCGGACAAGATGGTTCGATCATTATCTGTACAACATCTGGATCTGCATGGAGAAAGGAACGGCGGACAAAGAACAAGGAGGGAGCCTCCAAAGACTACAAATTTGCCCGCATACCTGGTCTCTCACGGGCAGTGGCAGTGCGCAGCAATGCCTTCGGGGCCTATGCTATCGCTCAGCGTGAGTGTGAAGTGACTAGAGAACAAATTCATGTCGGACAAAGCAGCCTTTGGGATGATATGTTGCCGTTGTCCCCATTTACAATGCCAGTCATGGAAGAGCTGGACTCTATCCTCGATGATGACGCTCAGAACGTCCCTCTTGTGCTTTCCTCCGGGAAAAGTATCCAAAGAGCCATACTTTCGTCCTCGGATATTGAAAATCAATTCCTGCCCGTATGGACCGAGGGGACTGTTTGGGTGACCAGCTCCCTATCTGACTCTTGCATTCCTGTTCATGAGTTTCTTATAGCTGGTCGTAGTCCTGTTTTGGGAAAGGCATTGGCTGAGTTCAGGCGGTCATATTATTCATCTGTCCCTGACGTTTTTGATATTGAATACGGGAAGGATGGGCATCCCCAGATCTGCCTGCAAGGTGTTGATTCCTTGACCGTTATGAATGTGGTCTTTTTCCTTTACACAGATGGCATTCTCGATGTTTGGCGCCTAGCAAAGAGCTCACCCGCAAACTCGGCCCGTTTCCGGCAAGTTCGCACTGAAGTTATGCGGGTTTCTATGCAACTGGGCCTGCCAGCGCTGGAGCGGGCAGCGCGACTAATGGTCGAGCCGCAAAGAAGCCTGAAAACAGACATGGCTCACGCCATCAACCACTCATTCTTGTTTGACAGCGCAGACGTGACCATTCAGCTCAAAGGGGATACAATCAAGGTGCACAGCCAGGTCGTGTGCCAGAGATGCCCATTCTTTGACACTCTTTTCCATGGTTATGCGGGTGGAAGGTGGCTAGATTCGCGCAAAACGGAGTCAGACCAGAATGTGCATGTTGACCTAAAGCACATTGATCGCTCGACGTTTGAATTTGTCCTGCGTTACCTATACGCCGATACAGAGGAACGCCTGTTTGATGAAGTTCGGACCAAAGATCTTGATGACTTCATTGACTTGCTTCTGGATGTAATGTTCGTGGCAAATGAGCTGATGATCGACCGACTATCTCAAGTGTGTCAGAAGATGCTCGGTCGCTTTGTCACAACGCGCAACGTGTGCTATTTGCTCAATTCCATTGCCCCTTGCTGTGTCACGGAGTTCAAGGATGCCGCCCTGGAATATATCTGTCTCAATCTCGAGGCCATGCTCGCTAATAGATACCTCGAAGATTTGGATACTACGCTCCTTGCGGAGTTGGATCTGATCTGCCGCGAGAATCAGCTAGCATGCTGGCCCATATCCCGTGGGCGTAATTCTGAGGAGTATGTCTTCGAGAAATACCCCGAAATTGTCAGCTCCGTGGAAGCAGATAAGCAACGAAGGATCGATGCCATGACTTTGCAGTCCCGCCTTGGTCGTCTCGAGGATTATGATGCGCCAGCGCGGTCAACGCCTAACGAGAAGGCCACTTCATCTCCGTCTGTACGCAAAGGGAAGACCAGTGTATCTGGAGAGTCACCAACTGGTAGTAGCCCAATGCTGAAGCCAAGGCAGTCGACTGGGGATCTCATGTTTCAAATGGACGATGAGGCTCTTATGTCGCCAAGTAATTCGAAAGGCAAGGGCGCGATGCGTGGACTCAGGTTCACAGAAGGCATACCTGAAAATCGATCATACCCTGACTCCCCAGCTTTGGGGGCAAGCGTCCCAGAGGCTGAGTCCTTGGGCGATCTTGGTTTCTTGAAGGATCAGATGTCTTCCCCACGAGACCCGCTACTAGCACAGTCCCCATCTGAGTTCAGGGCAAATACTCGAAACCAAAAACAAGCCCTAGCATCTAATACCCCTTCTGCGCCATGGACCTCGCCAATGATTTCGAGTTCCAAGAAGGATATTAAAGACATCATGGGAGAAGCATTACAGTCTCGGGTGTCAAACCTCACGCTGGGCATGGCAGATCGACGCGAAAGCAGCGGTAGCTTTGTACCCAAGATCTCCCAAAAGGAGCGAAAGAAGCGTCAGCAACAACAGATGCAAGAGCAGCTGGCTGCCGAAACAGAAGGCGAAGGATGCACGACAGAACCCTTGGCAGAAGCCAGCAACTTCTTCTCCAGCATCACTCCCTCGACTCGATCCTCTGCCAGGCCAAAGCGCCCCGGCTTCTGAGGCTGTTAAATCAACCCAACGGTCCATGACCATGCGGCAGACTGTGGCCGGCACGCCGCCGCCAAATTCAAAGCCGGTGGCTACGCCTGTGCAAACACAACGCCGCAGTGTGTCAGGCAACCCACAGCCTTCTCCTCTTTCGAAACCAATATCACCGCAGCCAGCCATCCAGTCAATTCGTCACATCCCACGCCCTGACCTATCTGCATCACGTTCTCCATCCTCTGGCTCGTACTCTCTGTCGACCATTTTGCTCCAGCAACAGACCGAAAAAGAAGCAATCCGTGAAGCAGCCACAGCCAAGCATAAGATGCATGAGATCCAGGCCGAGCAGGAGTTCCAGCAGTGGTGGGATCAAGAAAGCAAGCGTGTGCAAGGACTGGTAGATCCCGAGCCAAATGAACCCCGCTCCGGAAAGGACGGACGAGGCGGCAAGGCACCTGGCGCTGCCGGTGGCCAGCGCAAGCGTCGAGGTAATAAGAATACCAGTGATGGACCTGCTCCCCAAGATCACAGACGCGCATCGGCTCAAAGCTCTGGGCATACAACCTCCAAAACGAATCAGAGTGGTCAAGCCCCAGCCCAGTCCCAAAAAGGCCAGGATAAAAATCGTGCTGGAGGTGCGAATGCTAATGGTCGTCGTGGAGGTGGTAACCCACGCGGTAGGGGCAAGAACGACATAACAACTTGAGAAGAAGGCATTCATTCTCTCAGTGGATTATCTTCTGTGGATATTATTTTTAGGTCTCGGAATACTTCCTATTGTACATGTTCGGCTTCCACTTAATTTCCACCGAGATACGATTGCTTTTGAACTACAGTATCAGCGGTTCTTTCATTGCGATCTCTTACCATCTACTCATACCCCTTCCTTTCGCCTATACACCATATTTGGTCTTCTCGTTTATCAATTTAGAATCTGTTTGGGCAAATATGGCGTTTTATTGAAGTACTGGTCACTTACGAAAGGCCGGTATAGATTGATAGACTGCCTGTTATTGATATACTACTTCTGGTGAATTTACGAACATTTCCCTTTCAAGATATGAATATTCAGGCACCTTCCTTTCACAATCAAAATTAATTCGCCGAGAACAGACTAAAATTAACAACATTCAGTTTCCGACCCTATGAACGGGCTTCCCATCGCACCGTTGCCGGCTGCATAGGACGCGAAAAGAGAGACTAGCAAGCAGTCAGCCACCTATCCTCAAACCAAGCCAAAAGAAACCGAGATGACTTACCGAGTAATCCGTGTCCGGCACCCCCTCCCTGCCCTCAGGATTGAAAAACCTGAACTCCCTCACAAGCGTGGCAATAATAACCTCCAAATTAAGGTAGGCAAACTTCTCACCAATACAACGATGTCTACCAGCTCCGAACGGCAAGTACGGACTGCGCGTTCCCTTGGAAACAGCTCCATACCCATAATCCACTGTATCAGAAGCATCCTCAACCTCAACCCGACTCTCCCAGCGATGCGGATTCCACCGCAACGGATCACGGAAATACCGCTCATCCCGCGCCGTAACACCAGGCGAAGAGAGCAGTGTATGCGACGGCGGAACAACAAACTCCGTCCCAGGCACCGGCATCGGATTCTTTACTTTCCGCATAAGCGTATGGATAGACGAGTGGATTCGCAGCGTCTCCTTGATCACATTATGGTGCAGCGGAAGCTTATCCATATCCTTATACTGCAGCGGCGGGAGATCAGCGCCCAAATTCCGGATCTGCTCCGCATACAACTTCTCCGTCATCTCAGGCTGCGAGGCAAGCCGCAGAAGAATCCAGCAGCTAATCGCAGACGACGAGTGTTGACCCGCCATCAACAGCGTGATCATCATATGCGCGATCTCCTTGTCCGGAATTGGTGTTCCGTCGCGGTACACGCAGCGCATAAGGTTCGAGATCATGTCTGTGCCTTTGGCCTTATCCCTGGAGTCGACGTTGTCTTCTCCGGCTTCCCGTCGCGCTTGGATGATCTCGAAGTAGATCTCGCGCATGCGTGCGTGTGCTTTATCGCGCTTGCGGTTGTTCGGGAGTGGTGCCCAGGGGAGCATGAAGTTTATTGGGGTGAAGCCGAGGTCGAGGTCGTGGAAGAGTTCGGCGAACTCGGAGGTTAGTTTGGAGCGGACTTCTTCGCCTTGGAGGGTGCGGGCTGCTGTGAAGATGGTTATTTCGGCCATGGCGGCGGCGAGGTCGATGGTGCCGGATTGGCCTTTGAAGTTAGGGGATGATTTTATGTAGGCGCTTGTTTCCTCGGCGATTAGGGGGACATAAGATTCTAGGGCTTCTTGGCTTAGGCCGTATTTGATGAACTGGTTTAGGGGGGTTGGGTGTTAGCTCTATTGGATATGGGAGGTGTGATGGGTAGTCAGAAGGAGTTATACCTTCTTTTGCTCCATAAGTTTGGAGTTGGGACAGTCGTAGACAACATCAGATCCGAAGACGGGCGTTGTAAGCTTGCCGTAGACTTCTTCGGCGTTGACGTCCTTCAACTTTCCATTAAGGATGAATTCATTGCCTTCAACGCCGAGGTATACGGTTGTTTTTTTGCCTAGGAGGATGAAGGTGAAGATGTCGCCGTACTAGGTGTGTTTGTTAGTAGGTGTTGTCTTTGACTTTGAAAGCATCGAGAGCTGCAAGATATACACACCTTGGCACGAGAAGCGAAGAAGAACTGGTACGGATCCATGCCATAGGCGACTGTACTTCCAATAAAAGGAACCCAGTGAAAGACAACAGGTGGTTCCTTTCTGTTGTAGAAAACGAGCTGCTTGATCACATTGAGGACGATCGACACCAGAACGAGTCCGGTGGTATAGTATGCAATGTACAGGATCTGACCTGCTACCAATGGGACAAGATCCATGATTTTCTTTTGATATACGAAATAGGAGTATGAAAGAACTTTTGAAGTCTGGAGTGCTCATGAGGCCATATAGTTAGGGTTTTGTAGGGCAAATCAGGAGGGGAGGATTGGCGATTAATCATCAGGTCAGGCCATTCAGCCCTTCCCCGGATGGCCACCAGCCGACAGGGGCCAGTCCCAGGCAGCTGATTTGTTTTGGAAGTACTGAGTGGGCATACTGGACATAGTGGACTGGACATAGTGGGCGTAGTGGGTTGTGATTACCATCTAAATTTGTGGCATTGGCTACTCATATCAACATAATGGAGCAAGAATGCAGTGCAAAAGAGCAAAAAGAACAGAGATAAATTATGTCCAACCTGATCGCTGTAATGAAAAGCCAGAATGCAAACGCCCAACAATAGAGAGCCAACCGTCATAAACATAAAAGGGGGTGAAAAATCATAAATTAGCCGTGGATGGCGACTTCTCGGCTCTCCCACATCCGGCGGATCAGCATGGCGCTGTCGTTAATTTGAAATTCTTCATTGTCACCACTCACATCACGCGATGCTTCGGCTGAAGTGGAGAGGATGCGATGAGATGGATCATTAGACTTGGCAGCCTTTGCAGTATTGATAGGTTCGTTTGTCGCTGGATCAGAGGTGGAGTTTGGATTACGCGATTGAGATTTAGATGCAGGGCTGGAGCTAAGACGACTGGGCCGTTTGCCCTGCTGTAGCAGGGGCAGCGAAGGTGCTGATTTGACTGGTTTGCCGAGAGCTGATCCTTGCGCCGCTTTGTTGGCTCGGAGAATATGACGAAGACGAGCAAAGCTCTGGCCGGTGGGGAGACTGGAAACGCCGCACGACCATCAGTTCCAGGGATGTCTTCTCATACGCCTTGCGGATATGACGGGTTTCGCTGTCGTGTCCTGCACCAGCTCGACCGTCGCCGTTGAGCCCCCTGCCGGCGTCATAAGTGCTGTGGCCAGCGGCAATAAATGTTGGATCAATGGCAGATGACGGAACTGCTGCAGTCACCCCATGGTTATCAGGGGGAGAGTTATTGAGGGTGGCAGTACGTTGAAGCCAAAGCTTCTGTTGTGTGCGAGATGGCAGGTCAGCACCACGCGGCCGCGCAGGAGATGCGGCCAACTTGGCCGCGGCACTGTTCGGAGAGGGTGGTGTTTGTGGGTGATAGTGCGGGAGGAACGACGAGGGGGTATTTGGGTCTGAATCGGTGCGAGAAGATGCCTGCACGCTATTCTTGTTGTTCAGAATGAACCTGGAGACTCCACCTTCCATAGAGGATGAGGTGGCCTGCGGGTGAGAGCCAGGCATACTAGCCATGCTGGCTGTAGAGAATGTCCGCCGAGCGTTGTCCTGGCCAGCAGCCAGGTTGAGAGATGCGCTACTACGCGCTGCAGGATTGAGATTCTTGGAATCTGGCTTCACCATAGCCGAGATAGAGGACATAGCAGGGGGCGCTTTGGATGAGTGCTTAGGACTTAGGAGGCGGGTTGCTATGTCGCTCTGTTCAGTGTGCTGACTGGTCTCCTCGGCCTCTTCTTCCGAGTCCTGCTGCTCAGCTTCCTCATCCTCATCCTTATCCTCATCCTGTTCAGTACGCTCTCGGACGAACTTAGTGGTGATTGACTCGGGGAGACTGGTCGCTCGAGGCATTTGAGGATATGGTCGTTTCACAAACGTAAGGTGGTCGACAAGAACGGTACTATTATCTGCGCTGGGATTGGATGGTGCCACCGAGTTGCGCCTCGTACTTTCGGGTGACTGCGTGGTATCTTCCCACTCAGCGTCGTCGGTCTCGTCATCCCCCAGCTCAAAGCCGACCGTCTTTTTCTTTATCGTGCTGGAAGTTGGGCGCTCCGTCACCAACGCTTTCTTCCCAACAGCTGATGGATTCCGTCGTAACACAGGAGTGGAATAGTTTCTTTTCATGGAAGGATTACTTGTATGATCATCCACGTTATCCCAGCGAACGTGTCCGCTGTCCTTCGGGCTCGCTACTGGAGTTGCGGGGGCCGACTTCTTCCGCTGATGATGCCGCCCAGTAGTCTCAGGAGCTAGTTGGAACCGTTGGAGCTTGTTGAAGTTTTTGCCGGTAGAGGGGTTGCGGTGGTGATTTCGGTGAGCACCGACAACATGGGCGCGGTGAGGTTTATGGTGTAAAGGTGGCTTCTGCGTGTGCGACAGCGACAGGTCATTAGGATTGGCGCGCGTGACGACTGCATGGGACGACACTGCACGGCGACCGAGACCCGGGCGCTTGACAGGGGAAGAGGTATTTGAGACGTTAGAGGTAGGCATGGCGGTAAGCGAAGAGCTCGCAGAGGAACCACAGGCGGGTAATCAGCTGTGCTCTCGGAGCATAGAATGTGGGGATTGGCCGAGGCAAGTTGATCAAGACGTCTCACGGCAGACTAGAGAGCATGCAGGCAAAAAGCAACGAAGACTCAATTATTAGAAGCCGGGTTACACCAGTTTTAACGACCACCAATAATGAATGAAGAATCAAATGAAATTCGAAAAGAAGAACAGGAGAGAAAACCGGGGGCAAATTAGAGATGTGAAGAAGAGAGAGGGTGATCTCGCTGTCTTCGGCGATTAAGGAGCGGGTAACAATATTGTGGAATGCCTAAGGCAGAGAGACAACGCTTCTGGGCCAAAAAGGTCTACGATTTGGTCCCCTGGCTAAATAGCAACAAGAATAATTTAAGAAAAAGTACCTTTGGCACAAGTATTGGAAAAATAGGTAATGTCTTCTCGTGTATACTTGAGATCTCTTCATTCCCACTTCAAGCTACACATCCAATCTGCTAAGTCTTCAGGTATCATCGGGCGAGAAAAAAGAAAAAAGAAAACAAAAACAGATAAAACATTAGATAACGCCGGGGGAAAAAACATAGTAACTACGCTATAGCTCAATCAGGTTTTCCTCCACTGGCCGTGCTGGTTGCTGATAAGGCGGTTGCGGAGTCTCCTGTGCATACGACCCCGGTTGCCCAACGTTGATTGAGGGGTAGGCAGATGGCACAGCATTAGGGGGTTGTTGAGGCTGGGACTGTGACGGGTAATAGTAGGACTGAGAAGGGCCAGTTGCCTGCTGATGCAGTGCTGGTGCAGTAGGCGGCACAGAATAGCCTGACGATTGCACATACCCGGCAGATGCGTGTTGCTCGGGCACGGGGGTAGGACCGCTGGGAGGCGCACTGGCCTGGTACTGAGAGTCCCGGCGCATAATAGGCGACGGCTGATATGAGGTTTCTCCGCCAGGTGACTTGGCTGAGTCTTGGTCGTGTGGTCCTGCGTAATATTGAGCCGGGGCACTTGGTGCCGGGGTATTGGTATAATTATTTGGAATGCCGTTGCTGGGTGAAGGTGGTCCAAGGGTCGGGTAGGTATTCCCACCCCATGTATGACCGTAAGACTCATTTGTGGGAGCCCCGTGTTGAGGTTGTGATGAGTAGGTGGGTGTACCTTGGAACCCATCGTTGTTCACTTGCCGCGGTGCATACATGGTAGTAGGTGGGCGAGAGCTGTCCAATTGGCTTCCATGATAGAAATTCTCGGCTCCACCCTGGGTATCGGGAGCGTGAGCAGGGAACGCTGGCTGAATATTTGGATACTGCGCCGCCCAGGCACAACTCCATGGCCAAGGGTGTGGTGAGAATACGCGACTGTCAGGCGCTCTTCCAGCATCCGGTCATAGTAACGTACAACCGTAGAAAGCTTGGCATGGAGATCCAATAATGTATCTATGACGATTAGCTCGCGGCTCAATAAATAAATTTGGTAAGACTGATGAACTCACCATGTTTACTCATGGTCTCTCCATAGCTTCGAGCCAGCTTTGGTCGAAGCGCTCCGATACTCTCATACAGCTCTTGGATTTGCGGTTCTCTGAGAATTGTGCCCGGCGGCTGATGCTGGAGCCGATCAACCAGTGTAGAGAAGAGGTGAATATTCTCGGTTTCAACAGGGGTTAGTTCATATGGATTTTTAGGCAATGGTGTGGGTGTGCTAGAGGAATCGCGCAAGATAGAACTAGGAGTGGGCACGTTCTTCAATGCGGCTGCATGGTTTTGCTTGTGTTGTTCCATATCACGCAGGGATGCTTCAATCGCAGCCTTGAGATCCGCATCTTCATCGTCCGCATTCTCCGGCGCCGGGGCAGTCTTCGCGGGTTCTGGAGCATTGCCTGTCTGCGGTACAAATCCTGAAGGGCCCCTGCCCTCGGCTTCATCAAGACTCATTTGTAACGCCCGACGCAAATCCTCATCGAATCCCGTATCCGCTTTACCAGCACGAGGTTCCATTGTGTTAGATTTGCTGATAGAGTTGTTTTTGAACGTGGACCGATCCGAAATTCCCGGTGGCGCAAATGACTTGGAGGTCAATTTAGCATGGCATCCATCATCTACTCTGACTGGCTGCAGGATTCCAAGATGCGGTAAAGGAATGGTCTTGCTTGAACACTGGGCGTCGAAAACATTACCGCAGTTACGGCAGTGGTGTTTGCGATTCATAAAACTGAAGGCAGTCCGACATCGCATGCAGACTTCCGAGTCGATCCACTCTGGGGGCTGAGGCAGATTCACAAATTAGCTTCTGCTTCAGAGCGGAGGGTTGAGGCACACTCACTGCGTTACTTTCCAGCATACTGCCGCTCATTTCTGTCTTTGGTGGAAACCGGTAGCCTTCATTCTGCAATTTGCGATATGTCTCCCCCAAATACATCAAATCCATACGGCCCTGCGCAGCCATAGCCCAGTTCTGAATAAGTTCCAATATTTTCCCCTGGACCTCGGCATTAAGGGGAGCGCCTTCGGATTTCAATAACGAGACAAGATTATCCATGAATTCCCGAGACGCGATCTCGGCCAGGAAATGGGTGCCTCCGTTTTTGACACACGTATCCGTTAACTGGAGGGGCAGGCTTATCAGCACTTGTTCCAAGCATATCATCAACGGGGAGCAATGTCTTACCTTCAATGTTGCCAGCTGAATGTTGGGATTCCTATTCTCGAGTCGTCGTTTCAAAGACCGCATTCCATCCTTGGGCTGAACGCTCTTTGATCGAACCATATCCGATATTTCCAGGTTGAGGGCAATGTCTTCTCTATGAGTGGGTTAGCCATGTGATCATTTATCTTAGACAATCCAAGTACGCAGACCCGGTACATATGGGCATGATAATAACGCGGCAGTCAAAACTCACAGGGAAGAAGCTGTCGCCCGCTCGATTTGCTCATCGAGCGGCGATGTTGAAGAGAACCAGCCTGCCATAGTGAAGGCGAAACACCCGATGTGCGTGTAATATCCAAGAAACACAGGTTACAGCAGCCTGCAGAGAGCCAAGACACTTAAATGCAGTAAAATATGAAGATCAGGCTGGAAAGTTGGAGGAGGAGCTTCCAGGCACCTCAATAGTGACTAAGCCCCTGGCGTCATAGGTTGGGGGCGGTGAAGTATTGTCATCTGATTACCCCAGAGGCATCCCGCATTCCAAGGTTGCGTCCCTGGATCTGTCCTCTTTACTCTCTATTTTTTATTGTGTTTGCAATTCGGACTTGGTCAACTTTTGGGCGGATTGATTACGCCAGTGGTTTGGCTGTGCTCTCTTTGTTCTACTGGTATTGAACATAACCATGCGCTAAGTCCGCTTGTCGCTGCCTGGATCTACCATGTCCTCCGATGCGGCGACTTTGCCATCTCCCCCAAAAATGCCACCGGGGAAGGACAGCCGGCGTCCTTACTCGGTGGGGATGACATGAATTCCAGCGGAAAAGTCAACAGACCGGATTCGTATCCCAAGGCCAAGACCCCTCTCATCCCACCGCGGCGACCTCGGTTCCCAAATATTAAAGACCTGCAAGATCAGGCTGCTGCGTTAAATGTTACCGATACTACACCGGTATGTGGCGCACTTACTGACAATCGTGGGAATTAATTCTTCTGACAGGGATCATAGCTTGATATTCTCTTGCCAACGGCCGCCGATGCAATCGAAAAGGCCAGGAGCCTTGCAGATGACGACTACAACGACAAAGCCTACGTCCAGTACCTTCGCGCCTCCGAAATTACTATCAATCTGATCCCCCATCATCCAGACTATCGAACCGCCAGCCAACGCCCTGATTGGTACAAGGAGTTCGCCGATCTATTGAAGGCGGTGCGGTCCAAACAAGGCACTATGGATGCGATCAAGCGGGACATCATCGAGGATAATTTGGTCAGTGGCATGCAGCCAACCGGTATCTTTACATCCAGATCCCCAGAACAACCCCCGGCTACGCCACGGGGCCGTGAGAATCGAGAGTCTGGGACAAACTTCGCTAGAATGCCAAGTCCAACTCAGTATCAAAGAATGTCCGAGGCAGAGGCACATTCGCAAAGATTTTCCAGTCCTCCAGATGACATGCTTGCGCAACGTTTTGCCAAACTCAAGGCGTCTTCTTCTCCGCCTTCTAACCAGTATGGGTTGGGAGCAAGTACTGCTGGGCCGGGAAGCCCGATTGTAGGATCTGCAGGGCAGACCCCACTTCATCCGTCGACCGTACCCCTGGGGACCTACAGCTCCCCACCGCCAAGACGACCATTGGGACCTCGCGGCATGGCATCTTCATCTAACGTGCCGACCCTTCCACCGAAGCTTCCGCTTAACACGTCGTTACCACGTGCTCCGGACCCGGCTTATAGCCCTGTCTTCACCGTGCCATCAAAGCCCACATCAAACCCACCTAGACGGTCAACCGAGAGCACACGCTCAGGCAATCTAAGATACTCACAATTCAGCAACTCGCCACGTGTCAGTCCAACCCGGGGAGGCTTGGATGACAATCCGTATAGATCTCTCACGCCCAATGGGTTGAATTCGGCGCGAGAGACGCGAAGCAACTCACCCGATTTGCCGTACAGCACAACCATAACTGCACAGAGCCTCCTTGAAAATCTGCGGAAATTCAATGTGTTGCTGATCGATGTTCGAACCCGAGACCAGTACGATAACGGTCACGTATATGCCAAGTCTATCATTTGCATAGAACCTGTGATTCTGAAAGAGAATGTGTCAGCGGAAGAACTAGAGGAGCGACTCGTTATTTCACCGGAGCATGAGCAGGCCTTATTTGAGAAACGGAACGAATACGACCTTGTGGTTTACTATGACCAAAGCGCCGATTCAGTCAGCTATCTTGCTGGCTCGCCAGTGGGGACATCAGCACCCCATCTGCGGGCTCTTCATGATACACTTTACGAGTTCAATGCATACAAGCCGTTGAAGGCTGGGCGGCCTCCGGCTCTCCTGCTTGGTGGATTGGATGCCTGGATCGATCTTTTAGGGCAGCAATCCCTTGCAACATCCTCAACCGCTGCCGTCATGAGTTCTCTGCAGGCCAGAAAGCCCGTGCTTAGACCTGGCCGGCCCCTCGGGAGAGTGCCCACCATGGCTAGTGCGAATTCAAGCCTTGAAATTCGGAAGAGACGACTTCGCGAGTTCACCCCTTTGAATTCGAAGGAATTGTCCGAGTGGATGGAGAAATCTAAAGTCGAGGAGATTGACCCGAGCACCTATGCTGAGGAAGATGCGCTGACGGAAGAACCTGAGGAGACGGGACCAGAACCTCCAAGTCCATTTGTTCAGACATATGAGGCTTTCTTGCGTCGTTTCCCTGAACCGCACGATGTTCCACAGTCCATGACACAGGTGGATTCCCGTCCTCCCCTGCCGCAGCTCCGAATTATGCTGCACACATGTCAGTGGCACCCTCTCGACCACCCCCCGCTGTGCCTCGACCCAGCTATAGTGGCGTCTCCGATGGACGGCAGATCCAGCCTCATTTGCAACGACAGAATTCTGCAAATCGGACAGCCTTATATGCCCCAAGCTCTCGCCTAGACCGCATCAAACTTCCGCGGACTGGATTGACCAATTTCGGTGTGACGTGCTACATGAATTCCACCATCCAATGCCTCAGTGCAACAATTCCACTAAGTAGGTTCTTCATCGATAACCGATTTCGCTATTATGTACAAAAAAATTGGAAGGGGTCTCAGGGCGTTATGCCGGGACTTTATGCGAACTTGACCCGGTCGCTATGGAAGAACGATATTGAGGTCATCATGCCGACCTCGTTCCGGAACTTCTGTGGACGCTTGAATCGAGAATGGGCCATTGACCGGCAGCAAGATGCCAAAGAATTCTTCGATTTTGTGGTAGATTGCCTCCACGAGGACCTCAATATCAACTGGCAGCGAACGCCGCTTCGACCTCTGACCTTCTCGGAGGAGATGCAACGAGAGCGAATGCCAATGACCAAGGTTTCCCGAATTGAATGGGACCGCTATTGCCACCGAGAGGAGTCTTTTATCTCGTCACTATTCGCGGGACAACATGCTAGTCGACTGCGTTGCACGACCTGCCATCAAACCTCCACTACCTACGAGGCCTTCTACAGTATCAGCGTTGAAATTCCACCCACAGGTGCCGGTGATATCTATCAATGTCTTCGTAGCTACTGCAAGGAGGAGATGCTGAGCGGTGACGAGGTCTGGAAGTGCCCACACTGTAAATGCAAGCGAATGGCAACCAAGCAGATCATCATCACGCGGGCGCCCCAGATTCTCGTCGTCCACTTCAAGCGCTTTTCTGCATCCAAGACCCAAAGCGCACGGAAGATCCACACCCCCGTCGAATTCCCGCTTCACGGTCTACGGATGGACGATTTTGTGATTTCTCACCCCCCCCCTCCGCCTCCGGAGCCCGGCATGCCGCCCACCACCGGGGCCACGGTCCCACCGTTTACCTACGATGCCTTTGCTGTGCTGCGGCATCTTGGGTCTTCGATGGGCAGCGGACACTACATCTCGTTGGTCCGCGATGCGGAGCGGCAATGCTGGCGGAAGTTCGATGATGATCGGGCCACGGATTTCAATCCGCGGGAGCTTCGAACGCGGGACCGGTTACAGAACGAGCAGGCGTACATTGTGTTTTATGAAAGAGTTCCAGCGAAATGAGCGTTTTGGTTTCTAGCATTGTCATGATCACGATTAGAGGTTTTTGGGGGTATATTATTATGCACATAGTATAATGGATATTATACAGTCTAGCACCTACCTAGGTAGTGCTTCATACTTACCTACGGAGCACATCTTAGTATATCCCTTCTTAATTCCGCCCAGCGGAAAGCGGATCCCGACGGTGCTACCCGAGACTTGATCCCCGAGGTTACGGTTAACCAGGCAGAGTGGTTAGGCAGTTGAATTTATAGATGTATACTATATTCTATACATAGACTAATATGTATACTATGACTATACTATACTACAGTACTATACTAGCCTATAACATATCTAAAGAATTCAAGATTAATGAATTTCAGTACGGAGTACATAAACCAAGGCCAGATCTCCTCTCTAATAAGCAGCCCCTGATTCGTCCAGATCCTATCTAGCACAACATACACATATTATCAGATTCAGATAGACACATATATGTAAATACAGTGACAGATAGTAAGATAGAAAGTGATAGAATTCATAGAATTAATATAGATCCAATTAGAAACCTCCCTTTTCCTCTTATAAGCCGGGTGTAATTCACGGCATCAAAGTCCCTGGTACCTGGGCCCCACCCGTCGAGACCGCCCAGTCGCACGTACCAGCGACAATGTTGGTCCTTTTTCTCTTCTTTCTGGATATCACATCTATCTCCCCTCTTTCTCCTCTCTCTCCTCTCTCTTTTCTCTCTTCCTCTTGTTCTTGTACTCTCAGCTGATTTTTGGACTTTCTATTTCTCCCGAACTCCCGAAATACCCCGTAAGTCGTCAACTTCCTATCTCCCCAACATTTCTCGCCGTTTTCTCCTATCGCCAACTCTGCTCAACACATCCAAACACACCCCTCTCTTCACTTGCCCAGTCTTTACAGAAACTCACTGACAACGGCAATCACATTCAGATACCCCAATTCACCATGTCCGAAGTCAAGGAACTCACCCTGCAGGAGGTCTCCGAGCACAACAACAAGAAGGATCTCTACCTGATCATCAACGACAAGGTCTACGACTGCACCACATTCGCCAATGAGCACCCGTACGTTGTCTCCATATCTATGCCCACTGCCACCGGATCTACCATCCCAATACCCGAAGCAAAGAACAAGCGCGAGCGAGAATAGAAGCGAAAAAGAAAAACAAGAGCCAAAAAAAAAAAGAAAAGGCCACCTCGGCCTATTCTCTCCCCTCGTCTCGCATCGCTTCACCCCAGATCAAAACCCCAGAACAAACAGACTAACAAATCCCAGCGGTGGCGAGGAAGTCCTCCTCGATCTCGCCGGCCAAGACTGCACCGAAGCCTTCGACGACGTCGGCCACAGCGATGAGGCGCGCGCTCTCCTCGACGACGGCATGCTCGTCGGCAACGTGAAGCGCATGGTACGTACCCCCAAAGCACAAATCTCCCAACATCCTTAATACTCAATATACCGTTTCCCCACACTCCATGTGTTCCTTCTACCCTCGGCTCCTAACCCCACACAATCACATGGGCACCAATACAATACTGACACCAAAATAGCCCGGTGACCCCTCCCCCAAGGCCAAGCCAACCACCAGCACAGACTCTTCGTCTTCTTCCTCCGCCTCCGGCTTCGGCGTCGGTCTCTACGCCGTCATCCTCATCGGTGGCGCCATCGCATACGGCGCATACAACTACCTCCAAGCCCAACAGGCTCAGCAGCAGTAAACTAGCTGTCGGGGGTGTTTGTGTTTTGCAATTAGATGATTTGAGATTTGATTGAGAGGACTAGTGGCTATGGGTCTGGATGCAATGCAGATCTGAGATTCAAAGACCCGTCCATGGATGGGGAGTATGCCTAAAAGAGCAAAGAGCAAAGAGAGCGTTTTTCTGTTTCGGGGCCTTATGAGTATCCAGCTCTTTTTTTTATATTACCTTTTTTTTTTTATCTATTCACATACTTGGATTAATTCTTTTTTTCGGAATATGGAAATTATCAACATCTGTTATGGACCTCGGGACTGGACCTCGACCTTCGATGTGACAATCAACCCGAATAATACGGCAATTGACCAGATAGGGAAAGAGGATCGCCGCTCCCAAAGGAGTAAAGGACTCCGGTGACCGTTCCCCTCATCCCCTCATCTCTCCAAGATATCTCCAAGATATCTCCAATATCTCCAATTCTTTCGGCGATTTCTAATAGCCCGGAGACGAGAGGAGATAACGGGATATTGCGTCCGAGCTTGGCCTTTCGACGGCGTTCGATCCTGTTCTGCTTCTAGTAGGTATTTTATATTGCAATCCATGTTACCATAGCCAGGTCCTGCGTTAGATTATATATACGAAGTTACAATCCATGATAGAGTCAAATTACTTAGATTGGAGAACCACCTGGGTAGTCAACACTCCGTCTCTCTCATAAATGAGCCACAAGAGTCCATCAATTCCTCGTAGACAATCTGCATCAGACCTGGGGAAGTAGCTACAAGAAAAGAAGACACAATAGGATGAGAAAGCCGAAAAGCAATAGATGCAAAAAGCAAGATCAAAAAGAAGCTCTTTTAAAAACCAATATTCATGAAATAGATACCCAAAAAAAAAGGATGAAAACAAGAATCGAAGTAAAAAGCCAAAAGAAAAGACTAAAATGAATACTGTTCCCGCTCGCTCGAATTTAAGGCAGAGAAGGGTGGTGTAAGAGTCGGTTTTCTATGTCAGATTCAAACCACTGTCGCAATAACAAACCATAGCCACTCACCGCGCAGAGGGGTGAAGTCCATTCTGCACGGCCTCCAGGATCATCTCCTTGGCCTCTTCCAGGCCACTGGGGCTACCCCGGATCTCAATCGCTTCACCGTGAGCCTGCTCCTTGGGCACATTGATACGGCAACCTGTCTTCTTGCGGATGGCGTTGATCTGGCTGCCGCCCTGGCCGACGACGAAGCGGTAGGTTTTGGGGTCCGGCAGGATCAGGTAGCCCGTAGTGGACTGCTGGGTTGCCGAGGCGAGACCCTTCTCGATGACGGCGCGCGCCTTGGCCACGTTCTCTGGGGTGCCGCTGAGAACCCAAGGGAAGGGGCTAGAGGCGACATCCGTGGCGTTGTTGTCCACGACGGTCCAGGAGTGTGCATCGGCGGTCACGCTGGGGTCATCAATGATCAGGGGCATGTCGGTGCCTTCAGCTGTGGTGCGGGTGTCCTCGGCGGCGGAGGGGGCAGGCACGGGCACGGCCTGGCCGGCGTGGTCGACAGTGACCTGGTAGTCGTTGCGCAGGCGGCGGAAGATTTGGCCATTGTCGGCAAGGAAGTGGTGCAGGTGGCTGGGGACCTCGATGGTCTCCGCGTGCTGCTCCTTAAGCATGGACTGGATGTGCTCCTTAGCGCTTTCGACGGCGCTGCTGGGGCCCTTGAGCTTCACATCGGTACGGCCGGAGCCCTGCTTGGGGATATCAAGGGTGACGTTGAACTTAGTCTCAATCCCGCGGCGGGTCTCGCCCCCACGGCCGATGAGCATGCGGTGCTGGGCGGTGGGAACATCGAGGATTTCCGTGACCTGGTCCTGGCGCTCCTTGACGAACTCTTCGATCGCAGCGATGATGCTATCCACGATCTTGCCGTTGCCCTCGAGGCGGATGGTCGATTCGGTGCTTTCAGGACGGGGGAAACGGACCATTCTGGCGGCGCTGCCGTCAGTGGGGCCACCGGCCTCAGTGACGATCTTGCGGATGTTGGCGCCTACTTTAGTTAGTAATTGAAAACAAGCACATCAGTTTGCATCAAAACTTACCGCCTCCACCGATCAAGGCTTTGTGGTACTTCTTTTCAACCTCAATGGTCTTAGTCACAGTGGCATCGAACTCGCTGGCCCGCTGCTGCAAGATCTTCTTGGCCTCAGCAACTTGCTGCTTAGTACCCTTGACACGGATCTCCACGCGGCCCGATGCATCCGGCGCATCGTTGGCGTTGGGAACATCGATCTGGGCGCCGGTATCAGCACGAAGCTTGTCCATCTCACGGCCGCGCTGGCCGATCAGGGATGCGACCTGACTCTGGGCCACAGAGATAGAGGCAGAATGACCGTGCTCAATGACATACTGCAGCAAGCTAAGGATCTCGTCACGAGCCGAGTCAGCGCCCTTGCTGGGGCCCTTGACGAGGACCTCATCGGGAGCCTGCTGAGCACGCTGGGGACGAGCACCACCAGCATCGCTGCCGGTTTCCGTGGCGTCATCGTTGGCAACAGTTGCGCGAGGGAACTGGACGCGGACAGAGTAGCGATCCTGGAGACGGTTGACCTGGTTTCCGCGCTGGCCGATCAACTCGCGGTGGTATTGGGCGGGGACCTTGAGAATGTGAGTGGTCTCATCTTCCAACTTCTTGCCCATGTTGATGATGCGCATGCGGGTAGCATCCGCCTTGGCCTTGGGTCCCCTTGACCTCGACCTTCCCGTTCTCCACCTTGATATCAACATCGAACTCCTCGCGGAGCTTGTTGATGTTTTCACCACGCTTGCCAATCAGGAAGTTGGCGTACTTCTGGGGGAAGTCGAAGCTAGTGGTGTAACCACGCTCCAGATCGTCCTTCTCCTGCTCTACGACGAAAGCCTCCACCTTGGCGGCAAGTTCAGCCACCAGACCGGAGGGACCACGAAGGGAAACCTGACATTGAGAACCCTGGGCATCACCAACAATGGCACGGACAGGGATGCTGTCCTCGCCCTTGGCCTCTTGCTCGCGGTTGATAAACTTACGCGCCTTCTCCTGGTATTTGGCAGGGACGGAAACAGACTTGGCGACAATGTCACGTTGGTCCCCGAGAGCGCCCAGGAGGTATTCCTGGGCCTCTTGCAGACCCTTCTCGAAGGCTGCAACATCTGCGGGAGAGGGGCGCTGTCTGGGGACCTCGAAGCGGGAGGCAGTTGAGGAGGGGCCTTCATAAACAAGAACAACTTCGGGGCTGTTGATATCATCCGGCACCATCAGGTGGACGCCATAGTCACTCTGAAGGGTGCTTGCGCTTCGATCGCGCAAGTACTGGTGGAAGTACGGGTCCACAGAGACGTGGCGGAGTCTAGAAGGCGGAAGAGCCTGGACGAGGTTCATGATATCGGAACGGGCACGAATGGTGTTCTTGCCGTCACGGGAGTAGACCTCCCATGTGACGGGTCCGCCAACGCTAGGAGGAAGTGCAATGTGCGCATCGTAAGTAGATTCGAGTTCCTTAATAACCTGGCGGCGACGGAGATACTGCGAGAGAGCGCTTGCGTGGGCATGGGGACCGGCGGGCGCATTGGGGTGCTGGCGGGACAGATCAATGCTAGCCATCTGCATGCTTGTCGCAAGATCCATAGCGTGTTCAATACCAGCCTCGATCTGGTCAACGGGACCAGTGATGGTGAGGAACTCGCTCTCGTCGGAGGAAGGAGGCAGGACAATGGCACATCCAGTCTGTGCGACGAACTGGTGCAGAGCGTCGGGCTCATCGCCCAAAATGAACTGGTGCTGGCCACGGTTAATGGCCAGCTGGCGCAGAGTAAGCTGCTGGCGCAATTGCGCAGCCAAGCGTTCAATCTCAGCCCGAGCCTCCTGCGCGGCAGCCCGTTCTCCGGAAATCAAAATGTGCTTATCAGGCACAGCCACGAACTGGACCTGGCCCGGGTTGGCTTCCTGAGGAGGGGGCTGGGTCGACCAAGTATCATAGCGCGGAACATTAATCTGCGCTTTTGTGCGCTCTTCAATGGCCCGCACGTTGGCGTCATGTGCACCTGCAATGAAGGGGAAGAACTCAGGAGGGACGGTCTTCAATCGGAAGCTCATGTTTGAACCGCGCTCCTTGACAATCGCCTCGATCTCGCGGCGGGCCATCTCCGCGGCCACGGCATCTCCCTCAATCAGAATGTCGATGGTATCGTCGTCATCATCGTCAGCAGCGTTGCCGTCGGCGCGGGGTACCTGAACACGAGCACCGGTGCGGGTCTGGATATCCTGCACAACGGTACCTTGACGGCCAATGATGTGAGCGCGGGCAGATGTGGGAATGGGAACACGGACGGATTGCTATTGAGACGAATCGGTTAGCCTAGAAACTCGTTTTGCGCACGTCTAATCCACATACCTTAGATCCAACCTGCTGAGCCACCTCGCGGAGAGCCTGGCGCACCGCATCTACGGAGCCCTTTCCTTCGAAGATGATTGAGCCGCCAGGGCCACCGCGCATATCAACATTGGCCTTTGATCTGCGGGAGATATCCCGGAGGATATCGCGGAGAGGCTTCTTCATCTGTCCACGGGGTTGCATCTGGGAGGGTGCAAGGCGGAGCTGTTCCATGTGCTTTCCGGGGAGCGCCATGATACGGGGGATCTCTGTTCCTGTGTCAGAAATTTGTCCAACCCGGGGGGCTCCAAAATAATCCACGTACCCATTGACTTCGCGGGCGAGCCATTTGCGACAGTAGCAGCCGCGGAAGGTTTCTTCGCACCCCATGTAGCGGCCGCGGGGGCAGCCGGCTTCGGACCGCTGCCTAAAGCTGGGAACAATTCTTCGGATTGAACGTCGAATGTCGGGGCCTTTTTGGTGGGGGGCTTTGGCGAAGGAGTCGGGGAAGCGGTTTGGGCGATGGTGGTAGGCTCAGAGGTATCGGAGTTAACGAGGATGGGTTGTTCGGGCTGCAGTGAGGTCGGAGGGGGGTGTTTGAGGTCCTCCTCGTCCACGGTTTCCTCCACAGTGGCCTTGTGGGCCTCATCGCGGGCGTGCTGCTGTTCCAACATGGCAGCGAGGGATCCGCCGTTGGCAGAGGTAGATGCTTCAGAAGCCATTACAGGTAGTAAATTCGACAAGGAAATCGGGGTTGGAGACAAGATTGGTAAATGGGCTATGCACAAGATCCTGCAATCAAGACGGGCCGGGTCAGTATGCAATAACGACCGATCAGGACAGATCACCGTAACCTCCGGTGTAGTCAATGGCAATGACACGGACTTCTAGATAACTCACAGGCGACAGTGTATCCTTCTCTTTTGTGGATTGAGTAGGATATATAGATTTTCTTTCAGGAGAATGCGGATGCAATTCAAGAAAATGCAATAGCGATTTTGACTGACAAGCCGAGAATCAAAAAAGAGAGATACAGGGGCTCAAAGAGGGGAGCCACCTGAAGAGAAAGTAGTGGGAGAGAGAAGAAGAGAAGTGGGAGGTGACAGGTGAGAGAAGAAAGGTAACCCCGGACAATCCAGAAAGTACAGAAAAGGCCAGGTCGAACCTCCGGGGAGGTTTTCTCCGAGTCCGTTTCTACACTTTGGCACTTGACACTTTTGACACTTTTGACACTTCTTTTTTAAGGAATTGATAGTAATTTGGATAGTTATTGACCTTGGACTTGGGCGATTTGAGATATAATAGCTGTGATAGCTGTCATAGCTGTCATAGCTGTTCTTTGCTCTCATTCGAATACGGTGCAATGCAATTCCAATCCGATCGCAGGGAATTGTATAAGCAATCTCAGATGAAATAAATGAATTCATTATAATATGTATCTACTGTTTTATATTCTCATTGGATTCCCGCACGTGGCCACAGCGCGGCAAGTGGCCAATTTGGTGATACACGTCACTGTGGCTATTTGGAGAGCCCTATATATTTTAGATCTTATCAACTGAATACTCCAGGTATACAATAGACGATGATTCTTTTTTCGCAGCCCCAAAAGACAATCTTCTCCCGTAAAGCTTCACTTAGGTTTCTTTAGGCTAGTTAATATATCTCCCTTTAATTGTGCAGGTATTCATTCGGCTTCTAGGGTGGTGCTATGATATTTCGCAACATTGTCTACTCCTTGGATATCATATATGCCTGGGCTGTCTACTGCGACAATATCTCTCCATGTTGCATGCACCTGGTCCGGAAATTACCCATTTGTCTGGAATTTGAGTGGGTTGAGTGTCTCGGGCTTCGACCTTCTTCTACTGTTTTCCGTGACCATGTCTACCCCAAAAATGTCTCTAGTTAGTAGCCTTTCTAGTTGTATTCCTAAAGCACCTTTCTTGATATCTTATTTAGTATAACAATCCCTGCCTTGGCAAGTTGCTGCATCGGCTTAGCAGTAGACACGAGCTATAACTCAGTTTTGTAGGATTCCGCCTGCCTGGAAGTATATATTGCCCGTGTTCACCAATAACACCACCAAAACAACTTTGGAATAACACCACCACTCAGTTTCAGTGTTCTCGTCGTCTATTTTGGCGCACTCTCAGCCCAAATATTTGTATCCCCGTTTGCCAAGGTCCAAATCCAGACACTCTGTGTGGTATTTGCGGATGTTTTCGCCCTAGGCTTACGTAAAGAATCTCCTCCTGTTCCAAGGTTTAGATACTGTAGAAACTCCTTCTTTGCCAATTTCGAAAAGAAAGGCTCAACATATACAATGCAGATTCCCGGAACGGTTCTTCCAGGCCCGTATAGCCTGGCTGCATTCCTGTGCGGTCTCGCCGATTGGATTGTGGACATGGTGGAGACATACTATGTTGATGCGCTGCCAAGATCGAGGGGAATTTCCTAGACATAAATGACCAAGGTGGTTTCTACCTTGCCCAAGGCACTCTCGATCTTGAAATTGGGGCATGTGAGACATCAAAGAGCGAGTGGGAATGTACGGAGTCGTGAACTCCGAAGATATGCGAGATGGCGTTACACAACGACTGTACATGGTTTAAATAAAAGCGGAATCATGCAGACATTAAACCAATCAATTAAGCCAAGAACGTAATGGCCATATTATATAATTAAGAGTTGCCAGATACAAAAAGAAGCGCATCATGACAGAGATCAAGACGGCATGGGTATCGAAGAAGCGAGTGCGATACTTCCAAAAGTATATGAGCCCAACCATTGACAATAGAAGAGAAAAAGAATGTGAAAAGAATATGTATCGGCCTCGCGGGCCCGCCACGAGAAGTATGTGCACTAATTGGCCTTCACGAAAGGCCAGCCGTTCTCAAAGCCGAGGACGTTCCACGCGTACCTGTAGTTCGCGTTGTCCGAGACCTCGGTTTTCTCCTTGACGGCAAGTGGGTAGTAGTGGTAGTACATGACCACACCGAGATCCTTGTCCTTGACAACACCAGGGCCACCAGGTCCAAATACCTGGCCGTGGCTGGAGAGGAGCATGGTGCCACCAGTCTCCTTGCACGACTTTCCGTCGGCGTCAACCTGTAAGACAGATGTTAGAGCAGGTGCTTTTGCGAATGGATTAGGAAATTGGGAAACATACAAAGTCACCAAGGCCGGTCTTGGACCGGCAGACACGAATGTGGTACTCTGCACCCTCAGCAGGGAATGTCTTTGTGTACTTGCCCGCAATACCAGCAGAGTAGAGGAGGTAGTAGTAGTCACCGTGCTTGAACTCGTACGCGCCTTCCTCGCGGTGGTTGAGAGTAGCGTTGAAGGAGATTTGGTAGGGAGTTGCGCCGCCAACTTTGAGGGGAGTGTCCATCGGGACCTGGAAGATATCGCCCCAGAAGGAACCAAAGTTCATGTAGTTCTTGCCACCAATGCTGATCCAGGCGGGATCGATACGGTTGTAGTTCTCGTTTGCAGGGAGACCAATGGAACCATGGTCAGTCCAGCTACCGGGCTCCATGGTCTTGGATGTTGCGACACCGATCTGGGAGTTCTGGGTGCCGATCTTCGACAGGACGTAGTACATGTAGTACTGGTCATTCTGATAGTGGACATCAGGGGCCTACAAGGTAGATCCTGTTAGTTATCAGATTGACGGGATGTTCTGGGTCCTTCTTACCCAGATATTCGTGCTGTCTACACCGTCGAGGTGGATCTTGGACCCATCTGGCAATGCCGGGCCAAGGTCCGTCCAAGGACCCTTAACGGACGGCGAGCTATGAGTGCTGACACCAGTGCCCGTCGAAAAGCGGTAGTATTTCCCATCAGAGACACGCTGGATCATAGCAGGGTCATGGGCCCAGCAGTTGCCTGTGCAAGGACCCCGGTTGGGGTATGCGCTGGCAAGCGCAGTAAAAAGAAGCGGAATAAGACCAAACATTATGTATAGATGGAAGGAGGCGGAGAAAGTTGGAGTCGGCTGTGAATAGAAAACACTCTGGGAAGGAGGAATCACCTCCAATTTATGTTGATTTGGTCTACTCCATTCGCAGCTGCCCCAAGTTGGGCCCCCAAGTATGACCATTTCGAATAATAACAGCTGATCCAATCATCGGCTATTAACCCCTGCACATCGTATCTGGGCGATGTAAGGCGCATGTCGGTATTGAGCCAAGTCTAACTGGAGTCGGCCCCGAAAGGGATGAGCTCATTACCGAGCTTCAAGGAGTCCTGCACATGTGGATCATCATAATCAAAAATAATGTGTTTTCTGCATACGGAGTAAACAAAGGGCTGTCTTGTTGATTACAACTACTTACTGTACGGGATATTCTGTATATGTTGTAGACTTTACTTCTGCATCTATGTGATGTCTCCCATTGGGCAAGGCGCAGTCAATACAAATGTTTAGCTTCACTCCATTGGATCTTCTGCATATCCCCCACATGAGTTTACACCGATGACCTTCTGACCTCCTCCGTAGAAGTCTAGAAGCTAAAGGTCTCGGCAGCAGCCTCGGCAGCAGGAACGGGATAGAAGATGTGTTGTTCGCTGTTAGTGTGCGCGAGTTCCACATTCCCATCAGCAAGGGAGAGAGCATTTACCCTGACACTAGTGAATTCTATTAACTTCAAGAGGTCAAGTCGGTCTCGCAATTTTAATTTCGATTTTACCTTTGATACATCTAGACAAAGGAAATTGTGGAATACATCATATCCCACTTATTTTGCATGGCTTGATTCTTGTTTACGCCGTGTGGATGATCTACATCCATGTGGACCGACTGACGATACTAAACCAATCATCTCGGAAGCCCTGTGCGCGAGATCCGACCGACAACTAGTGCAACTAATATTTGAGATTCAAAGAAACTAAAGAGAGTGTCATGTGGACTTGTCACAGCGCAGTCAACTCTTTGCATCAAAAGCGGGGGCGAGGACTCGGTTCGCCATATCGATGGTGAATCACATCAGCTTAAAGGGAGACACATATTTACTTGATTTGGCCCGAAGTGGTTGATTCAGCCTGCACAACGAAAACAAAATCTCCGATATAACACGTCATCCGCGCTATAAATGGCCGGACCAGACAACCGTGCTTTTGAGCCTCTTTGGGCCTCGCTTGGAGCCCAAAGCCGGATGTAGGTGTATTACTTCGTATCTTAGCAGGGTTTCTCTGAAGTAACCTTACTGCCAAGAAAATCCAGCTGGGCTGAGCCTCAATCTATAGTAATTGGCCTTACCGCTATATTGGAGATCGGGGCCAAAGTGACGCGGGGTTGATGACCTGGGGCCAGAGTCCGGGGTTCTCTGATAAATCGACATTGCACTGCCGGGACAGGGCTGAGATCTCCAAGGAATACATATCGCAGGGTCCTCACGAGGAGCAACAGGTGAAGGGAACATGCTTCCTGTTTCCCACTCGCGTTCTCTTTCTTTCTGTCCGATGATAGCAAGCGTTCACGAGATTTATCTAATTTATCATCTCTTATATATCTGGTTTTATGACATTTCCACGCATTACTGTCAAGACTACACTACGCCAGCTGCTCACATGAATATGGATACATGTCGTTTTTGTTTCTGTACAAGTCAAAACATCTGAAGTGCACCAACACCATGGTGAGACTATAACCAAATGCAAAAAGGTCGTTCTTTACAACTCAGGCCGGACTATATAAGTTAGTTCTGTCCCTTCTACAGCCATAGTATGCAGACACACTATACCAAAGAGCCATCATATAAAGATGTTAACGTACGACCAGCAATAGAATGATATTGCGTTCAATTGGAATAATCTAACAGACACATTTCTGATATTGTATGACATGAAGACGATGTTGCGAGGAACAGCTGAAATCCTCAATGTTCAACCTCGAACACAGCCACAGCTGCCCACCTGCATATCATCTTTTCTTCCCCCTCGTCCTGATTCTCCCTGAATTTCAGTATTTGGGTCAAGGACCCCCCCACCAAATCGTACATGTGCCGCCCATTCCTTGGTTATAGGAAGGCTTAGAGATGACGAGCTGAACTAGGTCCCGGGCCTGGCATAGGAGTCGGGCTTTGGTTCTGTGGGTCCCAGAATTGCCAATCTGCCTCAACTACGGGGTATTGGTATTGAGCATCGACAAATGGACCCTGTTGAGGCACGGAATAGCTTGGCTGCATTCCTTGGGGAATGGGAGGGTAGGCCTGCTGCCAAGATTCATTCATTTGGTTTTGTGTGATCTCGAACTGTTGCTGCTGCCTTTCGATAACATGGTTCATCATGCTCTTCAAGTCTTTCACTTCGTTGAGGATCTCTTGGAGCAGTCCAGTTTGCTCACCATCGGTGACATTGGAACTGGATTCGAGCGGAGAAATCCGACCCGCATCCATAGTGCGAAGGCGAGAATAGGGTTCCGGAGTCTTGGGGCTTACAAACTTCGGCCTCGATGGCCAAGAACCAGTATTGATAGGAGTCTTTGGCCAAGGTTTGCCGAGATCATTGGCCTTCTTCTCCTCACTAGCCAGCCACGAACGAAAAGAATCGACAACGCCATATTTCGGGGTCGGGATCGTCTCGCCGGTGAGGATTTGTCTCCACTTGGGAAGGACTTTATCCAAAACATCATCTGAGAGAAATCGATTGCCTTCATCATCGGTGGCCAAGGCGATATTCCAGTAAGGAGATCGCACGGTCCAGGCAACGTAGCCGGTAATATAAAAGACATCGGCATGCTTTTTCATCGCCTCTTTGTCGCCCCGAGTCATCACATCTCTCATGTCATAATCAAATTGTAGGGTACGTTTGGGGTCAATGACGAAGTAATCGTTCACACTGTCTTCTTGAGCTTTCTGTGATGTCAGTATCATTTACCGAAGCTCGGATGGAACAGTGGCTTTACCGTTCTCTTTCCCACAGAGATCTTCGAATGATAGCTCTTCATCCGCCATAGACTCCAACTTCTGCAACATCCTTTCATGTGCTTTGTTGGCCATGAGGGCATGGAGTTTTACCATCCACCCCTCTGTATCGGCCAAAGAGGCCTCCATCCCCTCCAGCCGCTCCAGCATAGCGGTTGTGCCAAATGGGAGTAGAAGATGAGTTAGTAGCTCTTGGATACCCGGAGAAACTGGCTTATTCTCTTCGAAGTCGTTAAGCCACTGGGAAAGAAATGCAGTAAGTTCGCTTGCCTTGCATATTTTGTCACCGGACAAGACCCGGGACAACAAATAGCTGACCGTGGCATTCTCAGTTGTAGTAATGGTAGGAGATGCGGTGTTTCCATCCATAATGCTGTGTTTGGAGAAAGGAAAGTACCTGGGGATATGTGAGAGCCAAGAAATGAGACTAAGGGAAGTTAAGGTTAAAAAGAACACACCAGTAAGCAGAGTAGACTTGCGCAGGTGGATAAGGATAAGAGAACTGGAGTATTGTAGGAGACGTGTGACAAGACAGGCAAGAGACCTTGGAAGAGACGAACTGCCTAAAGAGACAAGTCGCCACACTAGGTGTTGCTGAGAGAACCGTCAGAGTCCAGATAAAAGCAAGGTGACAACAGTAGAAGGACGTGACAACAGTAGGAGACATGATAACAAGAAGATGGCTTACCTCCTATGAAGGCACAGATTCCGAGCAGATGACTTGCCTATCTAGGCATCAGTGATAAGAAGGGCTGTAGTTTGATAGAAGGGTGGATGGAAAGAAAGTTCGTGGGAAACGCGGAGGAGAAAAGTGTTGGGTGAAGATTATGGGAGGTAAACAAAAGGAAAGCTCGCGCGATCACAAGTGGTTGCTATGTTAGCAATCCCCATAGCCTGATGACATCGAGGACACGCGCCCTACACGTAGTTAAGTATTAAGACCATGTTTACGGACTTTCGTTTTCAATTCACCCAGATTAGATACAAGAAACAAAAACGGTGTGTTCTCAAAGATAGGTTATCTGTGATGCACCTAGGTATGTGCCTACCAGTCCTCCAAAACCGTGGACTTGATATTGCCCAGCTGTATTTTAAGCATAAAGCTTAATGAGCTCACAGCGCATACCTAGGTAGACACAGTCCAACGCATGGTGTCGTTGAAGGATTACCTTGCCATCCATGGAGACCAAATGATATGTGGACACCACTGGATAGACCTGATAAATGGATGATACTGGGCTTCTTCAGATGGCAAGTGATGAGATTCTTCTTGCCATAGCAATAATACGCACATCCTTTGTAGCAGGATCAACGCGGTAAACCTGGCTAGACAGCTTCGGCATTGGGGCAAATCCTTTGGCGCCACCTATTGTTATGAATGACAACGACATGGACAAAATGAACTGAATACCGTAGAAGGTACTGGACAGCAGCAAGATGCTGTACGGCGGAGTCATGAACATTTCGACCGCCGGTGTCGTTCATACTACTCTGCACCGTCCAGCCGATGTTATTGTTGTGGTTGACGCCGCCATTATCCAGCTATTCATCTAAAGATATTCAAGGATCAGCATCGTTATCCAGTGGTGATATTCAACCTCGGAAGCATATTCAAGATTAGAAGAAGAAGCTTCTTCAAGTGATGTGAATACATCCACTTTGCTTCCAAACTCTACGATCGGAACAACCAGGTCGAGTGATTTCTGAGCTGCACACGCTGCGATTTCCCAAAGTTGTGCCTTTAAACGACATGTTTGAAAATTCGGCACAATTCCGTGGTCTTGGAGTTGAATGTGTTGAGACCACTTTTGATGTCTCGTCTCACTTTATGTTGCCTGATAATTCAGGCACCTTGCAATTTCCGAATTTCGGCCGATTTGCCCTTATCTCTCGTCTCTCTTCCTGTGGATCTCTGATTTTGCATCGCCAAGGAGGCCAGACATCGAGGCTAGCCTATTAAAGTGAGACGTGAATGCGCAGAAAGCTCCATGGAAGTCATGGGATCAAAATTTGCCAACACCATTTGCACGGTTTGGTTTCAGGCCAAATCTCGGGCCTTGACTGGACCAACGACAGTGAAGTGAAGAGGATGTTTAGATATTACTCAATCTTTGAATGGGAAGGTGGCCAGTCGAAAAAAAAGGCTATTAGAGCCCGGACCGCGTCTCATTCGATCTCACTACGCAGTTGGTAATATCTGAAACCAATATGGGGTGTAAACGCCAGAGCCATATCATATACCGAGGCGAGTCAAAATGGGATGGAGGAAGGAGTATGGTAGAAACGGTGTAAGCAGATTTCAATCAGTTTTCTGTAGTGTTTGCAGCCCTGGAAGATTTGTGTAGCAAACGGGGAGAGATCCATGGATATTGAAGGCAACCAACGGTGGCGCATATGGAGAAAAATGCCCCGGAGCCCGGCTCAGCAAGTCGGTTATAATGGCTGTAATCCAGGAGGGATCTGTGTGGCACTGTATTCTATCAAGTGTCTAAAGGCTTTGACACGAGCCCAATGCCTAACGCCCAAGGATTTCAATGTGCAGAGTGATATTGGCTTGCTTCCGTCACACTTGACCCGTCCAACCCTGTGCGGTTTAACCTTTTTGGGACGTGTTCGGCTACCTGCCAGGGGCAAAAGGGGCCTGAACGGAGATACAAGTACTTCTACTTGGGCTGTTTGCTTTAGACCTCGTAGGGAATGGCCTTAGATTACCACATCACTAGGAAAGAACATTGAACTAGGATTTAGTATGTATTTAGTTACTACTTTAAAGATAGTGGATCTCGTATCGAAGCCGTTAAGTGCGATATAGGAATATTAAACGGGGTAGAAGTCTGAGACTAGTTCTATTCTTATAACATTTGGCCTGAATGATGAGGAATAGATTCGTTATAGTTACTCACCAGAGTGTCCCTGACTCGATTCTAATAGAATATAGTAAACTTCATGTGTATAATATTGTAATATTTGAAGTTTAGATGTGAGATATCCCATATTACTCCTATATTCCTCCCATATTCCTCCCATATCACCCGCAACCTGTCAAACCGCCCCAGCCACCCGACTCCTTTTCCCAAGACTCCACGTGCTAAACATCAACCTCCTCTCTTCTCCATATTTCCTTCCAATCTTCCATTCCATCCATCTTCAAGAGCCTTCGGGGACCCGGTTATTCTCCGCGGCCGTAATTCCCCTCAGGTCGTGAACTTGGTTGGTCAAAAAAACAGATTAAAAAAAAATCCCCTGCATCTGACCCCTCCTCGGCCCAATTTCAATCTGTCTCGTGTAGAGACAGAAATCTGCCCACCATGAATCAGGACAATTTCCCATTGAAATTCCGCCGAGCATCTAGCAAACTTCACAAGGACCCCCCCTAGCTTCAGTTCGCGCATTCTTCGGAGTCATCAGAGTACCACATCGTTGAAACGCACCCCCTCCGCCCCCGTTTATCCACGATCTTCTCCCAGCGGCAGTCGCGAGCATAATCGATCGAGATCCAACGCCCAATTCCCAGGTTCTTCCTCGTCATCTCTGGATCAGAATAGTGGCGGTCCCTCGCCTTCCAACGACGAATCAAGTGGCTTCTTCTCCAATTTGACCTCCCGGTCTCGCACCCGCAGTTCCAACCGTTTTTCCTACAACGAGCAAAGCTCGGATGAATTGAACGACCCTTACGAAACGCGGGGCATGCTTAGTGCATTGGATGAGAATACCGCCGAGGCTGATCCTCACTCCCAGCAAAAGCCCGCACTCCGCTCTCACCACACCAGCCCCGATACCCGCGGACGCCACTCACTCCGCCAGTCAGCTAGCTTCACCACTCTAACGCAACGTATGGATTCCTTCGCTCATCGCGAGACCGAAAGGCCCCCAAATCCCGACAAACGGTATTCCGACGATGGCAATCCTCCGGCCGCTCCCCGAACGAGACAAAGCAAAAAGGCCAGCTTCTCCAGATTCGTGGACAGTATGCTTGGAACCCCCCGGTCGCAATATGAAAATTTCAGCTCCAGAGAATCCGGTCCACGTTACTCACGTCGGCTATGACAACCAGACCGGCCAATTCACTGGGCTTCCCAAAGAATGGCAGCGACTACTACAGGAGAACGGTATTTCGAAGAAGGAGCAGGAGGAGCACCCGCAGACTATGATGGATATTATGCGATTTTACGAAAAGAACACCCGTGGTGACAGTGATGATGAAGTCTGGCACAAGTTCGACAATGCTCAAGCTGCTCAAGCTGCGCAAGCCACCAGCCCAAGAGAACAATCATCGCCACCAGGAAGTCCACGATTCCCGCAACATCACGAAAGCAGCTTTGAGAACCCGCGATCGCCCCCACCAATTCCTCGCGGGCCTCCGGCAGTCTCGCCGGTCATGTCTCCTCCACTGGGTGGTATGGTGCCCCATCGTGCGCCCCCGAAACCGCCGACTGGAATGACCCCCTCCCGCCCTCCTCCTCAACCCCCGGTGTCGAATTCGTATGGAGTTCCGCAGCGAACTCCCCAGGAGAATTATGCTCCTACATTTGGCACTCCGACTATCCCAGAATCCGAACCATTGCCAGCATCGCCCCACCGCAGTCGCTCCAGCTCCCGAAATGGCACCCCTGCACCCAGCGTCCCCAACGTTCCCAATGTCATCGCATCCCCTACACAGTACCAGCGGCAACAGGAGCAGGTCATGGCCGCGGCCCAGCAGACCTTGGAACGGAACCGCACCCAACGCCAGCAAGCACAGCAGCCTCCGGCCATCTCCACATCAACGACTGCTCCGGCGCCAGATCTTTCGTCTGGGGTGTCACCTACCGCGCGTGCTCCACCTGCTGCCAGACCTAGACAGCGTCAGCAGCGACAGAGCAGCGCCATGGATATTCGGACGCGCTTAATGTCAATCTGCCACCCTGGCGACCCCACGCAGATCTACTACAACTTCAATAAAATCGGCCAAGGTGCTTCCGGTGGTGTGTACACAGCGTATGAGCATCCTCACAACAACTGTGTTGCCATCAAGCAGATGAATCTAGACCTGCAACCCAAGAAGGACTTGATTATCAACGAGATATTGGTCATGAAAGATAGCAAGCACAAGAACATTGTGAACTTCTTAGAGAGCTTCCTACATGGGCTGGATCTTTGGGTGGTGATGGAATACATGGAAGGTGGCAGTCTGACAGACGTGGTTACCTTCAACATTATGAGCGAGGGACAGATCGCAGCTGTTTGCCGAGAGGTGAGTGCAGAATGGTTAACCCTGGGTCAAGATGAGACTACGAGATGCTAACTATTTTCGACTAGACTCTGAGCGGTCTCCAGCATTTGCACTCCAAGGGTGTCATTCATCGAGATATCAAATCCGACAACATCCTGCTGGCGATGGATGGTAACATCAAGCTGAGTAGGTTTCGCCCTGTGTTGGTTGTGTCGAAATAATGCTAACAATCTCCAGCCGATTTCGGTTTCTGTGCTCAGATCAACGACTCGCAGAACAAGCGGAACACCATGGTTGGTACTCCGTACTGGATGGCCCCCGAAGTTGTTACTCGCAAAGAGTACGGCCGCAAGGTCGACATCTGGAGTTTGGGCATCATGGCCATCGAAATGATCGAAGGCGAGCCACCCTACCTGACAGAGTCCCCATTGCGAGCACTCTATCTGATTGCTACGAACGGAACACCCACCATCAAAGACGAGCACAATCTATCCCCGGTCTTCCGCGAATTCCTTCACTTTGCCCTGAAGGTTGACCCGGAGAAGCGGGCGTCGGCGCATGACCTACTGAAGGTACTTGTTCCTACTTCCCACTGCTTTTGCAGCGATAACTGACATCGCCCCCTTTAGCACCCATTCATGTCTCTCTGCGCACCACTATCGCATCTCGCCCCCTTGGTCAAGGCTGCTCGTATCAGCCGCGCCCAAGAAAAAGCCCAGAAAGGAGGCGCTTGAAGAAGACGCTGATAAACGACCACCTTTGTTTTCTTGTTTCGGTTTTATTTCGTCGTACTTGATATCTCTTGACGTCTTGCTCAGATACCCCGTCACTCCTGATGTTTCTTCTAGATCCCGACGTGCACTACAGTACGTCGTTGGAATCCGTTTATGTACCCAGTCTACTTCTTTATTCACTTCTTCACATCGATTGTCGATGAAAATGACTCCATTCCATGAGCATGTTGCCTGTGATCTCTGCTTTGCCACTCACTGTCTCTGTATTGATCTTGTGTCAATGTAATTCCTTGTAGTTCTATTTTCCCATTGTCGTTAGCTTATGATGAATACAAGCAGCTAGCGAGCTTCAAATGCCGTAAATTTTGATTCCACAATTAGGAAGTATGTGCCTAGAGTAGTGGGGATGGTTCAGCCACAGCCGGTAAGCAAATATGGGAAGAAGAAACGCAGTAGCCTACATAAGTAGGGCGAGGTCCCAACTAGCGTGAACAAAAACAGGAAAAAGGGCAAGAAAAAAAAAGAAAAAAGAACTACAAGTTCAAGACCCAGGCAGACATAAGGCTTTTAAAATAGAAAGATCCGTTCCAATTTGGACAATCTAAGCTAATAATAACTTAACAGTCCGCGGGTCTCCCAAGCTGGGGCACCACTGGGCATCGTCATATGCTGACTCAGGTGACAAGTTCCGCCCGTACACAATACCCCCAACACTGTCCCTGATCATCCCCAAGGACCTGATTAACAGATACTCAGCGCTGCAATACCAGTCGCTTGCTATACCATTCCTTGGCAAGGCCCTCCCTCTGTGATATTTCACACCGCCTGCATCAACCCGCAGCCTAGCCGCATCCTTTGCTGTCGTCGACTCCCCGCATTCGGAGCTGGAAGACCACCACTACGAGCTACAAAACCAGTTTTTGAAAGAGAACCTGAAGTTAGATACCGAAGTCTAATTGGAATCTGTCGTCGAACTTTTTGCGACGTCGAAACAAGGCGACCCGCTCGTTAGAAGCTGAGCAGTGCTGCCCGACTTCTCCGATAATCCACATACCATCGAGTGATTACCTGCGACGGTTAGAGGACATACATTCGCGATGTTTCGCGCGCAGCAGAACCACTTCGACGATGCCGTCGGTAAGTTCCATCAGTCTCTGCCCCGTCAGATGCACATGCGCCCCTGGAGCTGGCTAGCTTGGGGGGGAAGCTCTCAGGAGTACATTGAATCTGCATGTGGGATGTGTTTACTGACGTTGTTTGTTTTTGTATAGCCAAGGCGACGGATGAGAATTTGACCTCCGAGAATTGGGAATATATTCTGGTGCGTTGTGCATGAAGCTATATAGAATCGTCGGAACAACCAGGGCCTTGGGACAATAACTGATTCGGCTTTTGTGGTTTAGGACGTCTGTGACAAAGTTGGTGCAGAGGAATCGGGGTACGTGGCTAGCTTGGAATTTCAGTCCCTTAAGTCCACCCAAAGACCTGTTGCTGACTTTTGCCGTGATATAGTGCGAAAGAGGCCGTGGCAGCGATGATCAAAAGGCTGGCTCACCGAAATGCCAACGTCCAGCTCTATACTTTGGAGGTTTGTGGCTGGATACCGTGCTTCTGGAAGCAGGAAGATCCCTTGGTTTATGAATATAGCTGACTGGTTTCTAGCTTGCAAATTCGTTGTCGCAAAACTGCGGGCTGAAGATTCATCGCGAGTTGGCTTCGAGAAGCTTTACTGATGCGCTACTACGCTTGGCGAACGATCGTGTAAGCATATCTCAAACCCTCGATTTTGCTCAGACGGCGAATGTTAATCATGGATCTGTGTCTAGAACACGCATCAACAAGTCAAGTCTAAGATTCTGGAGCGCATGGAAGAATGGACTGAGATGTTTTCATCCAACCCGGATTTTGGCATCATGGAACAGGCATACATGAAATTAAAAACCACGAGTAAGTATCTGTTCTACATCTTGAATATCGAGCTCGGCTGATTACATTCCAGACCCGAATCTGCAGCCACCGTCGAAACCTGGAAAACGTGAGATCACCGACGTTGATCGTCAGATGGAGGAAGAGGAACTGCAGATGGCCCTAGCACTCTCGATTAAGGATAAAGCAGCCCCGTCCGCGGCTGCTGCGGCAGCACCTCGAGCAGAGGCTTCGTCTGCTGCTGTTGCGTCGGCATCGGCCCCCACAAATCAAGGAGAGCCTGCCGAGGCCCAAGCTCTTTCAGGTACATCGGTAGCTACCGTGTCTCGGGTGAGAGCATTGTTCGACTTCCAACCGTCTGAGCCAGGGGAGCTTCAGTTCCGCAAAGGCGATACCATTGCAGTTCTAGAGTCTGTTTACAAGGATTGGTGGAAGGGCTCCCTGAGAGGCCAGACCGGAATTTTCCCTCTCAACTACGTGGAGAAACTCCCAGATCCCACTGTCGATGAGCTGCAGCGGGAAGCTCAAATGGAGGCGGACGTCTTTGGTCAGATCAAGAGTGTCGAGAAGCTCTTGACTCTACTGAGCACCCGCAACACAGACCTCAATGTCCAGGAAAACGAAGAGATCACAACTCTCTATCAAGCTACGCTTGCTATTCGTCCGAAGCTCATCGAATTGATTGGGAAATATTCGCAAAAGAAGGGTAATCAGCCAGTCGTTTGTCTTGCCGCGGATGTCTCGCTTACACATGTCTAGATGAATTCACCCAGCTTAATGAGAAGTTCATCAAAGCTCGTCGCGACTATGAGTCCCTCCTTGAGGCATCCCTAGCCCACCCGGCACAGCCTCAATATGGACGACCTGCCCAGCCACAGTACGGTTATCCTAGTGCTGCGCCTGCCGGATACCCCTCTGCTCCTCAGGCGGACCCTCGATATTTCACTCCCCGGCCTCAAGGTTAGTAGATTCTAGGAATTACCCCCCCCCTGCCAGTTCTGACCTGACTTGCCCAGACACTACGCCAACCCAGGCGAATGCATACGCACCGTACCCCACCAGCGAGCAGACTATGCCGTACCGCCCAGCCTCTCATTCCCCTGATCCTCGCCACCAGACCCAGGCCGGCGCACCGCAGCAGCCACCACACGCCGACCCTTACCAACCTGTTAGCCACCGTCCGCAATCTACATACGACAGCCCCCAAGAATTGGGGACCTCTGTCTATGATTCACCTGTCGACCACCCTGCTCCTGGTTCTGCCCAGCGCATGCCGTACGCCCCAACCGCTCAAGCCCCGCCTTCTGGCCACCAGCAATTCCAACAGCAGCAGCATCACCAGCAGCAACAAGACTACTCGCCCTCGGTCTACTCCGCTGATGACACAGCCCAGATCCCGCCTGCCTCCACTATGCCCCAAATTCCGCACCAGTTCCAGCAACAACAGCAGCAACCTCCGTACCCCAACTCTCCCAGTGCCCATCAACCTCCTCCATCGCACCAGCCTCCGCCGGTGCCCGGGCAGCGCAGCAGCCGCAGTATACTCCCTACAGCCCACCACCTCCCGCTGCAAGCACGGGCGAGTATCAGGCGTACCAACCTCCACAGGGTGGAGTTGGCTCGAATCCAGCTTCCTTTTATCGGTAATTGTTAGGTAGTCATGACGACCTTCATTCGGTTAATAGGAATAAATGCCTTGACTGTTTTTAATGTTGGGTTTGTAATGTGGCATTTCAAGCAGTATTCTTCGTTTCGTTACCTCTTTCTTTGCTGGACGTCTCTGTCGTGTATCTAGCCAACGGTTCAAATATGTGGCCAATAGTATGTTAGTATATATGGGCTTTTGGTCTCTATGTTTCTGTATGTTATTGTTATAGTGGCTTTGTCAACGTCGTTCCTGCAACCTTGTAAGGTTAGACTTAAGCTTCCCAATGCCGAGGACAAACCAATGAGAGACATCTAAAAAGTGGACCAGTTAGCCAGGATGAAAAGGAGACGGCACCTAGTATTCATCGTCTTCACACCATGATATATTCCTTGTCTACAGAAATTCTTTTGACTATTTTAGAATGCCTGTCCCCGCTTGATCTTTTCTCCGCTTCCAGAGCCTCGCCAATCTTATATCGCACCTTCGTCGCCTACAAACAACATCTTACCAGGCATACTCTCCGTCATGCCATCCACGCAGCATGTGCGGCGGACATCTATACCGCGCTGGACGCCCAGAATATCCCCAAACTTATCAAGTCCGGCGAAAGCATTGCCAAAGTCAAGGCCGAATGTTTCTCGCTCTTTACCACCGACCGCACTCGTCGGCGTCAGAATATTGACCAGTTCAGCGTGGATAATGTGAACCTCGATACGTTGTTCTACCTCCATGTCAATATTGAACGCCTAATCGATAGCTATTGCCACTGGTCACTGGGCAATCTGAGCTCGCACCATGAAAAGCCAACACCATTCCAAACGACAACCGTCCACCCAAGAGCAAACCTGTCATCTACTGAACAGGCCCGTCTTCAACGGGCGTTCTATCGATGCGAAATATACGCGAGATCCCAGCGCGTCTTGCACCTCCTTCCGGACAAGAGTGCGGCCCTGAATTTCTCTCAGATTGTTTTGAGCTTCGTCTCGCAATTCACCCTCTATGAATTCGAAGAGATTATCAGCATACAACAATTCCTCGCTCAAGTCAGTAGATCGCTTTGCGAAAGAGTCGAAGATGATTTCATGGCTTCTTATTCTCTCGCTGGTTCTGGCAACGCGAGCGTCAAAAAAGAAGTTTCGGGAAATGCAGTATCAACCAAAGATCAAGATCTTGGGGACCTTTCATTCTTCACAAAATCATACCGAGACACCCACCATTCGGGCCATGTGAAGTTCCTTATATCCTGTGGCTTATCGTACATCGTACGTCTGAGTCTCATGGAACCGCAAGCCCTCAAACACGCCATGCTCAAATCAGATATGGACTCGCGCGAGAACACCGTCACAGACTTCTTTTCCCAGGATGGACTGGATATCGCATCATGTGACGAGAGACAACAAAATGTCATCCTCAAGGGTAAACTGGTTTCCATTCCCCGTGATGAAGCTGGCAGTTGCAACCTGGGCTGGAAATGGGGTACGAGTTTCCACGACTTTGTCAAGCCTGATAGTCCTGCTATGTTCGATTTGCGGAACCAGGGCTATGTCTTCTGGGATCAAGACCGGCTGCAGGAATCGGGACTTGTGAATGAGCCGAATGTGGTTTGTGTTGGGGCAAATTATTTCCCGCCTGGTCACAGGGGTCCGTTTATGAGGCCGAGTGTTGAGGAGAGGCTTGGTGGGTTATGGGTGGATTCTGAGACGAGGAAAGTGAAAGATGAATAAATGAGTCTTTTTGTGTGGTTCTAAACATAATTGACACCGGATACCCAGATAATGATAGAGTTTCCCGTTAGCAGTCGATCCTCGATTGCACCCGAAATAGGTTCACAATTCGCTTGGAAGTATGACGGGAATGATAGGAAGTACCTAAGGAGGGGAGACAAGATGAAGTAGGGCAAGACAGACACTAGACGTCCTCCTTGACATCATTTCCATCCTGGTTATCCTTCTGTCCCTGCTTCTCGGCCTCTGTGCCTGCACCAGGAGTAGCATTTCCATGGCTACTTATTTGGGACTTCAGCCAATAGAAACGGCGTCGGGCCTGTTTCTCCGAGATACCTTCGCATTTGCCAACGGCAGCGTAGTCAATCTGTAACACAATAAACGAATGCTAGGGATTAGATACGAGGGTTGGAGATAACTGACTCGGACACCTGACTGAGTAAGGCAGTGCAGTAGGAACTCGTGGTTCTTGTCAAAGCCTGCGGCAGGCCGTCCCCGCTTGGCTGGGGCTTTCTTGGGCGTATTGCTCGAAGTCATAGCGAAGAGTATCGAGATGACTCTGTTTGCGTGGAGATGAAGTGGGTGTATGGAGTGGTTATTGTTTGTGACTCTGGGAGAAGTTGGGGACGAAAGAACACAAAATGGGAAACAGAGGAAATCTCGTCTGGCCATAGTTACCTAACGGCACACTCATCTGATGTAAACATATATTGATCTGGAGTTACTATCACATCACGGTAAGTCATACTATGTATGTGGCTTCGAGTGATGCACATTATTCATGACTGGGGTATACCAGGGTATTCTTACGAAGTATATAAAGGGTACTTAATCTAGTCAAAATACGAGAAGGGTCTATACCCATACACCACAACGCCAATTGACGATCGGCACTCAAAAATGGCTACCTTGGACGGTGACAGAAATTCTTCGACAGTCTATGGTATATTTTCGGTGATAATACAAGATACATCACTAAAATGACACGGAAAAGGACATGAAACATCAGGGCCGGCCCGGGACCCGCTACGGGATCAGCCCGAACCTTCCCAGAACCGACTGCCTACCTAGGTAGGTACACTTGGCAAGGTATTGAGGCATTACCTGCAGTTTGTTCCACATCTCCGAGAAACTTGGGGGACCTGGGGCACATGGGCGAAGAATGTCTGTAAGACCTTGGGAGCACCTGGGCAGGGTTGTTTATTGGTGGGCTTGGGCCCCCTCCTTTGAGGCACTTCCTTTGTTTACCTTCTGGGCAGTACTTCCCAACCTTCTTCCCAGTCCCATCCAGTATCAATCATTCCAACCCACTCTCCTTATAGATATACGCACTCGCCGTTATCATGGCACCACAAATAACCAGCTGGAATGACCTCACCAAAGCATGGGAGCAATGCGATGATGAAATAGGGGAAATCCAACAAACGTCTTTCGCCCTGTTCGACAGCAACGAGAGCTTTTATTACGGCATGCTTGAAGCTCCCAAGGCCAAGATTATTTTCGATCAGGTCACCAAGGCCCTCAACAGCGTTCCTGATGAAGAAGTATTCACACGATGGCCGGCTCCTGGGGTCGAGTTGATGCAAGCTCCAGCAACACTGACTGAAGATTTCTACATCAAGCGACCAGATCCAGAGATGTACAAAGCGATGAAGGAACACAATGCATTGTCCCAACTCTCAGCAGCTTTGCTAGCAGAGGGTGAAGTTCTACAGTCGCTGTCCCAGAACCCGCACCCGAACATAATCCGCTATCACGGCTGTCGGGTTCTGCGGGGATACTTCATGGGGATTGTCATTGACAAACATCCATGCGATCTGCACAATTATCTCAAGAACCGAGTCGGAACAATTGAGAAGCGGTCTTTCATTGCTGCCCTCGAGTCGGCTCTCCATCATCTTCATGCACGTGGATTGGCCCACAATGACCTGACTCCCCACAACATTCTGGTGAGCAAAGAAGGCATGCCTATTTTGACTGATTTTGGCGGATGTCAGCCTATTGGGACCTGTTTGAAGCATATTAGAGGGACCCACGGGTGGATAGATGGAGAAATCAAGGACCACGATACATCGAGAAAAGAGCATGATGTTTCTGCTTTAGCCAAGATCAGCGCGTGGTTGGACGATCCAGTGTTTGATCAATGATCTATTTTGTTTCTGTGAAGAGTTGAACTTGGTTTGCGTTATACGTTTAGCAGTATCTCAACATTTCTTTATCAGATCTATAATCAACAGCTGCTCGAATCTCTATAAAAATCAACCGTCTCTGCCACAGCTTAACCCGATCCAAAGAACCAGTCAGACACAATGACCGCAATTACTGTCACCTACTATGCATTAGCTGATATTTCTCAGGTACAGTTCGAGACATCATCTTACTAGTGAAATATCCACACCAGGACTCACAATGAGATCCAACGCAGGGCGATGGCCTACTCCACGCTTCATCTTTCTCAAAGCCAACCTTTTATTGTGGGTGATGCTCTCGCGCAATTCTGCGATCCTCCTAACCCCATCCACAACATCAAAGAAGGCCAGCACCTCCCCATGTTTCTTAACCGTCAGCGTGAGCTGCTTATCTTCCTCACTTTTTCTGTCTTCGGCCGCGCCATTTCGAAACGAGAAGACCAAGTTGATGCTATTCCGAGTCAACTTTGGTGTCGCCTTCGCTATGGTCGCATCACTGATTTTGCTCCCGGGCAAGGTGGCAACCCAACCCAAAGGATTTGAAAACGGCTTCGTGTGGATATCGAACAACGGTAACCCAGATGAGTCGCGGAGTTCTCGACAGGAGCGATCATTGTATTTCCGACCAGTTGCTGTGAATGCGGGAGAGCCCTCTTCGTCCAAGATCTTATATGCATGATCGGACTGTGGATCACCGTGTGGCTTGAGAAGTAACGTTGTTTTCTCCGTCGCGATATGTTCTAATCGAAATGCGACTTCTCGCTCTGGTGCTTTCAAGGCATAGCGTGGTGCAGAGCCTTTGGGTGTGATCCCACGGTTCATTCGGGCATTGGTGTATGTGGCTCCAGACATGGTTCGGAATGGGTGATGGGGTTTTATGGGGGTGCCTTTTGGTGCGATGTTGGAGGCTTTTATCCCTGGGGTATTCCAATCACGCTTTACGATATGGTCCTTTGCGGCAGGGGGCCAACGCCCGATGACGGCAGTGCTTGAACGCCCAGTATAATTCACGCAATCTACATTGTGGATCCTTTACCTTGTCTCGAGACTTGGTCCATGATTATTGGTCTTTGAATTCTAGTTTATTGGGACGTCTCGGGGTTGGCGCCAATGAGGCTTAGCTTTGGGGCCAAGTCTCATAGGGAGGAAAGTGATAATAAATGTTGGCTGATCTCGTCCATTGTAGGTCTTTATTCCGTAGTCAACTTCAAAGACAGATAAATGAGGTGGAATCTTCTCGGAAGGGTAAGCTTGAAGCAGTAAATCTCGCTCGTTCGTACATATATACAGTTATTTCCCACGAGCAAGGTGAATATCGATTACAGTAACCTATATACGGCCAAATTTAACCAACGTATTCAGAAGGCACTTTCATTATAACGACTTTGACGAAATATTAATATGCCATTCGATATATAGATCTGTCGGCCATCAGTCCCGAGTATTTCGGATCTCATCCGACAAAGTGACAAATAGAAAGTCCTTCGTTTGCTTTAATCTGTACGTTCTCTTTCGCCTTTTCTCCAATCTTCCCTAGTCTGTTCGGTCAACATGTCTGTACGTCCTATACATATTGCTGTCCTTGACACCGACATTCCTTGCTACCCTGTCTACGCCAAACGTGGATTGTATAGCTCACAGTTCAAATTTCTACTCACTGCGGCCGCAGATCGCATCAATGCAAGCGAATACCACCAGAACAGAAGGCCTTTAAGTGTTCACATCACTGCATTCGACGTTGTTGGGGGGTCATTCCCACATCTCGGGTCCTTACGAGTCAGCCCTTGGTCGCCGACGGAAAATCGGCCCCTTGGCTTCCCAGGACCTGTCGATGCAATTCTGGTCACTGGAGCAGCGGCGGCAGTATATGACAACTTACACTGGATTGCAGGCTTGCAATCCTTCATTGAGAGGGTGTATGCCGACTATCCTATGGTCAAAATTTTCGGGTCTTGTTTTGGACATCAACTTATAGCTCAAGCCCTCCTCGCAAGTGACAAAAGCTATACGTGCCAAGGATCCTCGTTCAAAATATCCGTCGAACCTTCATCTGATGGCCACGAAATTGGCATGCATCCTGTCACCTTGAACCCGGCTTTCGTCTCCAACTTCCCACCTCTAGCTCGGTTTACTCCAGAACAGCCATTCCATATTCAGATAATCCACGGTGATGCCGTGATATCTTCACCAGAAGACACACCAATTCCCAGGGAAAAGGGGACGATGTTACCTGAACCGTGGCTCAATATCGGTAGCAGCCTTAGATGTCCAATTCAGGGCCTCTACAAGCCCGGGCAGGTTCTCACATTCCAAGGACATTTTGAATTCGATGCGTTCGCAACTGCTGAACTATGTCATCAATTTGCCAGACAATTCCAATGGCCCGAAGGTTTGCTTGCTTCATATCTAGAAAACATCAGACGCTCTGTTGTGCCTGGAAAAGAGGATGATGACGACTCCAAGACAGCAGCGGAGGCGGTCCTTTTGTTTTTCGCTGGGGAAGACTGCACTCCGAGCACAGGTATCAATCCATCCTCATGTTGATTGTATTATCCATCCTGAAAGTGTTTGATTCTCCTCAATTGCTCGATTGCGGGGCCCTCGGAGGTCCAGGCCGATGTCCCCGCAGCCTCGGGTGAACATCCGATCCATGCAGTCGGCGTTTTTACACCTGTGACTAGAACATGACTATCAATATCAATATCAATATCAATATCAATATAAGCTGTACGCAGACTTTTTGCATACCATGTCAGGTTCCAATCCGCGATCTACCAACGCGTAAGTGCGCAAGGCGTCTGCATCTCCGGCTGCGGGGGATGATAACAACTAGACAGATGCGAAACATGTCGAAGACGCAAAGTAAAATGTTCCGGTGATAAGCCTTGTCGTGCTTGTATCAAACACAATTGGGAATGCACTTTTGGCCATTCTGGTCGCAGACGGTTTTCTGAAGCGTATATTCATGCCCGCCATAGGCTCTGGCCAGTGTTGCTGACTATCAACTAGCCAAGTGAAACATCTCTTGGAAAAAGTTCGAACCTATGAAGAGCAGCTCAGCTCTCAGTCTGTAGGAGGTCCAGTCTCTTCATTGCCTTCTCCAGTAGCACCAGATGAGACCACTGGCCGTCAGTCTGCGCAACGGAGTTCTTCAAGACCTGGGGATATAGAGCCCCATAACCAGAGGCAAGATGAGATATTATATACCGATAATGATCCTGCTATAAGTCCGGGTAATTTGGCATCGCTTTCCTCCTCCTGGTCTGCTCTCGAATATGAACTGACTCTACGTGAAGCAACGGACCTGACCTCCGGACCTGCATTCGAATCTCAAGTCAGATCGCTTCTTGACAGGTCACATTCGAGTGACCGCAGCTTTCATGGATCTACTTCAAACTTTCAATATCGCGCTGACCGATTACCCCAGTGGACATCGGTCAAAGAGCTCGTTGACAATGTTGCCGGAGTATCTTTCCCGTCCTTGGAGGAATCGCAGCACTTGCTTGATCAATTTCTTTTTTATCTTGGCGTGAGCCAGCACTTCTTTGACCCAAGATCTTTCTCAGACAATCTTACATTACTATTCCAAAGTCCAGAGACAAGGCAACAACAGATAAGCTCTCCTTGGTTCACAGAATATCTTTTGGTCATGGCCATGGCAAAGCTCATGGATGTAAAGCATCCGACATCACAGACGCCTGGAACGGACTTGTTTGCTGAAGCCTTGAAGCGTCTTCCTCCATTGCATCATATGGGTGGGGAAGGTGTTATTGCCGTTGAGATACTTACTCTGATTGCTACATATCTGCAGTGGTGTGACCGAAAGCATGATGCATATCTCTATGTACGTTACGCAAGGCCTACAATGTTCTTACGCTGTGTCATTGACATGTGGTAGATTGGACTCGCACTGCGGCTTGCTATTGCTCTTGGGTGCAATCTACGGGAAATCGACCAACGCTGCCTCCCTTCCCAGAGCGCCCACAGATTAAGACTATGGTGGACAGTGTACATGCTCGATAGGTAGGTTATTTTTGGCAGGTTTAGTGGTTTTGAAATTAGCTTACACTTCTAGGCGCCTGTCTTCGGGTCTTGGCCTGGCTGCAGGGGCTGATGAACGACAGCTACGTACTGAACTCCCCGGGAACGCGATGGGGTTCCAATCACCAGTTGCCCTTAGTATCAATGTTCGTATTGCGCGCGTCACTGACGATATAATGTCAAGTAAGCTGTGCCTCATTAAGCTCTGAACTTCATGCTAATACACCTAAAACAGCTCTTTACGGCAATAAGTCAATCACCCAACTGGAACTGGTCCAAAAGATCCAGCAAATTCTTCAAGAACTGCATGACACAGGCCGGTCATTTCCTAAGTCTTTGATGTTGGACTTCAATCGACCTCTGCAATTGGTAAGTCGCACAGGCGCATCATTATACTTAATGCTTTTTCAGGTGAGACCATCCCCAAGCAGAGCATATTATTAGTTTTATTCCTGATTCATTATAAGGCTATCATCCTGTGTACACGGCCAATATTACTTCAAAGAGCTCGGTTTGAAGCTCAGAGCCAACAACAGTCGCAGTCACCTGATCCAGCACCGAGCATGCTGCTGCGTCTGTGTGATACATGTGACGAGGCAGCCACCAGAAGTCTCGCAATACTTGAATCACTTCGTCGCCAGCAAACAATTCGTGAGTCTTCCCTGTGCTCTTGTTACCGGATCGTTCCCACCAAATTCTGTTTCTCATGTTCGTCAAAATCAAGAGCTAACACATCACCCCAAGCCCGTTATGGCTTTTTCGATCTGGATGCAACATTCTCCGCTGCATTTGTTCTGGTCATGGTAGGCTTCTTGGACAAATCACAGAGCCAGCCACCGCCAGCACTTGAACAGGCATACAGGGTGCTCCAGTTCCTATCACAGTCTGGCAATCTGGCTGCGGAGAGGCGCCTGCAGGATATTGCACAATCTTACTCGCACGTTTGGCCGAACCACGCTTTCAATGCAAATGTCTCACACAGTGATGCAGGCCCACACAAAAAGACCCAGACGTTTGCAGCAAGTCCAGGCTCGAGACAAGATGGATTGATGAACTGCTCGGGCTCACCACCATATATGGCTGTGGCCTCAGGTGGTCGGAGTGATCATCAAGATGAGATCAGGTTACTTGAGCCATGGTCTAATATGGATGTTCCAGACGCGATGTTTGATATGCAAGGAGACTGGAATCTAGATTTGTCCGGGGAAGCAGAGGGGATTTATTCCAGTTTCCACAATCCGACATTACCACTCACCGGGGTTGACTATATCGACTGGTTGGAGATCGAGAAAGTATTTAATGGTCCAGACTCTTCCGCGACACAACATCGCGCACCTTGAAGAAGTTGCCTCTATCTCTTACCATAGTCCAGGGAGCTCTGAATCTTCGTGAATGTTGATCCTCTCTGGTGTGAATAACTTTATCCGGCTTGTGTGGTTCGCGATGGCAGGCTGTAATAGTCCCGAGGTCGTCAAAGATCAGGTTTCAAAGCCACACTTATTTTTATGACCAACCGTATTGTGCACCTTCTCGATACACTCATCCAGGGAAAGAAAAGCTCTTGTATTATACCATATTGAATGTGATTCTTAGCGACCTTGGGCCATTCGCCCCATGTGCTGTACCTGGGTATCACCAGGACTCCCTACACATGTAGCCGACTTGATCTTGCAATCAGAGTCAACTTAAGACCCAATTGCCCTGCTTCTCTTGAAAATGAAAAAGCAAGTAATCATTGTCGACGGAAGTAATCTTCACTCTCAAGTTTGTATTGGTCCCGCCTTGTCTGTCGTCACGTGATAATACCAGTATCTCACCGTTCCTGGTCCTCGCCGGCAAGCTGCATAGTAGTTGGAGTCCGACCGTCCCGTGTTTCGTCGCGTCAGGCATTTCGAGCCGAGCGTCAACTGTCAAGTTTGGTGCCCTTTCGAATCCAAGCCTCTCACAGTGTCAAAATCCCACCGCCAGATCGTCTGATAGCTTCCCCGCAATCGCGTCCCTCGCGCCGAACGATGCCCACACTCGCTGTGTTCCCACGTGGGTGAAGACAGCAGTTTACACCAGGCTCCATCAGGTCGGCGCATCGAAAAAAGAGAGAAAGCATAAGATAATCACGGTATTAAAGTTGGACCTGAGAGGCCACTGCAAGGATGGAGGCCGATTGGGATGAGCTGTCGCGTATTCCAATGCCGCCGCCGAGCCCGCATGCTATGCCCACCGTGGCAACGGCGACGGCATTTGACGATATGATGGAACTTTTATGGACAGGCAACGAATATGTGAGTGCTGATGTCGGGGCGATTTCCCAGGCGGGACGCTGATGAGTGCGTTCGATTCAGGGCAGGGTCTCTTCCTTTTACGGGCCGGAGCTGCAACGTTATACCTCTGTTCGAGCCCATCCAGTTGCTGAAGGTTCAGTACGGCAAATAATCTTCCACGAAAGAGGTGTGATATCGTTATCATCAAAGAGCGTGCACATGATTACCCGACGGGGCTTGACACAGTGGCACCTTACTCACGATGAAATGGTTGACCTCCGTTGCATGAGTTTCACCGCCCAAACGAATCGAATCCTTGTCGCCGGTTCTCAGCGCGTGATGTTCACTGTAGATATTGATAAGGGCACAATCGTTGATAAGCTGCCCACCGAGCACGGCTACACGATGATGAAAAAGAGTCGATATCTCTGTGCTGCAACAGACACTGGATCAGTCAATGCCCTCAGTCTCTCAGACTTCAGTGTTGTCAAGTCATGGAAAGCTCATGGGACAGGTGTTAATGACATGGACGCGCGAAATGACCTACTGGTCACCTGCGGCTTCTCAGTCCGCCATCTCGGATCCCCAATCGTGGACCCTCTAGCCAACGTTTATGACTTGAAAACCTTGACACCTTTACCTCCGATTCCGTTCCATGCTGGAGCAGCATACGTGCGCATGCATCCCAAACTTCACACCACCAGCTTCGTGGCTTCACAAACAGGTCAACTCCAAGTGATAGACCTCATGAACCCCAATTCGGTCAACTTGAGACAAGCCAATGTGTCACTTGTGCTTGGCATTGACCTGTCACCATCAGGAGAAGCATTGGCTATTAACGATGCCGAATGCTCCATTCACCTATGGGGCTCACCGACGAAGGTTCATTTTAATGAATTGAGCAAGGAGACAGAATTTGCCGATGTTCCTGCACGATCTCCTCAGGTGGATTTGTCTCCCGAATCTCCGTTGAACGTGATTGGTATGCCTTATTATCACGAACGTCTCTTTTCAGCATGGCCAAGCCATTTGGTTTTCGAGGTGGGCAGTCCGCCGGCTCCATTGGATCAGTCCATGTTGCCGTATTTACGCCCCGCAGAAATGGGTCACCATGCTCCGAACCCGAGAAAGACTCGTCGATACCAAATAGAAAACACTCGCGCACTGACCACGGCAGAGCCGGCTCTTATTGCACCAAAGTTTTTGAGTGAAAAGGCTCGGGACTACAGCAAGTCAGACGGCTTGGTTGGTGATGCCGCAGAGGCATTGGCAGGGGCGAAGATCAACGGAGAGAGCGACGACGATCCACTACTTAAATATAGCAATGTAGAGATCAAATACAGCCGATTCGGTGTAGATGATTTCGATTTCAGGTACGTCATTTTCTTCCAACTCATTCACTTCTCTTCGCTTACGTTGTCTACAGATTCTACAACAAAACCTCATTCTCTGGACTGGAGACCCACATCTCAAACTCCTTTACCAATTCTCTTCTCCAGCTTCTCAAATTCATCCCGCTTTTCCGAAATCTCGCCCTGAATCATGCAGCCGGATCGTGCATATTTGAACACTGTCTCTTGTGTGAATTGGGCTATTTGTTCGACATGCTTGAAAAAGCGAGCGGGCAAAATTGTCAGGCCACCAATCTTCTCAAGACATTCAGCAGCTTCCGAGAAGCTTCAAATCTGGGTCTCCTGGAAGAGAACCTTACTAACAAATCACTCTCAACTGCTATCCAAGCAGTCAATCGTTTCTTCCTGACTCAAATAGCTCAAGACTTCCGGATGATTCAGCCTAGTTCTGAAGACCTCGATCAGCGCTTAGCCACTATAGCGTCTGAGTCTATTCGGTGCATGTTCTGCCAGAACGAAATTGTGCGCCCTGGCAATTCACTCGCCAACGAACTGATTTACCCGAATATTGACATCAAACACGCACGACGGAATCCGCTATTCCGGTTTTCCAATATCCTACGTGCAAGTATCGAGCGAGAGACACAAAACCGAGGATGGTGCAATTATTGCCGTCGCTACCAGCAAGTGACCATTCGCAAGACCATTCACCGCATGCCTTTGGTTCTCATTCTCAATGCCGCCCTGACCAGCCCTCTCTGTCGTCGGCTTTGGGCAATCCCAGGGTGGTTGCCCGACGCCGTTGGTGTTCTCGTTGATGCCAATGGACAAGTGATGTGCTTTGAGGGTGATGATCTTCACCTCCGAATCCAAAATCAGACGCCAGGGCTGATGGTATATGATCTGGTTGGCTTGGTTGCGGAGATCGACATTCCGGAACATCAAAAACCCCATTTGGTGTCTTTCGTCAATGTCTCCATCTCAGGTTCTGAGTCCCAAGAACAACCCAAATGGCACCTCTTCAATGACTTCTTGGTCACGGAGGTCGATAGAGATGAAGCACTTCGATTTACGCAGCCTTGGAAACAACCTTGTGTCCTGGCTTACCAAGTGAGAGATCCACGCCATGTCGTCGACGACTCTTGGAAGAACCTCCTCGACAAAACTTTGCTATTCCGGGAATGGTCTTTGAAGTAAGTCTTGAAACGTGATTACGTTTGGATATTGAATATAAACGCTAACAGTCATGTTCTTGTAGTGGGGGCCGTCAGGTTGAGTCATGTCACACTCTCACCGAAGAGGAAATGCCACAGCCCGGTACACCAGTCGCATTGGATACCGAGTTCGTTGATCTAGAAAAAGCTGAGATTGACGTGAAGGCAGACGGATCACAGGAAATGGTACGTCCCAACAAGAGCGGGCTGGCCCGTGTTTCCGTCTTGCGCGGTATGGGTGTCCAAGAAGGAGTTCCTTTTATTGATGACTATATCACCATTCGCGAGCCAATTGTGGACTATGTGACACAATATTCCGGCATCAAGCCTGGTGACTTGGATCCACGAACCAGTGAACACAATCTTGTCCCACTCAAGGTTGCCTATAAGAAGCTTTGGCTGCTTCTAAACCTCGGCTGCGTATTTGTTGGTCACGGACTAGCCTCTGATTTCCGGAAAATCAACATTCAAGTGCCCAAGGCACAAACCGTGGACACACAGTACCTCTTCTTCCACCCCGGGAAGAACCGGCGTCTGAGTCTCAGGTACCTGGCCTGGGCTGTCTTCAAGGAACATATCCAAGAGGAACCCGCCCCCGAAACCGTACAAGGTCATGATTCAATTGAAGATGCTCGTATGGCTTTGCGTCTCTGGAAAAAGTTCCAGGAATACGAAGACGCAGGTATTGTGACACAAATGCTTGAAGAGATCTTCCGCGAGGGCTCGAAGCTAGGATTCCGCCCGCCTCCTAAAAACGGAGGCAACATGACCGTTCTCTCTCGACCCGGCACCGCTGTCACCATGCAGAATGACAGCGGTCGCAACACCCCGAGCACCCCGGACACACGGTCCGTGGCGCCCGTCCCCCAACCTCGGCCGCACCCATTGTTGGATCCCCCAGCGCCCCTACTACCCCTCGTCAGGCTTTCAGGCGATCGATTGCCTTGACCCCGAGTAATGGGAGCTTTGCTGGACCTGGTGCCGGTGACTTTTTTGGAGGTAGCCCACTTAGATGAATAAATACTTTTACCTTTTAGTTACTTTTCCACCCGGCTTTTGGCTCTTTCGGCTCTTTTGGCTCTTTCGGCATCATGCGTTGTCGTGAAATCGTACTGCATCTTCAACCCCTCCTTTAGAAGTGATAATCTCACCTTTCGAATAGAGAAGGTAGATACTTGCTAAGTCTTAAGGTTCCAGGGTATCAGCTCGGCAATCCCCAAGTTGGTTTGGCGTGTACATCGCCCCATTTCCCCAGCTAGACAAGTCGACAGAGGCATTTTGATTGGCCAAGACATCCGGGGTACTCTCCCCGAGCGGAGTATTTGGATGCAAAGATATTCCACGGGGCAAATTAAGCAGAGGTCCGTATGTCTCCTCGCATACTATGACTATGCATCAGCGACCAGCCGCCTTGCCTTATTCGCCATAGAAACAACTTATAATCAAGTTACAATGGAATACAGGGAAAGAATAGTCGGCCAGGAAACATTGATGTTGGTCTTTAGTAGTCTAGGCCATTGAGTACATCACTTGACCTCGCGTGGCTCAAACAAAGTCAATTCCGTTCTTCAAAGTACCAATATGCGACACGCTGATGTTCATCTGGTAACATAACTGAGGGGGCCGTTATCACCTGGGCAACGCCTAAGTATTGTCAGCGTGAATCATTTAGATACTTGTAAAATACGAATATCAATGTACCTCCAGGAGTCCCTGTCATGAGAATACTTCCTTTCTGCAGGGTGGTGCACGTCGACAGATAGAAGAATAGAGCGGAAATGGCTCCGCAGAGCCAATTGAAGACACGGGTGTCATAACATCAAACAAAGTTGGAAGTTACAGTGACAGCCCCTTTTGGCTACTACCGCCTTCCTGGAAAGCTACGCCGCCTGCTTAAATTGTCCTAAACAGTCATACCGACCATACAATCTGGGGCTTTGATTGGTGGGACTAGAGCAGGCAGAATAGAGTTGCTCAAACTTACCTAGGTATGAACTGTCACTGTATTAGGAAGACGGTGAATAAGGCGGTCTGGCGTATTGATCCTATATTACGGTTCCTTCGTCGTCACTGACGAACCCCTCGTTCATTACCCCACCTCCTCACGCCGTAATGTCGCGACACCGTATTAAGGATGTCGACTACGACGACGATGATTTTTATGACGATGACGACGAACTCGCTGACCCCGAGGAACAGGAGTTCTTGCAACAGTGTACTACCGCTGTTTTGCAACAGCTCCGCGCCGGGCAACCGTCAGTGACCGCCACGAAAGAAGAAGTCCAAGACGCATTGTGGCACTACTACAATGATATCGACAAGTCGGTCAACTATTTGAGGGGTATGTTTAATTTGCGCTGATATCCCAATTTCGTCGTATTGCCTATCGCGGGTTTCCGCGTTCAATTGTTTGTTTTGATTCGGCTAACCGAAGTTCTACATGCAGGAAAGAGAGAAAAGGAGGCTGCGAAGCTGCAGAAATCGAAGATCCAACCAGGTAAGCAATTTTCATGGGATAATGGTTATCCCAAAGTGTCGTCGCTGGGCTTGGGGGTCTGGGCACAACATATTCTGCGCGCCACGGTCATGAGTGCTACTGTTTCTTGCAAATGAAAATGTGTGTATCTGCTGCAAATATGCCCCATTTGATCTATAGAGAGTCGACACTGATGCCATAGAAGTTTGAACAATGTTCTAACAGGTCTTCCAGTGCCAGCATACCCTGCTCCTCCCTCTACCGCACACTTCTCGGCTGCCGATTTCTTTCGCGATTGTCCCTGGCTCAACGTTCCCTCTCATCGGAAGTCGGAGATTCTGATTGAGCCGCTTTATCCACGTTTGGGGCTCTTGGGCGGTTCACCGGAGAGTGGTGGAAAACTTTCCAAATTGGCCGCCCTGGCTGCAGCCCGGAAGAAGAAAGAGGGCGAAAAGGCACCATCTCTGTCGGAGACTTCGACTCCATCAACTCCCAAGCTCGAACAACCAACGTCTCTCGATCACTCGGGTACATCGCGCTCCCTTCGTGACAGGCTTGCAGCTAGCGGGAGGTCCACACCAAAAGCTCCAGAGGGTCCTGGGTCTCTTCGTCGTTTGGCAACGCCAAGCTCCTCTTCACATCCGATACCGAAACGGCCCGAAGCCGAGACCAAAAAGCCATCAGTGTCCGAGCTTTCCGGATCAATGCAAAGGGTGGTGCTTGAGGCGAAAGAAGAACCAGAACCCCAGCAAACAATGCCTACTATCCGAGCCTCTCCCTCGACATTTGCCAGCACTATCGTTGGCGCAGCAACTGGTCCGACAGCAGCTGAGCCCAGCTACTTACACTCCACCAGCTCAGACCTGTTGAGGATCTATGGACAGGATCATGCTGAACCTTTTGACTTTGCAGCGCCCAGCCCCGACGATGTCGTTCTCAATGCACAGAACACAGCGAAAGGTTTGGCGATCCGCAGGAAGGCTTAAAGGCAATTGCCTAATAATATGCAGGTATGAAATCGAAATCAGCGGCATCGAAATCGGCAGTGGTGAAGAAAGGCCAGTCTGATCTGGCAGATGGCGTGAAGGAACTCTCAGTGGAAGACAAAGTGACTGTCAAGAGCAAGAACCTTGATGTGATATCCGAGTACAAGAAATCCACCCGCAAGCGGTCTGCAAACTTTGTGGTTATTGGTAGGTCGATGTCCACTAGCTAGAAGGTGCGGGCCTAGGTTGACTCGTATCCAATATAGGTCACGTTGATGCAGGAAAGAGCACTCTCATGGGACGGTTGTTAGCAGATCAAGGTGCTATCGACCAACGTACTCTTGATAGGTATCGGCGAGAGGCCGAGAAGATTGGCAAGGGCTCATTCGCGCTAGCCTGGGTCCTGGACCAAGGGTCGGAGGAAAGAGCAAGGGGCGTGACGATAGATATCGCCACCAATCAATTTGAGACAGACAAGACAGCCTTTACCATTGTGGATGCACCAGGTCACCGTGATTTCGTCCCGAACATGATCGCTGGTGCCAGTCAGGCAGATTTTGCTGTTCTGGTCATCGATTCTAGTGTGGGCAGTTTCGAGTCGGGCTTGAAGGGTCAGACTAAGGAGCATGCTCTGCTGGTGCGCAGCATGGGCGTTCAAAAGATTGTGGTGGCTGTGAACAAGATGGACACTGTGCAATGGGATCGTGAACGATTCGAGGAGATTGAACAGCAGATCTCCGCGTTCTTGACGACTGCAGGCTTCCAGGACAGCAACATTTCGTTTGTGCCCTGCTCAGGAGTTCTCGGAGACAACATTTCTCGACGGACTAACGACCCTCATGCGTCCTGGTACACTGGTCGCACATTGATTGAAGAGCTGGAAACGTCGGAGCCATACACACATGCCCTCGAAAAGCCTTTGCGTATGACGATTGGTGATGTCTTCCGAGGTGGCGTGCAAAGTCCGCTTTCCATTTCTGGCCGTATCGACGCAGGCAGCTTACAGATGGGCGACAATATCCTGATCATGCCCAGTGGTGAAACAGCAACAGTGCGCAGTTTGGAGGTGGACAGCCAACCGAGCGACTGGGCCGTGGCAGGTCAAAACGTCGTTTTAAACATCGCCAATATCGACCCTATTCACCTCCGTTCCGGCGACGTTGTCTGCCGTCCTTCCTCTCCCATTCCTACCATCACTTCTTTCACCGCCAAGGTACTGGCCTTCGAACACCTGATGCCCATGCAAGTGGATGTGCACCGTGGCCGTCTACATGTACCTGGTCGCATCAGCAAGCTGGTTGCCTCTCTGGATAAAGCGTCTGGAGCGGCTATCAAGAAACGCCCTAAGATTGTGGGTCCGGGTGTCGTGGTGCGTGTTGTGGTTGAGATGGATCAAGCTGTTCCTCTGGAAGCACCGACCAGGATTGTCCTGCGCGCGGGAGGCTCAACAGTGGCTGCTGGTTTATTAGAATGAGCTTTCTTAATCAAGATACATCTCAGTCGTGGATGCTACAATTTCTTGTCCGTGGTAACACATTATTTGACTAGATTTTCGGCCATTAAACCATAAAAATATATATCCGCAGAACAGGGTTTCCGGCCACCCCAGGGTGGCCTCTTATCTTTTAACGATGCTGTACTTTACGAATGAACTTAGGGAAAAGAACGCAAATGCTGTGTATGAAGGCAATCTGAAAAGGAAGGATGGAGAGTATCCTAAGTATCAGGCGAGGGAAGAGTCAGGAATTCGTCCTCCATTGAAACATCCTTCGAAGAATTCTTTGACGCGCAAGGCCATTGGGACACCGCCTCCCTCATAATGAACTCCAACATGCTAGTGATGCCGGAATAGCTTCCACTGGGCGTTTTCAACATCACGACCTTAGCAAACTGTTAACAAATTAGCTAGCTAATTCTTTTTATAATCGCAGAATTTACAAACATACCTCGCTCTTTTGGTTAATGCGGAGAAAACTAAACTCCTCACCATTACAATACTTAGGCCGTAAACTATGGAGTTTCGAGAAGGGTATGACCTTCTCTCCTAATAAACACGGAAAATTCATGGTTACTAAGGAGCTTTTCGAACCTAGCTTTACTCGATAAAGAGTTACCTATATACCCTAGGGCCTAGTCGTCGCCTTGGCTAGCAAGGTCAAGCTTTTTCGCCTCAACAAGTATGAAGTTAATGGCCTTGTCTGCGCCACTCTTATCTCCATACCACAATGTGTAGTCGTAGGTGCCCTTTGCCTGGTACACCTTTCCCCTAACGGGAGTGGACGAGAGGTTAAGGGGGGTCCCCAACTGAAGATTCAATGGCCATTGGCCATGGTCTGTCGGGACACGGCACAACTTTATCCTTTATCTAGCAGAGCGAACAGCTGCTTCATTCTAGGTGGACAGGCGTAGGTATTTGCTTGTTATGTCAATCGTCTTCTCTATTAGCTATTAGTCCCAGCCTTATAAAAGCATCAAATCGCCTAGAGAAATCTCTCAGAGAATGACTTACGGGCAGCGCTAGGCAGCTCCACATTCGTGGGACCGGGGGTCATGGCTGATGTTCCAGGGATTCCTCGTCTTGAATTGAAGTCCGAAGCCACTGACAATGCCAAATCTGGCAGCCTCACTAATAGGAAGCGTTTCGACGGGCCCAGTCTTCTCAGTCAACGAAAGCTCATTTGCCTGTTCAAGAGCTTGGACACCAAGCTGCAAGAGGCTTTCTTTAGAATTTCCTTGGCCGGATTAAATGACATCCGCAAAGAGTTCTCGGCAAACTTCGTGATGGACTTGGCCCTTTGGGTCTGTTGGCACCGATTGTTTGACCATAGTTGATATGGATCCCTGCACCAATTTGAATCTTTGGGCGGGAAACCGCCGACTCATTCAAGTATGCCATCAGCGCAGGATCATAACTAACTCTCATTTGCTGCATCCGATGCCGTAACTCGCAGCCCTTTTCAGACCTATGTAGGCGATCGGCTTCAGCTTGAAGCAGTTGCATGAGTTTGATAACAAATGACTTTGATCTTCACTTCTCATTCACCGCCAGCATCAGTGCGGCCTTTCCAGCCTGCTTATCATCACTCTGCAAGTCAAAACAGAGTATCAGATGTCCAATGATTTCACACTGTCACACATTAGAGGGAGGACACAGCAAACAGTTCAGTTTCTCATATTATGTAAGACATGCTAAGAGGTGGGGTCATGTGATGTAGTCCTTGAAGCCGATCTTGTAATCCCGGTATCAGTACCCGCCCCTACCGGACGGACTGCCTACTATCCATGGATCCATGGATGTACTAGGTACCTAGCTAGGTAGGTATGCAGTCTCCCTTGCTAAGCAGTCCAGCCTCAGGGCTCCAGGGCTCCAGGGCTAGTCCTCGTCTAGAATCACAATCCTCGCCTCTGCTCCTGTTCCTCTTTTCCCTTCTCTCCTTACGCACAATGAGACTAGCAATCTGATCAGTGATCTCCAAGCATCTCTGTAAGCTGCTCACTACCAAAGTGGCCTAAACCTAATGCTTCCTCCACTTTGGAATGCTTTCTACCTCGCGCAAATTCTCGCACACACCATTGTTCGCCATTCCTTGTCACTGAACTCCATGTTTTTCGTGAGTTTCGGAACTTGAAATTGAAAAGCAATTTTTTTTCCGATTCCTACTCATTTCTGCGGATAACAAACCGAGCCTTTTGTTATTATTGTTCTCAACCTCGGAACGTCGTACGTGCAGCCCAAATGTCCATTGCAGTCCTGCCCGTGGAATTGATCTCAAAGATATGTAACCATTTGGATTTCCAGCAATTGGTCGCTCTAAGGTTATCATGCCGCGCATTGTACAAAAACACACTGGAGAATTTTGCGAAGGCCTTTTACCGAAAAATCCGTTTCATTGTGACAAGCGAAAGTCTCAACGAACTGGAAGAACTATCCAAGTCAAATGGTCTCCGCGAGCACGTTCAAGAGCTATGGATGATCCCTGTTGTGTTTGATGGCATTGAAAATCTCCCCGGCATGATATCTATATCATCAAAAAGCTGCCGGCAGGTCAAAGGCGACGAGCAGGAAAGTCGGCATGCTGTCCAAAAAGCCATGCTTGCGGATAATCGCAACCTGCTGGAATCAGAAGCGTTCAGTGTTCGACTTCGGGAATGTCTGGATCGATTCAAGAACATCCAAACAATAGGACTCGCACATTACAGAACGGAATTTTTGCTTGATCCCCGGCAGAAGACAGTTCCATTCCTCGGAAGACGACGGATAATGAGCCGGATCGATTTTCGATTCGATGTTTACAGCCTAGGAGAGTCTACGCGGACCAACAAGGCCAGCCAGATACGAAAACTGAACTCCTTGGCATTATCAAAGCTTTTTCTTGCGTTATGTAGCTCAAGCTGCAGACCCCGAAAGCTGCACACCTGTGATTCTAACTTCTGTGGTGATATCGGCCCCAGGATTGCCTTCTCCAAAGAGCAATTCGATTCTCTACTATCTACTTTAGAAGGCCTAGAGGATCTTCACTTATGTATTGATCTCAATGAGGCGGCTTGGCTGAAATTTTTGAGGAAGCTTGCACCTCAACTGGAAGTACTGATCTTGTCGCAAGATCATATGTCTTCTTATCTTGTTCAAGATGAGATGCCTGCCTATCCGGCAAAAAGTTACGTTGGACACATGTTCCATGACATTAGCTTCACTCGACTCCGAAAGCTTCATATTCACGAGCTTGATATCAATTTCAGCTCTTTAAGATCACTATTACTCGGTGTCAAGAAAAGTCTGGTCACCCTCACAGTTCGACGGGTTACAATGCGCAGTGAGAAGTCGAGAGCCACAGAGAATCCTAGATCGCAACATGCCGAGTCCCCTGACCGTCAGGAAAGTGAAGCATCTGTCCGATATGCATCGTCAGCGTCTCAGCTCACTCCACTGGCGGTCAATCCAATATCGTCATTATATCAACCTACAGTGCCATCACATATCCCTACAGTGCCATCATTTGACCCAAATCTGCCATCATATCACCCTACGGTGCCATCATTTTGAACATCGTCACGTACACACCGACTGTATCCCCGCCAGAATATGGACCAGCCCCCCTATCAGTCCTACCAGCATCTGAAACAGCATCGGCAGAAAGTGCACCCCAATTACCACAGAATTCCTCGACTTCCGAATCCTCTGAGTCGTCGACAGAAGAATATCCAAACACAAGGTGGTTATCTACTTACTATTACCCATATGAGCCACCTGAATCAGCTCGAGGTTCAGTCTGTCCTACCTGGGAAACCGTAATGGCGTGGAAACGCAACGAAGAAGAGATCACTTGTGTGTCTAGGTTTTTGGACATTTTACAGAACGAGTTATCTCTAGAGACACTCTCACTGGAAGATATTATCTGTGACGGCAATTATTATTATTTCGAAAGAGTCGACAATGGAAACAAACAAAGCGGCCAAGTGGAGTTTGACATTCGCAAAGCTAATCTTTCGTTGAAAGATTGGATTTCCCGGCTAAGGCCAATTGCCACCTGCCCGGCCGATCGAGTTCTAGAGCTTAAGGAGGACAAAGGTCAGTAGTACCTCACTATTTAGTCCCTGCGGTTACTGATGGAATCTAGAAATGGAGGGTTGGTTCGACAAGATGATAGGGAAGGACAGCGGCTCATTGAATAGATTAGACTGTGACTGCAACAGGAAAAAGAAGCCGTTCTGGGGATGTCCTTTTGGATGTCACCGATATTAGGAAAAAGTCAGTTTGCATTTATCTCAATAGTTCTGCGAATAATTGAGCCCTATTATTACAGTCTTAACATTGAATCCGATTCAATTAATATCAGGTAACAGAAGTTGCATGTCTTTCTCTTTGTGGATTTTCTCCACTATATACCAAGCAACAAGCTTCCAAGTTGACTATCAAGATACGTGAATGGGACATCAGTCACATGTAACGTTTCCAACCTTGGAACAACTGGAACCTTTTGCTTGCTTGCTAGAATGAATAGGCACAGAGATGAATATGTGCTAAGATCAAAACTGGGCCCCGGTAATACCAAATGAGCAGAGATCCTCACACGCGTGCACCGGTGACCGAGGGGCGGTAGGGCTTGGCGAGCTAGATCAATAGTAAAAATGCCTCACTAGCAGGGTGCATATATATAGGACGTAGATAGTAAGAAAGGGGCCGTAACGGGCGAAGCGTTCGGCGAGCAATAGTCGGGCCGATGAAGGCGACTTTATAGAGACACGCACGGCGTTGTCGGTCACGTGGGGGGAGCTAGACCTAAAGAGGCACGCTAAACCGAAACTGGTAATTCGCTGTCAACACAGAGTACGAAGTACAAGATAGGTAAATCCCTAGGACATGGTGGGTGCTCTGTGCCACCCCTAGTCGCCCCCTACTCTGGACATCCCTGGCCCAAATATAGGCCCATAAGTAATACTTCGCATCCATGGATGCTCTAGATGCCACTTGTCATGATCAATGGACATCAAATTAGGCTGTTGCAATTTACTCCGTAGCATAGAACCATGTAGCAACACGTGGTCGGTGGCAAGGACATGAGTCCACCGGGTAAACTTCAGTAACATTTCTTAGATCGAGCGAATTCCTTGAAGGGGCAAACATTCGGCCCCTTCTAGCAAGTTCGATCATTTGGCAGTCGTTCATTGGTGGAGGCCCTGAGGAGTCCATGGATGGACCCCTGCCGCTAGACTACTCTAGGGGAACATGGTACTTGTTAAAGAAGGCGGTGTGGCTGCAGGGCGATTTCTGAGTCAGCCACTGCCGAACGAAAGCCAGCCAATCAGCGCACGAGAAGTGACCTGAACTGGGAAAAGGCCAGCATGGCCGCTGGGCTGTATCCGCGTACAAGAAGTCCTCTTCCTTCGATTCTTCTCCTAACCATTCTCTCATTTTCTCACTTCGCCCTGGGTCCCTTTCCCACATATCATCGACTAAAATAAGGGTTCATAGAGTCAAACACGCCTTGTGTTTACTCGTCTGCGCAGCTGTTTAGAGCGGCACGCGCGAAGCTTCATAACGACAGCTTCTTTGTCTTCGTGTTGAAAAAGGACTTCGATCCACCTATCTATACATACACCTTTCATAATGGCTCGCCTATCCGCACGCGATGGCGCGTCCAAGCCCTTCGCCTGGACCACCATCTTCTACCTTCTCTTCGTCCTCGTCGCCCCTCTGGCCTTCTTTGGAAACACCGCCCACGCCCAGGAGGAAACCTCCCCTGAGACCTACGGCAATGTTATTGGTATTGATTTGGGAACCACTTACTCGTATGCCGCCCCAGTCTTGACACCATTGATAGTGATTGAGACAGCTTGCTAACTTTTCAATACAGTTGTGTTGGTGTGATGCAGAACGGCAAGGTCGAGATTCTTGTCAACGACCAAGGAAACCGTATTACCCCGTCCTACGTTGCTTTCACCGATGAGGAGCGCCTCGTTGGTGATGCCGCCAAGAACCAATACGCCGCCAACCCTGAGCGCACCATCTTCGACATCAAGTAAGCTTCCACTACACCCATCGCAGCAGGAAATCGGCACTAACACATCGCAGGCGTATGATCGGTCGCAAGTTTGATGACAAGGACATCCAGAAGGACGTCAAGAACTACCCCTTCAAGGTCGTCAAGAAGGATGGCAAGCCCCAAGTCAAGGTCGATGTCAACCAGTCCCCCAAGACCTTCACCCCCGAGGAGGTTTCCGCCATGATCCTCGGTAAGATGAAGGAGATTGCCGAGAGCTACCTGGGCAAGACTGTCACCCACGCCGTTGTTACCGTCCCCGCCTACTTCAGCGACGCCCAGCGTCAGGCTACCAAGGATGCCGGTACCATCGCCGGTCTCAACGTCCTCCGTGTTGTCAACGAGCCCACCGCCGCCGCTATCGCCTACGGTCTTGACAAGACCGGTGACGAGCGCCAGGTCATTGTTTACGATCTTGGTGGTGGTACCTTCGATGTGTCTCTTCTGTCTATTGACAACGGTGTCTTCGAGGTTCTGGCTACCGCTGGTGACACTCACCTTGGTGGTGAGGATTTCGACCACCGTGTCATGGAGTACTTCGTTAAGCAGTACAACAAGAAGCACAACACCGATGTCAAGACGGATCTTAAGGCTATGGGTAAGCTGAAGCGCGAGGTTGAGAAGGCCAAGCGTACTCTGTCTTCCCAGATGTCCACCCGTATTGAAATCGAGGCTTTCCACAACGGCGAGGACTTCTCTGAGACCCTGACCCGCGCTAAGTTCGAGGAGCTTAACGTTGATCTCTTCAAGAAGACCCTCAAGCCTGTTGAGCAGGTTCTCAAGGACGCTAAGGTCAAGAAGTCCGAGGTTGATGACATCGTTCTTGTTGGTGGTTCTACCCGTATCCCCAAGGTCCAGGCTCTTCTCGAGGAGTTCTTCGCTGGCAAGAAGGCCAGCAAGGGCATTAACCCCGATGAGGCCGTTGCCTTCGGTGCCGCCGTCCAGGGTGGTGTTCTCTCCGGTGATGACTCCATGGTTGATGTCGTTCTTATGGATGTTAACCCCCTCACTCTCGGTATTGAGACCACTGGCGGTGTTATGACCAAGCTCATTCCCCGCAACACTGTCATCCCTACCCGCAAGTCGCAGATTTTCTCGACTGCCGCCGACAACCAGCCCACCGTCCTGATCCAGGTGTTCGAGGGTGAGCGCTCGATGACCAAGGACAACAACCAGCTCGGCAAGTTCGAGCTGACCAACATCCCTCCCGCGCCCCGTGGCGTTCCCCAGATCGAGGTTGCCTTCGACCTCGACGCCAACGGAATCCTTAAGGTCAGCGCCTCCGATAAGGGAACCGGCTCGTCCGAGTCTATCACTATCACCAACGACAAGGGTCGTCTCTCCCAGGAGGAGATCGACCGCATGGTCCAGGAGGCCGAGCAGTACGCCGAGGAGGACAAGGCCATCAAGGGCAAGATCGAGGCCCGTAACGGCCTTGAGAACTACGCCTTCAGCCTGAAGAACCAGGTCAACGACGAGAACGGTCTGGGTGGCCAGATCGACGAGGATGACAAGCAGGCCATCCTCGACGCCGTCAAGGAGGTCAACGACTGGCTCGAGGACAACGCCGCCACCGCTACCATGGAGGACTTCGAGGAGCAGAAGGAGCAGCTTTCTAGTGTGGCTTACCCCATCACTAGCAAGCTGTACGGCTCTGCTTCTCCTCCTGATGAGGATGACGAGCCCCTTGACCACGACGAACTGTAAAATTATCAACGAGGCATTATTCATGGAGTTCCACTTTTTTTTTCTCTTGCTTGAGTCCCCTTTTGTGTTCGAATTTACACGGGACACTGTTAGTGTCCCATCCAACTTTTAGGCCTGGTTGTTAAAGGCCGGCTAAGAATACAATACAATGATACCTTGCATTCTTTTATAAAGATAGTGCCGCAGTACAGTGCGTCCCCAAACAGGTGTGACTACCTACATATGTGTACAGTAGTTTGCTTGATTAACTACATAACGGTGTCCTGTTACCGTATGGCAAAGCTATGGTAGCTGGTATTTTCCACCTAAGTGTAAAGAAGAGTACTGGCATTCCCGCATGCAAGTGACGATCTAGGGTTTAGTCGTTGCTAGACAGCATAAACAGTCATTTCCGATACCTTTCTCAGGATGATACTACACTGCTCATCAATATCCTCCTGTCAGCCACAGCTTTCCCCTACATGACACTGCCTGACATCTACCTGACGTGAGCTGACACAATGATGTTGCTAGGCTTGTCAGTGGCATTTTCTGTCTTAATGGGATGACTTACACTCCTTTTGACCGACATGAACTGCCTGATCAGTGAGAACGGATTCCCTCGATTGCATACCATCAGTAATCTGCCCTGCACCTTCACCTGAGGACGAATTGCTCAACGTTCATACTCGGAGCTTCAACAATCGGCCGACCACCTTGGGCTTGCTTCTAGTAGATGGACGGGAAGATGGAAGGGCAGGGGATACACAATCTTCGAGCTGTATTGACTACCAGATCAAGGGGCTACTCTGAATAACTGGGTTGTGGCAAAGGACACAGAACAAGATAATATAGAAATGGAGGATGCAAACGATTATCAACCAGAGGGCCCATCGCAGCTTCCTCATATCGAGAGCAGTCAGATGTAGGCGCGAATATCGTACGACAGCTCCTGTGACCATAGCGCACCATTCGATCATGAAGGGGATTGATGTCGGGAGGTTAGGTTGAGAAATGAAGCGAGCCATCAGGTTATTCACCCTCCTGGATCTGCGCACCTCATAATGGGGAGTATCATCCCTAGAGGCAATCGAAGAAGCCAAGATCGGGAAAATCGTGCAAGAACGCAGTGATTTACAGAAGGGGCGTTATCGAAGATTCTAGTTCTAACCCAGTGACTTTGATGCGGATAGGTCTATAGATCCGGAGATTAAAATAGAAGCTGACGACATGGCCCACATCGCCTAGACAGCAAATACTATAAGGCTGCTTTTGGGGCTAGTTTCAGTCTAATAATAGACGAATTTGATTTATGAAAAACGAATAATGAAGAAACATGTAAGAAAAATCCCTTACGGTGTAACCGGGCATCTTCTCACCATCAAGACATGCCTTATGAAAAAGCCATACCACTCTTCTAACTGTTCAACCGCGTCCAAACTCGATACAGTAGCATAGATGCCAATTTATAGTCAGCAAAACAGAATCCCTTTCTTCACACTCTACACTAGAACGGTGCATTGGCGTGGCACTGGTTCCATGGCTGCATTGGTTGCCTCCTTACAGTAGAAGACAGTCGGTTTGAATCCGCTTTCTCACCTGCAGGAATCCCCGGTTCCCGACACGAGTTTGTCAAGGTGGGTACTATACGAACTTGAACCAGGCAAGGTGATCGCATGACTGACATGGGCTTCTTGGTATGAACCGTCGACCAAGGGCATGTCGGCCGAAGAAGGAAGAATCTACTCCGTATTAGAGCCCTACTGTCATTTCCCTTGTCTGTACGCTCGACTACAACAACGAGGGCACCTTGTGCCGGATGGTGACGGATAGAGAGAGCCTCGGGTCTAGCGGGGTACATCATATTCTATGTTCAAGCGGGGTACGCATAGATGGCTTGGACGGCACCTGCGACCCGAGTAAGAAACCGGTTGAATCTTCGATCCTAAACCGACGAATGCCTTGATTCTGGCAGGTAATCCACACCGCTGAAATCATTCTTTGCCCCACGTGGGGAATCATCCACAATAGCTCTCAGCTAGTGTTGAGACATTGGCGGGGGAATGTAACGCTATACACTGTGATGTCTTTGATGCGGAGAACATGCAGTGGCGGTGATGCGCATGTCTCAGCTACCACTCGTGTTGATTGGCCGTGGGACAGACCCCGGGGTGGTGGCCTGACAATCCAAGACATGGAATGGGTGCCATGTCTTAGATCAAAGGCCTCCCGGATGTACTTCCAACGGTACATCATCGGTACTATATCGATGATGTACTATATGTGGTCCGAGCAGTAGACCTATATGAAGACCGCCAATTCCTTCCCTTGTCGGGAGGGAAACAGATAATCTAAGCTTCTATTGCAAAACCAAAAAATAACCATGAAGACCTCCCTGATCACATTTAGTGCCCTGCTCCTCGGCCTGGTCTCGGCCCAGAATGCTGTCGTGAACAACCACTGTGACACATCCGTGTATGTGCAGTCGTTCCCTTTCGATGGCAGCGCTCCCGGCCCTCTCACGACCGTTCCCAAGGGGGGGAACTTTCTCCGAAAAGTTTAGAGCATCTGGCTCGGTACGTTACTCTGTTCTATTCGGTCTGCCCAATACTCCATATAGCAAGGGAAACTGACTGGAGCTGGGATGTGCAGACTGTCAAGATGGCTAAGACAAAGACGCTGGATAAGCCTCTCTTCTTTGGCTATTCGTTCTCGTCCAACCCGGACTACGCTTACTGTGAGTGCACCCAATCTATCTGTCCACTAGGAATCTCTTGTTAACGGCATCTTTCTTTCAGATGAACTGAGCACGGAATGGGGCAACCCCTTCGCAGCGAACCCTAACTCGCTCAGTCCCGGGGAGGGCTGTGAGGTCTTTGACTGTGCGGCCAATGATGCCGCCTGCTACAGTACCCCAGCTCATAAGAAGGTCTATGGGTGCCCCCAGCCAGTCACCCTGACGGCGGACCTGTGTCAGTAACTATATCACCTACACTCTGTAATGTGATAAGGACATGGGGTCAGCTCTCTGTTTTCATATCCTTATTTCAACCTATCGCAGCCCGTCTCGAGGATAATTGTGTGTGAGAATGAGGCAGGCATTTGTCGTGACACCAGTGTTATGTGAGGGACTATATATAATCATAATGAAAATATACACCTTTTTGATCGTACATACTGGACACTATACTGACGTAGCTTAATACTCATGCCATGGTCATGGGATATACAAAAGGTAATTAACTCTTTCTCATTTAAGCATTAATAATTGTGGCTAAATACGACATCCATTCTATCATACTTGCTGAGCCACAAACGCCTGAATAGTCTCCGCAACAACCTGATGATCATCCTCCTGCTTCAGCCCACTAACAACAACAACACCAATAACCCCATCAACACCCTGCACGCGAATCGGGTACCCACCGCCATGGATAGCATACTCATCCGCAACAGCACCCCCATTGGCACTCGGAACAGCATACTTCTTAACAAAAGCAGCCTCAATCTGGTCCGCCGAGGCCCCAGCCGCGAGTCCACTAATGGTCTTCTGTCTCATAGCCCAGCTCGAGATACCCCAGCGGAGCACGGTGTTTCGCTTCCGTCGCACCCAGTTTTCGTTGTCCGGGATCGTGCCGCTCTCCGTCGCCGACTGGAATACCACGTGGAGTGGGACTCCGCCGCTGAGTGCAATGGAGATCAAGGCCGGTTTGCGCTGTCCGTTCGGGAGGCGGAGGATTCGGTCCCTTAGTGCATTTCCTAGTTGCCATGCGGTTTCTGCTGTGAACGTGCGGAAGACTTGGTCGGTGCTTGTTTCTTGCGCGATTAGGACTTGCGGCTGTTTCTTGGTTAGCTTTCGGTTTTTGGCTTGGGAGCATGGGGGACTCACGTCCGTGCTGGGTGCGGAAAGGGCCATGATTGATGTGAAGATGTTTGAGGTTTAATTGGTACTTAGGTATGTATGTACATGTGTAAAGAAGAAAAGTTGAGGGCACCTTTGGGGGTCGGTAATTCCATGTGGGGTGAAGGGGGTGGACCTTCCTTTGGTCGGGTCGGTGACGTCGAAATCTAGACTTGCATTCTTTGGCTATACTCCCTTATTGAATTGTACCTCGAGAATCGCTCAACATCCAGATTCTATTTATGGATTCTATCAAGCTTGATCCTCACGGAAATGTTCCGATATGCATCGGCAGGTTCCCGAAAAGACCCCTCCTTGAACAATGTCTCCGCATTCCGATGTACAATATTCGTCTTTCTTCACACTTTCAATAGCTTAGGTCCAGATGCCACCCAAACGAGCCTGCGACACCTGTATCTCCCGCAAAGTGAAATGCAGCGGTTCTTTACCCTGCGATACCTGTCGCGGTGCAATAAAGCGGGTGCGCTGTACGTACCTGAGGCCTGCGCACAGGAGAGGGCCGAAATCTCGGCGAGTAGCAAGCCACCAAGAGACCGACGTCCCAGAGATTCAATCCACAGAGAATCTGCAAAATGAACAAGATAAATACATGAAAAACACTAGCGATATGACAGTTTCTTCATCCACTCCAGCCTACAGCCCCCAATGCATTCCAAAGACAATCCTTGCATCGGTTATCCGTCTGTACCAGCAATATTCATACAGCGTCTGGCCTGTAGTCAATGCAGAAGCCCTCTTAGAGAGACTCGAGGATATATATCCAGAAAGTGTTGACTCCAACGCTGGAAACGCTTCCTGTCTCATCATGGCCCTCTGTGCCGCGACGATGGCTCAGTTGCATCTTGATCCCTTGGTAGATGGATCTCTGACAGTGGATAGCACCACAATGGCCCAGGCTTGCCTACGGATGCGGACAAGCTGCGATAGCCATGGGGCAAATCTGGATGTCAGAAGCGTTCTGGAGTCTTTCTTTTTGCATGTGTACTACGCCAAAGTCAACCAGCGAAATTCGGCAATGATGTTCATCCAAGAGGCCATGACAGGAGCTCGTCTTCTGCGATTGAATGAAGAGTTCTCATATGAAGAAGATGAATTGATTGCAAACAAGGCCCTGGTATTCCCGTTGCTTTGGGTATCAGAGAGGTAGGCTAACCTCTGAATTCGCAAAGTAACTTATTGACTATCCACAGAGGTTATTCATTGCACCTGGGTCTTTCTCCTTCATATATTGACCCCCCTGAATTAATAAATTTCGAGACAAGTATGAACGCTGATGTTCATGCCCAAGGGTTGCTAGAGCTCGTCAAGCTTTTCATTGCTTTTAATCAAATCTCGATACAGCGCCACTCGCGTCCTGGGATCACCATGGCTACACATCTGACCGACACCGAGACGAAAGTTGCCTCACTATGCTTCAGTATGGCTAATAATATTTCAACCCGAACGGCAGACTACCACATCACACGGGAGTGGATGAGGACCATTCTCTGGCAAGAGGCACTCAATATGGGTCTGCTGTCTTCTTCAGCGTGTGAATCTGTCTTGGCATTTGGATTTCCAGCGCAAGTTGGCCGTGCATTACTGCAGGCCTTGCGGGGCTTCAGTGAAACAGACTTGCTCCCATTGGGACGAGACCAGGCTAGTAGCCTCGGTATAAAGGAAATGCAGGCTGTGGCTAACGTCCTCTTGCAGTTACTCAAATGCTTCGAAGTCGCGAACTCGCTGGCAGACACAGTGCTTCTGTCCTCGCATAAAAAATGTTCTCGGCTCGAGCTAGGACCGCATGACTTTCTGCATGCGTTATACCAGAAAATCGTCCCCTTTCTCGAGCAGGATACCGCGTTGAATTCAATCCTTCGTGCTAAAACCGCCGAAGCCCTGGTCGCAGCTCCAGCTCGCCTGCTGACAATACAGGAGGAAGATGCGGGCCTGCACACAGGCGAAAATGGGCCTTGCGGTCAGGCTCAGATTTCCGGGTACATACCGAACAGCGAGCTTGATGAACAGAATGAATTGACACCAGACTTCTTGGATTGGCTACAGCAACCGGATCTTCAGATGATCTAATATCAATGTCGATAGCATATTCACCGGGTCATTCTGTGATCTGAAGGACAATCCGCCCCGAGATATCACCCTTCTCCATCTCCTCGTATACCTGAGGCAAATCCTTAAACGGCCGGACCTTGACCACGGGCTTAACAATACCACGTCGTACCATATCAACAGCCTCCATGCATTCCTTCAGCGAGCCCACCAGGTTACCCGTGATCTTAAGGCCCTTGATCACGATTGTGCAGATAGGAGTTTCCAAGCTCGGTCTTCCAGGGGAATACCAACACAACTCAAAGTACCACCAACCCGCAGCATATCACAGGCATGTGCAAACGCCTTTGCAATACCTGCTGTCACTACAGCAGCATGTGCCCCCAGACCAGTGATCTCTTGCACCCTCTTTATTGGGTCCTCGGTGGCAAAGTCGATAAATTCCTGCGCGCCGAGACCTTTGATAAAGTCTCCCTTACCAGGACCAGTATCGACGCCAATTACTAGAGCCCCTTGCGCTCTGGCATATTGAACTGGACAATGTCAGCGCGCTGCAGGTCATTACCATATTCCCCACAAAAAGGAAAACATACCAGCCAAATGTCCAAGGCCACCTCCGGCACCAATAACCACCAACCAATTCCCAGGACGAACATTCGCATTCAAGACAGCCTAATCAATCATTAATTAAGCCAAACCCAACGCAGCGCAAAATTGCCAACCCACCTTATATGCCGTCAAACCCGCACAAAGTACCGGCCCCATAACCCTCGGATCAACATCATCAGGCAGAACGGTCAAGTAATCCGCATCGAGCGCAATATACTGCTGAAAAGAGCCATCCTCATGATGAAGATGGTTCGTACTGGCAACGCAGTACTGCTCCGTACCCGCAAGACAGAACTCGCACCGTCGACAGATGCGGCTCGCGAACCGGATGCCGACCAACGTGCCGACTTTTAGACCCGCGGCGTGCGTGATATCCGGTCCAAGTGCAACTACCCGGCCGATGCCTTCGTGGCCGCCCACGTGTGGCAGTTTGATTTTCGTTATCGGGTTACCGTCTGGTCCGGCTGCGGTGCCGGATTTGGTGTGTAGGTCTGTTGCTGTATTAGACTGGGTCTTTAGAGAGAAGGGGTTCCTAGTGAGAGTGCCGGTTGACTATGGAAGTTTAACCGTTTGACGGTATACATACCGCTCTGGCAGACGCCGGTGTAGAGCACTTTGGCGAGGACTTCGTTGCGTCCCGGGACTGGCACGGGGTAGTCTGTGTTGAACTCGACTTGGCCACCTAGTGAACGGACGAGAGCGACTGTTTGGGTCTGTGGGATGTTGACGGAGTCCATTGTTACTTGGATTTAAATTTTCTGAGGAGATAGATATTGGATGGAATAGTGTGTTTAGGAGAGACTGGATTTTGGTATCATACGGGCGAAATGGCTATATTTATATTTACAATCCGAGCCTGCGGTGTAACACCTGGGACGGATCGTGGAATGTCGTGTCATCAATGAATTATGTTAATTCTCCGAGTGTACATCAAGTGGTGCGTTGGATGTACTATCCTTGAGCGGGGAGAGTTGCTCTGCATATGTCAGTTTTTTCTCCAATCCAGGCCAAATAGCAGATATGACTGGTCAACGACACGAATTGGTCATGAGACGAGGAAGAACTAGATAGTCTACATCCAACCTTTGTGCAGATGTTAATATCAAAAAGACAGACTCGGATAAATAGAGTACGACAAACCCAAGTACCGTTCATTATTGGCAGTCAGACCAGGGAAAAGAACTCGATAGGTGTGAGACTGCATGAAGAAATGCTAATTCTCCGAATCAATTCTCCGGGGTCCTGTGCATTGCAGATCTTACCTATGACAGCATATCTAATAGAAAAGAAGAAGATCGGTATGTCCCATTAACTATCTGACCTAGGAGAGTCCTCCCCTTATCTTTCTATTTCTTAAATGCTACGCATGAAATCACAACCTAGGTATCAAGTAAATCGGGTATGTACAACCGCATAAATTCATCCCAATCAGAAACGCCATAAACCTCACCGAAACACCGAGGTCAAGAAACCGACTCAAATCCCCGAACACCATCCCCAACGCACAGCCGAAACCCCCGGCTAAAACAAACGTCCAGTCACGCCCAAAGGGTATTCCATCAGCATCTAAACATCATCCATATGCACCGCGCGGCCGTAAGATCCCTTCGTAGGGGTAGAAGGGTCATCGCCCGCCTCGATATCCCTATCCCTGCGGTTTCTGTATGCGCGCGGGCTGGAGTTCGGAGTCGTGAGCGGGGTGACGAACAGCTCGCCGTTTTTCTTGCGCATCCAGTGGATGCGTAGGTGGTCGAGGGCTGTTTTGAAGTCGTCGAGTATGACTGTGTCGCAGAGACATTTGAAGATGAAGGATAGCTGGGGTGGTTAGCTGGGTAACAACGAAAGGATGGATGGATGGAAGGAAGGAAGGAAGGAAGAAAGGAATCAGATGCGGATGGGATCTTACTTTCCAGAACGGTTCAACACCTGTTGGGAGGATGCTGGGGAAGGCGTTCAGCACGCTGCAGGTATCGACGACCATGAAGATAATCGATAGACACATAGCTGCGAGCATGATTCCGAATCGTGGGCTGACGACTACCAGCTCCCATAATCCGAAGTTGTATTCGCGCTTGATTGTCCAGAATAGACTGGCTGTTGTGAAGATCCACCATGGGTCGCTGTATGGATGTTAGGTGAAATGGATTCAGATATGAAGGAGCAGAAGCAGGTCCTTGGAAAGGGAAAGAATGGAAAGAATGACGAACCGAAATAATGGCTCCATTGGCCTAGTCGTTAGGAAGATCTTGTTGATATTGTTGAAGTAGGTGAAATTCGCATAGATCTCCAGTCCCCAGTAGGGCCAGCAGAGCACGACAGTGGCAATGTAAATGATGGAGACCTTTCGCGATAGGAATGGGCGATTCTTCATCCAGGCGATGACATTGTGTAGGGCCCAGGAGATGTTGAGACCGACCGCGGTTACGGATAGATACCAGCCGTAGACCGGCTCGTGGGGAAGATGAAAGTACCATGAGCCATGGCCAGGATGAGCTATAGTAAATCCACAAGTTAGTTCAAGTCCTGTTAGGCCGTAAATGATAGGCCAGTATTTTGGCTTCCTTACCTCGGCGAAGATCAGCTTGTGTAAGAGAATATGTGACTTCATGTTGGCGAGAGTGATAACAGCCATAATGAGGAGACTTCCCACCATCAAGCCCTGTCCCCAAGCTTCGAGGATCAGGGCGTCAGCCTCGGTAGGCTTCGAAATGTGATCGGTAGCCATCGTGGGCTGTATTCATGTCAATCGTAGGCGGTTGCTGGGGGTTTGTGTGGAGTAAACAAGGGTCAGGTGAATTTGGTAGAAGAGGTGAAAAGAGGTGAGAGAGGCGAAAGAGACGGAAGTGTCTGTTGTAGAGAGTAGAGGAGAGAAATGAAGCGCAATCCTCATGAAGGGGAGGTCATGAAAAGAGCCGTCTCTATCTTCCACATCCGCGCAACATTACTTGGGGTTGGAAGTGAAGATGGGAGGAAATTTCTCATTTATTAATCTCATAATAATTAGCGTCTTTGCGTATTCCTCTGATCGGGGTAATTAATCAAAAGTAATTTGGGAACGCCACTAGATGAGCTAAGTTCGTTGGCTCTACAGGGGGGGTCGGGGAGGGCGTAATAGGGGACAACTTGAGAAAGACTCGATGCGCAACGTCTTTGTATGTCGGACACCTCAATTGCCATCTTTGATCAAATCATTTTGGATCGCGTGCCCTCTGGAGAGAAACCCCGGAAAATTCCTGTAGAGTTTTCCCCGTTGTGCGGAGAAAAGTGGCGTTCCTGGGGATACGAGCTATAACCAAGCTACTGCACGGTTTAATTTTGGTTTCGGATTGTCTTTGATTTTGAGGCAAAAGACGATATAACAAAAAAAATAAAGATAGTAAAGATAGATTTGCTATTCATAGACTAAAAGAAAGATCCGAAAAACAAAGAATCTCGAGACAAAGAATACAAAGAAGTAGGGAAATAAGAAAAATGAAAGAAGTCCAACGGCCAGGCCTTTGTTTTCCCGCTATTTCTCCGTCTCGAACTCGTCTTAGTCACTTGGCGCCAACCCCCCCCGGCTTTCATATGAAAATGGAAATGGACATGTTTCATCTTCTCTTTGATTTATCCGGAAATAGAATATCACTTGCTGCTCGCTCCACGAGTTCTTGTTGCCGTTTACCCCATATGCATGGACCTGCGTGAGGCCTTCGTGAGGTCTGTGCTATTGCCTAACGGGCCGTTTCCCGGGTATGCCAGACTTGCCTCTTTCAAGATCAGCCAGCCCTGGAGGATATAATATAATGTGATGCAGAGACCTTCAAGGGCATGCGCCATATAATATTTGTGATCGAATGGGGAAAGACCCCCGATGTCATGAAATCGAATAGTGAAGCCGTATCGCTTTCACCACCACTACAAAGTAATAATTGGAAATAGGCACAGATCCCGTTTGGTATTTTAGCCGAGTAAACTGCCCTTACCCGCAGACTGTCAACCCGTAGACTCCATAGCCGTTTGATATAAGAGCACATAGTTCTTAACGACGTACCGAGTAGTCAGATTTATCCGGCTCAAGATGATATAAGGGTGTTATACGTGAGATAACAGTCCTTTTTTCTGGATCTTGTTTTCAGATATCTTTTAAAGATCTTTTTCTTCTCAGTATTACAGAAGATATGCCGGAGTTACCGCGCTACAGTATACGAAGGCGGTAAAAATCACAAGCCATACCTGATAATGTCTGCCTTAGGATAGATATTCCTGTCCCTTGCCGTTTGATATGCCAAGGCAATGCCCAGTCTTTGGGTACATATTCTTCCAAGGTTGTGGAAGTACAACATAGTACTCCCGTCGACATGTTGGACTAGCTGGAAGACAGAGAACACAAGGGAAATGAATTAAGTGTCAAATTCTCAAATTCACCAGTCTTCAACAACAGTCTCATATTTCGACAACATTCAACGTCACTTTGTAGACCTTTCTTTACATATTGGCTCACCTTTTATACCTCTGGGTAAATCTTGCTCTGAACCCATTGGAACCTGCATTAAGGAGTTTATTAGGAATTACTCAGTTTGAGCTGTGATTACAACATCATATTCTTAACCGAGTATAGAGTAGGTCATTGACTATATAAATTTCCCACGTGTTGAGCTGCGCACGTACCCCCCGGGAGAGAGTCATCCTAGACATCACCTCTTTATCTCTTATATGCCGGACAGGTAAGGCTAATAAGCCAAAAGATGGCACTGACCTTATTTTAATACCAGACGGCCTTGATTGCGATAAGAACAATATGAGAAAATACTGGCTCCCTAGACCGGTACACTCGTCGGCGTCTCCCAACCAAGTAGCCGACAACGTGATGCCAAAGTGTTGAAAGTGTCCCACACTGAACATCTTGTCAAAAACGCATATATCTTTAAACATGTCCGTTGCCGCCACAGCTGCCGGCAATTTGCCGGTAATTTCCACATGAAACTCACTCAGGGAAACGGCAATTGATCGTCACGCTGATCGTCCAAACCGGAGTATTAACCGTGGCCGGACAACTGTCCTATCTTGATTGGCGATATTCTCGCTACGACGTAAACCGTCTTGTTGGTTCCTGTGCCGGAGTCAATTACACCGGAATATACCTCTTGCAATGAATCATGCATACCATGCTTTATCAATCAGACTAGAAGTTCTACCATGTGGAGAAATGACGCTAGCCAAGGCTATTTATTCATAGTCCCACGGTTCGGCAGAAGGTGGAAGTTGGTGGCTAACCTGGTTGGGCAATGGCTTCATCGAAACCCACTCGGCTCCGCTGATGGAAGGGTAATGATCTTCAGGGCTTGCGAAGACTGAAGGCTTGTTCTTTTATTGAAAGGGGATTCCAGTCTCAAATTAGTCTCAAATATCGATCTTACTGCAGTCATTCTTTTACTTTAACATTCCTTCATTATATTGTCCACAGGTATACTCCTGTTTAGTCGTTCTTTCCTAGATCTTAGATCGATATGGCTCCGTGGTGGTACACAGCAGGCAGCGTCCTGCTGCTGTCTCTTCAGGCGTCTGCCTGGAACTATTCAACTTACAGCTCGATGGGATTCCAGCCGCCGAAGCTCGAGGTCAGCAAGACCGGAACTACCCAGCCCGGTTACATCTTCATCGGTCCTCGTGGAGACGTCCAGGACGCCGGCTCCGCTGCGCTCATTTACGACGATGCGGGTGACTTAGTGTACGAAGGCCCTGAACAGGTGACTGCCAACTTCAAGGTGCAAAAGCTCTTCGGCAAGGACGTTATCACCTTCTGGGCCGGAGACATGATGTCCATCGGTTACGGTTATGGAACCGTACACATCCTCGACGATACCTACAAAGAGATCTACACTGTCAAACTCACAGGCAACTTTGTCACTCCGGACGGCTCAAGCAAAGATTCATACTGTGACATGCACGAGAGCCAAATTACTCCCCGCAACACTCTCATCTGCACCGCCTACAACGTCACTCAGCACGACCTGACTTCCATCAACGGTACCTCTTCCCAGTGGATGCTGGACAGCCAATTCCATGAGATCGACATCACTACCAACCAGGTCCTGCACTCATGGAGTGCACTTGACCAAGAAGCCGACATTCCCCTGACTACCTCCTACCAGGGTCTCGGAAAGGATGTCGGTACCCAGGATGCCCCCTACGATGCCTACCACATCAACTCTGTCGCCACCACCAACCATGGCTATCTCGTCTCGCTGCGCCACATGTGGTCAGGCTACTACTTGTTCCAGAACGGCAGCGTGATGTGGCAGGTGAGCGGCGACGACGGCGCCGACTTCAAACAGATTGGCGACGTCGACTTCTCATGGCAACACGACATGCGCGTCTACAACGAGACTGACAACGGGCTCGTCCTGAACCTGTTCAACAACGCCAACACCCCAACCAACGAAGAGGCCGAGACTACCGGTATCAGCATGGCAATCGACCTGGACAAGAAGACAGTTACCGGTCTCCGCGCTCTGGCTGACCCCAACGACCCCATCCACTCCGTCAGCCAGGGTAGCTACCAGCTCCTCAGCGAGGACAGCCATGTCTTCCTGGGATACGGGTCTATTTCCAAGGTCAAGGAGTTCGATGGTGACGGTAACGTCGTTTTCAGCGCCCAGTTCGGTGACGACAATGCTGTTGCATCTTACCGCGGTTACCGTTGCCAGTGGACTGCAACTCCCTTTTGGGAACCCTCCGTGTCGGTCAAGACTACCAGCTCCGGTGCCACCGTCTACATGAGCTGGAACGGCGCTACTGAATATGACAACTGGGTTGTCTATGCGGCTTCCTCTGCTACCTCGACCAACAACACTCAGATCATCGCCACCGCTGAGCGCACTGGCTTTGAGACTTCTGCTACTCTTGTTGACCCTCCTACCACTTTTGTTCAGGTGGTCGCTCGCAGGGGTACCACTGTTCTCGGCACCTCGGAGGTTGTTTCATTCTAAATGGTCTATGGATCGTTTGGGTGGTAACTTACTCTTACCCTTCCTCTCTCTGGAGAGATGGTTTGGTCACACATATTATATCATTGCTTTCTTTCTGTACATATTTGACATCACATTCTGAATATACATTTGCTTTCATGACACATCTTAATCTCCAGCGGAATTTCCAATAGCCGGAGTCTCGTCACGCATTTGGACAGAGTGATTATATTTGATCAGGTCTAGACATCTCTCAGCCATGTCAATCCTTGGACTTCTAGCTGACCACCGGGTAGCTGAAACGAGGTAATGATATTCTTACGCCCTCCGGTCTGGATTACAGTATGGTGTGACATCCATCAAACTTCTCATATGCCGCACAGAACGGATAAGTCTGTCTCACCATGTTCTGTAATGAATGTTGGACATGTCGAAGATGTCACAAATGAGCGACCGACCATTTCGGCGTGCCACATGAACCACCCTTAATTTGTTCTCTTCTTCTTCTTTTTTCGTTGTAAATTCATTTTCCGTCGTAGGGCTTTCTAGGACGGGTTTATACCTCTAGTGAGGTTCTCTATCCGACATTCCTCGGTCTCAAACTCAAAAGAATTCTCCGTGTGGTCTGCGTTATGGAAATCCCACATTCCTTAGGGGAGAAATGAATGCCTAGAACGCCACAGTTGGTCTGCCACGGGGTTTTACATTTTGATCGAGTCTGTGCTTTCAGGTAGTATCAGCCTGCTTGTACAGTGTCATGCCGTCACGGGTGTAACTGACTATAAAGGTTGTTGAAGAAGTATAATCCTTTAAATTAGTCTGCTATTTCATACGTACTTTGTTCCTTTTTTGTTATTGTTATACCTGGAGCTAGCGGGTTAGTCACATTCTTCAATATCCTCAAACACAAGTAAATATCCGACGGTTCTGCTCTTGCCACCCTATCCTCGATAGTATAAAATTAAAGGTCTATACATTCCACGCTGTGACTTGAGAATCCCGGAATCAATACTGTCACTCGTCCGATCTTATTGAGGGGATACAAGGGTCAACATAGGGAAATGATGACATTCTTCATGTGTTTCCATTGAACAATCGGATGGTTCCTACTTGGCTACTACATTGTGGTAGTTTCACACCCCTTCATTTTGCGCCACATCTACATTGCACAGCATGACCTGGTGTCCAATTTCCCTGGGCCAAGATCCATAGCAACTAGAAGCACCTTGCCGTAAGGAATTAGACCCAACGGTCTAGATCGCAGTGCAACACAACTGGAATGATACCAAAAGCAGGAATAGAAACGTCTATATAAAGCCCTCGCAATTCTCCATTCTAACACAAGACATAACCAAAGCCAGATTATTCCAGCATCTCTACAACCAACCAAGATGTATCTCTCAACCATCCTCCCCCTCCTCTCTCTCACCTCGCTCGCCCTCTCAACCCCAACAATCCACGAAAATCACCGGGGCCCAAGAGGCATCCCCTACGGCGCCTTCGCCTCCTCCTCAAGCAGCGGCCTCTTGATCCCAAGCAGCACGCCAACACCCGTGCACAGGAAACTGGGCCATGCGATAGTGCACAACAACTGTGAATTCCCAGTCTATCTCTGGTCCGTAGGCTCCAAAGTCCTACCGGAAGAAACACTCCTCCCCGACGACGAGTACAGCGAGGTCTTCCGCGAGAACCCAGACACTGGCGGCATTGCGATCAAGATCAGCACGGACCGTGACGGGCTGTATGATAGTGCTCCGCAGATGATCTTTGCGTACAACCTTTCTTCTACACGGGAGCGCGGCGAGAGGCAGGATAAAGTGTGGTATGATCTCTCTGATGTCTTTGGGGATCCGTTTGTTGGTTATCCTGTGAGCCTTACGCCTTCTGAGCCGTTGATTTCTTGGAAGGATGGGGTTCCGCCGGCTGGGAGTCAGGTGAGGGATGTTGATGCTTCGACGGATTTGGTCTTGTCGCTTTGTTGAGAGGTTGGGGGTTAGTTGGGTGAGGTGGAGATGGGAGTATGGGAATTATGTTTGGAGATAGTTTTGGTGTTCGGATTTGTGTGGGGGTTTGATACATATGTTAGTGCTCAATTGAATTATTTGGCTTTTTGTGTTTCAGTACTGTGTAATCTCTGCCCTTATTGCGTATCACGGAGGATATATCGGGTGCATGTAGAGTCATGATCGGCGGGTTTCAACCTTAACCTCGGTTGTAGAATATAGATGGATTGGAAGTTGGGTTCTCCAAAATGGAGAAACCTAAGAGAATATATTAGAGAGGTGTGAATAATTTCCCCAAATATGGGGAATAAAAGAGAGGAAAAGAAAGTGCAGAACCCAAAAAACAGACCTCGGCCTGAAGTCCGGGGCACTTCCCCGCATTTTCTCCAATTTGTCCCACATCTCATTCTTTACTTCAACTTGAACTTCTCCCTTCTCTTCTTACTCACATACATACAGCAATGGTTTCTCCAGCAATCAGGGTCGCCCCCTCAGCAGCAAATCGTGCCTTGAACTTGCTACGCACAGTACAATATACCCACCCACCCAACTGTCCATGCCACAAAAACCCCAACCACCACCACAACCACCAGCAGACCCCATCTCTGCTCAACCATGTGAAGCGTCGCATGTCTACACCCGTGGACCGCTCGCGCGAGAAGGAATATGCCTTCGAGATGGCGGCGTCTAGCATTCGCTTCGGACCCGGCGCGACCAAGGAGGTCGGAATGGACTTTACCAACATCGGCGCTAAGCGCGTGTGCATTGTCACCGATTCCAATGTGGCCAAGCTTGATGCTATGAAGCAAGCTGTTGAGGGTCTTACTCGTGAGGGCATTCAGTTTACTATCTTTGACAAAGTGCGCACTGAACCCAAGGATAGTTCGTAAGTCGACGCCAAGCTTCAAGCGCGGCTGATATAGAGGCACTAACATCTTGAATAAAGTATAAAAGAGGCTATCGCTTTCGCTAAGCCCTATAAACCCGATGCCTTCCTTGCCGTCGGTATGTCCCCGTTACCCCGTGGTATACACAAACTAACACCAAAACAGGCGGCGGCTCTGTAATCGACACTGCCAAACTAATGAACCTATACACCGTCTTCCCGGAAGCAGACTTCCTCGACTTCGTCAACGCACCCTTAGGCAAAGGCCTGCCAGTCGACAAACCCCTCCTCCCGCTCGTCGCCGTCCCAACAACAGCAGGCACGGGCTCGGAAACAACAGGCACAGCAATTTTCGACCTAGTCTCCAAGAAAGCCAAAACCGGCATCGCGCACCGAAACCTCAAGCCAACCCTCGGAATCTGCGACCCACTCAACACCCGCACCATGCCCTCAGCCGTGCACGCCGCCTCCGGCCTCGACGTCCTCTGCCACTCGCTCGAATCCTGGACCGCAATCCCATACAACGAGCGCACCCCCGCCCAACAAACCCCATCAACCGACCCGCCTACCAGGGCGCAAATCCCATCTCTGATATCTTCTCCCTCGCCGCCCTGCGCTCAACAGTCAAGTACCTGCCGCGCGCAGTCCGCGATCCGGAAGACCACGAGGCACAGTCGGAGATGCTGCTCGCGGCTACGCTCGCCGGTGTCGGGTTCGGAAATGCGGGCGTTCATCTCTGCCATGGTATGAGTTACCCCATCTCCAGTCAGAACCCTGGATATAAGCATGCGGGGTACGAGGTCGATCACCCCATTATCCCGCACGGTGTTTCAGTGGCTGTCACGGCGCCCGCCGTCTTCCGCTTTACAGCGGCGTCGAACCCTGATCGCCATTTGGCGGCGGCTGAGGCGTTTGGTGTGGATATCTCGAATGTTAAGCGTGAGTCTGCGGGTGAGGTGCTTGGCGCTGCTATTGCCGAGTTCCTTGCTACGCTTGGTGATCAGCCGCGTGGATTGAAGGATCTAGGCTTCAAGGCTGCGGATTTGGACGGGTTGGTTGATGGGACTATTCCTCAGCAGCGGGTGCTTATGCTCGCGCCGAGTTTGAGTAAGGAGTTGGAGGCTGAGAGAGGGGAGTTGAGAAATTTGCTGGAGCAATCTTTGGATTATTAGGGTGGTGATTTTTTTGAAGTGGTTTTTAAAATATGATTGCATCTGATGTTTATACCTATATACGCCGATACGATGCAGAATGGGATATTGAGTTTGTTTCTTTGTTCATGTTGGGGAAAGTTAGAGTAATGTCGTTTGGCAGGGCTTCATCCTAGACCGGCTAGGAGTGGATATCTCTTCGTATCACATTTCATATCAATGCAAGCATCATTGCTCACTATTGCAAGTCCATAATTGAGGTGACGTGTCCATATCTACTGGAGCACTGGGGTCATCACCCGGAAGGACCTTCGCGCCGAGGACACCCATCGACGAGGCTATGCGATCCAACCAGATCACAGCACGGGGGGTCATGTGGATCAGAGGTCTTAGACGGACCCTGTCCAAGCTCTGAATGAATGCGAAAGGGGAGGGCAAAGCTCTTCGGCTTCGCAGAATAAGGGGATACGGAATATTCACTACCACTGCTGGGTGGTGTGGCGACAGTCGACTCCGGCGAGCCATCGTCGATGTATTCGAAGCGTAACCGGTCTTCAAGACGGTCGGAGAGCTGCTGCAGCGTCTCTAGCATATTTTCCGCTCCATTGAGGAGCAGCGACGGACCGGTATCCGGGAAGGTCTCTGGCACGGGCCCAACGAAGGATCCCGGTCTCTGGATGATACCTTGCTGGCGCTCACTATGCGCGCTGATACAGGACCGGAGCTCTGCGGCGAGCGAGCGCAGCCGACGGGAGGTGTCATTTATACGCCCGAGGAGGTTTCTGAATGAATTCGAGTCTGGCTCGGCCGGGGCGGAAAGGAGATCCCGAGTTTCGCTGATGTACCTCGGGCATTTGGCGATTTCCATAAAGGCCAAATCGGATATTTCTCCGTACGCGGACCACTCGCCGGGCTTCTGGCGGTCTTCGGTCCTGACTTTCGTCGCGTAGGATTGCCATTCTTCCTGGTCTAGGAAGCAGGGTTTACCTTCGTAGACTGCTGTGGCGATGAAGAAACCGCGGAATGCAATCCAGCAGTATCTTCCGAAACCAGACTCGTGCGCCTCGGGGCCTCGGCTTATCATCAGCCGCTTCGCGCCATCAGAGTGCACGACCCAGGCGTCCGGTGTGGTCTGCGCGTACATCTCGAAGACACTAAGGATGATGGATGTGCATAGCATGTTGTCAGATGTGGCATGGTCGGCTTTGGGAATGGCCCGGATAACCTCGTGCAGCGACTTGGAATACATTTGCCGACTTGCTTTGAGGAGAGCCTTGTCTTGAGTCAAGTGTGCCAAATAGACGGAGCTCAAGCAGCAAACCGCGGAGTCGAGATAAGCATCATTGCCGAAATTCATGACGATATATTCGGCGAACCCGGGTGCATCGCCGGACCGGAACCGATTATGATAATAGAGGGTCGGAAACGACGTGCTGATGAAGTCGAGGAATAATTGTGGCTGTGCGGCACGGAAGGACTTGCGCACCAGCGATGGCGACAGTTTCTCATCCCAGCCGCCCAAGGAAGAGTGTCGTCGCATGAGGGCAATCGCATTGCCGCGCACTACGTCTGCAGCGGCAGTGGAGTCACAGTGTGCGGGTGTCGGTCGGGCATTTGGGGTTGAAGATGTAGCCGACGCGTGTGGGCCTGCCAATGTACCTCTCCTCCTCCGTCGGGTGTTGGAGCGATGTCGTCGAGCGAGGTTGGGGCCTTCGTCTTGGAAGCGGAAGGTTCGCCGGTAGCCCGGACAGGCGCGACCATATTTCTGGCACTGAGTGCACTCAGGGACTGCCTCATCGCACTAGAGACTATTAGCCCGAGAGGTCGATCTTTATTTGGATGGATATTGACCTTAATCCGTCGCTCGCGACACAGGGCACAGCCTGTACTGTGCGGAACTCCGACCATGGTGTCGTCAAGGTCGAGAAGATGTCATCACGGGGGTAGATGAAAGGCAGATGTGGTTCATGTGCCCATTTTCCGGGTTTCAAGTTTCATGGAGCTGAGCAGAGTCGAGTAGGGCCGAGTAGAGTTTAAGAAAGGCAGAGTCAGCCCTAGGACGTTTCAACGTTTCTCACAGAACATTCTGCCAAGCAAATCAAAATAGGCGGGGAAAGACAAGCCGTTTCAGGTTTTGGCCCGAATCTATACGGAGTACATCCAAGGTTATCTTTCACATCTCAACATTTAATAATCAATTGGGCCTTCAATTCATCGTCATTCAATTCCCATTTTGTAAATCATTTTCTTCTTCCCTTTAAACTTACCCAGAGTTATGGGATCGCAACCTCATCTCGAGTGAAGCAATATAGACCTGGCAGGATCTTCGGGGATCTTCCATCTTCCCAACATTTCGCCCCCATTTACTATTTATAAAATGCGAATACCCCTGCATGAGATCGAATTTAAATCTCCACATGGCTTTTTCACTCATTGTCAATGGCCAACTAGTACTCGTCGGAAAAAGCTTTGGTAGTCTTGCAACAGATACGAAGTTGCTGTGTCGCTCAATGGGTCGTGGATCGAGAATATCAGGTTTTCATTCGTCGAAGATAATGCGATGCAATCTTGCAGGTCTCACATCCTCCTTTCGTCCGAGATTTGAGCATGTGAGGCTTCCCTGTGCCTGGCATGACCGATCCAGGAGTATGCATGTCTCTGGGGTTGATACTGTTTTGTTTGTTGGTCACCAGAGCCATAGGCTTTAGAGAGGGTTTGAGTCTGTTTTAATTGGACAATTGGTGATCTTCCGGGGGGGCACCCTTTCTAAAAATGGTGCGTATTCAATCGAAAAGCGATTGGAATCAAGGGCATGTTTGAAAGGGATGATCTGGCCCTAAAGAAACTATGTTGATGTCTAGTGCAATATGGGGCACGAGGGCGCAAGTATGAAAAGACAGGACATTTAAAGTCCAATGGGGCCTGGCATAATCGGATTAACACTCATCCACCTAGACAGTCCTGGGGGTACCTACCTAGGTACCTTGTAGACGATCGTCTCCAATCATCGTGGTGGTACCCCGCGTTCTGTCCCTGGAGGTGCACATTTCTCGTAGAGAGGATGATTGGACAGATGGAAAGAAATGGGAGGGCGCGCCTGCCGGGGAGTAATACAAATGACTTAACCTGGGAAAATTGGCTCTTTGTCTTCCCCCCTCAATTGCAATTGAATCAGATCAATTTTATCATGCCTCTTCTCAGAGCGTCTCCTCCTAAGGTCCTAGTGCCAGAAAAGCTGTCGCCAGATGGACTGGCTCTTCTACACAGCTCGCTGGATGTTCATGAGCGAAAGGGTCTCAGTGCCGATGAATTACTCCAGATAATCCCCGATTACGATGCCCTTCTCGTTCGCTCCGAGACCAAAGTCACTGCGACTGTCCTTCGAGCTGCAAAGAATCTAAAGGTTGTAGCACGTGCTGGTGTTGGAGTTGACAATGTTGGTATGTTTGGATCTTGTTCCACGCTGTGTTGTGGTATTGACTGGTATGTAGATGTCGAGGAAGCTACAAAGCTTGGAATTGTGGTTGTCAACTCGCCCTCGGGGAATATTGGCGCCGCAGCTGAGCATACAATTGCATTGATGATGTCCATGGCAAGGAAAATCCCCGAGAGCTGTGCTAGTCTCAAAGATGGGAAGTGGGAACGAAGTAAATTCGTCGGCGTCGAAGTCAAGGGAAAGACATTGTCGATTATCGGTCTGGGAAAAGGTACCTATCTCTCAATTGGCTTGTTGCGAAACATGATTTGACCGTGCATTATACTAGTGGGATTGACTGTTGCACGACTGGCCAAGGGTCTGGGCATGAATGTAAATGCCCTCGATCCATATGCATCCCCGGCAGTTGCAGCTTCGGCTTCGGTCGCCCTCGTCCCCTCGCTCCCAGAGTTGCTCGCATCTGCTGACTTCCTAACGATCCATACACCCCTCATTGCCTCAACTCGAGGAATGATTGCGGAAGCTGAACTGGCACAGCTGAAGCCAGGAGCCCGTGTGCTAAACGTAGCCCGGGGAGGCACATTCGATGAGGATGCGCTGCTCGCGGCACTAGAATCAGGCCATCTTTCCGGTGCTGCTATTGATGTGTTTACATCAGAGCCCCCTGCTCCCGGTTCGTCGGCGGCACGATTAATCGCCCACCCACGAGCTGTCGTCACACCGCACCTTGGTGCTTCGACAGTAGAGGCACAAGAGAACGTTTCAGTCGATGTGTGCGAGCAGGTGCTTGAAATCCTGCAAGGATCCCTGCCGCGCAGCGCTGTCAATGCTCCTCTCATTCTGCCCGAGGAGTACAAAAAGCTGCAGCCCTTTGTACGCCTGGTCGAGAAACTGGGTAGCCTGTATACTCAGCACTATGCAGCTTCTGCTGGCGGAGCAATGGGCAGGAACACCTTTGATCTGATCTACCAAGGCGAGTTGGCTAGCATCAACAACACGAAGCCCCTCTTCGCCGCCTTGATCAAGGGTCTTCTTTCTCCTATCAGCAGCATAGACAGACTCAATGTCAATATTGTCAACGCTGAACTAGTGGCTCGCGAACGTGGCATCTTCGTCTCAGAACAGCACTCCCGCGATCCGTCGGACCACTCGTCCTATTCGTCGCTAGTCACTCTTGTCGCACGTCCACCTTCCCGGGCGTCCTCCCGAGCCCCGGCTTCCGACGACAACACCACTGGGCCACTTCCAGACCAACACCAACGAATTATCTCTGGCACCTGCTCTGGTGATCGCCCACTGATCACTCGCCTAGGTCGATTCGAGGCTTCCTTTGAGCCAGAGGGGACCTTATTGATCTGTGAGAACTATGATTCACCGGGAAAAATTGGTGTTGTGGGTAACATCCTTGGTCAAGAGGGTGTCAATATCAATTTCATGGCCGTTGCCCCTGTATCGTCGAAGCTGGCTATCAATAAAAGTCTAAAGGAGTCTCTTCCCACAGATGGAAGCTCTCAAGAACCTACTGCAAAGAGCCAATCACTGAATGAAGCCCTAATGATTCTCGGTGTTGACAGAGGGGTTCCTGCTCATGTTACTGCTGCCTTGGCTAAGGAAACTGGAATCTTGAGTGCGTGCGCTGTCACGCTTTGATTCTATGTTTGTGCGTTACTTCTTGAGGAGTATTGGTAGGCATCCAGGGGGAAGGAGGAATTTCTTTCGGTTATAATTACTCAACGCCTTCGGAGCTCCAGGGCTGTCTTTCAACCACGGCAGGTCCTTGTCTACGTATCTCTACACTTTCATTAATACATCCATAGTTATATCAGATGCAGCGTTAAAGAGACATCGATAATGTTACTTGAGGATCTGCCATAACCACTGAATCCATCCCTCCACAGTACCACCCGTTAGTTGGCTACCTAAAATGCTGTGGTTCGCCATAAACAACTAATACTTGTGGATATTACTGTCATCTTCTCTTCTTAGCGGACGTTGGGTCTCAGGGTCGAAACCCAATCCGCGATTCAGCGAGGCCTAGTGAAACTAAAGCCCTTCGAGTCTGTGCGCCTGTTGATCTATATTAGTCTGGTCTTCGGAATCGAGCGAGGCGTTATTGATTTGATAGCAGATGGGGACGTAAGAACGGACGTTAAAGTTGAGTGCAATTCTTTTATTCTACACTGCGAGCTACTTGTATTTGGAGTACCTACTTCATTACAACTTTCAATCTCAAGGACTCTTTTGCATTTGACATACATACGAGAGAGTGCCTCTTACACGACGTTAGTCAGGGCTAGGCCAATGAATCCATGACGGCCTGTCGAGACTAAGTCTCGAATCTGCCCCAATGTGACGCTCTCAATACGGCGAACTTCCGGTTGTGCCAGTCCAAGCTCTTCCGCTCCTTCCCGTCACTCGCAGTAAATACGTGTCTTATATTCCGGACACATGAGATAGACCATAGAGGACTTGGTCTAGTTGCAGGCATCATGCGGAGGCACAACCCGGTGCAGACATGAATAGAGAGTGCCTCTCGATAGGGCGGTCAACGAGTCTCCTACGTGGGGTTGGGACCTCTAATGTACGTTAGTACTAAAATCACTAAGGTTGTTTTCAAATGGCGGTTGTTTAACGGTTTAGTATAGTATTCGAACCGCAAAGAAAAACCTTGGAAGCTCCCAGTCAACCGGTTTCTAGAACCCCGTGCCTCCCGTAATATAGATATCACAGTCGATACTTCCCGATTAGGAAGGCGTTTCAAGATAACATATAGAAAGACATGTAAAAAACACCTACACAGGGAATCCCTAAAGTTTTGTTATATAACGCCCCTTGTATTATCTTGAAATAAATCGTCATCTTTCAGAGGTCCTAAGGTATAAATACCTCCTTCCTTCTTTCTCGATTCTTCCTTCCTACATTACCTTAATCTCGAGGTGTGACGTATATGTACCCGCCCTCACCTCCGGACCCGACTTCTTCTCTCTCTCAGTTCTTTCTTGCTCCATATAATATTGCATTTCACAAGACCGACTCTGTTGAGTGGTGCAAAATGGATTATTTCATCTCCTCCTTACCCTATCTTGACTTTCCTCTTACTTCCAACTACGTTCCTCTGGTTCCTCTGGAGTAAGTCCTCAACAGTGATTTATGTCTAAACTATTGGCTGATTCAAATCTCGCAGTAAATTCCAGAGAGGTGCTCGCGCCTAGGACCAAAAAAGGCCAACTCTTTTGAGGGGCAAGCTTTCAACCAAGCAAACGCAGCCGGATAAGCTGCGAGCTCCAGCCAATTCCCGGTGACCTACGGGTCAAGGAACTCGTCTTCCTATACAAAGACGACACAAATTCAAGTTGATTCAAGCTTGAATTTTCCCCTCCTCTTTTTCCCATACGTAGGAAAGGAATGGCAGACAACCAAGCTGCCGATGATGCGGGGGGCGATCGCCTCCCATTGAGACCTGGGGAAATCGGCCCAAACAATGCCCGTAACAGGGCACAGAAGAAACGGCGCCGTGAGGCGCAAGCTGTAAGAGAAGAGGCGGTAAGCTATACCTGAGCAAGATAGAATATGGCACTAACAAAAAAAAGGAAAGGCGGCCATTGACGCCCGGCGGTATGAACTGGAAAACCAGTTCACCCATGACATGGTGTGCGTCCGAGTTGACGCAACACTTGCTATAAGATACTATCCCCTACTATACCTTGATTATATTAGTTGACATGGATGATACCTAGCTATGAAGAGTTCGGTCCTGAGGCGGCTAGGGGCGGGGGTGCCCGTGCCCACTGCGGTAATGTCCGTGGTGGCTCGTTCCGTGCCCGTGGCCGTGGCTCCTGTGAAGAGAAGGCGTGGTGGTGCTCGTGGTGGCCGTGGCCGTGGGGCCGGCCGCGGTGCTTTCTATGGGGCCGAAGCCAACCCTGACCAACCCGAGGCCCCTGTCGCTGGAGACCCCCGCCCTGATGCCAATAATGACGAGGGCATGCTTGCCGACGCCCCGGACGTGCCCGAGAACCCTTAGGCCATGCTTGCCGACGCTCTGGGCCGAACGATGGCCCGGCAGATAACAATGCTCCCGCCCCCGCACCCGCGGCCCTGTGCCGCTCTATGAGGACGGCCGGGCATGAAGTGAGTATGTCTAGTCCACTTCTCTTTCATCACGCATTCAATCAAGGCACTAATACCGATGCATCAGACAGACAGGCGCAAGCTGAAAGAGAAGAGGCCGTAAGCTACACCATATACCTGAGAAAGATAGAATCTAGCACTAATAAAAAAAAAAGGAGGCCATGGACGCCCGGCATCGTGAGCTGAAGAACCACGTTGCTGCGGTACAGAGCATAGCCGCCTTCGTTGGCGGCTTCCGATTTCTTGCGGAAATGCTTGCAGAGATGGCAAAAATAAACGACAAGATCAAGAAATTCGAAGCTCATTGCCAGAGCTATCTAGATCTTTGGCAAAGGGCAGCTCACGTTGTCAGTGCAGGCGGTGCTGCTACGCCCGTCGTCGGCGTTACTAGTCGTGGTGCGCCTATCGTCGGTGCCGCTGATCGCGTGGTGCCCAACAATGCCCCGGCAGCACCCCGATGCCGACAATGACCCGGCTGCGCCACACGACGGCGCGGCCCCGAATAATCCGGCGCCCGCACCCGCGGCCCTGTGCCGCAATATGAGCAGGACCATCGTGTCTGAGGTTAGTATATCTAGTCCACTTCCCTTTCATCACGCATTCGATCAAGGCGCTAATAATAATGTACCAGATAGAACAAAGATGATTGACGAGCTTGCTGTTATTGTTCTTTTTCTTCTTTTTTTTGTCCTTCTACTGTTCTTATCATTACTTTTGTACCATTTTCTTCTTGTGTATTATTTTTATCATTATTCTCGACCATATTATTGTTACATATTGTCATTCAATGTTGTCATTGCCATTGCCATTGTCTTGGATTGACGAACCCTACTAGTACTAAGTGACGTCCGTACACCTTCAAGCAATAACAAATGTGAAAAGGGTCCATGTCCAGAATCAAGCATGAGACTTTTGAGCAACTGCTCGCAAACGTGTCAAGATTATCCGTATTCTCCGCCTAAAATTCTTAAATGAATTCTCAATACTAATCGAATAAAGCAATAGACGCCAGACTTAAGAGAATTCTGAATTCTGGTCACGAAAGTGTTGTGGGTGAACCCCATAGCTGCCGAGTTCTTTTCTCTTTACCCTTATATTTAAACAAATCATGTCGATTAGAAAAGAAAGAATAGTGCTCTTATTTGTAGTCGCAGATCCTTTGAGAATTCATGCGATACCAATATGATAAAGCCCAAGTCTTCAATGTTGATACTTTGTCAGTAAACAATGGGATAAAGATCTATCATATCATAGAGGCATTGATATTATAGGAATAGTACCTGGAAATAAGCTGTAAAGCTGTCTATTCCTTTAGTCCTATAGTTGTAAACAAGATATACAAGTGCTATCCCTAGTCATGTCTTAATGAGCGAGACGATGTAGACCCGAGTGAGAGGCCCCAATTGTCATTTTTCAATGTTGTCCTTGGTGGCGATAACTAGCACAATTCTAATTCTGAAATTGCCGTTCGAATCCACAAACCACTTTGATATGTGGGTGCGGAGTTGGCTCAAGCTTTCAGATACTCCTGTCTCAAGGACAGGAGTTGGCCATCCTATCGAACTGAGTGGCGTTGCGTAAAAGGGAGGACGGGGACAATAGCGCCGGGCTGTTTGCCTTTAGAAACGGATATTGTAGTCTCTTATTTCAATTTCAAATGTCTCTCACTCGATATTCGCCACGTCTCTGGATATTTCTAGCCCTATACACGGAGATCAATGCCAATATTGTGAGGAATTAGGATTAATAGGCAGCGAAAATACCCTCTGATATAGAATTCACAATAGAGATTAGGAGTTATATGATATCTCGTAGAATATTGAAAATTCTAAGGTTGTCTTCATTGAATGCCATTTACCTAAGCCTATATCAAGTCCACGGGTCAAAGGTACATTATGTAGAAAGGTCTATTTTACCTAAGGACACTACCCAAGAAGAAAGACATATAGAAAGACTATCAGATAAAATTACCTGAGAAGACCGCAAAGAAGACTACGGCCGCGTAAGTGGCCGTCTACTTAGGAAATCTCGTTAAAAGTCACAGGGAAAGAGCAAAAAGTCACTTGACCTCAGGTGTAGTCGATCCGTGCTACCTCACGACCTCACCCTCTTCTTCTTACACCACCACACCTGCATCCAAAGTGTTCATATCAACGAAATTCATCAATTCCTTATCTGGTTTCTTTAATCACGATCAAAGTAAGTGATTTCTATCCATCTCTGTTGGCTGACAATGGATACAGGCGCTGGTCGCGGCAAGGTAGTTCCATCCAATCCCCAACCCAACTCACATCCCCCCTCCTGCCCCCGCTCCTCATCATCAAAGACACTGGTCACAAGAAGAACACCAGTCTTTAAGTGACCAGTGTGATAAGAAAAACCCAGTCGGTGAAGTCTTAGCCAAAGTGGCAGACCAGAACGCAAGGTCGAACAAAAGGGTGAAGGTCTTGCCTATTAACTAAAACTCTAGAACCGACAGACTTCCTATCTTTCGGTCAAGTTGATAACATCGACCGACCGGCCACATCACCTCAGAGGTGACGGTCAGAAACAAAGGTTAAAGCCCCTCAAAAGGCAAACCAGAAGAAACAATCCAAGGTCAAAGCCCGTAAAAAGGCAGACTACAAAGAACGATTTGATGTCAAAGCCCCTCAAAAGGCAGGCATGAAGAAACAAAGGTTAAAGCCCCTCAGAAGGCAAACCAAAAAGCAGTCTGATGTCAAAGCCCCTCAAAAGGCAGACAAGAAACAATCCGTCCTCGACGGTTTCTTTCAAAAGAGTCAGGGCCACATGCCAAAGACTCCAACTCCTACCACGGGCGGCCAAAGTGCGGAGACCCCGTTCATCAAGAGCGGTAAGGGCCCCGAATAAAGCTCCAATGCTGTTGGGAATCGGACTGGGATCCGATGTTAATGAAAAGGACGATTACTCCTATGGAGGACTGCTCTGTTGGCGATTCCACCAGTCGAACCAACATAAAGACCTCCACAGCGGAAACGCCGGTTCATACCGGCCAACTTTAAGAAAATCTCTCGGACCGTCTTGTTCAAGGAATGGGCTAGTGAGACTAACTTTATGGATTTGCAAAACAAGCCTGCAACTCTCAAATTCTGGTCATTGTTTGTCATACCATGAGTGGCAGTGCTCAGCAATAGGGGGCTATTTCCATCAAGACGGACTGCACCAAGGACTGGTGTTTCGGGCCACACTTCATGCTGGCATACTGTCATGAACGAGAGTTTTTTAAGGGAGACATCCTCGACGAAGTGTATGGTCTAGAACGCGACAAGCCAGACTACATCGATGCGCTGGTTAAAGATTTCTCACCTAACCATGCTCTTGGGCGACAAGGACGAGAACGGCAACAGGTCTCTGGGCCCCAGCAATCTGGATGTTCCTCTTTGGAATCCTTCGAATGCCGGCGTTCGACCGAATTGTCAAGCAAATCACCTTACGAGACATTCCATGCCAGGCTTGGATATCGTTCACATAACGAAGGCCAAATTGTTGGCTTGAACTTGGCCTGTCCGTTGCCCAATGCTTTGTCAACAAGGGTCAGGTCTCAGTGTGGTAACCCACAATGCGACCTAGAAATGAGCGAAAAGACGAACATCCCTTGGCAGATGGGCAGTTTGTTTCCCAAGCTCATCGGATCCTCTGTACTGGCAAAGGCTGCAACAAAGTCGAAGACCCTGACCCTACCAAAAACGCCAAGTTTGTGATGAATCAGTCTAAGCCTGCTCCTTTGTGAGTCCAAATCCAAAGATCAGGGGGTCATTTGTCGAACCCTCGCTATGGTGCCCGTCCAGGCAGCAAGACTCTTGCGGACAAAACGGTTAGCGCTTTACATGTGGGGTTTTTATGAGAGACAAGACCAACAAGTCCGACGAGGAAACCTTTGGTGGTGCCTGAACCATGCACACAATCAAGATCGATATCTTTGTGGTGGCGCCGTGCACTACTGCAGCGCATGCAAAACCAAGTTCAAGCAACTATCCCGCACTCCCAACCACGAAAAGCCCCATCATGGCCCTCGTCCCAGAATGGGTAATCCGCATGGTTTTCTCCTATGTCACTAATGGAGAACCAAGGACGAGACAGTGATTTCTCTCCTTGAACCCGTTTTCTTTCACCTTCGGCCCGAAAGCGATATGTTGCAGGAGTGATGAGCACTCCATGATCCAGTTCTGGCTGGAAAGAAGCAAGGACTATCTGCTAAGGCCCAAGAGAAGAAAGAATGAACACTCGGGTAGCTGCATTACAAAGGTCGAGGCTCTTAACCCGAGCCCACCAGCCCAGCACTCCCTCGGTAGTGGTTGGCAGAGTCCGAGGGCGATGTTAGGACCGTCCTCACGATCTCCGTGCACCAAAGAAGGAGATCGTCATTGAACAAAAGGCCATGGCCCACAAGAGAGCCGGCCCCAACAGCAACGAGCTTGGACCTCTACGCGGTGCTGTTGACTAGTAACCTTTCGGTGAAGCCAACACAAGCTCATATCCCTTTCCCTCCATCTGTCTCTTGTGAGAATGCGATAACATGTATATACCAGATTCAATACACAAAGACCGGGCATTACAAAGACATCCACCATGCTAAGGCAAGTTATGTATCCCTGGAATTTATATTAGGCCTAATCTCTCCACATTTGGCCCGAACCTGGCAGTCTGACTATAGTGTGGCCCTAGATCTCGATTCATTTGACGACAAACGATCCACTGAACGTGCGATCCAACAGCGCCCTGTAGGAGGCCAACCATCCCAATTTTTAGAAATTCTTAACCTTGGCTCTTTTTTCTTCTTCGGAGAGAGACAAGCCATACTTAGGCACGGCATATTTTCTTTTGGCTCCGGTGCAAATGGCCTAGTTTGATGAGGGGGCTGTATAGCCATGACTGGCTTGGATATGTAGGCCACCATAGAGTAAGAGGCAAGTTCCGTTGACCGCCAGAGGGCGAGGATTTCTTCAAAACAAAAGGATAAATTGGTACAGCTATACTGTTTATTAAAATCTCTTATTTGGAAAGAAAATCGAATACAGCCTAGCAAGTTCCACGAGTCATTCATCATTGTCCATATAGTCCAGTCTTTCCATGGACTGGAGGGGCAATACCCACCCATCTTTGAGATATCAGCAAAACATATTGAACTACGTGTATTAGCAGCTGGTCCAATAGGCAATACATGTGGTATATTTCTACAATATTGTAGCATGAAATAGTGTGTTTCAACTATTGATGATTACTTGACCATGTTCTATAGATCCAAGGTTGCCTGAGGCGACGATGAAGTAATCGAAGGTTGGCACTAAACCCAAAAGGGCATCCGTGCAACGTCGACCCTGCCATCTAATCGCAAGTCCTCGAGCCCATTGTTCTTCCATAAATCCTTGGTTTGGGCGTGGTGCTTGTTTTCTGTTCTCTTCTTTTGGGGTTGTGCCAGTTTACCTGCTCCGCTTGAGCCACGCTCGTTTCTCAACAGAGGAGCCGATTGACAGCGTCCAGCCCACCCTCTATCAACAATCCGGGGTGCAATAGCTCCTCGCAGGCAAGCCGACTTCAACTTGTGCCCATCTGCTTCCAATGTCCTGACCCCGTCATATAGGTCTTGACAACTGCGCTACCAACAGTCAACGGGTCTCTCTTGCATCTGGGGGGGATCAGCCTATCTTGGTCGTCGAGCAGCCCATACGTGGAGGCTAGAGCTATAGGTCTATGGCGGAGAACAAGCGCCAGGTTTCAGTAAAGGGCTCTGCGCAGAAACAATCTGGTAACGCAGTAGGCCCCGGAATGGCGACACCCATAGTGCCCTTGGAGGCAGCACTGAGCGGGGCGATCGGTGCCCGGTGAGTCTTATCTGCCAACGATGGTGTACACAAAATCGCAGCGCTGACCTATTCCGTTCTCGCGTTTTAGCGTGCGTATTACGACCGCGCAGCCAATCCAATCGACTTTCGAAGGTACACTGTTCACAGCATGCCCGATCACCAACCTCGTGGCCATCAACACGGCCCCCGCGACCAACCCCGGTGATGCCAAACAGGCACAGAACGGCGACTACCGCGTGATCCCCATCTCGCGCATCCAGAACTTCCAGCTCCTCGCCCTCGCCCCGCCCTCGAACTCCACCTCGTCTTCGTTCGCGGACGCACAGCCCACAATCCAGGCACTCGACACCCGTGCGCTCAAGGCCCGCGAGTCGAAGGCCGTCGGTGAAGCGCTTGACCGTGAGGCGCGTCGTGGCAAGGGCGTCACGACTCAGGCACAGGACTTATTCGATGCTTTCAGCCGCACTATGCCCGCGCGATGGAACGGCCACAACATTATCGTCGCCGATGCTGTGACAATCGCCGCTCCTTACCGCGTTGATGATTGTCGTTCGATCGTGGAGGGTGATACCGCTGCTCTTGCTCGAGTGCGCAAGGTGGTAAGTTATTATCTCGTCATCAATCGCAGAACCAATGGCTAACGTTGTGCAATATAGCTCGAGATGGAGCGCAAGAAGATCGAGCTTCGCAATGCCAGTGCTACTATCGGCTCGACTAGCACCTTCTCCCGCCATCACAATGTCCCTAACGATCAGCGTAAGGGTGGATAATGTGCCCAATCACGCAAGTGCCAGAAACGCAGTCCGATGGAATTGTGGATAGGTCTGATGTCGATTCGAGCGTCTTGGTGGCGCTTGGTCGACGAAGTTGATGGAAATACCCCAGCGAAAATAATGACATTGCAATGGGATAGAGATGATTCGAAAGCGGATCCGACGGGACACTGCGCATTCTGATGGCCTGCCTTATTAAGAAACTATATGCCCTGAACTAGCTTTCTACGGGCTACGCTTGCCATCGAGTTGGACCGTTTGCGTTGCTGCCAGCCGATTTGCCTTGTATCTTGCTTTTGAGCGGGTCGGTGCGCTCAGGCTGAGAATACGAGACAATCCATAGTAACCTAGTCAATTGCTACGATAACACTTTCTTAGGACAATGATATTGCACACTTCAGCCATTGAAACTTCTGTAAATGTGTCATATTTGACAACTGATAGTGACCACTCGCTCCAGATATTGACAAACACGAGATTCAAATGAAAACGAACCCGCTATGAACACTGAAAGCAGACATCTACATGGCTGGTACTGGGTCAAACGGCTCAAAAAGACGCCCACAAATAATAATAAAAAAAGTATGTCATCAATTGCCGTGAGATATTTGCAATGCCTTAATCTAGCTCTCCGCAACTGGGACTCTCCCAGGGACCACCTCACAGATAGTCCCCACAAACCCTTCCAACCCTGATATGGGCATCGTCCCAGAGGCAGAGCTAGATCCAGCAGATGCCACCGTGGCCCCAGATTGAGACGGAGCAGACGCTATGGAGACACTAGGCATAACTAAAACCTGAGACCCAAGTTCCACCCATTCAACAGACGACACTAACGCAAAGGTAATATGGACGTCCTCTTTCAGGGCCTCCGCAGAAGAAGCAGCTCCAACAACGGAAGGAGAGGAAACGCCAGACATTACTTTGCTGATATCGCGAACTGCATCACCCGCGCCGTCAGCGGTATTGCTTGTCGTAGGATTGCCGTTTGATTTCTCATTAGGAGAATGGGGATCGCCGTCAAAGCTGAAAAATTCAGGCTCTGACGGAGAAGGCGGGTCGGAAGGTAATTCCTCCCCAGTCCCAGTCAACGCCATACAAATGACACGGACGGTAGCTCGAATGTTGGCGATGTAGGCAATAGCATTCCCGCCAAGCAAGAGTGGAGGTGAATTTGGAGCCGAAAATTCAGTAGATCGGAAGGTGGCGGTAAAGCCTGTGTGGAAGGGTAGCGCTAATAACGAGGAGCCAGACGGGGTATCATTTGGGGGCGATAGTGGGGCGTGGAAGCTTGAGAGAATCATGCCCTTGCGGATCCGGCCGAAACGCGGTAGACGGCCGTCTTCTGAAATGCCGATGGGTTCGATTCCGATGGTTCCGACTTGGTCTCTAATTAGGCGGCGGACGGGGAGTCGGAGGTCTCTTACGCTGACAACGCGGATACGTTGCCATCTTGCTTGTGAATCTTTGCCGGACAATGAGGTCTGCGGGAAGGATGCCGGGAAATCTCCCGAGGGGCCGGGCCCACTGCGGGACAGTGACCCTCCTTGGGGCTCATTGCCTGGGTCATTTGGGACATCCACTAAGATGGGCCCAATGACCATTTCGTCGCCTATGGAGATATTCCCGCGACGGACTAGCCCGCAGAGAACCATGCCGCGGTTTTCTTGCCCGCCCTTCTCTGAGTCTAGTGAATAGACTTTGGAGGGAGGGATTGCAAATACTTCATCCACATCGAAGATGTTGGCGGAGCTGTGAGAGGGTGTTGGCAGCCCTTTAGGGATGTGCAGAGTTCTTTGAGGGGGTATTGTGGGAATAGGTAGAGATCGAAGGAAGGCATGGAGCTTTCCAATGCCAGAACCATCCACAGCACTGGTAAGCATGATAGGTACGGTGTGTCCCCATTTCCCATCAGCAGCCGCGCACACTTTCTGTACTTGGGTACTGTCCAATGTGCTGACTTGCTGAAGGTCAAGTGGTTTGTCGCCTGCAGGCGATGCAGGCACCATTACAGGTTGTCGTCCAGCTGTTTTCAGCGCAGACAGAACTTTTCCAAGATTGTCCCGTAGTCCGCTGCGGGAAGCAACGTCCAATTTGGTAATGACAACCAACACAGGAACCTCTAACTTCAGGCAAAGTTCTAGATACGACAAACACGTATCAATCTCTGATTGTTCAGTCCCTGCCTGTTCGCTGCCGGGTGTCTCAGCACCACAATTGGCTGGAATGCAGAGCATCGCATAATGTGGAGCCCAGCTGACAAGTCCACGCAGGGTAGATTTCAAATATCGAATAGAGCCGGGTAGATCGGACACAAAAGCCAAACGACCTCCCTTCGAGGCTGCATGAATATCATCCCAACCGGCAACATTGCCGGAAGCGTAGTTGATCACGGTAGGTGGCGCCTCATCCGTGTACCCAATCAGCTCCTGGGCAACCGAACTGGTGATGCCCGATGAGATTTCGTGCCGATGTTTGAGCAGACTCAACCTGCTTTTGCCTCTTCCATTGTCAAGTGCAGATGAGGTCAATGTACCCAGCAAAGAAGTCTTTCCTGCGGTGCTTGGACCTGCGAAGAGAAATGCGAATCTGCTCTGTGTGGGAGTAGTCCTCGTCCAAGACCAACTTATTGCCAGATTTCGGGTGTGCAGCGGTTCTTACGTCGTTATTGGACTTGGTCGGAGAGATATTGTAGAAGTCCAGATCGGGACTAACCAGAGCCTCGGCGACCCAGAGACTTTCGGTGTTGGTTTTGGTTTGGAACCCCGTTGTAGATGGCACCCCCGTTGTTGGTGGTACCCCCAGTGTTGGTGGCTCCCCAGTTGCAGTTGGCTCCCCAGTTGCAGTTGGAGTCCCCGTTGCAGGTGGAGTCCCCGTTGCAGATGGCACCCCCGTTGAAGGTGGAGACACCGTTGCAGATGGCTCCTCGGTTGCAGACGGCTGGGCAGATGGCAAAACTTCGGCCCATTCACACTTCCCAACCACAACTCGGCGGAGCATCTCGACCTTACACCCAATACTAGCAGCCATAGCCTGTAGATTGACCATACTCTCATCCAACTCATCTTGCGTAAGGCCTACAAAAGTACCATCGTCGCCAACCCCAATCTCATACAAGGCACCTTGGCTCTCTTCCAGACCGGGGAGCAAGCGGGCTGGTTTAGAGGGCACACCCGTTTCCAGGGCTGCCTCAGGAATAACAGGCACCACAAGGTTAGAGGTAGTGGATGAGTGAAAAGGTGAAGATTGCTGCAAACGCCACAATAGCTGGGTAGTCAGGCCTTGTAGTCGTTGATGGCGGCTCTGGCTAGACTTGGCTTGCATGGGTCTTGGGGTTGGTTCCAAGCTCGGAGAGGCAGGGGTAGGCGTGTTTGGCATGACGCGGTAATTGTGATGGTACGAACCCCCTATTACATGTCCAGTTGACATTGAGAGATAGGGGCGTCTGGGTCGAAGCAGAAGATGTAATTTGTACTCAGTGGGACCCTCTTGGGGTTCGGGCTCCAATTTTGATATTCCATAGTTGGATAATGAGTCTGGGTCGACGCGTAGTGGGGTGGTGCTGGAACGCGTGCGGATAGCTAAACCCCGGCTACCAGATACATTGATCTGGGGAGTCGATGATCCCGACGTTGACCACGGGGATGACACCCGAGGTGGGTCAGGGTCATAGGTGAAGATGGATGCCATCACAGTTACAATTCAGACTGGTAACAAAGGTATTGGTAATAGGCACATATATGGAGATAGATAGAGTAGTTCTAGAAAGATTCGAGAAGAATAAGGCATTCTGTGGATTTGAAGTCATCTGTGATGCAAGTGCAGTTTAACTGACTCACAAATGGCACGGGCGGAAGCATCACGTGGTCGATATTTGTCCCGCTATTTATCCGCCAAGAAATCGTATGAGAAGTTCTATAGACAGCCTTTTCCCTTTCCCCTTTTCCTCTCAGATAATGTTTCGGCTCCAAATATAAATGCATGATAACAAAATATAATCCTCCTAGAGCCGGGCGCCTTCGCTTTAACGCCGAAATCGAAATAGTACGTATGTCCTCTACTCAGCGGATGATTCCCTCCCTGAGCTTTTACACTTGCCCTGCGCAACGTGGATATTGCGTGCTGTCGTACGTGTAAATACCGCACCGCATATCGGGCATTCAGCCTTAGCCACCACTCCTGACTTTTCTCGCTGGTGGCGGAGAAGATTGCTGAATGTTGAGAACTCACGACCATTGCAACCATGGTCCCAGCACTGTGGTCGGGGGCGCAAATTGAGTACGCGGACAGGGTCAGAATCGGTAGCGGCGGCTGATTCGGGTGAAGAGTATATCGGCTCCGGAGCAGTCATCGATGGTGGCTGAGAGCTGATGGAGGTAGGGTGCGATCTAGTATTTTGGTTTCCGGTCAGTAAACTACATTCCTCGGGTTCGTCGACTCAACTCACGGAATGGGTTGTGTGTCAGGGAAGTAATAGGCAGGTTGGTTTATCATATAAGGAGGAGGGCTATCCCTGGATGTTAGCAACCAGGTCATTGGATCTTTTACACTTCCAACGGTTCATTCGACATACGACGTCATGAGAGGCTGCTCGGGCTGAGAAGTGCCTGGAACAGATTGAGGGTAGAAAGGACGGGCAACGGGTGAACTGAATTGCAAATGTCAGTCTTGTCCGAGGCCAGGTCATCAATCGGCTTACCTTCGAGGCTGACTATGACGGGAAGGATTGCCAGGTGCGAGATAAGACGCCGGTAATTGATGTTCTTGCTGCTGGTATCCATGCAGCGGCACGTTTGAGTGACTTGGATAAACCATCGCATAGCTTGATGGAGGGTATGAAGGATGTGAAGATGGGAATGGCGGGTTCATTTGTCCCGGTTGCAAGGGTTGGTAAGGTCGGTTTGTCCACGCATATTCTGAATGTGTCAGTGAACATCTCCCAAACCACGTCTGGATGAGTTACTTACGCTGAGTATTATGCTGCATTGGGCCAGCAAAATATGTATCTGATACTACTGACATGGGGTATGATGAGATGCCAAGGCCGCTGTTGAGGGGATGCCCTAGTCAGCACAGAACCTGGCCCTGGGGTCATTGCTCATGGCGATTTAGCTTGACGTACCGTTGGTCTTCTGACTCAATTTCTTCTTTAATAGGAGTTGTGTCCTCGATAGAAGACTGTGCCGTTGACTCTGTGGGGTAGTTCGATCCTGGCAGGGTGTGAGGCTGGCTCGTGCCGGGATTCAGCGTTGAATGATTAGAGGGGAGTGGCGGTGCAAATCCTGTTGATTGCGGACCACCTTGCACAGTAGAAATAGGACTCTGAATGTGCTGAACGGGCCAGTGAGATTCTGCTCCAGGAAGGACGCTCTGTGAAAAGTCGGGAGTCTCCGCTGACTGGACTAGTGGAGAAGAAAGCCCAACGTTCGATTGCGCGTCTGAGGCTTTGAGTAGATTGGATGGATTCCTGGAAGAAAATGGTTCCTGTGAGCCAGATCCTCCGGGAAACATTAGGAACTATATAGGTCCCAGACCTGTGAGATTGCAAGCACTGTGGTAGGGGATGGGATGGGGCCAAGATCAAAGTATAAGGGGAAAGGCACTCTAAAGAGGAAGTCAACATACAGTTTGGAGTCCCGATCCGAGTATTTCCTTGATATGGTAAGTTAAAAGCTTTTTTTGCGATTTCAACGGCAGGGAACGGGCGCAATGAAGTATTTAAAAGCTCATATGGGCATTTACTAGCCCCCGCAATCGTTTTAATGATCTAAAAGGTGTTGGGTAGCGTGGCCCACAGTTCAGAAACCAACACCAACTTTCTAGATTTCTTGTGCGCCACTGTGCATCGATGCCGGGTCTACTAAATTGTACTTGAGTCCACTTGTACACCGTCTCAATTGCATATATGATAGAATATCATTGGCTGGCTGCTCCGTCAGAATTCCAATAAGAAAATGAAAATAAAAAAATAAAAAAATAAAAAAAAGATATCCCAGGATCTCCAAATGAGGTGGGCCGATGGGAACTATCACGAGCAGAGTCGGAATTTTGACCCCCACAAGTAACGGGTAAAGCAGAGGATATGCGGGAAAATGGCTCGGGACTGATTACAACTGGGGCCATACGGAGTAGTTTGTACAGTAATGATCCTCCTTAACAGGGGAGATGACCTGGGCATTGAATTCTAGCCCCCATTACAGTCCGGAGTAAATGGGGGCGGATTGGGGGCCAGGACGGCTCTCAATAGTCTAGCGTGTAGCGAGATACTCCGAAATTCCACCTTCTGTATTCGAAAAGAAAAGGGAAATAGGAAATTGGAAATCGGAAATACGAAAAACTGTTCAATAACATGAAGTTGAGAGTTTGAGAGTTCCACCATCCCGGCCCGATGCTTGTCCCCCTATCAGTCTTGGCCCCCACAAACGCGCCGTTGGAAAGAAAAAAAAGAAAAAGGAAAAGGGTTCATATTAAGAACCATACCTATCTAGGAGATCATATCCACAGTTCTAATATAGACTAGTATGCACTAATTTGTTCTTCTTGGGAAAAAAAAAAAGTAGTCGAAAGGTAATGCCCCCATCTAGGTAAATGATAACATTGAAACACCCTAATGCTAAGATTTCAGCCCCAAGTAATCCCGTTCTAGTAAGGATCGTATGTACATGCACAGAGTAGTGCCGGCTCTCGGTTCGTTATTAGCTCCGAAATACTTTTTAAGGTTCGCTGTATTGCTGTCCTCCATACGATGTACTGGTATTATAGGTCTTAGATCGAATATCCGGAATATTGGGGATTAGTGTAGGCAGCTGCGTATCAGAATGGAAAAGCCGTAAGTAATGGTGGGTCTTGTCACAAAGAAACACGGCTAAGACAAATTGTAATTTGTCAGGATCATGATATTCTCTGGTGTTCGACTCTGATTTAGCGCCCTAGCAATTTGTCACTTCCCGAAGGCACTTGGGACTGGGGTTGTCAAAATTCAATCGCCCCTAAGGTCAGGCACGGTCATGATCGGCTCTCTCCACAGGGGGATCCGCACTTGTATCACTTTGCTTCAAGACATGTGTGGTTTCTGCTAATGCACGGTTGATCATTTTGTGCCGCGTGGCCGATGGGGTTAGGAGGACTCCATAGGAAATAAGGTCATGTCCTGACCCTGTTTTATTTTGGAAGTGAAACCTATGACGATCTTTAGGTTCTTGGGGTTAGGACTAGCATTGGTACGGAGTATACGGAGTACTCCAGAATGATTGACTTGACTCAGGGCAGCATACCAAGAGCCTTTCAATGCAGCCCTATTTTTCATTGATTTGGTTTCTTTTGCTGCATGCTTCGCACCTTGGGGCCTAGTTACATTTGCATGGCCTCGTCTAATTTTACAAGGTTGTACTATTCAGTACACCTTGCTCACATTCTTATATGTACATAGGTCATGATGTCGCATTGAACCTACGCTATTGGATGAAACAATGAAACATGACCGTTAGGACTACAGAGATGCTCCGCTGTAAAGCACTCTACCTGAATAACCAAGGCACATCACATGAGCAAGGAAAAATATGAACATGGCATTCCCGATGATCCTACGTTGGCACACCGCTCACCTACCTGCATATCAACCATAAATGCATAAAAGCCGTTGAAACCCACGAAACTTGTCAGGGTGTCAGACACTTTGAAACTCGCTATTTTCAGTAAAACTGCCTGCGAGGAAGGATCAAAACCCCAATTTTGTTTGAATAGCCACGAAAATCAACATTTTCCCAATGCTTGGACTGGTGGAAAATGGGTTTAGGTTGAGCATGTCTCAGACGATCAGAACTACCACGTCGAAGATGAGACAATGGTGGTGAATCAAACGTAGATCATGATTTTCGTCATTTTCAAGAGCCACGTGGAACACAAAGTTTGATTATCGTATGGAATACGGAGTAGAGGAGGTCGAATCCGCAACATCAAGACGTGAAACTACAATCACGTGACCAGTCTCACCTGATCAGATCTTCTCTGACTCTGTGATCCAACAGCATCATCAAAAACCAACGCGTTTTTGGTCCCCACAATCCCTAGCTATCTGCTGGTGTCTTGACATTTTTATTAAATTGAGACTATCCTCAGCTTGCAACTTACTGATCCACTATGAAACTCGTCCGGTATGTGATATTTCTTGTGCGCGGCAATCACCAGCTCCGCTGAACGCACCAAGCACCATCAAACCCACTCCTGCTGACATACGATGATCCTTCTAGCTTTTTGATGAAATGTGCCAATGAGACGGTAACCGTTGAGCTGAAGAATGGTGCGAACCCCCGCGCAATCCCCGCAATCCCCAACCCAAATTCCCCTCGAATATCTCGATCCTTGAAATACGCGAAAGAACTATGTTCTCTAACTCAAGTCCCTCTTCTAGGCACAATCCTTCACGGCACTATTGTGTCTGTCTCCCCTCAGATGAACACTTCTCTCCGGGCCGTCAAGATGACCCCCAAGGGCCGCGACCCCGTTTCTCTCGACACCATCAACATCCGCGGTTCCACGATTCGCTATTACATTCTCCCCGACAGTCTTCCTCTTGATACCCTCCTCGTTGACGACGCACCCAAGCCGAAGAACAAGGCGCGCAAGGAGACAGACCGTGGTCGAGGTGGTGGCCGTGGCGGACCACGAGGCCGTGGAGGGCGCGGAGGCCCCCGCGGTCGTGGTCGTGGACGTGGATTCTAGATTTTCTGTTTTCTTCTGAGAGAACAACTCGGCGTTTGTTTCTGTCTTTCGAAATTCGGTTTGATTTTGCATCATATGGGATACAATTTGTTCCTTTTTCCCACTACCCAGGCCAGGGGTCCCGATTTGGATGGTGGGTGACATACTGAAAAAATTAAGCACTTTTACCGGGGAAATTTTCCCTCGCTCTCAATTCGCTCTTCTCGATATCATGTGCTCAGAGTTTAAGGCTTGGGCAGAAAAAGTAGCTGAACACTAGCTATCAAAAATACCGTGGGATCACCCCCCGAGGAAAGGATACATGCGATCTGGGCGTGCTTCGGTCCGCATTCTTTCCATTCGTCTGCAATACACAAGTCCCGGTCATGCGAGAGTGGAGACGACAATGGCTGTATGCCAAGGGAGGTGTACATAGAAAGCAAACTCAATATGATCTAAGCCACAGCAATATCGAAACAGATGTCCGCAAACATCACGCGATTTTGCGGACACATACATCGTACACGTCTAGTAGTTCGTTCTTCCAAGATTCCGTTGAAGTCTCCGAAGACGTGACAAAAACATGGTGATTTCAGAATATCAGACTGCGCATCTGATATTGGCCATCTACGCCGAGACATCTTAATTAAAAGATCTACAACATGTAGAACATACTAACTTCGGAGTTATAGGGTTAAACCACCGATCTTCGGGGCTTACTCGGCTTATTCTTTGGGAAGCCTGCATAGTATACAACATTGTATGTTGTACGGAGGATTCCGCTCCCGCTTCCAAAGTTCTCAACCCAATATCGTAATGTCGCGGATCTTAGAGGTAAGATTACACTGAGAGACCATGTCTTGCCCAAATAGGTAGTTAATGAACGTGGAGCACATTGGTGCTCTTGCAGACGCTCGTGATCGCTCGGGTTCGCTTCGGTGATCTGCGTATAGAGGGTCAAGGTTTAAGACATGAAAAAGCCTATATCGGTGGGACCAGGGGGAGAATCTGCAGAGTCAGCAGAAACGGGGATTTTATTAGCCGTAATAATGTATGACAGCTTTCAGCCAATGTTACAGAATCATTATGCCACGAGGCAGTCTTCCTGTGCCTCCCGGGCTTCCTGAGTTTCGGAACCGACGGGTGAATCTGAGACCCTTGCCAAGATGTCTCGAGAGGTTCCCGAACGATTTGGCTCAATAAGGCTGTCACCGTAGTCCTGTTCCAGCTAGAGGGACTAAAGTCTGTTGATCCAGCGTCTTGCAGGGATGCCACGGTAGACTGTTTCCGGTTAAACGTTCTGAAGTGCAGTTCTGCCAAGATTTTTATAGTGGTAGGCTGATAAGGACCTTCTAATTCAGGGGTTCTTGCATGCGAATCATCCCCGTTTACATAACTCGATCAAAATGTTTCGGTTTTCGTTTTCGAGACCCGGGTGAAAAGGATTTTAGCATTTAGACTGTAAAATTGGCGAACTCTAACTGAGAAGTATTGCTGACGTCCATTGTCTCATTGCCTCTCCGTATACTCCGCAACGTACAAAAGTACGTATAACCATCATACTCCGTACTATGGTAGTCAGATGACTATGGAGCTTCATTTTCCACGCGTTGATCTATAGGTTTGTTCTAATGTGATCTTCCTTTCGTGCAGGGAGGATATTATTTCCAATTAGCGCGTCAGACGACATGATATTCCAAAGATAAGGTTTGTCCAAGCCTTCATTTCTCGGTTAGCGCAAATCCAGGAAATGTCTCCAAAAATTCGGAGTTATCTTCCCATGCTCTTCGCTAGTATACATGCAACACTGTCATGACCCGCCCAAAGCACGACACCGCCGATCTTAATGAGGACAACCTGCATGTTAGAGTGGATATCATATTGACCGTTTTTACGGAATATTCGTTGGGCATCCCCGGCTCGTCCCGTTCTACAATATACTTTGCGTGGCTAGAAAAGGGGGAGTCAGATCTTCGATCTTTCCCCGATCTGTCCTCGATCTGCCCATGTCTGTAAGGCAATTTTCACATGTGAGTAGTCTACTGTAAATTCAAACGCCGAAATAAATTGCAATAGATGTTGAAGGCAATAACGTTGTTAGCTGTTGAAGGAAGAGCAAAGCATGGTGCTCTAGGGCTAAAGGATCAGATGATCTACATAACAATGTGACAGCTTCCCACGTGGATGTGGGGACTGGCTATTTCGCTGATTGTCAAAGTTTGCAACACGTTTCTTCTCGAAGTCAGTGGAGACTTCCAAGGTTGATCGGATAGGGGACCAATTACATCTTTGTGTTGCATATGCAGTGCCAAATAGATTACAACTAAGAGGATGATATAGCCCTAGGTAAAAGAGGTCCAGATTAGGAAAATGGTTCAGCGACCCACATCTATGACTTGTTCGTATCTGACAGAATACGTACGGAATACGGAGCACGGAGGAGTTTAGAGAGACTATTGAGAATATGCGAGAACCAGATTATCATGTCTAAAACGTCTCACTTGTGGGTGTTACAATATCGTGCATTTAGCCTGTAGGACCAAACACAGCAGGGGTCACTCCGTATATATAAATCAATAAAACGTGAACCACGATGATTTATCCGTCTCCTTTATCCGACAAGCTGAGCAAAAGCAATTTAGTAAGTTTATTATGTTTCTCTTTAGAAAACTAGTCTAATAATAGAAGTCGATATACAACAATGCAATAGCACAATGGCAGATCTGATCCAGTGTTACAGCCTGTGTATCATTTATTTTCTACCAAAGGCGACTAAATGGATATGTGCTTAGCTTCTTGAGTCTCCGCCACATTATCATTAGTTGAGCACATTTCAGAATGCCCCAAAAAGGTACAATGGGATCATGCAATGCATCCACTAGTCTCGCACTTGGCCGTTCCAGCTCAACTGGTTCTTTCAATCCTGGCAGTGCCCCTTGAGCGCCTTTCTTTTCAAAGACAGGATTGGAGTCTAATTCATGAGCCACTTGTGGTAGAGTAAGACTTTTAGTTTCAGCGAGCTCAGGTTGTGCCTTTCCCCGTCTTTCCATCCACGTTTGTGTTCACGACGAATCCAAAATCTAACCCCCAAAATAGCTAAGACAACCCCCAGTGCAACACCAAAACCTGTACCTGATTTAGAACATGTTAAAAAGCCCGGGGGCTTTTCTTCTGACCCTCGAATCATCGTCGTCATCATTATCGTAGCCGGAGTTATAACTGCTGAAGCAGTGGGTGAAACAAACACCGTAACCGGGACTGAAGCAAGGCCAGTGGACTTCCAACGGAGCTCGACTCCGTACGCATTCCAACCACCAATCCCGGAAGTCATATAACCAGAAGTGGTTTTTGTAGTACCCTTTATGTGTTTATACGTTCAATCCAAGTCGACTGTAGCACCGAGGATGCACACCTCGGTACTGTGCCAGAATCTGTCTATACAACAAGGTCATGTGCTAAATGTACAGCAACTTGGCCTATAGTACGGACATATCGGCACGTATTCCATTTTCCCTTTGTTCCTGTGTTTAGTGCGCTTTAATTTGTTTCTGGTAGTTAGGGCAACATGTCCCTATGGTCTCTCCGGCGCTTGTATAATTTGCGGTCATTGCGCAACTGCTAGGGCAAGCGATCCTGGTAGTTGAGCACCAAAATTTCAGATGAAAAAGAATTTGAAGGAGAAATAGGAGAGGTTAAATAATGGGATGATAAAGTGGCTGGTCTGTAAAGCAACCAGTCTACCACTAGTAGCTGTGTTTATCGTATCCAAGATGATGTGCAGTCATTTCGGTAAGATATTACCCGATGCAGAGAGACAGGGAACGAACTATTTAATGTATGACCAATGCATTGCCATAAAGAGAAACCCAGAGCGTCATGCTTATTGCTCCTGCTATAAGCGATTGAAGCCTGTCTTCAGAAAACTACACAGTCAGCCAGAACGGGGGCCTCCAGGCCAAATGTGGTTATTGATGGCCAGTCGACCCGAGCAGCATGGCAAAGAACTGATCACACCATATCCCGCCAGCTAATTCAATTGCATGGTTGACACAGCATCACCGAGCCTGCAGGGTTTGACAAAATCAGCTAGTATGGGTTGGAGATAAGGAACAACAACAAAATCGTGGCCCACTGGCCAAACCAGACCAGGAGAAAAACGCTTCTCGGGAGGTATTTGATATTCTTGAGGCACTCGGCCACATTGGCTGTGAGCGCTACGTCGAGTGGGAATGGACTTGATTTATTCAGTGTTTTCACAATTTCGAACTACTCAGCACTTAACTTGCTAGTGTGTATGTACAGGTATCTTCTCTTTTTGTTGCTGTTCATCAATTCACAAATGGTATCGTTGTTTAATGCATCTGTTCCTCAAGAGCTATCCTCTCTCCATATCCTCACAATGACCAATTTCTCCCACCCAGCCTGCATACCACTCGACCCCGCCGTCTCCGCGCGCCAACCACCCCAGCCACGAATACGCCCCATAACATCATCAGGCCGATTCTGCTTGCAGAGTAAGACATACGCCACACCACGCGCAGACAACACACCAGGAATAGCATCAAGAAGCCTATCGGTGGTTTCCATACCATCCGCTCCGCCCGCATACGTCAACGACAGGAAGTACGAGTCATTGTCGAACTTGGCAGAGCGAGACATGGCCTCTGAAACAGTAGGGTCATTTTCCGCCGCAGAAGGCAGACGCGGTAGATCCTCAGTCGGAACATAGGGCGGATTGAAGAGGAGGACATCGACGCTGCCAGGACGAAGAGGTGCACACAGATCGGCTGTCAATGAAGATATGTGAAGTGATTGAGGAGACGGCTGTTGCTCTGTCTGAATGGCTGTCGTTGCGGTTTTCCACGTTGCGATGCAAGCATTGCGGTTCACATCAGTGCCTAATGTGAGAATATCGCGTCGGCCGAATATCTGTTGGGACTGTGCGGCTGTGAAAGCTAGCACAACGCCAGAGCCTGTGCCTACTTCCACGACTAGTGGTGATGCCTGGTTCTTTGGGAATCGTTCAGAGAGCCATTTTGATTCGGATGCTGATGACAATGTGTCTAGGAAGAGGTATGAGTCCTCTGACGGCTCGTAGATGGTATCAAAGGATACGTGTGAGGTATCTGGCGTGGGAAGCATGGTGTGTGTCTTTTATAAAGGCAAGTTGCTTCTCGGAAATTCGACGTTCATCCACTCTTTTTTTTGGAGATAGTGGGGTTATCTCGAAATTATATGTTGCAGACCGTAGGAACTTGACCTGAGGCGATCACAAATTCCAGCAAGGAAAGTATGTACTATGTACCCAAATAGAATATCCAATGTGAAGCAATTGAATATAATCCAGAATATCAAAAATATCAGCAAATGGCAGAGAAGGAAATGCAACGCAAATCTCGAAACCCGAGACATCCCGACCCGCTGATTCGCGCGTTCTCCTCGCCGCCTTTGCCTCGAAAATCCCCGGAAATTATGTCATTCCCCAATCTTCCCTGAAAGCACCTCCATATTCAAAAATGCGCATTGCTCAGCGTTTACTCATGGCCACGCCGGCCTCGATCGGCTCGAAATCCAGTCTCAGCGAGGCTCTCGCTCTCCTCCCGCCTCTGCAGCTTTACCGGCGTATTCTACGCGTCCATCGCAAACTCGATCCCGAGATGCGCGTCCTGGGCGATTCTTATGTGAAGAATGAGTTCCGTGCGCATCGGGGCGTGGAGAATCCATTGCATATTGTACGTTTATTCTTGGCTGCATTGGTGTGGTTACCGAGTCAAAGAGAAGGGGAAACATAGCGGAAGAGGAAGGCTTGTCGATGCAGTCACTAACATTGGCGACGATAGATCGGGTTTTTGACTGAGTGGCAGCTGTACGCGCAGAAGTTGGAGGGTGATCAATGGACAGGAGATAAGCTGGACAAGGCCAAGTTGGATAAGATGAGTGGTATGTTCTTGACTGTTGTTCGGACTTTGCCTCGGTCGATCAAATTGCTAAGCGTTGGTTTTCATTGCAGATCAGCAACTTGGACAGTTACTCGAGCTTATGCAGGCTCTGAAGAACGGGGGAGAAGGAGAGGAGGGTCAATAAGTCCTCAATCGATTGCATTGGACCGCGGTTGACACTACTACTCCGAGAGTTAGTGGCATCAACTCCAAAAGTTGAGGTCTGGCCTGCCCAATTAATCAAAAATGATCGTCGGCCACAGATTGATTGATCTCAGGGCAGTCAGCCCTGTTTGGTAGGTTTGTGCTGGGAGATGCAGGCATCTCCTATCCGCTCACCAGCGCATATGTATATACTAGGTGTAGGAATAGAAGACTAGAGTTTCACTGGATTCAACAGGTTTGGCAATTCAGGACCGCAACTAAGCTATTCATCATAGAGTATAGTCTTTTCATGACCATATCTGGGACCCTGATGTTGTAGGTTCGGAGCAACTCCGAGAGCTACCTGGGTATATTTCGCACATCTGGGGCATTGACGAGGTGACCACCATGCAAAAAAAAAGGTAATTTCAGCCCTACAGCATTAGATCCATCTAACATGTTCGCATATATGTAGAGATCAACCCAAATCAAACTACTCCAACATCAGTGGAGAACGCCCTACCAATGACAAGCTGACTCATGCAAAATCGGCTGGTGCCGATATGGAGATGGAGAAGAGGGTATATCAATAGTCGAATCCTCTTAACCACTTTAAATCCTCCAATTACCATTCTACCACACCTCACCCTTATCCCCAAACCTATCCCAGTCCACACATCCCAATAGACCTCTCTCATTTACCCAAAATGCCCGCTATTCTGGAAGACCCCTCGACCCGCAATCCCCCACCAAAAGCACACACAGATGCAGCGCCGACCCTAACAGCGAGGAAAACCACCCTCCCCAAGTTCTCCTCCGCGCCAATGACTCTCTACCCCATCACAGGAGGACCGCAAACCGTCCCAAAGGACCTGATCAAGTTCCTGCACGAGGAGTTCAGCGCGGAGATCCTCCGCGGCGGAACGTATCCCATGATGGAGCCGATGGCACTGGACCAGTTCGCTGACTATTGGTTCGGGACGTTTGCGGTCGTGGCGATCTTGGACGATGAAGGGGAGGGGTTAAGGGAGGGAAGGGATTGGAAGAGTATTTGTATGGGAACTTTTTATACCAAGCCTAACTATCCCGGTATGTGGTTTTCCGTCATGTTCGGATGTAATAATCTACACTATAGGAATAAAACACTGACTCTAATAGGCCGCTGCTCTCACGTATGCAATGGAGGCTTCCTCACCACCACTGCCGCACGCGGCAAGGGTGTCGGACAGGCAATGGGCGAAGCCTACCTGGAATTTGCCCCGAGACTGGTACGACTTGAGCCCCTTCGGCTTTCCAATGCTCTTGGATGCTGTTGCTCTATCAGGCATATAACCTGCGTGACTAACTCTTTGGATAGGGATACACATACTCGGTCTTCAACCTGGTTTTCGCTAATAACCCGGCCTCCATCCGCATCTGGGAGAAGCTAGGGTTTAGCGTTATCGGACGGGTTCCCAAGGCTGCGCGGTTGGCGAACAGCGAGGAATTGGTGGATGCGTTGATCTTCGGGCGTGAGCTGGGAAATTAAATGCAGGTTTCAGTTTATTTGAGATGTCCATCCATGTTTCAGATGAAAATCACCATTTCAAGTATATAGGGTCGTGTTGTTACGAATGATGAATTTCCTACGATGAACTACTGCGTATATGTACAATAAACTTGCATGAGAACGAGTAATGTCATTTCCAGGACCAAAGGCACAACTACATATGATAAAACTACAAGGAATAATATTCACAGAGAAGAGAAGCGGAGTGGTAATCAATGACTCAAAATAACCGCGAAATAGATGACCTCAACGCTCAGACCAGACCATGCAAACAATAGGGATATCACGCAAAACCTGACTTGTCAAGATGATGGCTCCCCTTCACGCCGACTGAACACCGATGTGAAATCGAGGTCGAACCGAGATGGGAGGGGTGTAATGCACAAGTAAAAGAACATAGATAGAACATAGATAGAACGAACAAGGTCGTAGAAGTATAGGTAGGAGTCGGACGGTAAGGAGGATAGAATGAGAAAGACGGAGAGAAGGTGATGAGGGTAATAGGTAACACAGGTGTACCTAAGGAACGGTACAAGACGTACAACTCGGTTCCCACTAGCGCCACCGTGGACGAGTATCCACCGGCTTTGGAGTTGCTGCCTCTTTCTCCGTTCGCTTGGGAAGCGGGAGTAGACTGGTTCGCCTGTTGCTAGAATGGCCTAGCGCTGTACCTGGTCGTGACGATTTACTTGGGCTCTCCATCCCACCTGTCGCTCCTGACACACTTCGACTGAAAGCCGTGGGCGGGCCTGCAAAGCTCTGGCGACTGCGAGGTGTGCTTGACATTACTGATGGTCGATGGAGCCGGCTGTACGGCGGTGGGTCGAGGAGCGAGGAGCGCGCCGGTGTAGGGGAGGACACGTTCCTATTTGGACTCCGAGAACCAAATCGGCTCGAGACGCGACTGGCTGATCGAAGGCCACCAGGGATCGGGGATGCGGACGTCTCTCGTCGGAGAGAGTTGGGGAATGGAATTGTTGATGATGGCCGGGATGTACGGGCGAGTGGTGCGGATGACTTCCGCAATGTCGAGTTGTAGCTAGTAGCCGTGTTATTCAAGTTCGTGCTGTTGGTCCAGCGTGGGCGATTGGGAACAGTAGATGGCGGCGCTGGTGTACGAGAACGAGCGGCCGGTGTCGGTGTGAAGTAGTTTGAGGATCTGGAGGATGGGGTAGGAGACGCCAAAACCGTCGGTTGGGGGATCCCAGACTTTCGACCGGTGTAAGGCGCCGTGGGCTGCGGCAAGCTGGAGTAACGACGGTTCGGGGGTAGAGCCGAGCGGGCTGTGGCACTCCCGACTGAACTTCCGCGACGGCTTGAGCCGCCCATTGGCGTTGAGGCGCGCTTGTACCCGTTGCCGGTCATGATAACTGACGACGCAGGCGAGCTTCCTGGGGTCTCGATGGCGCTGCCTGTGGCTGGACTGTCCATGGTGAGGATGCTGGAGATTGAGTCTCGTAGCTGGTGGCCCTTGGTAATTTGCACATCTTCGAGAGATGTATCCATTACCTTAGTGCTAGCCTTGAGAGCATCCGTTCGGGATGTCATGTCGGATAGCAGGCGCAGAATCTCACCATTGACAGTTAAACGGTCGTTGACACCCTTTTGAATGATGGAGACCACACGCTCAATAGCAGGAATATAATGCATTTTCTTCGCCTCATAGCTTTCAATGAGTTTGGTCAGCGTTGACGGATTGTGCACCTGCATGCCGCTTTCCAGCCCTTCTTGTAGCTTCCCAATGCTGCGTTCAACCGATTGAAACATCTTCTGTGCCTGGGCCCCAGCATTGCGGAAAACCAGAATCCACTTGTCTTCTGCCAACTCCTTCAGAAGAGCTTCAGCATCGGTCTCAAGAACTTTATAACTCTTCTCCAAGTGATTGCGCCGGTCTTCAATCTCCTCACATGCACTCGGGAAAATGTTTTCAGCGCGGGCCTGGAACATCGACAGTCGCATGGGCAAAAACTCCAGCGATGCTTTCAAGGGCTGCATACGTGCAAAGATAGCCATGAGATTAGAGTGACTCGTATCATCCTGCGGTGTTTTGATAACTGGAGTATCAGACGCCGAGGCCAGGAGAGGTCCAATACTCAGACGATTCTGTGAGTGTCCGCGGCCTTTGCTGGGGGACTCTTCCACAATCGTCTCCAGCTCATTGATGTCGAGGCCGCCGCTGGTCTCGCCCGTATCCATCAGAGCCTGGTGCCGCTTTTCTTCCATCTCAAATATCAGCCCGCTCAAGTTGTCAACTTCCACACCCACGTCGCCCAAAACGTTTGACCAAAGCTCTTCCCACTCCATTGCCAACTCAACCTGTTCTTTCACACCTTTCAGCTTTTTCTTGATCTGAGTCCAGTTTTGCAGAATGCTCTCCATCTGGCTCACGATCGTGTTCAAGTTATCCACGTCCACATTGGCAATGTCGTCTCGAAGTTGGACATTCTCAATAGCCCTAACGTACACGTTGACCAGGGACTCGAACCGTGTGATCGCTTTATCGACTTCGTCTAGCCCCTCCCGGCCACCAGCCGCAGCCCATTCCACGTCATCTTCAGAATCTAAGCCGCTCAGCACATCTGAGGCCTTCTTAATCCAAATCTGAATTTGCTCTGCGGCACCGTTCAAAGCCCGAACCGCAGCCAAAGCCGTGGAAATGTTTTCGATGCTTGCCTCGAGCGAGGCTGGTTGTGGGAGAGGGATGGAGGTTAGCTGCGAGAGCTGGTTGCTGAAGGAGGCACGGGAGAAAGAGTATATTGAGTCTGCGCGCTGCAAGCCCATTGGGTTGAAATACGACTGTGAGTTGGATGAAGAGCGCGAGTGCACGGTGTCGATGGGAGGCGAGTCTTTGGGAGGTGGTTTCGGAGCAGACTCCTCTTCAGCGGACCGTTCCTCTCTTCGTGCGGTATCATCGACATATTTTTCGAAGTCGGTCCGGTCGTCTCGAACGTCGTTGGAAGCTTGAGTGCTCGACATCGGGGCTGCACGCGGCTGCGCGAGAACCGGCTCTGCGACAGACATGGGCGTGGGTGGGCTGATGTGTTCCACGGGCTGGGCAGTCGCCGAAACAACAGTGGTGGCCGGAGTGGGCAGTTCGGGACCGTCCACGACTGCTTCGGATGACTCCGGGTTCTCTCTTCGCGCGTCTGCAATCTCTTGGAGGATATCTTGGTGGGGTAGCTCGAGCTGGTTCGACGCGCTCCGCTTGAACTCCTGGGTTTGTCCGGGTGATATGTTCGAACGATTCCACGCCTGGCCTTTTCTCGTTACCTTGATCGATAAGTCTTGGTGCAGATTATCAAGCTCCTTCAGGTGCTCTTGGGGGATCCGACCGACTGCATTGGCATGCCGGTTCTGCGTCGCAGTCTTGTTACTGCTATCCAGCAGCTTGACCCGAGCCGCGAGGGCGGGAGAAAGTCGGCGGAGGATGGATGTTCGGCCGGCGCTGGTTGGCTCAGCAGGGGCGGGTTCTTCTTCGTTGTTGCTGCTCCCTAAACTCCACAGCGATGATTTGGACTTCAGGCGTCGGAGGGTGGAGGTACTATCATTTGGAGAGACGGAGAGCGCGGGGGTGAGCGACGGGGGGGATGTTGGTGTGGACGTGTTGGGGGGTTGCGTCGCGCGGTCGGTCGCAAAAGTTGGACTGTCGGCTGTGGCATGCATGGAGACAGGCCCTGGGGGTATTGAAAGAGCAAAAGGACCAAAGGATGGAGTTCAGACAGGGATACCAGGAATGTTTCGTCTTGTTTCGGGGGTAACAGGAAGTCCCTTTTTTTTCACGGTTTAAGGCTGCACATGTGGCTTTCTGGCTGTTCAAAGAGTCGGAGAGAAATGCTACTACATGACAAGAATTAATGGAGGTTCTAGATGCAAAGTCTCATCAACTTGGAGATATCGGGCAGCAACCGTTGAAACAAAAAGAGGGATAAAGTGGCCATGGGCCATTTACTCTGCAGAATGGGGGTACCTCCAGCCCCGTACTATTAACTATGGGGCCCGATGTACCCCCTCGGTATGTAATTCAAGGGGATCACCGAAATGAGATTCATTTCACTTTTGTTTTTGTCTTCTTTTTGTGCTCTGGATTTTCTTTATTTCAATGGTTTCGGTTGAACGGCCTTCGCTGTTTCTGCTAGCACACTAGACCTGTAAGTATATCAACGTTGAATCCAACTTCAACCCTATATTCCGTTCATATTGTACATATATTGTACACCCTCTGCGCACGAGGTTTTGTCGATCAGGTCAAAGCACTAGACACGTTAGAAATAAATCAATGCCCAAGGGAGTTAGTTCCTTTTTTGCATATTCCGATCAGCACCCATATGTCCCTACACGGTCTGAACACGAAAGAAAGACACGGGGATGAATGTTCCAAGCTTCAAATGATGCATGTACGCGTCTATGGAATGAAACACAATAAAATATACAATAAAATAAAAATTCCAAAAGAGACAATCAACAAAAACCAAAATATGCAGAGGCAGAACAGTCGGGGACAATTCAGGGGTATCGTATCAAGTGCCCATAAAGATATCAAAGAGAAAAAAGAAACAATCGAGATGCAAACATGAACTTCCAACACTTCAATACTTCAAACACTTTCAAATCAACCCAGCACTCGGGGGTCGCCCAGGGTTAGCCGCCTGCCAATCACGCACCAGCTCTTCACGGACAGTTTTGCACCAAGCCAGCAGTGCAGTATCGAATAGCTTCCAAGCGGCAGTGCCACTATTCTGTACAACACCCATAACATCAACATCCAGCCGGAGCTCCCACCGGAGTTGTGCAGCTTTCACCCAGAACTGAAGATTTTCAGTCTGCCGGTACGGCTTGGCAATGTCTAGGTGGTAAGCCGTGATTTCGCCAAATTGACGTTTCGACTTCTTGATCGCAAGGTTGTGTAACTGAACCAGGGCACGGCCGTCCCGGAACCTATCAAGAAACGCGGTGGGAAGGGAGTCATCGGGAGCCTCCTCAACCGGTGTCCAAGTCGGCAAGGAGTCACCGCCAGGCAACAAGCTGCGCAGGAAGGATTCCTCGCGGGAGCGCTCACGGCCTCTCCAATCGCCCGCGGCCCAATCCCAGTTCTGCCGCTCTTGAGCTTCAAGGTCTTCGAGCGCTTTCTCGCGGGCCAGCATGGTGCGCACAGCCGCCATCCACCCCTGGATCCGCTCCCGTTCCTCCTCTCGCAGACCGCTGGCAAAATGCCGCGCAGCCCACCGCTTCAACACTTCCAGGACATCGAAAAGTTCCTTGCGGATTTCTCGTTCGCTCTTTATTGATGATAGGCGCTCTGGATTCTCATGGGTGGTGTAGTAAATCTTCGCGGCACGGATTGCATTTGTAACATCGTCCAGGATGCACATACCCTGCGCCTCCTCCTTATTCATCGGGGTCGGGGCCTGCCCGGATTGATCATCCTCGTTTGTCTCGGGGATATCACCCGGAGAAAGACTTGACCGGAGAATTGGGCGGGAGGAGGCTCCGCCCCATTTTCAATTGCCTCGATATTAGCCTCTGCCTTATCCAGCGCGAGCGTAAGCTGCCGGCGCAAGAAAATCAGATCTGGCGGAGGAGGGATGTGGTGCGTTTTGATGCTGTACGTGCTGACTGTAGGCGGCAGCATCACCTCGGCGTCCTCGTCCTCGAATTCACCCTCTGCCGGGTCTGCTATATCTGATGGGCTCGCGACCATATCTTCATCCATATGTCGTTGATTAGGGGTGATCAGGACTCGTGGCACATTATCCTTGTTTTTCTTGCCCTTTTCCCACTCGCGGCCCCTCCCGCTCTTCCCATCCAGTAGACCCGTCCGCGCAAAATAGTATTGTAAGTGGGCGATACTGCCGAGACTCATGACGCTGTCGCGGTGGCGGGCCGAGTCCGAGAATTCAGCACCCAATGCACGGGTATATCCATGGCGGCGGGATGATGTTGAGACGGATGATCTGGCATCTCCGGAGGTGGCGGAGGACACTGAGCGGGAGGACTCGGAGGAAAATGTACGGTCTGGGGAGGAATAGGAGGAGATAGCTGGCGTTGCCGGGATAGAGGGCGACGGCGAGGAGGCCCGGATAGACGCTGTCATCTTGGAGTCCATGGACCGTCGTGGCGCATCCATCTTGGTTAATTTTGAATTGTTCAGCGTGGCCTGTTTCACCGGCCCAAATTTGGTGGAGCTGGGTCGCGTGAAGATCAATCACTAGAACGTGCCCAGTGACGGATATTCTGCGGGGGATGATGTGACGTTAACAATGAGGCCTAGGCAATCCCCAGACGGGCAACGGCTTTTATATAAATGGATTAATGAAAGGACGAAGGTTTAATGAGACCTGCAGGATCGACGGGCGAGAAACTGCTTTTGGGCCAAAAGGGGGGGGCTTCGACTAACCGGGGCTAAAAGGGGAAGCGGGTCAACCACATGGGGATGAAAGAGATGAGTGTTCCTATTCCACCAAAAAAACGACCCAATGAGGCCCGTAAGGCCCCCTTGTCATTTCGCGATTGCCCATTGTTGGAAGTTATGAAGCTACCTAGGTACATTAATGCTGTATAGTTCCAAAGGCCTCGAACATCGGTTCCTGGATTGTCCTGGTTGGGTTTAGCTTACGCCCCGCGTTCCATGGTTGAATTCAAGGCTTTGGAACCTTACGTTGAAGGTAAACATACATGGAAGTACATAATGTACAATAACATAACATACTTCAATGTTGCCAGTAAAAGAGAGAGGAGATGCTATTCAAATGACCAAAATGGCCCTTTCTAATCCCCCATTTTTTCAGACGCCTGTAAAAATGCGCGTTTTAAATGCCTCAAGACTTCTCCGTTCTCGCTTTACCCATAAAGATCTCGTTACGATCCCAACCCTCTGGCCTCAGGTTATCAATGCCCTTTGTCGGGTGACTTATGTCCGGATCAGCGTACTCAATCTGGTAGGGGTTGGGGTCTTTAGTTGGCTTTAGGTTGGCGAGGGTATGATTGACCTCGCGATGCTTGGCTTCGTCGGCGCGGATGAATAACAGCAGGTCCCTCATCTTGCGTTGACCCTCTGGCATCTGCCAGTATTTGACCGCAATCTCGGGTGCATCGAGATCTTTCCATCCAGGGAGATTGCCAGCCTCTAGTTCCTCAATGGCGCGGGTATAAGTAATAACAGCCTCCTCCTCGAGGTATCCCACGAATCTGTGGCAGATGCGCGGGGAGATCAGGTATGACAGGAAGAATCCGTTGAAGAAGACTCCCTGGGCGCCGATAACCATCACGCGCATGAACCAGCCTGGTTCGGCCAGTTTCAGGAAGGTAAGGAGGTGCATGCGTTCGTTGAATGCTTCTTCGAGCAGGGTTTCAATCCTATATCAAAGGAAGTGGGTTAGCCTTGAAGTAGTATGTTAGGAACTTGAATGCGTACCATCCATTGTCTCTCTTCATCTTGCGGAGACTACGGAGATGTCGCAGCATGCCGCCCACCATCCCGGGAACACCGGCTATGCTTTCCAAGAAAACAAACCGATTTAGCCATTTGTGCTCGGTCATTTTGAACCTGGCCGGTAGTTCCTCGCCGGGCTTGGGATGCTTGTATCCTGTCGCTGTGTCCATGCCCCATCGGAAGAAGCGTACAGTTCCTAGGGCAATCCAGTCGGACCAATTTGCAGTTTGTCTGTGGGCAATGCGAATACTTCGCATTTGCTCCTCGGTGTATCTGGCATAGCGTTAGTGTCTGGCTCAGATAGATGGCCTACGGATATACTTACACCGGATGCACCCATGCTGTTTTCACCTCCTTAACATTTGGAGTCTCTGGTGCTGGGAAGTAATCTGTAATAGTCTGGCTCTTGGGTGTTGACGAAATAGGGCGCTTGGATGTGAGGCTGCATGCCGATGTGCGCTTGCTGACCCCACATGAAGAATTGAGTGTCGTTGCTACAACGCCAACGCCCGAGTAGGTTCGTATAGCCAGGTGCAGGTACTGCGGCCTTGCTGCAGCCCGCAAGGGAGCCCTCACTGATAGAGTATTCATGATGTAACCAACGAGAGAGAGTTTGAGGTCGGTCACGACTGAAGGTGATAAAGTATTCAAGGGGATGAAGATAATAAGGTGAAGAAGACGAATAATATACAGAAGAATGGAGTTCAAGATTGAAGTTGTGGTTGTGTTTGTGGTTGAAGAGGGATGAAGGTGACTCCCCCAACCTTATAAAGCTTTAAATACTCCTGTACATAATCTACGCAATCCTTGGGTGACGAATAAAACCAGGGACATTTCCAAAAAAAAAAAGAAAAAAAGAAAGAAAAGTGTCAAAGAAAACACACCGGAAATGCTTAGGTTGTACCTGGGAAGTTGGAAGTGATGACATCCCGTATACTTCATCGCCCAGGCACCTGGATGTTCTAACCTTGGAAGGTTCTCCTTTCCATCGGCCTCTCATAATATCGCTTATCCCTCAAAATCATATCACTGTTGCAATACTTGAACAAGAAGCGAATATATCAGCCTTCCCATTATCCCTGCAAGATATTCACACGTTCCATATCACCAATACTATTCTCTCCTGTCAAGTTCTTGTTGGCAGGTGACATCGGAAGGGACCGGGAACGGCGATATGACTCAGCACGTGGCCACCACGGGGCCTGGGCAGCCCTACAGCCGTTTGCATTCAATCCCGAAAAATATTCGGTATCAAAGCCCGGAGTGAATTTGAGGTCATTTTGTGGTCTCGGGATCTTGAAAATATCCATTTCTCCTATCTCACCGGCGACTGGATTGATGGCTGGTTGGTAATCGAGAGGAAAGGAGTAAGTCTTCGCCCGTTTGCTGCCGATCATAGCACATGCATAGCAATTGCTTACTACAAGTGGTATACCTTTCATGAAAGATCTATAAGAGACTGATGCCTATATAAATAAATGTCCTTGTCCCCAACTCAAGATCTGCCCGCTGTTTTTTACGGCTGTCATCTCTTTCATCATTTTGTTATATCCATCGTCTACCTATATTCTCCTTCAATATATGAAAACGTCAAGAGACAAAAGTACTGGTATCTCTGCCAGTGCATTGGATTTGAGTAGGTAGTATTACAATCTTCGAGGGCTAGCAAGGTGGGTTATATCGTCATATTCAAAACCCCGGGCCTATACTCGATGAGCATTACATACCTACAAATGTACCTAGGTAGGTATAGATTGAAGGCCGATGATTTAGACATATTTCTTTTTCTAATATCGACCCTGCTCCCTGAATCTCTATCCATGGATGTCTCATATCTCAATATTTCATCCGCTTCTGTAACCCCCCTTTTTAGCCTTATCTCAATGCTTTGCGTGTTGTTTGCATCTGTTAGTCCGTGATATACTACCTAGGTAGCCAAGCTATTGAGCCCCAGATGTTTGATATGGCTGGAAATTTGTATTCTAGAAACCATAGCTCCCGCATGATCGAAAGTCTCCGAGCACCCTGGCTGGTATTGACTATTAATAGCAAGAATGTCTGTTTCAATATACATTTTGCTCTATGCAGCTAAGGTACCTAAGTAGCAACCATAGCTCTACAGTCAACCATCTGAGACAAGGTACTATCTCAACATGATGAATTAGAAGAACCTCTCTGACTATGGCCTCGACTTGCTTTTGATTGATTGTAATAGAACAAGAAGTCAAATCCTAATTCCCAGGTTTGAACATCGACTCTGCCGTCCGCATCACGGCAAATCCCTCCTCGTCATCACGCACGTCCAAGGCCCGCTTCTCCAGCTTCACTACATGAGCCCTAGGAGGACCTTTATCGATGCGCTGGAGGAATTTCTGTACTTTTTCGTCGGTGCCTTGGGCCTCGCCTTCCACCTGATAAAATCCAGTAAGCGCTACGTCCGGGGCCACGACAGGGAATCACCCACTCTTCCGCAAGTAGTATTCCTAACCCAGCCTTTGAGACCATCGAGCTTAGCACATCTTTGGACGAAGTCTCTGTGGAGCGAGGTGGTCACTGGTTAGTCGACGAACTATGATGTCATCTGTCGTGGGGAGGATATGGGGATATTTCCTACCGGAAGCCGACACCTAGGTATTTATGTCAGTGACAAAGTGAATGGTAGTATTTAATGATTATGGACAAGTCATGAGGTCAACCCACCTTGAACGGTGCCGTGGACTTTGAAAGCAACCTGAAGTAGATAGAATGTCAGCGGGGAAATCTTGTGGCTCTCGCTGTGCTACGGGGTACGTGTATAGCTAGGACTGTATGGGATATATATAGTAGAAGACATACTCGTATGTTTGACATTCTGGATGAAAAATGGGTTTCGTTGAAGAGTTGGAGGATGTAGAGTTGAAGTGTACAAGGTTGATGTCAAGGCCTGGAGAACATTGCGGGCCCCAGCATAACGGTTGATATACAACATACAATCCTTCTTTTTCAGAGAGCCAAGATGATAAACAGATACAATATTGATTTAGAGATATACTATTACTCTATGTTTTCTTCTCAATTTGGTCTTTCTGTCTTTCATGTCCATAAGTGTTTCATTCGCAGGTTTTGGGCACTCAATTTCCTTTTGGGCTACCCCGTGCTTGGCCCCGCAAAGTTATATAAACCTCAAAAGGTCAAGCCATGTTTATATCATTGCATATACTCTGTCTCGGAAAATGAATGTTATCAACTGGGAGGTGAATACTTTCGTAGGACTCGATGTGATATTAACTGGTGCTGATTGGGTCCGCACAACCTTGGAAGGATCTACAACCTTGCAATATTGTAAACGGCTCGTCGATTATTTGATATAAAATGAAAATCGTTTTTATTTTTATTTTTATTTTAGATTGGAAACCTCATTATTAGTTCCGTGTCGAGATAGGATATAGTTGAGGCCACCTACCAAGTGGCGGTCCCTTGGCCCCTGAGTAAACATTGGAATCTCGAACATCTCCCCGACTTCAACTTCTCCAAACCTGCGCCGGCCATGCTACTGATATAAAATGCCCTCCATTTTCGCCTGGCTTCGGCGGGTCTACTCGCTAGACACCCTTGACACTCGTTTTACCTCTTCCGCAACCCCTGCCCACGCCAACACACGACCTTCAAAAGATGCCCGCGCCAATGCAATCGCCCAGGGCGCGTCACCTTCACTTTGGCGCACACCAGAATTCTTTGTCTACTACTTGTTCTTTATTATTCTTGTCCCATTGATGTTTAAAACTGTCATCGATGTCTCGAAGGGTGAGTGCAGCCCAGAGAAAATGCTGCGTCTCGAAATTCTGACAGAGGATCAACGTCACAGAAAGCCACCCCATCTACTCCACATACTCTCACCTTCTATCCCCCGGTTGGATCCCTGGTCGTCAGGTGGTAAGTGCGAAACACTCGGCGCTCAGCCATCCACTTCCACGAGGCCAGCTCCGACTGACATTATTGCTCCAATGCCCTTAGGACAACTCCGATGCACAATATGAAAGCTTTCGCGACAATATCCCTTCACTCCTACTACTCCTAATCGCCCATCCTTTGGCTCGCCGTGCTTATCAGTTGTACGTGAATCACTCGAACGTCGAAACAAAACAACCAAACCATTCCGTGATTGCTGCGGGCGAGGCGCAACTTGAACAGCGAATGCGCTTCGACTTTTGGTTCGGACTGGTCTTCATAGTAGCGCTTCACGGAGTATCCGCCTTCAAGGTGTTATTCATTTTGTATATCAACTTCCGAATCGGCAAGGTTGTTCCGCGTTCCTACGTGCCTACCGCCACATGGATCTTCAACCTCGGCATCCTGTTTGCCAACGAATTAAGCGGTGGTTACTCCCTTGAGCGGATAGCGAAGGTGTTCGCGCCGGGTTCTGGAACGTCAGAAGATGGCACCACCTCACTAGTCCAATGGGCTCAGACTCTAGATGATCTTGGGGGATTGATGCCGCGATGGGAGGTCCTTTTCAAGGTCACGGTGTTGCGCCTCATCAGTTTCAACATGGATAACCACTGGAGTGTAGACTACCCTGCGGCAAGTCCAATTGAAGTAAGTCTTTCCGTGTTGGTAGCCGTCAAGTCCCATATGACAATCAAACTTACCGAGTTCTACAAGAAGAAGCAACTAGACCCTGCGAACCTCTCTGACCGTGACCGGGTCAAGATCCCCGCAGAACCAGCTGCTTTTACGTTCCGCAACTACATCGCCTATGTGCTCTACTCACCTTTGTACCTGGCCGGTCCGATCTTGACATTCAATGACTACGTATCTCAACAGCGATACACATCGGCGTCACTCACTCGAACTCGCACCACGATGTACGCCATCCGTTTTGGTCTCACCCTGCTCTGCATGGAGCTTATACTCCACTATATTTATGCAGTAGCAATCTCCAAGGCTGACCCAGACTGGTCCGTCTTTACCGGGGCAGCTGAGTATGCTTGCCTTCTTCAACCTGCACATAATCTGGCTGAAACTCCTCATTCCCTGGCGATTCTTCCGTCTTTGGGCCCTCGTAGACGGGATTGACCCACCAGAAAACATGGTCCGCTGCATGTCCAACAACTACTCCGCCTTGGCCTTTTGGCGTGGCTGGCACCGCTCCTATAACCGCTGGATCGTCCGCTACATCTACATCCCACTGGGCGGTGGCGGTGGTGGCCGGCGGCCACCCGGGGCACCAAAACCAGCTTCACCTCCTCAGTCCAACTTCATGGGCAAATTCCTGCAAATTCGCAACTTCCTGCTGGTCTTCACATTCGTCGCCTTATGGCACGATATCAACCTCCGCTTGCTTATGTGGGGTTGGCTCGTTACTCTCTTCGTTCTCCCAGAGGTTTTGGGCGGCATGCTTTTCCCCGCCCACCGCTGGCGCTCTCGTCCCAATACGTATCGTGTCATCTGTGGCATTGGCTCCGTTGGGAACGTCCTTATGATGATGATCGCAAACTTGGTCGGCTTTGCGTTGGGTCTGGATGGATTAAAGGATCTGCTTGCCGGCCTAACGGGCTCATACTCTGGCCTGGCGTACATGGTCTCCTGCTGTGTAGTACTTTTCGTCGGCGTGCAGGTTATGTTCGAGGTTCGCGAAGACGAGCTTCGCGCGGGCATTGACTTGAAATGTTGAGCCTTCTTTACACATATTTTAGAAGATCGATTTTGCCTTGGATGATATCACATTAATATCTATATTAACTATTGTACAGTTTTTGGTATCAATTCATAAAGTCATCAGTAGAACGGGACCAGGCCAGGCTCCTTCTCAATAGTACACACACAAGCACACACAAAACCCCCTAAAAGAAAGCACCACACCTCGAATCCTCATGAACCTTATAGCAACCCAAGCTACAAGTCCTCACATGACAACTCTTGCACCGAATCTTCCCCCAATACCCACACATACAACAAAAATGCCGCCCCGGCCGCCCCGACGCCTGCGGCTTCGCACGCGACGCATTATAAGAAAGCGGCGGCTCCGCCAGCAACCGCTGCATAATCCGATCAGAAGGCACAGGGGGGCGCATACGACCGCAAAAGCGGATCATTATCATATTCCGACTTGATAAGTTTCGGCTTCCGCGCCTCATCATCGACATCCGTCTCAGCATCCGTAGTCTCCCGCGCTGGCGCCGACGAACCAGTCGCACCCATAGCCGCCGACGGACGTTTAACGCCTACAGCACTAGCCGGTGTCGCGCTGCGCCGCATAGCAGCGGCCTTGCTTCCCTTGGCCGCGATGACGCTCGCGCCTCCCGCGCCCTGCATGCCGCCAACACCCCCGCTGCCTGAGGCGATTGCTGCTTCTTCGTCGTCGAGGTGGTTCCGGAAGGTCTTTTGGGACTGGAGGATGCGTCGGACGTTCGAGGTGGTTTTTGCTCGTGTGCCGCGAGCGCCGGCTTCGCGCGCTTGTCTTACTGGTACTGGGATGGCGACGTCGCGCTGGTTCTCGCGGTCTAGTTCGGCGATATGGCGTGCGATCGCGTTCGCTTGTCGCGAGGAAATGTCGCCGCCCTTGCCCGCATCGCGGATGCCGCGTTTCCGGCCGAGGGTTGGGGCCATTGCTTGGGTGGGGTCGAAGCCCCGGGTTGGGGCGTAGGACCAGCCTGGTGTGGCTGTTGATGTGTCTGAGATGAGTTCGACGCGGAACATTTTGGAGGGTTTGGGTGTTGGATGTTGGTGATGCGGAAGTTGATGATGGTCCTTGGGAGTTTGTTGGAGATGATAAAATGTTTGGTTTGTTTGCAGTGGAGTTCGGGGTCGCAGGGAGTACAATATACAGGGCTAAAAATTTAGTTGGTCAATTCGATATTTTTAGAAAAGAAAACGTGGTATTTGAAAAGATGATACTATTTTGATGCAAAAAAGGGAAGAAAAAGCCATGTCCTGGCCATCAAAGAGTGAGAATGGGCTTCATGGCCAGGGTTGACAAGCTTATGCACAGAAAACAAACCCACCCAACACCCCCAAGCCATAACAAATACACATGCGAAACATAGTGATCAGGTACTATTTCTTCTTGTGCAGCTGATCAACTTTGGACTCCAGTTCTGTAATGTATGACTGGAGCTGGATGGTAGCCTTTTGAAGAGCCTATAGAGCAGACAATCAGTTCTGCAAAGATCACAACGTAGAGAGAAAATAGGGAGATCGTCCGACAGATACAGCAGTCGGGAAGCTCTAGACATACCATAATGTCATCAGACAGCATCTCATTGGCGAATCGGTACTCTGCTAGGATGTAATAGTACACCGACGCGCCGGCGGCAACAGATCCAGCCAGGAACCCAAAGACACTATCGGATATTAGCAAGAAGCTTAGAAAGACATGCCAATTTGGAATTGAATGCCATTAGAAACAAGGGAATTTCTCATACCCTCCTCGGAAAGCTCCAACAGGCTTGCTTGATGGTAGCGGCGCGGCGGACTCCCAGCGGGCGCGGGATGATGAAAATGACCGGATGACGACGCGTCCCCGCAAAGGGATAAAGATCTTTGAGCCAACAGGCATATTGACAATATTAATTCAAATGTAGAGGGGAGATTTATGGATTGTTTGGTGGAAGATGGCGGGAAGGGGAGTTGTTGGAAGTGACGTTGATGAATTGCGGAGGTCCGGGCGGGTCGGAACTTGGAGAGACCTGAGACCTTTTATATACAAACAGGGAGACTACAGCCATACAAAAGAAATGTATTTGAAATCATCCAAATGTGATATCTAGCAAGGAAAATAGAGTACGTGATTTATTGCTTGGCTTAATTGGCCATTGTACTCTCGTTGAAGAGATCCGCCAACAGATCGTTCCGGCACACTGCGAAATCTACGCTGCCCATGCCGTACGTACTTTCAAACACATAAATACTCAACCGAGCGAAGAATGGGCGCAGGACGCGCTCAACAATATCGTCCTTGGGTGTCTCTCGGATCCAGTCTGAGATAAGCCACGGCCGCCTAAGACCACTGCGACCCTGGGGCTCGATCGTCTCCGCCGGGACAGTGGGTGAGCCTGCACCACGTGGACCGAAAGACTGAGAAACTTCATCTGCTAGAGCGACGGGCTCCCAGCGGTCGGGCGGATAGACAGCATCAATCGTGTCGGTTATGAAAAGCCATTCAAGGAGCTGGAAGTCGTCCGGGGCGAGGACAAGCAATATGTCGAGAAGCTTGCACGCCTGAAGCATCGAGTAAGAGTTGTAGAGCTCCGGCTGAGAGCCCTCTGGTACTGCGGAGATAGCTTCTTGCAGTTCCGTGTTGATCAGGGGCCAGAATGGCGCCATGGCGGAAGTAGAGGTCTTGAGCGCGACTGCTCGAAGAACCATAAACACTTCCGCCCGCGTGGCAGAAGAAGGCGACGAGGAGCTGGTTGCTGCAAGAAGATCTTCCAGTTTCTGGAGCAACGCCGGTAATTCACCAACAAAGTAATCATCACTAGCGGAAAGCAGAAGTAGCGCGATTCGTCGGAGGTTGAGCTGCGCTTTGCCATCGGCTTCCAATCGGGCCGCCGAGGCTCCCACGCCAAACATGATACCGGCTGAGCTTGGGGGTGGAAGACGGACAAGGAGTTCAGATAGCCGTTCCTTGTCAGCGAGAGCCCACTGGCGCAGAAGGTCCATCCAGCTGTTCTTCACCAAATCCAACTGCAAGCCAAAGAATCGGACATCATTGAAAGCGTCCGATATGTCCTTCTTCCACACTTTCGCCGCAGCTGGTACTTTTGCCATTTGCTGTAGAAGAACCATGACATTACGGTTGAGATTGTTCAGGGAAGAGACGTGACCGAATGAGAGGGCCCACTACATTAGTCGAGACACTGGTAATGGCGGTGTTGATCCGATCTGAATCACCCAGGGTCGTGATAAACGACGGCATAGAGACCGCCAGAATGCTCAGCATATCATCGGGTCCAGTATGAGAGACCGAGGTACGATCATGTTCTACCGAAGATCTTGCCATAGGCCCAGTGTCGTGGTTGAGGCCTAGGGGCTTGCTGGTAAAGACTGCGGTAAGGAGTCGTAGGAGAACATCCTGTATTATAATTGTCAGTGACTATGATGAAACCAGCAGTGGATACACATACCCCAAGTTCCTTTCGCATACGGCGGTCTTCGCCAAAGGTTGTATTCTCCAATTTCACCCCCAAAATAGCCGCAAATTCAATCAAACGTGGGAGGATCTGCCGGTGCGGGAATGGGTTGCTAAGAACATCGCGCAAGAAAGTTGTGCAGTCAGTCCAAATCTCGTCGAGGACATCATCGTCCAGTGAGCGGGCATAGGTAACCAAGAAGCTAGCAAGCTCGGACTCCGAGAGATTGGAGGTTAACGAAGATTTCCGGCTAGGATCCAAGGCAGTAGGATTAGTGCGAGTGTAGATTGCATTGAAAATGGCAGGGATGGTGATCTTTGGGCTTGACCCATCGAGAGTATGGAGGAGATTGAAGATAAGTGACGCTGTCTCCGTATCAGCCTTGGTCCACATTTCCACCAAGGTCTCAAGACATTCAAGTGCCTCTGCGGTGAAAAAGTGCTCTAAGATTCGCCGTGAGCGGTTTCTCATTCGCAACGAGGTGTATTGAAACGAGGCCAGGGATTCGCAATCAGGGGGAGAGTCGCTGTGATCTCCTGCACCCCCACGCCCAGATGGAGAAGCATAGGCGAACGGCATCTTGGAAACAGAGAAGAACAGTCAGGCGGTCGTTGGCTGTATTTGAGCGGCCTTGTCCGCCCTCGGAGTTGAATACCCCAGACACCATGTTTCCGAAAAAGCCCTGCGCTTGGTCAGGGCTCTTGACTGTTGGGACGTTGGACTCCTCCACAATGAGACGTTCGTGGGCATTTGCGATACAGTTCTCGAGGCCACTCAGAAGAGCAATTGTGACATGCTCCGAACGGTCCTGCGGCCAATCCTCTGTTTGCTGGAACGACAGCTGGAGTCTGCCATATGACGCTCGAATCTCCCTGCAGAAACATTCCACGAGCATCAATAGGATCTGGAATATGGAACCTGAGTATAGAGGGAGCACCTCACAGAGCAACACTATCCACTTGTCCACAATTTCTCGGGACTTAGGTGAGCTGATTCCCTTCAGAAGGCAATCCAAAAGCCGCTCTGGTGGCTGCGGTAGCTGAGGGACCGATTGTCTCCTGTCTCCCTTGTCACTAGTGAAAGACAAGATCGAAGGACTGGTCAGCCGGTCTCGAGAGCTAGCTCGTAAATGTTTTGGGCGAGGTGGCGGTGGTGGTAGATATGCTTGCGCAAATCGCACCTTCAACGCAGCAAGCAGTGCGTCGATTAGTGCACCCTGCACCGCCATACTGCCCCCCTCGGAAGAGACAAGAAGGCGCTCCACCAGGAAATCATCAATGCCAGACTCCACTAATTCCTCCGCCCCGGGCCCAAGGAGAAGTTGCCGCATGAGCTGGAGTGCGTCCTTATGCAGTCGTTCCCCATCCAAGTTAAATTCCATAGGAGCTGGGGACAGTGTGCTGATGATTCGAAGAGAAGCCTCGAATATGGCAGAATGGAGGCTTTTGAAGTCTGCATTATCTATCCAAGGATCCATATTAGCAACAATTGTTTCGTGAGAAAATAAATACCCACCTTCAGATTTGGATGTTTCAAGACGCTTCTCATTGCCTAGCACATGAGTAAGAAGTGCGATCCATCCATTGTGCGAAAGCGCAGATATGATATTTGAGGCTGTCCGTAGCAGGTAGTCACACTCTTTATAGTCATCCGGGGAAATTGAGTGGTTGTCTTTCTTTTTCTCGCTGATTTCATCAGGCTCAGAAAGCTCATCAAGGTTCGAGATTACCACATGGAAAACTCTGTTAAACTATTAGATATGGATAACGCGTTGGGACGAGAAGCCGACTTACTTGTGAATAGATGGCAAGTCTTGAAGCCATAGTTGAACACTCTGCGAACTGTCACTTGACTCTTCGGAGAGAAGATCGAGGACAATGAAAAGGGGGCGTTCAAGCATCGAACATTGATAAGAGAACAGGGTCCCTCCAACATCAAGCACTTGCTTTGGCGGCTGCTCATGTGTGCTGTGATGACTGTGGTTCCACAAGACATAGAATCGCTCAGCTTGTTGCTCCGACGAGAGGTGGCGGGATGCTGCAGTTGACACATTGACCATTAAAGCTGTCAAGGACGCTTCAACAAGGTGGTCAATCCAAGAAATTGAGTGCAGGAGCCATAAGCAGCGGACGGCTTCCACGTGAAACTTTGGACTGAGGGGGGGATAAGTACCACCAGAGCTGGTTGACAAGAGGGGTGATCAGATCGCAAGCATCCTCATAGCTGACATAGAAGCCGGGAGTGTGAATGAAAAATAAGCTCGTCACCGTCGAAGCAATTGTCGATATGACAGAGAAGGAGGCGGTTGTTGGTTTGTCCTTCCCTGAGCCTAGTCGCTGACAGAGCGCTTCATACAGTCTTCGGTCTCGTAGAACGCGGGACTTTGGAAGCTTCTTGAGCAGAGTCACAAGAATATCGAGTGGTTCGTGGACAGATAGGTTGCCATCACGGCTTTCTAGCGCCGCGATAGCTAGTTCGTGAGCCTCTCGAATGATCATTTCGCCAAGGTTCTTCGGAGCGTAAGGAAGAGGTGGAAGCTCCAAGCTATTTTTGCTTTGTTCATAAAAACTGTGGACAGCTCTCAAGATATCAGTACCACGGCCCTTTGTATCGTTGCCAGCAGTCTTTTCAGGACCCGTCTTTCTCAAGAATGCCCGCTCTGTGAGTAAACCAGTCAACGATTTGAGAACTTTGTTCAACGCGGCGGTCACGGCCTGTTTGTTGGGAGTGCTCTCCTTGGGTGAAATCTCTCTCATCTTCACGAGCACTGACAATGCCAGCAGAGGCACATGGATCTGCACCATGTCTTCCTCGCGCACGTTGAAATTCTCAATGATAAATAGTGCAAGATCCAAGTCACGCAACACTTGGTCGCTATCAACGTCTACTTCAGAATACCGGTAATCGACCAGCCCCAGAAGCTCGGAGAATATCACACCACTTTCAACGCCATCAAAAAAGGCGCTCGCACTGCGGAAAACCTCTTCGAAGTGGTTCTCGGGGGCTGTGGATTCAAATGCCTGAACACTGCGCACAGTGGGCAAGAAAACAGCAGGGACAATGTATCCACCAATTTCCCAGCGATCCATTAGCGACAGAGCTATGCGAAATGGCTTGGTTCTTTCGGACGGAATATTCGGTGCTTGTTTGATCATATCCAGTAGGCCAGTGACCAATGGCTGTAAGCCTACCCGGCTGAAGTATTGTGATTGTGTAAGTTCCTTTCCATCAACGGAGGAAGATCGAGCGGTTTCCGATGACAATTTTCGGTCATCCACCGAAGAGACATCGTTTTGGGAATCCGGTCCTAAAAACCAGGCCCAGAGACGGCGGTTCAAACTCATGTCTCGCCGAGTGACCACTCCCACTGCTGCAATTACCAACGTTTGAAGATCACCAGCTGCAATTTTGTTTTGCAAAATCGGAGAGCTGAGTGGAAGGTGGGTGACAAGGAGATCAAGGAAGTTCCGTTGGACAAGGAGCTGGTCATCAGATAAGCCCGATGCAACACATCGGATCAAGAGGCCAGGCTCCGGTAGAATAACAGAGTCCGCTGCGGCCAGTATCTCAGGCGGAATGTTCTGCGGATCGCTCCCGCCAGCCGTGCTCGGTCGACGATCTGCAATACCTAGTTTCGGGAGGTAGCGGTTCAGATATGCGAGGACACCAAGCCGTCGACTAGGGTTCGTGATAGATGCAAGAAAGAGGCATTGCCAGAAATACTGCCCAGATGCCCCGGTCTCAGAAGTCCTCTGTGTTTCAAGCTGTGCAGCAGCATCTCGCAGTTTGTTAATTGTGCGTAGTGTTGGCTCAAAATCCTCACTTGTCTCCTCTTCGAGGCCTGGAAGAAGGGCTAGAATGATTGCTTTCAAGGCGGGACGGATAGCCCATGGTTCCAGATCAACGATGTATCCCTCTACCAAAGACAGAAATAATGGGCGGACAGTAAGAGAGGCGAAAGTCAATGTTGGCGCAAGGCCAGGGAGGTACAAAGGCAGGTCGTGCGATAATCCCTCGAGCTGGTTATAAGCACATACATCAGTAAGCACACTGGCAGTCTTTCATGTGGCCACACATACCTTTATCAATCCAAATATGTACGTGTAGACTTCGAGTGCTTTTTGGTGTACGCCTGATGGCAACGATGGGTTCAAGCACTGGGCGAGTCGCTTCGATACTAACACTTTATGAGGGACGACAGGCTGATCGGGTGGGTGGGTTTGGAGGGCCTAATATTGATTATCAGCGATGCTGCAGAACATCGCTACTAAGTCGAGCGAACTCACCTTTAACAGGCGACCCAGGAATGAGATATAGTCGGCCCATTCTTGGAGAGCGTTGTCGAAGAGCGAAAGCGCTCGTTCAACACTAGACGCATATCGGCGGTAGTTCTTGTCTTTCTTGAGGGACCCTAAAACCACCAGGTATAATCAGGCACTGTCCTCTCATGCGATTATTGGGGTGGGCGCATACCTTCCTTGCCTTGTAGACGGGAGCGCGTCAAGGAGCTCTCGGAGCTTGCGGGGGAGTTCGACCTCGGAAAGGCATTGGGATCAAGACTCATTGTGCCAACGACGGACGTAGAATTGTTGTGAAAGCTTCGGACTACCCTCCGTCATATTTAGCACATCGAGGATGGCCCTGTGGGAAAGGGAGTTTGCGGTTGAATGTTGACCAGGAGTCAACGCAGGCGGCCACGTTCATTTGTTTTGTTCCGCCTTGGGGTAGCTCCGACTCGCCGACGTCAACGTCCGGCAACTATCAGTTTGACAAACACAACTGATCAAGGACTCCGAATATTTGAAATAAACAATGAGCATTTAATGGCGTGAAGACCCGCGACGACCGCCCGCGTCAAAAAGCGCATGCCCGCAGCGGGGATGAATACACAGCAAGACCCAAAAACCGACGGCCAACAGCCTGTCGAGACCTCCAAGCAACCGTATCTTTCCAGCCCCTCAATCCCAGATCATGATGGGCGCAGTGACAGCTCAGAAGGAGACCGACCCCCTTTACCCCCGCGACCTACTACGTTGAGTCTATTGAGCGATGAAACGGGCTCCCGGACAGCTCTACAGGCAGAGGCAACGACAGCTATCTCACGAACCGATGTCGAGACCCAATCACCGGAAGCTGCTGATAGCGCTTACTCCACATTAGCTGTTCGTGGTCTGGGCCAGGGTCCAAAGGCCAGGGCGAGCCTCAGCCAGTTGGCGAGCCCGCGGGGCAGCGAAGCTGGAGACTCCGCTAGCATTAGAAGCTCAATTCCAAATGGTGATCCCGGGGATGTTGAAGCGCTTTTTATGGACTTTGCTTCTACAGCGCCCGGTAGTCAACGACAAGGCGCTACGGGTCTACTTGACTTCCCTGAATTTGCGGCTGACGATATAGATGACGATGGGATTCTGAGCGAATTTGAAGCCGTCGGCGAGCTCAACGAGGAAGGCGATAACGAAGGTTTGTGTCAATAATTAATGGTCTCTTTATTTTATAATACTAACCCATATCAGAGCTGCTACTCCAGCGGTGGAAAGCAAAGCGCAAGCACTATGTGATCCTATCCGCCGCCGGTAAGCCGATTTGGACAAGGCACGGCGATGGCGGCCTGATATCCGGCTATGTCGGGGTTATCCAGACAATTATCTCATTTTACGAAGATGCAAATGATCATCTGCGAGGCTTCTCCGCTGGTGACACTAGGTTTGTTGTATTGACACGGGGATCTTTGCACCTCGTTGCAATCAGCCGTATGATGGAGAGCGACAATCAGCTTCGGCTTCAACTGGAAGCATTGTATATGCAGATCTTATCTACATTAACACTGCCTTCTTTAACCCATCTCTTCTCGGTGCGGCCTTCTACTGATCTGTCGCGGCCCTTACAGGGTTCGGAGACCCTTCTCTCATCTCTGGCAGACAGTTTCACACGAGGATCTCCATCGACGTTGCTATCGGCTCTGGAGTGTCTGAAAATCCGCAAACAACACCGACACGCCATCAACAATGCACTGTTGAAAACTAAAGCCAGTAGTCTTCTATATGGCTTGCTCGTGGCCGGCGGAAGACTCGTCAGTGTTGTTCGGCCCAAGAAGCACTCCTTACATCCAGGCGATCTACAGCTCTTATTCAACATGGTTTTCGAAGCCGACGGAGTTAAAGCTGGCGGCGGGGAAAGTTGGATCCCCGTCTGTTTGCCTGGCTTCAACAGCAGCGGTTATCTATACATGTATGTGAGCTTTCTTGACATTCGCGACGACATCGAAAACAGCGCAGAGATCACCAAAGACGAGTCTGTTGCCATCGTTCTTATCAGTCCCGACAAAGAGGCTTTCTTTGAGATGCAAGCCATGCGTGATGCTCTTGTGGAGGTGAGATCGGACAATTCTATGCTATCGAACGGTATGTAGTACTGATGATACAACAGCAAATGGAGAGAAACGGCAGTCTAAAGGAAATCAAAACGGCAATTGACCTGGGCCGGCCCGCAACTACTGATATAGTTCCTGGAACTGTTCTACATCATTTCCTTTACAAATCGCGTGCCAACGTACAATTCACCATGTCATCGTATGCCCCCGAATTTTCCTCGTTGACTCGACGACGAAGGTGAGCACTGCTCTAGTCTACACTCCTGCCTGTAATATTCAATGATTCTGACTCTCTATAGATTGATGTCGATGTACAACAACTTGCACGCGAGCATCCACGCCAAGAATACCCATGTCAAAGTTCACCACTGTGTTTCGCGGTCAGCCACTTCGTTCGGATGGGTAACACCTGTATTCGAATTATATTGCATCGCTGAGCCGAACACTAATCGAAATGCACTTGCCCAAAGCGCTAGCAAGATTGCTCAGTGGGTGCAACGTGAGGAAGAGAGGTTATTCATCATTGGCGGTGCGGTACGTACTTTATCTCGCTCCGTGGTTATTACAGCAAAAGGTGGCAATACTGATCAGTTCAAACAGGTTTTCTGATATCTTCCGATGCTTTCGTACTCAGACGACGAAGAAAGTTTCCTGTATATACTATCTCGTGATTTATTATACCCAACTACATCCACCCCAGCCCTACATATACATTTCTTTCCTTGTATCGTATTCTAGTCTACTTCTACATCTTAAAATCTCTCGTAAACTTCACTGGTACTTGTTCTGAGTTCATGTGTTCTTAGAAAATCCACAATACGTATGAAATCCAACGCCGCATATGTGGACTAATCGAGTGAATCTTCTCTCAGGTTGAAGAGCTGACGCATAATCTCGCCCGACTTGCTGCGCAGCGCATCGTGGTACATGGTGTTGGTGATAAACTGCTTGGAGTTCTTGATCTTGGCAGCAGTAGCTGTAGCCAGATCATAGTGAACATACATATCATCTATGTAGGTTGCAGCATACACCGGCACCTCGTTCTTGGCCAATTGAGCCTCATCGTATAGGGCCGGCCATTCGTCTGTCGTAGCCAGAATTTCAGCCGCTTCCTTAAGCTCTGAGAGCTCTGAGTAGGACTTGAACATATCCTTGAAGACCTAAGTGAGGATTGGTTAGACCTTTCTGTTGAAAAGATTCAAATGAGTGGGCTATTTACCATCTCGCCAGTGAAGTAGATCTCAGGCAACGAGGTATTGATCTGGAATTGCGGGTTGCTAGCGCGCAGCCTGTCAGCAGCCCAGAGCGACGGCTTTCTATATTCATTGTTAGACTCGGATATGCTATTGAAAGTTGGTAGCACCGAAAGCTTCTTCTTACCCTTGGCAATAGATTGATTCATGCAGAATGGCATAGATAATATTTTTATCCATACCGCCATTACTGTCAATCACGGAAAGAGTTGGCAGAGTAAGGAATCCAAACATCTCCAAGTCGTTGGTAACTCTGACCACAATATCTAGACTCGGGTTAGCATCTTTACTGCGACCTACACGAGACAAAGCAAAGTTTACCATGCAGACTATCCAAACCACCTAGATCGTATTAGCTTCAATAGACTTGGTTGTCTGGATCGAGGGTCTTACCGTGGAAGCCGAACATAATGCCCAGCTGCTGGAAGCGATACGGAGTGAGCAACCCGGATGGCAATGCGACCTTGTTTTGAGTCAGGTATTGCGTGATATTCTTCACACGGTCCACATCCTCGGGATACTTCTGGTAGTAAGCCTCGTTTCTCTCCTTAACCTTTTCTGTTTTTCGTGTCAATGCCTCGTACAAAGTACCTCGAGAAAACAGGGGAGCGCACCATAGGTCTTCGCATAGACAGGATCTGGCCCGTTGGTGAGAGGGGGAAGGCCACCAGTAAGGAAAGCTTCTTTCAAGCCCTCCGGGCTGGAAGTTGAGTAATGTCAGCGGGATATCCGGGTATGGGGATCAACTTATTTCAGAACATACAACTTTGACAGGTAAGTCACGGCACAGAAGCCACCAAAACTTTGCCCAAGGACACTCCACCGGCGCTGGTCAGGTGGGTAATCCTGCGTCAAAACATCACGAATGGCTTCGCAATCGCGGACAATGCTGTCTGCACGGAAGTTCTTGAGATACTCGGCCTGCTTGATTGCATCTCCCTGGCGGGCAAGGGTTCCCGCTGTGAGAGTCGAACTGAGGCCAGTGCCTCGTTGATCCAGAAAGAGCACCTAGAGAATGGTTGAGCATCAATCTACAAGCTATAAGATAAAAGGCACGCACTTGATAACCCTTGCTGAGTATGAACTCAACCCAGGGGTAAGACTGCGGGGCACCACATCCAAAACCAGGGCCACCTTGCAGGTAGACCAGCCAAGGTAGCTTGCCCTCTTGAGCATCCTTGTCCTCTTCTTTAGCGGGCTCGATGGGTTTGTTCAAGCGACTGACACTTCGAGCAAAGAGCCTCAGCGTGTCCCCAGCGGGCTTGCTGTAGTCCACAGGGACATCGAAGAATAGCTCGGAAACCCGAAGTTTACCTGGATAGGGTCAAATTATCAGTATCGAGACCAGTGGACTAACTATTGATAATAAATGAAGATTATATTAACCTGGAACGTTATGGAAGCGTCGATCAATCAGTTTCGCGGCCATGATTGCGATGTTGATGCGGACTAAAAACAGAGGGCGCGTTGGTGACAAGCCGCTTTGCGGAGAACGGCACCACTTTTTTAGTCTCAGCCTTGTTGTTAACCTGCAATCACCCAAAGAAAAATTTTTGAGTGTTTTCCTTTTGTCTACTACTCGTATACTATTTACGGAGAGATGGGTAACCTACTGTATATATAATGGGAGGCTAGGAGAAGAGCCACAGGGAAATCTCAATATTCATAGGACCTAACTACTACCATGGACCTTGGAAGCTCTGCGGGTATATAGCTTCATGGGAACAAGGACAAAGTCCTAAAAGCAGCCAATGTCAATGCATCAATATATGGATCGGGAGTGGGACGGCATGAAATAACATTGCCTATACTGAGAGGCATGTCTAGATATATATATAGCTATACCTAGTGCGGAATACATGTAGGTTGGACGCTATGCTTAAGGCCTTCCTCATCGAATATTCCTCACAATGTGCTTAATTTGGACCATATTAACATTTTATA